AGCAAATCCCCAAATTGTTAACTTTCCCAAAAGGAGAAAATCAGCTTCTGCCGACCTCCTGACGTGGAAGGCACTATGTACAAAGCTAATTTGTTGATGACGTTGATTTGTCCTGCCTGTTTTCTGGGAGGAAAGGTGAGGAAAAAGGCCAGAGAAGGAAGGAAAAGAGACCGAGAGGATATGGGGGTGGTGGGGGGGAGGAAGTGGTGAAAGCAACAGGAGAAACAGGCCATAGCCAGGGGAGGCGGTGAGTGAGGATTGAGGAGTGTTAATATGGGTGGGACGGAGAGGCTGCATGGGCTGTTTTACCCATTAATGACCGAACGACATTTTGTAAATGAAAAACAACTCCCTCGTCTAAATATACACAGACAGGATATGAACAAACAATGACAATTCTGTCTTTGAGTTGTTTGCAATGACTTGACAAATTGCTCATGTTTCCAGTGGTTAATGTTGAGTGAACATCAGGCTTGTGTTTTTTTTGCTGTTCCACAAACTGGCTGCCACATTTGCCTACAGTCACTACACTTTACATTTTATTCTTTTATTAAATTTACCCCCAAATATATATTTTTTTCAAAAATCCTACGCTTCTCTACACTTAGCCAATATCTTCTTTTTTTCTGACATTCAGATGCTGGGGGGGTGCATATTGGTGAGAAGATAAACTCTTGACATTCAACAACAACATCAACTTGCATTTATATAGTGCCTGTCACTACATTTAACATTTATTCCTGGAAAACCCTTTGAGACCTTTCAATGTTATAGGTTTTAAATCAAATGCAAGGCTTTATTATTATTATTCTCTCACATAAATTTAAGTGAAACCTTGTGTGAAACCCTCTGGGCACTTGCCACAAAGCACTTAATTCCTCTACACTTGTTAATAATAATAATAATCCTTGCATTTGATATAGCGCTTTTCACGTCTTTGAGACATCCCAAAGCGCTTCACAGAGTATACTGTAAAGTGAATTGACTGTATATTTGTGGGCGAACGCGGCAGCCAATTGCGCACAGCAATGTCCCACAAACAGTCGTGGATTGAAAATGATCAATTTATTATTGTTTTTGATTTTGGAGGGAATATTATTAGGCTCTGTGTGGAGTAAGGAAACTTGCCCAAGGTTTCGCCTGGAATTGAACTCAGGTCTCTCACTTGCAAAGCAAGTGCTCTAACCACTGAGCTACAGGACTCCACACCTCTCTCAGCCAGTCCGTAAGTTTCCATGTTTGTGAGGACAATAATAATCATCCTTGCATTTAACACAGCACTTTATCACGTCTTCGAGGCTTCTCAAAGCTCTTCACACAATATACTGTAAAGTGAATTGACTGTATATGTTGTTGGTGAAACGCGGCAGCCAATTGTGCACAGCAACGTCCCACAAACGGCAGTTGATTGAATGATTAAATTACTTTTTTTTTAAAAAAAGGTATTATTAGCCCGGAAAAGTTACCCGCCAATCAACTAACAACCGGGTTCCTAGTTACTACTAGGTAAACAGAGGCGTGTGCGTGTGGTAAGGAAACTTGCCCAATGTTTCGCCCTGCCCGGGAATCAAACCCAGGTCCTCTCACTTGCGAGGCGAGGGCTTTAACCACTGAACTGCAGGACTCGACAAAGAGAGAAACTGCCCATCAGCTCCTTTTCCGGATGTAACACCCATACCTCAGCCAAGACACAAGTATCAGCAAAGTCTCTGCTGCCCTTGAACAACATATCATCCTGTATCCCCTCTGGCCGTGTGTGTAACATCGATGGGGTTTCACAAACAAAATCAGTCTACATCACTGGACAACAGGGAAAAAAGATAAAGGCAGAAAACAATCCCGAAATCCCACACACTGTCCTCTGACCATTTGATGCTTAATCTGTGATTCCTTTTTACAAGCTTCTGCTCACATCTTAATTCACTTCACCTCATAAGATAATGTCGACCACAACAACTTGTATTTATATAGTGCCCTTCGTACCTGGAGCGGTTAACAGTGGTGGAATCTGACCCCAAGAGGGAGGAGGGGAGGCGACGATCAAAAAGAAAGGATTTTAGGCAAGATTTGAAAGTGGGGAGGGACGGGACAAGGCGTAGGGATTGGGGGAGAGAGTTCTTGAGTTTCAGGGCGTAGTGACAGAAAGCACAGCAGCTGACAGTGGAGCAGAAGGGATGAGGGAAGAACAAGAAGCCAGGGGCAGCGGGTGGTGGCGTTGGGGGGTCAGCAGGTCGGGAAGATAGGGAGGTGCGAGGGATCTTGTCCGCTCCATTCTGTACCTATTATCAGTGAAACACGTAACCACGAGAGATAGATCACAGTCGCGTGACGTTACCAGGAACACGATTCTCCTGCCAGGAGGGATCGATCTGATCCAGTGAAGTGCAGCATTAAAGAGAGGGAGAGAGAGAGAGAGACATTGGAGAGAGTGAGAGAGAGAGACCGAGAGAGAGACAACTGCATCCATATTTACTCTATTAATGTAGCTTTTCAGAACTTGCAGAATTTATCACATTTTGAAATTAGTTTTTAACTTTAATGCCTGTTTTCTCGAAAGAACCGATAGTGAAACAGAAAATGTCAGAAATGAGCAAATGTTCTGAATCGCTGCCGACGCCGTCTCTGAGCTAAACTCAGGCTGATTCCCTCACAACATCCTGTGTGACAGCTCCGCCGCACAATGTGGGCAGATAATAATAACCCTCATATTTGATACAGTGCTTTATCACGTCTTCAAGATGTCTCAAAGCGCATCACAGGATAGACTGTAAAGTGTAGTGACTATATTTTGTAGGCGAAACGTGGCAGCCAATTACGCAAAGTAGCGTCCCACAAACAGTCGTGGATTGAGTGACCAAATTTTTTTTTTTTAATGCGATTATTACCCTTGGAAAGCAATCCACCAATCGACTAATAATCGGGTTCCTACTTACTGCTGTGTAAACAGAGGCACGTAGAATAAGGAAACATGCCCAGAAATTGAGCCCGGGTCCTCTTGCTTGCGAGGCGAGTGCACTAACCACTAAACTACAGGACTCCCTGCCCTCAGCACAGCTCAGAGTGAGAGTGACCGCTCAGCACTGCTACCGCAATCAGTACTTACAACAAGGACACTTTCCACTGGAGCAACAGTGGGTGTGGGAGCTTCCACAGCCTCTCACAGCCACAAAGAGACATTCCCCCTTGACAACACCGCTACAGACAGGCAGTGAGTGGGTAACACCAGGCACCACCCTGAAATAAACTTCCCCAAACTGCTGTAAAGAGACAGAGGAGCTGAACCGACTACAGTTCCACTCTACACAGAACCAAGCAAACTAATTAATTACTGGCAAAAACAGTTGCTTTACCGTCATGCTCAGATCTGCCACTTTCTCCACCAAAAAGGCCCTTTTGCCAACTGGGAGGAAACGCAGGTAAATTCTGCTCTGAGACCAGCTGAGGACCTCTCCCCCTTCCTCTTCCTGTCCCTCTTCCTGGTCCAGGCACCAATCAGCTGTGAGAGGCTCAGCTTCAGCCACAAGTGACGAGAGGACCTTTCCTTCCTTTAACCCTGAGTCTTTCTCTCACTTAAAGGGGCAGATTCTGCTTAACTCAACTTATACAGTCACTACACTTTACAGCGTATCCTGTGAAGGGCTTTGAGATGTCTCAAAGACATGATAAGGCGCTGTATTAAATGCAAGGGTTATTATTGTTACCGTAGCTCGGAAGCTACTGGAGTTTTGGCTCGGACTTGCCCGGGCTGGTGTTAGGGGTTTAGTGGACACTTCTTGACCCTCCAAAATGGCAACTGCAATCGACCGGTTGGAGACCCCTGGGTGTCAACCACATTGTGAGGTCAAGACACACAAAACAGAGACACAGACGGAGACACACAGACAGACACAGGCAGACAGAGGTACACACACAAAGTACGTGGCAGAGAATTAGAGAGGCAGACAGAGACCCATCATCTGCACTGTTTGCATATCCGCTCCATGACCAAGTGTTACATCAAATACAAGGATTATTATCAGATAAGCTTCTCATGCTCTTTACAACGCTAGAAAAAAATCACTGGCGAGGGGAGAAATCGGGTGCGGTAGTGCTTTGTGGTATTTGAAGGTCAGAACAATGATTCTGAAGTCAATAATAATAATAATAATAATCCTTGCATTTGATATAGCGCTTTTCACGTCGGGAGGACGTCCCAAAGCGCTTCACAGAACACACTGTAAAGTGAATTGACTGTATATTTGTGGGCGAACGCGGCAGCCAATTGCGCACAGCAATGTCCCACAAACAGTCGTAGATTGAAAATGATCAATTTATTATTGTTTTTGGTTTTGGAGGGATTATTATTAGGCTCTGTGTGGGGTAAGGAAACTTGCCCAAGGTTTCGCCCTCTGCCTGGAATTGAACTCAGATCTCTCGCTTGCAAAGCGAGTGCTCTAACCACTGAGCTACAGGACTCAATCCACTGGCCAACAGGGAGGCAGGGAGATTGATGAAGATGAAGATGGGGGAGGTGGAGCAGTGCGTAGAGAGGAAGGGGTTAAAAAGGACCATATAAAAGAATCCCAAGTGGGAAGTCGAGGTGACAAAGGATAAATGATGGTTTGCGTTGCCTTTTGGATGTGGGAAATTGCCACACGGTATCTGGAGATGGAGAAATGCAGCTTTAGTCAAAGACTGGTTGTTGGACTTCAAGGAAACAATAAAACAAGCATGTATTTACATTTTGGGATATATTTTGATGAGGATGGAATATAGGTCAGGAAACCAGAAGGAAAACTCCACATTTCTTTGACCCAGTAGCAGGTAAGGTAGGTAGAGAACTCTCTTGGGCTAATTGCAAAGGTCCAGACAGATATGTCCAGCTCGGGCCGGTGCAAGGCCAAGTCGTGGGATCACAATGGGGCAATGTCACCTTGACATGATGTCGACACCGACTTCACAATTACCTGCCACCGTGTGAGGCTGTTGGTGATTAACTGGCCTCATCTCCGTGAGCTGCTGCTGGAGAGACTACATCGAGAAGACACTTGTGTTTCAAACCAAGATCAGGTCAATGAGAAGATGGCCGACTGGAAGAATTACATCAACACTATACTGAAGGACAAGAACGTGGAGGATGCTGCCATTGTGGGACACGCTGATAACAAGTCTGTCTGGGCATCCAAGCCAGGGGGAGTGCTGGCTGCCATCTCCCCTCAGGAGGTCAGCATGTTAACAGGACAGGATCGCAAGGCTTTCTTACAAACTGGCATTACCATCGGCGGTAAGAAGTGCTCCGTCATCAGGGACAATCTGATGATCAACAACGATGGGGTGATGGACGTGAGGATGAAGGGAGGGGTGGGTAAGAGCATCTGCATCGGCAAAACCATCAAGACTATGGTATTTGTGATGGGCAAGAAGGGGATCCATGGAGGAATTCTCAACAAGAAGGTGCATGAGATGGGCAATTTCCTGAAGCAGAAAGGCATCTAGAGGAGAGAAGGGAATAACAAGGCGTCTAGAGAGAAGGGAATATCTGGAGACCCAAATAAATAATTCAACTTTGAAGAACAAATTAATAATAAATAGCTTCAAATCCAAGCCAGAGTTTGCAGATTCTTTTAAAAGAGACGTGCTGTGTGCGTACACAGTGCAAGGACCCAAGCCAGACCTGCCAGAGGATGTTCCGGAGATGATCCAGAGTCAGGGAGGGGAAATCAGCCATTGTTCTCACTCCTGAAGCACAAAACTCTCTCAGACTCTTAGCCTTTAGGTAATGTTTAGAAATAGTTCTGCTGAAAATTGGATAATTCTTAAATTCAGTCTCAACTTGGAATCTATTTATGCAGTTGTTAGACCAACAATATATCACGGAAGAACAATAATAATCCTTGCATTTGATATAGTGCCTTATCGAGACGTCTCAAAGCACAAAGGATATACTGTAAAGTGGAGTGACTGTATTTTGTTGACTGAAAAGTGGAATAGGCGTTACTGAGCAAATGAAAAGAAACTAAGTTAAAGGAGCCGCAGTTGTAGACAATTCTACATTGTTTCTCCTTTAACTTAGTTTTATCCGTACTTGTCACTTAGCTGCTGATAACAGGCTTCACATATGAAGAGAAACAAAAGAGACTGGGAAGGTCTAGAGAACAGAGAAGGCTGAGTTGCCCTGATCGAGGTATTGAAAATTAGGTAAACAGTGAGACCCTGTTTGCACTAGCGGTGACTAAGTATAGATTTAAAATCATCGAAACACAAAGGGAGAGGTTGGGCAATGTAACTTTTACACAAGAGCACATGAAATGTTCTGCCAAAAATACTGATTGGCTGAAGGAAAATCCATAAAAGCTTTAAGAAAAGAAATAGGCAAGTAGTTAAAAACGAGTTTGAGGAAAAGGCCCGAATGAACAGCTCAAGCATAAAACACAGCACAGGCACAACAAGCTGAACTGCCTTCCTTTGCGTAAAATTCCGTGCCTTTCTGACTCTAATGAAAAGGAAACGTGTTGACAGTTCTCTACTCAAGATGCTATTTGGCGCTGTGATACCTCCCCCCTCAGCTTCCTGACGGCAGTAAACATTAATACTGTAAGTGTGCCCAGCAGATTGCAGCTGTGATAAGTGGCTCTAATAAGTTAACTGTTTCTGGATCAGTTTGTGAATTGTAAAGTTTGTAGCACAAAAAGAGGCCGTTTGATAGCCTCCGCCTTCTACTCTAATCCCATTGCTCAAGTCTTTCCTGCTATTTTTTTTAATATGTTTTTTCCTCAGGTTTTTATCTAACTTCCTTTTGACCAAAATAACTATTTGTGGCAAAGCTTCACACATTCCAACGATAACTTGAACAACTTGTATTTATACCCAGCCTTTCAAACTCAGCAGCATCCCTGAGCACATTGCAACAACATTCACAATTATTTTGGTCGAGGAAACTCTTCTTCTGTTCCCAAGAGAACAAAAGTGTCATTTCCAGGATTAACAAAGATGAAAGAGAGAGAGAGAGATAGACACCACTTACCTTATTGTACTTGTCACTTGGCTGCTGATGGGAATATTTGTTTCGGGTATTCGGGCTCATTTGAATTGAGATTCCTGCATCCATCTGTAAAGAAACAGCGACCAGATAATTACACAATTACACAATTTCCTTTACTTGTCATTTTGCTTTGGATTCTGTCCACCCTCTGCCAGAAGGTACATGTGCCAAAGTTGGCTATAAATTCTCCTCCCACCACAGATAAACACACAACAGCAAATGACATTTACACAGTGCCTTTCACGTCAGGAGGGCATCCCAAGGCCCTGGACAGGTAAGGATTTGCACCCAAGCTCGAGTTTGGGATCAGGAGGTTGGGGGACAAGCGGGTAGGGGCAGGAGGCTGGCCAAAGAGGAAGATATTGAGATGGGCTTTGAAGGAGGCAACGGAGGGGGCGAGGTGGAGGAGCCCTTCAACCCATTTGTTCTCATCCTTGCAGAAACCTTCTTTATCAATTAGGGTTAGCTTAACCCTAACAATCTCCCATTACCAGATCCAGTTGTTTCTAAACTGAAGCCCAACACCCTGGTGTTCCTGGCCACGTATTCAGTTAGTATTTACCTTCTGGATGTACTTGTCCCTGAGCTGCTGAGGGAAGTCCTGGTTTTGTAAGTTTGTGCCTGTTCTGTTTGAGAGTCCGGGGTCAGTCTGCAAATGAACAGCAAACGTGGAAATACTTTACTCGAAAGAGTTTAATCCCAGGGCCTTGGGTTGGGATTGCCTCCCAATTTGAGATGCACTATCTAAATGCAATTTGTTGTTGTTGTTACCTTTAAGATATGTATTAACCTTCATCAGCTGATTGTTCCTCTCAACAGCTTTCTCCACAGAAACTAAAGAAGCTTCAGAAGCTACTGGAGGTTGTGGGACTCGGTAATTAGTACTGGTCAGTAAGTCAGTAAAGAGAGGGTACAACTTTAAGAAATTAAAGGGGTTGTTAGAAAAGTATCTTTACATACAGGCTGTTGAAATGTAGAATTCTCTGTCACAACCCGTTGTTGAAGCAGAGTCGATGAATCCTTTCTAAAGGAAATTTTATGCTTAAAAAGGAAGAATATTAAAGAGTGTGAAGAGGGAGTGGGGGAGAGGGATTAGATAAGTGATTCAATCAGAGAAAACATCAATTCAGACGTAATGGACCTTGTTCTGGTTTGTAACATTCTACGGAAACATCTCCCTCAAAAACACTGGATGTGGTTGCCATTGGTTTCAATGAGAGGCACACACACAGCAGGTGGGTCTAAACTGTAATTACTCACCTTGTCAATCTTTGGGGTCGAGTGAAAATATTCTATATAAGGCATTGATTTTTCTTGCGAGGAGAACTTTGAATTGACCTAAAAGCAAAGACAGCAACAAATTTAAACAAGAATATTGTACATCTTTTTGTAATACTGATGGATAGCCTTGGGACGTCCTCCCAACGTGGAAGGCGCTGTACAAATGTAATTTTGTATTGTATTCTATAGCAAATACAGTAATGAGCCCAATACCTATCCTAGATATGATGATGAGTTTCCACATACCTATCCTAGTTGGGACCCGACACATAATGTAAAAGTAAACAGATATCAAGTCCATATGTGTATGAGTCTCTCTCTCTCACTCACATGCTCTCTAACCTCTTTATTTACCTGGTTCTGATATCCCTGCCAGTTCACACTGTCAATATATTAATCGCTTTGAGACATCTCAAAAACATGATAAAGCAGTATATCAAATACAAGGGTTATTAGTATTATGAAAATTACTATCCACTTGCATCTATATGCATCCAAAATGATCTTAGCCTTCAGGCAATCATCTTAAAATTCAAGATAAGGTGAGGAGGTGCTGACGGGAGCCAAGCAGGAGGGCCTCTGAAGAACTGAAGAAAGTTAGCTGTCATCCAGGACATGATGTCTGGCAGAAAATCCGTCAGGATAGCAGTGGTTCTGGAGTCGAGTGTGGGGGCAGCGAGATAGAGGTGGGTGTCATCCGCATGTGGGAGTAATGTAAAGAGAAGAGAACCGAGGACCTAGCTGGAGGAACACCACATGTAACAGTGCAAGGACTAGAAAACAAGCCGTTAATGGATACAAAGTGCAGATGATGGGAAAGGTAAGAGCCAGGCAAGGACTGGACCAAATACATGCAAGTTCTTTCTCACTAAAGTGGAAATACTGACCTGGTCACTTTTGAGGCTTGACCGACGATATCCGATGGAGGAATTCAGGTCGTCCTGTGCAAACTTTACCCCCACCTAATAAAAATATGGCGTAAGGTTTTAGCAACTTCGTACAAACTGTTTTTTTTAGAACAAAAGCTTCCTCTAATCTTCACTTCAGGATAATCCCATGAAATCTCTTTCTCTCTCTTTCCCTCCCCCACCCCCCCCGTAACACAGGCTCAATAATCCAGGGTTCAAAATGTTTCCAAAAATGTGTTTGGTGAGGCCTCAAATCAGTCAGAAAGTAAATGTTTATTTGAAGGATTTTCAGGTTCCAAATACAGTGAACTCCTGACAATAACACCCTGTCCTACATCAAGCTGTCTATATCCCAAACACCTAATAACCCTTGCATTTGATATAGCGCTTTTCACGTCGGGAGGACGTCCCAAAGCGCTTCACAGAACACACTGTAAAGTGAATTGACTGTATATTTGTGGGCGAACGCGGCAGCCAATTGCGCACAGCAATGTCCCACAAACAGTCGTGGATTGAAAATGACCAATTTATTATTGTTTTTGATTTTGGAGGGAATATTATTAGGCTCTGTGTGGAGTAAGGAAACTTGCCCAAGGTTTCGCCTGGAATTGAACTCAGGTCTCTCACTTGCAAAGCGAGTGCTCTAACCACTGAGCTACAGGACTCCAAATGCAAACTCCTCCCATGCAAACTCTTCTGAACCATTGACCAAACAGAAATACTAACCGTGTTGGGTTTGCGAGTAGATCTGAGATGCGTTTTGAAAGACTTGAAATCTTCTGTTGGCACCGAACCCACCTAAACGAGAAGACACAAAGATGGCCAATGGGTGAATCAGTACATTCAGATCCACCACCTGCCAGAACATACATTCAGTGTAGCTCCCCACAAGCTTCGACCTGCCCCAGGAGACGTGCGATGGCTCTGACCAGGAAAATGAAATGCCAAACGAGCGTTGACTCACCTCTTTCTGTTGATATGTTTGGGAATAAGTTTTGCTGCTTCGCAGCTCCTCGCTGAGCCAGTTGGACATTGTGGACCTTCTCTCTGTTTTACCCACTTTCTCCAACTCCAAGCCTTGGAAAGCCTCAGTCACATGTCTGTTGGCAGGTCGTCAATGACAAACTTTTTATACCAAATTGATTTTAATACATAATTTCCATTTAAACTATCTCCTCCTATCAAGTGCTTTAGACGTTATACAGGACTGGTAATTGTTTGATACAACACTTTTATCATATTGACACGTTTCAAAATGCTTCACATAATGAGTTACTTTACAGCAGATCAGCTGATATTTAGGTAAATGCAGAAGCTATTTCTGTTCCATGTCCCAACTCACAGGAATTTGACACAAAACCCAATTAACCTTCTAACTGCAGTAAATTGGGATATTTAGGTAAAGTAGGAATATTGGCCAGGGCCCTAACTCTGCTTGATAACAACATCCATCTGTCAGAACCTCAGCTTAACCTTCCATCCACAGGAAGTCACCCCCAATACTGTGTTCGACGTCAACCTAGACGCTGAGTTCGAGTCCTGACAACTTTCTACCCCGGAGGCAAAAGTGCAGCTTAGCCACAGGTACAGCTTAGTGCTGTGAAAAGGAATTACTGTTGTGTGTCAGTCACATTGTGGGTCGGTGTTCAGAGGATGTAAAATTACCTGTGCTCATTGAAGGTTTGTCGAAACCTGAAAAAATAATCACAAATCAGACAACTTTGTATTTGGAGATTATTTTGGGCTGTTTCTGACGATAAAACACTGAAAATCTGTTTATATTAAACCAGTGGCTCCCGATGCCTGATTGGCTAAACGAGGTCTTGCTCACACAGTGGCTGATTCTTACTGTAACAAATGACCACTTTTGGTGCCGCCAATATATGGTCATTGCGTTGCCTAAATAGCCCAATATCACCAGTTGTACAGAGTCACTTATCAACACACTGCATTCCTGCACAGCCACACGGCTGCTTAAACCCCATGAACCGAAAGAATGCTGAAAGAGTCAAGAAATGTGTAATTGGACAGAGAGCAGTGGGGGAGACATTGGGACCAGCAATGAGAGAGGAGTTTGTTCATTGAGTGATTGACAATAGGGACAACAGAAACAGCCCGAGAGAGAGAGAGAGACTGTCAGGCTGAGTCAGAGCTACAGTTAGATACACAAACAAGGGGATAAATACACACATTCAGGGACACAGGGAATGTGTTAACCAACGGGATTAATAAACAATAGAATAATAATAGTCCGCGCATTTGATACAGCGCCTTATCACACCATTGAGATGTCTCAAAGCGCTTCATAGAATATACTGTAAAGTGTAGTGACCGTGTATTTTGTTGGATGAAGTCCTAATACCAAGTCGATGGGCCAGGGGCTGGAAATTACTCTTTCTATGTATTTCTTGTGATGAACTGACGTGCGATGGGACATACACCTGAGCCGTATCCCTAACTGGAAGCAAATAAATGGAGTCCAATGTCATCTGGAGAAAACTGGAGCAAAAACCTCAGTGTCTAACCTGCGCTCGTGTCCAAACAAACGTTCCACCTCCTCCCGGCCAGGGCTCCGGGTTCGGCGATGCTGCCCCAGGTGCTTTCGCTCTTGTTCAAACGCCTCTCGGCTTATGATCCGCTTGGGTTTGGGGATATCTGCGAGGACCGAGTAGTCCTTCCGGAAGAGTCCTCGCTGCCTAATGCCTGTGCTTGCTGCGCTGTTCTGCGTGTAACAGCTTGACTCGGATTCGAAGGAGCTCTGCGAGGAGGTCAGGTCTGATCCTGGCTTGAGCCCAATCCCTGCACTGTTCCTGTAGGTGTGCGAGCGGCTCCGGTTCATGCTCCGAGTATCCGCACCTCGGGACGAGAGGGATACGGTTTGATCCAAATCCAATTTCCTCAATTCCAAGGAAAAGTAGCCACTGTCTCCACACGATGGTCGCCCACCCACTCGCTCTCTGACACCTGGGAAAATACAATAGGAACAAACCAGTTTGTGAAGTGACTCAAACTTCACCCAAACAGCAAGTGATAAAAGACCAGAGATACATAGAGATAGGAACCAGAGGAGGCCATTCAGCCCATCAAGCCTGTTTCACCCATTTATTGGATCATGTTAGGTCTTTTAATCCCATTTCCCCACCTGTTCTCTATAACCCTCAACACCCTGAACTTTTCAAGTATTTTTGGTTCAAAACATTCCAATTGATTCTGCACCCTGACATTCCAGTCTATCTCTAAACCTAATGTGGGAAGAAATATTATTTGATTTCTAACCGTTCGCATTCTGATTTCAACATTAAGTGCAAGGATATGGGGAGAGAGTGGGGGAGTGAGACTGATTGAGTAACTTTTCTCCTTCAAGGCCGGTCTCAAGACCTTTCTCTTTGACCGTGCCTTCAGCTCCCCTCTCGACTCTCTACCCCCTCCTCGCTCCCTCCCTTCCCTCCCCCTGACCATTTGCCCCCTCCTCGGGTCCTGACCCAACTGTCCAGCGCCTTGGGACGTCCTCCCGACGTGAAAGGCGCTCTATAAATGAAATCTTGTTGTTGTTGTTGTAGCTCTTCCAAAGAGCCAGCACAGGTACAATGGGCCGAATGGCCTCTTTCTGTGTTGTAATATTCTGCGATTCTATGTAGTGGCTCAGTTTTTTGCTTTTACGTCTCTGAGTAAGAAGCCCGACATCAGGACTTTACACTCATGTAGACTAGGCTGTCACTCCAGTGCAGTGTTTGCGGAGTGTTGTAACATGGGAGGTGCTGTCCTTCAGTTGAGACATTAAACCGAGCCCCGGTCTGTCTGCTATTCAGGTGATCTTATTGCACTATTGAAAAAGAGAGGGAGATTCTTCTAAAATAAACCTAAAGTTACATAAAAATGCAGTTGGTTCTTTCTTTCTCTCTCTCTCTCTCTTTCAGTGTGAAATGATGAAGAGTTCATGAGAACCTTCCCTTCACCACCAGGTAGTTCATACCCTTAAAATCACCTTCTCTTGTTGTCGGAGACTTTCCTTGGGATCCCATGGAGTCCGGTCGCTCCCGCGAGCTCACAGAGGCACTTCTGCTGCGTGTCTGTCCCCAGGTCGGGCTCTCTGAATGCATCTCCCCATTCCGGCTCTCCCCGTCTCGTCTGAAGCCAGGTGACCCCAGTGCAGTTGCCCCTCTCAGTGGGTGTCGTCTCGTGACCGACACCTTACCTGGGTCGGATCCCTATGGAGTTAAGTCACATTTAAACAGACAGGAGTTGATTCACACCAGCAGAGCACAGGCCCCAGCCCCACTCCCCCTCCCCCCTCCCCAGCCCAGCCCCAGCCACACACCCCCCCAGCCCAGCCCCAGCCACACAGCCCCCCGCCCCCCCTCCCCAGCCCAGCCCCAGCCACTCAGCCCCCAGGCACCGCTTACCCAGACAGGAACCACATTCACTGCTTGTTTACCATTGGTCAGGGCTTCCAGGTGAGGGCACTTCCGCAGCTGTTCCTGCCAACTGAGAAACAAACAGCAAAAGAATCCATGTTTGGGAAAAGTTCTCTACTTGTTAACAAGGTGGATTATGCAGCAGATTAAAAGCACGTATGGAGGGAATTACAGGTCCTTTAATTGTGTCATTACCAAGTGCTTAATTACATAATCGTGGTTCATGACCTATAATGTCAAAACATTTAAGAACATTTTGTGCATAAATGAGGGAGACAGTTTGAGTACAGTAGTCGTGATGTGAGGTCTGAACCCAAGGCAAGAGTGCTACCAACTGATCCAAGCTGACACCAGAGCCATAAAACACGTGGGTTTAAACATGGTACATAATAGACCACAATATTTTTGTCTCTGTTGACTACAGTTTGCCACATTGCTAAGTGTGTCACTGAACCACACAGACCAAGTCAATGCTGCTCCCTTTCACCCACATTCTCTGACTTCAAACGCTCTTAAGAACCCCTCTCTTTGACCCCGTCTTTGGTCGACATCCTTAAATTCTCCTTCCTCTCTTTCCTGCTCTCTGCCATCTCAGAGCTTCGAGATATTTATCCTTTGTGAAAGTCACAATACAAGTGCCAGTAGCTCAGCAGTGATATTCACAATTCCAGTCAGATTACTTACAGTAACATAACCCAGTAATCCACAACTAGTTTTGTCTAATAATTCTGTTCCATATCGTAAGCCACTGAGCTGCAGAACAGCTCCCAGTGGCTAACGTTAAGATGTAAGTTGCAGTGAGGAAATCGTGAGGTCACAATAGGGATGATGATTGTTCATGAGCAATAAGTGTGTTTGTCGATATGTGTGAAAAGGTAAACAAATTTACTTTCATGTTTATTCATTCAAAGCAAAAGTTAGCTGATAAAAATGGTGGAAGGAATACATGCTGGAACATAGTTACTGGAAATTCAGGAACCAGAGAAAGACATCCTGCTCTCAAACAATTCCATGGCATTTCCCTCTCTTCTCCCATCCCTATCATTTCACTAAATCCCCAACATATCAATCTCTTTCTATTTTTAAATAATCAATTTCCCATGTCTGGTTTCTGGGACAGTAAATAATAACTTGTTACCACTCTCTGTGAGAAGAAGTTCATCAAATCTTGTCACATTCCTGACCTGTTAATCCTAATTGTAAAGTCGTGTTTAAGGATTTACTCCTGGTGATTGACACAATGGGAGGACTCACTTACTGTTTACTCCTGACTGTATTAATGTTGTTACTGCCCAATGCCACCTGACACTAGATTGAGGAAGGATTAAGATAAACCTCCATCCAGGGCTCTAAGCGTTAGGCAGTGGAATACATTAGCACAAGTGGAGGTAGATTAACTTAATAGCATTTGCCTTTGTCCTCCACTTGTTGGTGAGTAGCTTGTACCCATCTCCTTGGGCTCTGGACGAAGGTAGAGTTTGCAGTCTGTAGTGACAATACATAGATCCTCTTGGGTAACTGTGTTAGCACACGAGCGGGTGCCTCTGTTCTGTAGCTGGAAAGAATTGAGGAGGGAAACCAGCATTAGACACCTCTGTGCAGCTGACATTTTGTTTTTCTCACATCTGATGTATCAGTGCCAAATATCTGAAGATTTTACACATCTATGATGAATGACACATACTTCACTGATCTCATCTACCTCCTTCCTGTGTCTCTCGCCCAAGTCACTTTCCATTTCCTTACTGAGAGGGTTGAGGGATCAAGTGAGGCAGGAACCATCACCTGGTTCCTGCGAGTGGCTTTCTACCTATTGCTAGTTATTAAACTATTTTTATTGAACACCAGGTGTTATTAAAGAAGAGGGTAAAACTGGTGGTTTTAAAATTGAGTTAAAAACACCAATTTTACCCCAATAAAAGAACAGAGCTGCTGAAAATGAAACGATGACTGTCTTGAGTCTCAGTAAGTGGGTAGCTAAGCAAGCAACTGACTGCAGCTGGTAACAAGAATCCAATGTAAATCATACACTGAAACAACTTCACACACTTATCAGAACCAGAACAAGCACAATGGAGAGGGCGAGAAATATAAGAAGTTGCACTTGGAGCTTAAACAGAGTGTGTTGTGCTTTCTAAATGGATTACAATACATTTGTTACATATAACCCTCATTGATTCTGTACATAACAGACTTGCCATCACTACCGCATTAGCCGCTCGCACTGGGACATGTTACCTGTGGCTAATACTTTGCTAGGTGTTGTTAGGATCAGTAAGAAATACTGGCCTGTCATACAGTGATCAGCGGCATCCATTGTTGTCTCTCAGTCTCCAGCACCACTTGATACACAAGGCATGAAACTGTGAACAATGTGGAAACTCAATAGGCCTGTGTGCTGACTTAGCACCAAATCATGACTATTTTATGTGCACATCTGAGAGGAACATTGAGAAACTTCAGTGAAACATCACTTCCTTTACCTTGTCTCTCCAAAATGATTGGCTACAAGTGGCTTAAACCTACTGATTTATTTACAGATACCATACGCTCTCTCCCTTTTTTCAAGTCCTGTCTGAAAACCTTCCTCTTCGACTGTGCTTATGTCCACCTACCCCAGGCCCGCAGGAACATAGAGCGCGGGGGGGGGGGCGGGTGGGGGGTAAACAAATTAGCAGCTTATCACATTAAAAATGATAAAGTACTTCCCAGGTAATTACTGTCAAGTAAGTTTTTTGTGTTGAAGAGGATATGGGGTAAGAAGTTTATAAGTTGAACTTCATGGATGGTGAAGTTAAAATAACAATGTTTTTTTAACAAAGAAATTAATTAATTAATTAACTAATTGTATATAATTAATTAAGGGGAAGCTAGATAAGTATTTGAGGGAGAAAGAGATAGAAGGGTCCTCTTGAAGGCTTAGTTGAGGAAAGGCAGAAGGAGGCTCATGTGGAGCATAAACACGGCATAGACCAATTGGGCCGAATGGCCTGTTTCTGTGCTGTAGATTTTAACTCGAGTCCAGTCTCGGCTGATAGAATGAGATCTTAGCCCCTCCAAACTCTCTCTTAGAAACGCATTTCTTTCACCGTTCTTAATTCTCCACTTTCTCTCCATCAGATCTGTTAATAACTTTGAGACATTCCCATGAACAAGAATATATTGGAAGGGAAAGTAAACAAGGGCAACTTTTGGTTGACATAAGAGTGGCTTCAATCTTCCACCATGGGTGTGTTGGAGGGTAGGGGAGAGGGATACTTATTGTACAAACTCTCAGCCTCAGTGTAAATCCATCACCTTATCTAAACATCCTCCTTCAATCAAACTTTCAGCCTTGGAAATAATTACTTACAAGCATAATAATATTAATATCTCATTCCCTCAGGTACACAAATCACAAACACATTTAAACTGATTCAATTTCCTTACATAGAAATGGGTTATTTTATGTCGGCAAAACACAACTGAGTTTCTCTGTTCCTTTTTGAGTCTCGGTTCCAAACTGCTTTTCCACACAAAAAAAGCCAACAACAAAAGCCATGAATTATTGATATTCACAGTGGTGTCACCTGAGGTTCAATGAGATGTCGATGGAGCTCAAAGACTTTGAAGCAATTTTGGCATCTGCTGTTGTCAAACACATTGGGTTGGTAACTTCCACAGGTCACAGCCATGGCTCCTGGTCCCCAAATCATCAGCACAACATCAATCTCAAGACCAATCATTTGCCAACAATAACACAAGCGACATGTGGACCTGTCACCAGGAAACACCTGCTCCTCACAGTCCCCGCCTCTCACCAGGGGAAGTGACAGAGAGAAGATTAAATCATTTAGCAAATAGATTCCTTTCTTTCTTCTCTGGGTAAAAAAAAACAATGTTACAGACAGTTTCCCAGCACCTTGTCTGAGAGCAGACACTGAAAACAGCTACACAATATTTCACAACAGAAACAAGTTTAAACATTGTGCTTTTTATTCATCAAATGACCAGGTTTTGCTTCCGGGAGAAACAGGAACAGCTTCAGGTTGTTGTTGATTTTCTTCCCAAATCAGACAAAACATGGCAGTAAATCAGTAATGCTGTTGTTGTTGTTGCTGCTCAAACGCTGCCCCGCCTCCCCCTCTGTCTGTCTGTGAACCGTCTGCAATGAGATGTTGCTCTTCATCAAATGTATTGAGTGTTTTTCAGTTTATGGAATGAGCAGAAGCCGAGGCTTTGCACATCGAGGCTCCCAGTGAGAGCTGAGGGTTTCTGTACAATCACATGATGTGTCTCAGCTCCGAACAACATCCATCACCCAAACAGCTTCTCTGTAAATCTGCTCCCAGGATCGTCTCCGCCTCTACCATCGTCAGGATGCGCACCCCCCATGTAGACACCTCAACAACAACAACCAGTATTTATACAGCGTCCTCCACACCGGGCGGCGTCTCAGAGCTTAACAGTTGCCCGAGGCAGAGCCGGGGGGGGGAGGGGAAGATGACCGTAGACGCAGTCGAAGAGGAAGGTCTTCAGGCGCGACCTGATGACGGGAAAGGAGGGGGCGAGGCTAAGGGGTTGAGGGAGGGAGTTCCACAGTTTGGGGACACAGTGGCTGAAGGCACGGTCGCCGATGGTGGAGCAGAGGATTCGAGGGACACAGAGGAGGCCGGACCCAATAGAACGGAGGCAGCTGGTACTGCTCTGGGGAGAGAGGTTAGAGAGATGGGGGGGCAAGGAATGGAGGGATTTAAACACTAGAGTGAGGATCTTGATGTGGATCCGCTCTGTGACAGGAGTCAGTGGGATTTGGCCAGGAATGGAGTAATCAGAGTTTACAGTGGGTGAGAATGCGGGCGGTGGAGTTTTAAATGAGTTGAATTTTGTGAATAGTGGAAGAGGGGAGACCAGCGAGGAAGGGGTTATAGTCCAGCCGGTAGTCCAACTCCCCCACCACCCGCACACCTCCCCCCCCCCACCTACTCACCTCTAACACAACAGTCAATTGAGCACAGCAATGTCCCACAAAGAGTCGTGGATGAGTGACCAAATTATTATTCATTTATTTTGAAGGAATTATTACCTGGGTTGGGAGAACGGGTTTATTAAGCGGGATCTCTGAAATGTTTTACACTGTGACAAACCTGAAGCTTTGTTCATAACCCACGACCAACAGAGAGAAGCAATACAACAACTACAACAACAACCACAACATTACATTAGTATGGTGCCAATACACATGGTGAAGGAATGTAATGGTGGGGGAAGTGAGTGAGAGAGGTATAACATGGTGGTGACAGGGTGGGAGAGGGGTGTAAGTTTGAGCTTGGTAGCTCAATCTTAAGGGGGGTGAACGTACAGAGAGATCTGGGTGTTCAAGTAAGCAAATCATTAAAGGTCGCGGGGCAGGTAGATAAGGCAGTAAAAAAGGCATTTGGTGTACTGAGCTTTATTAGTAGGGGCATAGAGTATAAGAGTAGGGGTTATGGTTAATCTATACAAAACACTGGTTAGGCCTCAGCTGGAGTACTGCGTCCGGTTCTGGGTACCTTACCTCAGGAAGGACATTAAGGCACTGGAAAGGGTGCAGAGGAGATTCACGAGAATGATACCAGGAATGGGGAACCATAGCTATGAGGACAGGCTGGAGAAGTTAAGACTTTTACCATTAGAACAGAGAAGGTTACGCAGGGACCTGATAGAGGTCTTCAAGATCATGAAAGGTTTCGACAGGCGAGATAAGGAAAAGCTGTTTCCCCTGGTAGGTGTCTGTGACACGTGGTCACAGTCTTAAGATATCTACCAAAAGAAGCAGAGGGGAGGTTAGAAGAAATTTTTTCACTCAGTGAGTTGTTGGAATTTGAAATGATCTGCCTGAAAGGGCAGTGACGTCCGATTCGATAACAGTTTTTAAGAGAGAACTGGACAGGTATCTGGGGAAGACGGGTTTGCAGGGTTATGGGGAGAAACCTGGTGATTGGGGTTAGTGAAAGTGACTTCCTCTGTCAAAGAGCCGTCACAGACTCGATGGGCCGAATGGCCTCCTTGTGTGCCGTAACATTTTATGAATCTAATGGTGGGGACAGTGTGGGGGAGGGGTGTAATGGTGGGGCCAGTATGAGGGAGGGATGTAATGGTGGGGGCGGTGTGGGGGAGGGGGCCAGGCAGGAGATGAGCCTCAGGTCGGTGACAATCGGCCTCAGAACAAAACTGAAAATTCAGACTCAAATTCAAAACAAAAAAAATGAAGCTGGAAGTTCAGCTCATTTCACACTAAACAACCTCACAAGCTGCCGGGAGATATTCCTGCTGATCTGTAAATCGCTTTATCTCTCAACAGATCCACATGTGAGTCATCAGTGCAATCGCCCCCACCTGAATGTGTTGCTCACTGTCCTGTTCACTAGTTGAACCCAGATCTCATTTTAAGAGCGTTCATTTTCTCGTTTAGATTAATAATTACTAATAATAAACACTAAACGTAAAAAGTTGATATTTGTTTTACAATATATAAAAGAGAGATTGTTATTTTGGGGTGTTATTTCGCTGTGTAAACCTGCTCACACACTGTCTACTCACTTTCTCCTCGAGAACGCCAAACCCTCTGACAATGTAAACATTTTCAAAAGTACCTGCTGCTGTGGGAAAGGAAATAAAGAAAATCATAGTAAACACGTGGAGTCCCACAGAGAGTTTTACAGCTAAAGGAAAACAATAAACGTCAATCAGAATATCTTACTTAAGAACATTCGTGTCTCCTTCTCCCCACCCCACCCCCACCAAACAAGACAACTCCAGAAATCCCCCTCCGCCTTTGGTCCACATGTCAGCAATAGTCTGACAGGAGCCGGTCACTCACGAATGCCATGACCTGGTGTTGTCAACAGCAAAACTACAAAAACAGCTGCTCAATGTTCAGCAAAACCATCTGATGAGCTGCACCTTCTCCAAAGGCAGCAACACCACATGTGTCTCTGCTAGTGACATTTCTCCCCTCCTGGCCGGCCAGTCCTTCTCCTTCTCTGGGACTTGCTTGTCTTGCCCTTCACCACCTTCTTGTTCTCATCGGTCACATTTTTCACCTTCTTTCCCTTAGTTTTTTTCACACTGGTCGAATGTAGAGCAGACGTCAGCGAGGAGATTCTGGAGGGAAAGAAAAACAGAGACTGAACATCGGTTACTGAAATGGGCATCAAATCATTTCATCCAAATAACAGCCTAAAGCAACTAATTTCAGTTTCCCAGTTACCACAAACATCAGTGACTCTCGGTTACTCCTCTAAACCTCTCAATGCAGTTATTGCCCCTCATTTATTATTATTATTAGTATTATTAGATTTACTTTTTGGATATGATGGGCTCAGACAGTTTTCTGGGCAGAGGATTCTCCTTTTCTGTGGATGGTTCCTCTCCCTCTTCCACGTTACTCTGTGGCGGCGGCTGTTTCCGAGCCGCTTCTGGCTGTAAAAATAAGCAGAACATCACATTTGATGCCAGATAATCCTGGTTTGTGATAAATTGTTGGGAGAATGAGGTGATTTGTTCCAGCTTCAGCAGGGGGTGCTCATTCCAAGAGACGCTCATCTCCTCAGTGCTGACAAGTGTCCGTGAGGCAAGTGCCAAAGGTTTATGCCCATCAGGTTTAACCCCCTCCTGCAACTATGTGACAGGAATTGTTTAGTTGCAGTTTGGCTCCTTGTGGGAGGAGGTCAGCAGGTTCTCCTTGCGGCTGAACTGGCTCCAAGGTGACATGTTTGACAACAGAATGTCAGAATCGAGCCAGTCCGCTGACGGTCTCCAGTCCAGTTCCTGAGCCAGATGGGTCCGCAGTATTCCAGGGCACTCACTGCTGATGACAGCACAGTGAGGCCTGGATCATCAGCAGGACCTGGAAGGGCCGAACAGCCACTTGGGCAGGGAGTATTAAGGCACAGGTTGGAGAGAGCCAAGGCTTGGGAATCCCAGAGTGTGCGTTGGGATAAACCTACATAGCCTGTTGCGAGCTTTCCTCCTGCTTGTCCAGCTAGGACCACCCTACCATATCCGGTTCCATCAGTAATCACCTACAGTAGGTCATCAGTAAATTCTGACACAATTGTTCCTCTATCCTCTCAATGTCCCCTTTTTCAGATATGAGCCTGTCAGAACCTGCAGCCCCAGTGTTTGCTGATGATGATGGAAACTCGATCCTCACCTGCTCGGAGCCCAGGCCGAGCCGGCCTCCCGTCAAGTCAATGTCACTGATGGTCGTCACAGTGACGGTGTGGTTGGGATGGTCGTACTGAACGGATTCCAGTTGGGACGTCACCAGTTGGTCCAACTCCTCAGCTTCCTCTGTAAGAACAGCAACAACTTGTATTTATATAGCGGCCTTCGCGTGGGGTAGCATCCCGGGCCGAAAGGAAAATCTCCCTGAACTCTCACTAATCACAACAACAAATGACATTTGTAAAGCGCCTTTCACTTCAGATGGAATCACACACACAAGATGGTTCTGTGCCCTTGTGCTAAATGAAGCAAAAGCTTTGATGTTGTCTTACAATAAAGAATTGCATTTCAGATAATAACAGGGCGGGGCTTGGGAACGTTTCATTGCAGAAAGGGAGGAGAGGGGAAGGGAGTACAACATATCTCAGCCTTAAAACTGCTGAACAGCATATGTGATGTTCATTTAAACAGAGAACGTGATTCCAATTGAGCTGCTGGTCACAGATTACCTAAAGCCTCCTTCCTTTCTTGGAACATCTTCACATACTCTTTGTGTCTCTGAAATTCAAAGACAAAACAGTTAGTTGGCAAGTATCAAAAGCGCTTGTGAATATATTTGAAAACATACAATCGTGTTGATTCCAAGTAGTTTTGACATCAACCAATGTCTCTCAATTCATGAGGTGAATCAAATGTGTAATTACTGTGTTAGTATTGAAAGATAAAAAAATAATCTTTATCCTCTTCTGAAGGTGATGAGCCACTTGTGAATGAGATTAGACAAGAGAGAAGCATCGCAGACGGGCCTGACTTTCCACCCCAGCTTCTGCCCGGAGCTAACATTATTGTTTCCTTGTCTAAGATCAGCACAAAACAGTTGTATAAATGCAGTTTGTTGTTGTTTAGTTGTGATAAAATCTATCCCTCCGTCTCACCCCATCTCTCGCCTCCTTCAAGTCCCGTCAAAAGACCTTCCTCTTCGACCTGCCTTTGGCCACCCGCCCACCCTCCACCTCTCCTGACCTAAACTCCCAGCTCGTGTTCAAAACCCCCGACTGTCGCCCGTGAATGGCACTCTACGAGTGTAATATGTTGTTGTTGTTGATAATCTTCTCTGCCCCAAAGGCAGTGTTTAGCTGAGTTTCTCACCTCTACTTTCACTCGTCTCTGCTCCTCCTTCAGTTTCTGTTTGATTTCATCTGTGGCTTTTTTTCTCCTCTCGACTTTACGTTTATGAAAACCCGTCAGAAACTCCCTGTAGAAGAGAACATCACGGAGGTCAAGGTCAGGGTCAGAGTTAGGGTCAGAGTTAGGGTCAGGGTCAGAGTTAGGGTCAGAGTTAGGGTCAGAGTTAGGGTCAGAGTTAGGGTCAGGGTCAGAGTTAGGGTCAGAGTTAGGGTCAGAGTTAGGGTCAGGGTCAGAGTTAGGGTCAGAGTTAGGGTCAGGGTTCGGGTCAGACAGTGACTCGCGCTTTCGTTTTAGTGTCAGAAAATTGTGGGTTCAAACCCCAAGTCGGGGACTTTGAGCTCATCGGGGCTGAGGGTCGGGGCCGGCGGGGGTACAGCTGTGGGGAGTGGGGGCCCGGCGGGCGGTGTGGGGGCCCGGCGGGCGGTGTGGGGGCCCGGCGTGGGGTGTGGGGGCCCGGCGGGCGGAGTGGGGGCCCTGACCTCCTGCTCTCTTCACTGAAGCTGACGCTCCCGGGTCTCGGGGCGGCTTTGTGCTGCCGTTTTCCCATCTTCAGCCGCCTGTCCCCACTTCCGGTCCGGGTCGGTCCCACCGCTCAAATCATCCGGGACTCCCCCAACCCCGGACTTGGGTTCCGCGTATAATACGTTCCCCCCCAGGACACGTGACCGCCATTGATACGAACCCCGGTGTTTGGCCCCAGTGACTGGTCACATCGTCACATCGTCTCAAACACTTCACAGGTTACACTGTCAACTCAACTGACCGTATATTTGTGGCCAAAACGCTCTAAGACGCCGTCCGGCATATGGAGGGCACTATATAAATCCAAGTTGTTGTTGTTGAAACGCGGCAGCGAATTGCGCCGCAGTGAGTGTCCCCACAAACAGTGGGGATTGAAAATGACCGATTTATTGTCGTATTTTTTATAATCTGTCACAATCTCGTATGAGATTCTGCATTGTGGGAATGTTCTACTTAAACAAGAAGCAGAACAGACATCAGAGGGTTAACAACTGACGTCAGGGTTTGTACTGTGGAGTGGTTAAAGCTAAACACATCTTTTTTCTCAACAACAACAACATCGACGACGACTTGGATTTATAAGCCCCCTCCACGCCGGACGGCGTCTCACAGCGCTTTACAGGAACAGATCCGGCGCCGAGCCCAGGGGGGGAGGGGGGGGACCAAAGGCGCGGTCGAAAAGAAAGGTCTTCAGCAGAGACCTGAAAACAGGAAGAGAGAGGGCGGGGGATAGGGAGGAGAGTGGTGCAGAAAGGAATTTGGGTTGTACAGGAAAGATGGTTGTGGAGAGTGGTGTGAGTGGAGAGTTGGGGAGGGTATGTATGAGGGAAGGGTTTGCCTTAAGGAGGCGGTTTGAGCGGAGGGAATGAGTGATGGGACACGTGGGTTTGCTGCTCTGGGACAGCCAGTGCCGGGAGCCACGATGGGCCCAGAACATTGCAAACCATCTGCAAAAACAAAGACCTGAATCGACAGGATTTTATACCCAAATAAACCAGTAGCAAACCAACTGCATTTAATGTGAAAATGAAATCAGCCAGAATATGTTATACAACTTGTATTTTATATAACTTATATTTTTTGAGCATCTTTCACACAGAGTGTCTTGGAGCGAGATAAAAGGCAGATTTGGTCTTGGTGTTTGATTGAAGTAATGTAACACTGAGTGACAGGTTTCTGTCTGCGATGTCCCCGAGTCCTGACTTACAGGACAAATCTTACCTGTCATGTTTCAGAGGTGGATGTTGGACCAGTAGATGTGAGAGATTGGGTGACGAGGGAATAATGCAACTCTCCCTCATGTCAAATAAATGTGTAGAGTTTACCATAGACTGTACAGGGTCTGCGCATGGAGTAGATTTTAATAAGCCATATGGCCTCTTATTATATTTTCTAAATGACACTCCAACCACCTGATCATGGACCACAACACAAGGTGAAGTGGGAGGGCGGCATGTGGTGTAATGGAGGGAAGGGGGAAAGTGGGACAAGTGATTAAACTTTTTAAAAATCACAGATTTGTGCAATCCAAATCCACAATGTTCTTAATGGTCTCTTACATTCATTCACCTGTGCTAATCTGTCAAATCTTTAAGAAGGAAAATACACTATTGTTAATGTTTTAAAAATGGAAAAACTTTACAATAGTTTAATAATAATAATAATCCTTGCATTTGATATAGCGCATTTCACATCTTCTAGATGGCTAGAATTTAGATCCCATGGAGACAGCAGGTTGCTTTCAAGTAGACTTTATTATAATCAACTATTTTAGAAAATCTTTATGTTCAAACATTCCTGTCTTGGCTCTCTTCTCTTCTACAAGCCTTTCTGCTTCAGGAAGTTATCCATCTCATGCACCTTCTTGTTGAGAATTCCTCCATGGATCCCCTTCTTGCCCATCACAAATACCATAGTCTTGATGGTTTTGCCGATGCAGATGCTCTTTCCTTGACCTCCCTTCATCCTCACGTCCATCACTCCATCGTTGTTGATCATCAGATTGTCCCTGATGACGGAGCACTTCTTACCTCCGATGGTAATGCCAGTTTGTAAGAAAGCCTTGCGATCCTGTCCTGTTAACATGCTGACCTCCTGAGGGGAGATGGCAGCCAGCACTCCCCCTGGCTTGGAAGCCCAGACGGACTTGTTATCAGCATGTCCCACAATGGCAGCATCCTCCACGTTCTTGTCCTTCAGTATAGTGTTGATGTAATTCTTCCAGTCGGCCATCTTTCGCCTCGTCTAATCCTGATCTCAGATACGTTACTGAATGTCGTCTCAGCGACTGGACCTCCTCGATGTGAGGACCGTTTGCCAGTCGCTGCCTAGAGAAACTGCCCTTCATTGTGACGTCAGCTAATGAGCAATCTGACCCCTCAATGAGGTCATAAAACAGTGACAACATTGCTTTATGACGTCCGACTGCACTGGGCAGCCATTGCCCCCAACATTAGGCCCATAGTCTCCAAATGACTAAATCACCTCCTTTTGATTAGCCAGACTTGACAACAACTTGCATTTATAAAACACCCTTCACATGGGGAATGTCTCAGAGTGCTTCACCTTCACAAATCTTTCCCCATTTCCCTTCATGTTTATCAAATTCCCTGTTTCAGTGAGTTCATTGATTCACTCTCAATAGCCATTGGTGATAATGAATCCAAACCCAAACTCAATGGGTGAAGATGCCTGTAAGAAGGGGATAGAAAGGGGATTAAGAGGGCAGTGGAGCCTCATGCGAGGTGTATGGAATAGTGGGTCACAATGACCAGTTTCTATGCTGTAACAACACTAACTTGCACTTATATAGCACCCTCCACACAGGGCAGCATCTCAGAGCGCTTAACAGTGGCGGAGCCTGACTCTGAACCGGGGAGAGGGGGGAGGTGGCCGTAAGCACAGTCAAAGAAGTTTTCAGGCAGGACTTGAAAGAGGGAGCAAGGCGGAGGGATTGAGGGAGAATGCTCCAGCGTTTGGGGGCATAGTGGCTGAAAGCGCAACCTCCAATGGTGGGGCGGAGGGTGCGAGGGACAAGCAGGAGCCGGTACCAGTCGAGCGGAGGGGTTGGATTTGGGGAGCGAGGAGGTCAAAGGTACCAGGGAGTGAATGGATTTGAACACGTTTGTATAACATAAATTGTAACATTTATGTAATTCTATGAGTGAAGAAATTTCAAACTTCCTGGAAAACAAATCTCCAGCTAAAATTAGTTATTTACTTCATGGATATTTGGGATATTGCTATGTGCAAATTGGCTGTTGGTTTTGTCTACAACAACAACAAGATTACATTTGTATAGCACCTTTCACGTCGGGAGGACGTCCCAAGGCATCTAAATACACACTTTACCCAAAACACTTTGGGAAATTTTGACAATATCAAAAGCAAGAATTATTATGATGTATTGGCTTTCAGGACCAAACAGTTTCTCACGTCATTTAAGAAATACAAAGGAATTGCCATATTCAATGAAACCCCGGATGAGTTGCTATGGTTACAATAATTACTGCAATACGACACTTTAGTGAGGCAACAGAACAGGTTGTGAGATCAGGATTTAGCTGTTAAATGGCTCCTTTCATTACATTGAGAAAGTCGGAATATTCTCGGAGAGTCCAAGCTAAGATGGAAGGGTAACATGAAAACAAACCTTGAAAGGTAAGACGGATTTATTGCTTCATCACATAAGTACTTCTTCTATTCCATATTCCAAGCCTAGTTTTGGGTTCAAAAACATCTCAAATCGTTCTATACATTCTTATATTCGAATAAATAAAAACACCAATCAGGATTGGAAAAATCTTTTTTTTACACGCCCAAATTAAAATAGCAGATACTCAAAACCCCAAATATTTACATTTAATAAAACAGACAGTGAAAGAAAGCATTGTTTAGGTCAAACATTTGACAGAACAGAGACAGCCCAGCACCCCATTCACTTTCTAAACCATCGTCACTAATCTCTCAAGGGAGAAGCACAAATTATACCTGGTAACAGACCAGGAAAAGAGGCATCTGTACAATCTGTCCAGCTCCAACAACTGTTCATTTCTGGTCCTAATTACTTCTGAAAGTAATATTGCTTTGCTTCCAACATCATCATCAATGGGACACTAAATACATCTCCCAAAGCGCCTTTCTTTAAAATTGAACTTATTTTGTGGTCCAAAGCACAAAAGTTCAATTGCAGATAGACAAGTGAGAGGACTATTACAATATTTCTCCCCAAATATATACAAGTCATGTATACATAATCTAAACACTGCCTGTTCTAGTCTTTTGCTTGGTAACTTCCCAAAACTTAAACATTATTTCCAAGCTGAATTAAGTCAACAAAACACAACAATAATTTGCTTAACTTTTCAAATCAGTGGAAAATATGATGCAGGTTGATTTGACTCATTGCAGATAAGTATAAGCATCAAGACAATACGTCTTCGAAGAACCAACTAAGGCAACATCATGATGACCCCTTTCAATGTATAGCACATTTCAGGGGACACTAGTCTAGATGGACTTGTGCTCCATTACTATCACGAGAAATGCGGCAAAACAGTAGTTTACCCGGTGAGGGAGTCTTACTCCAGTACAATACCAGGAACGGCCTCCTACAAAGTTCCAAATGACTTGGCCATTCAGCTCAGGAAACCTCGCCTATAATAGGGGGAAATTTCATTCTGTAACAATGTTTGAACAGAAAGTAATCGTTTCCACTCTCCAGGCTTTATTTATAAACTGAAGGACTAGACATCACCCTGGACCAACTCAGTGTCCTCCTTAATTAATAACAGTAACAGTGCCGCAAGCATCAACAAAACAGCAATAACAAAAATATCACATCAGCAGAGAGTGATCGGACATTACCAGCTGTGAGCCAGTCAGTCTCTCCTGGTATTTTCAGTGTGAAATGAGAGAAGCTGAGCAGAAGGCAATGACATGGGCCACAGGCACCAGGTCAAAGGCAATAGACACAGCTGTAGCCCACCCTCCTCCTCCCGGGGTCTGCGTTGCTCAGCTCGCTGCGATGGTGGTCCCGGTTCCCAGTTTCATGATCACTTGGTGACAATCGTTGACTGAGCGTTTGTCTCCCAGCTTCTCTAGTGTGCGAGCTGCCTCTGCCAGCATCACTGCTCTCTGACCAGGGGAGGACAGGAAGGAGAGGGGAAGGTGGCGACAAGCCAACAGAATGGCTGTTGCTCTCTCCCGCTGGCCTGGGAGAGCATCACATTCACCTGTGAAAATAAACAACATTTTGTGGCTTTACTGCTTCACGGGACAGAGAGAGCTTCAATCTACCCTTGTTACAAATGTAAATAATAAATATTCTTGCTCCATCACAAATTCGAGCTGTCTTGAAGCGCTTGGCATACAGGGATGGTAATTGTTTTAACACCTATCACTAACTGTGCTCAAGAGTCTTCAAACCAGTCAGAGGTCCACGTATGCCACACATACATGAAAATATCCATAATGGACCATGCTCTCTCTCCCCTGGAGGGACATATCCTGCTTATCCAATTCCGGAGGGTACGAGGCATAGGTTGGCTGGAACCAAGGCTATTCGATCCCAGAGGGTGTGCTTCGGCCTTGCCTTCCATTCCTCTCTGACCGTGCCTTTGGCCACCCTCCCTCCTACCCCCACTACTCTCCGCCACTCTTGATTTGAACCCCCAGCTTGGGTGCAAACCCTTGATGTCCAGCTCTTGGGATATTCTCCCATCGTGAAAGGTGCTGTTTAAATGCAATTTGTTGTTGTTGTTACGGCTGCCGTTTAACCAGCTCTTCCCGTAAACGCTACTCGGCCAGGTTGTCTGGATAGGACTGTTAGGGTTTGGCTTGAGGGGGACTGGGACAAACTAAGATGCTCACCTTGCTGGCTGGGATGAGCCGTGCGTCTCCTCAGACTGTGCTCCAGCAGCTGGTGGGTTCGAGTTGGACTCGCTCCGGCCATTAAGCGCACAGTCGCTTCATGTAAAAACATCTGCAAGAGAGTGAGGAAAAATGATCGTCCATTTCCTGTAGTGAAAAAGGCGTCTAGCTCAAACCCACTCTCCTGCTCTTTGCCCAATATTTACTTTTAACATAAGGTGCTATCTAAACGCAGATTCTTACTATTAACCTTTCAGTCTCTACAATGATCCACGGCAGGAAGCAGAAAGTCACAGAGCATCGTTCAGTATGTTTGTTGTTTCATTAAAATGTTATTATTGACACCAGTATTCAAGAGGGCAATAATGTAAACAAAAGCACTTTGATACCGTAACAGCTATAATAGATATTAACGGTGGGTAATTGCCAAAGACTAACACAATGTTTGATTTCGTTACGATGTTTGATTACCTTACGATTTGCTGGTTTGAAGGTCTGGCCCAGTTTGCGGAGGCTGCTAAGGTCTTGCTGAAATCCCTTTAGTTCCAGACTGGATGCCTGATTGGCCTCGCCCAGGGCCTGGCTGGCCTCCCCCAGGGCCTGGCTGCCGTTGGCTGGTTTCTGCCACAAAGTGGTACGAATCGAGAGCAAAATGTCACAGAGCAGCAACTGCACAGCCTGTCAAAGAGAGAAGTGTGAAGAGGTTTGCATAATGTCTAGTACCAGAGTCAGGCTCGGTTTCTTGCAACACAAAGAACACGGTTTATTTTCTCACAGATAATGTTTTGCATAATGTACACCAACAGTCAAAATAAAGATAAATGGACACAAATGTGGCAAAAATACTGTTGTCACAAAATAAATGATCCAAAGATTTGCACATTGGTTCAGGAGCAAATCTGATTTTCAATTCTCTTTGAGGAAGAAGTGATGAGGATTGGGATTGAAACAATAGTTTGTCAGGACATCCACTTCACTTACCTATCTGCCTTTCCACAGTTATTGTCTTCAGGATCACATGAGGGTGACACTGCAGTGGGACCACATTGAGGTGACAAGTGTCCTGGGGACTACATTGAGGGTGACACTGTCCTGGGGACTACATAGGGGATGACACAGACACTGCCCTGGGGACCACATTGGGGGTGACGCTGCAGAGACACTACTATAAGTTTTGAGATGTCGATCTCTGTATTGCTGACCTCTGTATTGCACTGCAGACACATTGCACAACATGGCGGCACATGCAATGCAACTACAATGCACCACAGCGACCACCATCAACATTCATTGAGAAAAACACGAATACACGTGGCCATCAGATTGAGGCACAAACTCTCGGGGAGAAGCCGAATTTCCTTATCTTTACCCTTCGCAGAGTGTGAGGCTGTTTGTACATCTGATGCTTTCCAGACCCCATAACCAGCATAACTAGTAATGTCTGACCATAACCAGCAAAGGGCTGGGATAATGACACCCGTCTTACCTTGTGAAGGTTTACATCAAGTTGTGGGCTGGAGACAGTCAAGCTGTTCCACAGGTAACCACTGGCTTTCTCACAATGTAAGAATGTGGCTTGATGGGCGTCTGATTTCCCCAACATGGTGGCCTGCATCGCCTTATAGACATGAAGCACAGCCTTTGGTAATGGGCTCCTGTACAGCAAGGAATAGAGGACAATTACAACACAAAAGGCTTCTCGATCTCACCAAGAGGTTGACATCACGTATAATATTGATAATTAATAATAATCTCAGTTGCATTTCTCACCGGGTGAATAAATGAAAAGATGCGACTGAACAAATAGCAACAAAATAAAATGAGTGGAGAACAGATTGAGATGTTCCTATCCATGTACCTCGTTTACAGCCAGTGATTGAGGTGTAGGGATGGCAATGGGAGCCAGGTGTAGGGATGGCAATGGGAGCCAGGTGTAGGGATGGCAATGGGAGCCAGGTGGGAGGTGATGTGTCTCACTTACTCTGACATCTGTAGGGATTTGGGGATCCGCTCAACTTCAGCAAACAATCCTTTTGCTGTGGAATCTTCTCCCTGCAACCAGTGTACAGCGAAGCTGACAAGCGATGACCACCACTTGCTCACGGGGTCAGGAACTGACAATAAAAACATTCCATTTACGAGCATCAAGAGAATTGTTTTTAATTATTATAAATTAATTGTGTAACGTTTTCATCAAGGCCCAATTAGGCAACCATTTGTAATGAGAAAACCAGACCCACGCACAGGCAGCCACATCTCGATATACTTTGGGAGGAAGCTTTCTCACCGTGAGGACGTTAAAAGGAGTTTCCACGTGGATTCCATATCGGGGATTCCCATTAGAAATTAACATGTTAGAAATCATTAGATAGTTGTTGCAAAGCGGGTTCTAATGGGAGCAAAAGAGCTCACACAGATCTCAACGTTACCAGACCCGCAGCAAACGGTCATTAGTCAATTTGTTATAACTGCACACTAGAGAGAACCATGATGGGAGGAGCTGATTTACATTGACATCAAAATAGTATGTTGCTTTTAAATCAACTAACATAAAACCAGGAACGTCACAAAATGACAAGTATGAAACTTGAAACAAATATTAAAAACACGACATTCACAAGAACCTGTTGTTAAGTGACTAAAGCAACAAAGTCAATATTTGTTTCTGAACGTTTAACTACAAAACCTACAAACTTACTTCTTACTATTATAATCGTTAAACATATATTTCTATCTCTAAGGTTATTCTGTGTCTTTAGGCTACGCTCTCACCTGTGGTTATTCTCAGGCTGGATTCAATGGCAAACGCTTGGGTTGAGCTCCTGGCTGTGTCAGCACAACTATTGAGCAATTGCAAGTATTCAAAGGCACTGGAGAAGTCTCTGTAGCAGCAGAGAAACAAGCTGGTTACTGTAAAGCTAATTGACCCGAGCCAGTCTGACATGTTTATGATACGAAGAATAAGAGGAACGCAGCAGTGAGTTACATCAGACCAATAATACATACCCAGCTCCCTCAGTCTCTGGCCGGACCAGAGAGTAAACAGCTTTTTCCAGCAGATTTTCACAGAATGCCTGGTTCACCTGAGCAACTGGATCAACTGTAGCAGGAAAAGAAAATTGTCATCACAATTTTACAATTAATCATTTCAAGTGAAAGGAGATAACAGTGCCTGGAGCGAACACAAGACTATGTGACACAGAATCCTAGATTAACCTCGGGTAATAAAGCTTCTTATTACGTCCATACCTGGGTTCCTCGGGGAGCTATACAGACTCTCGCTCCGAGTGGATTTAACAGACCAATCATAGTTCACAAAGAACTGGCGGCCCAGACGATGGAACAGCCAGTGAAACGTGTCCTGTTCATAAGCACCAGGTGACAGACTCACGCGCTGGGCTCCACACAGGAAATAATGCTAAAAATGGGAAAATAATTCATTCAATTTGTCGGTAAAATGCAAGTGCCTTGATTCATGTTTTGATAAAACCTACAAAATCTGCATTTGGGGATTTTCCAGGAATGTAATAATTCAGATTTTATAGATGAGGCGGGTGAAAGCATTGCACTCTTTAAAGACAGAAGTAATGGTTGAGAAGTAAAATGGGAAGGATATAAAAAGCACCAATTTAGCAGTTGAACTTTTCTTTGATTCATTGTCTTTCATTAAAAAAATGTGATTTTCCATTAAATGCAGGTATTGTATTTTGCCCCAGGCCTCTGTGAGCCTTACCCTAAAGACAACCCAATGTACAGCAGCATGTTATCACCGCTTAGTGAGACAATCTACTTACTGCCAAGAAGCACAGTTTGTTACTGAAGCTGGTTTTCAGGCAAATGGCAGCCGTCACGTAGATTTCAGCCATAAGACTTGGCGGGATTTTGTCTGCCGCCCCCTCTGCCAGATTGACAGCACATAGAGCCAGGTTGATGGCCTGCACAGGACTGCCCACCAGTTTACCTGTGTTTAAGGGAAGCAGGAAAGACAAAGCTTTCTTGTTAACTTTTACCACCTGATACTTCTGTTTGACATTGCAACTGTTAGACATGAGAAGAGATGAACAATGTCAATGTCAGGGAAACCCATGGGGCAGGTTAGGGACCAGCTGTTTGCTGGTGTCAGCTGCAGCCACATGGCCTGTGGCCTTCTCAGGGTTAGTTGGACTTCCAGGTTCTGGTCCCTCTTTTACCTGTTTACGTGTGGCCGACAAACACACCCCAACACCAGACAGGGAGACAAGCACACCCCAACACCAGGCTGGCCACCAGAGACTTATACCAATGGGAGTCGAGTACAATCCAACCCAATCGCAAATAAGATACAACAACCTCCAATGGGTACAAGCCAACACCACAAGGCAACCTTCACAGATTGTTACACAGAAATGTGTGGTTGTTTTCCCTCCCCTGCCCTCCCCCCACACACACTTGTGCGCACACACACACCTGATCACTTCCCATTCTCCTGTCTTTCATCCTGGATGCTGACGATGGGAACCTACCTGTGAGCTGCAGTTGGTGCAGTTTGTGATAAACCAGGGCAGCATCTCGGGCACTCAGTTTAGCTTCTTCCTGGATGTGAAGCCCTCGCCTGAGGCCGCGTGTCACCCTCAGCAGCCACCGCGTCACCACCAGCTTGTGGAGGCTGTGTCGGAGGATGTTCCAGCATAAGCTGCAGCCGAGGTCCAGCCGCGAAGCCGGTAATGCCCGGCCCAACGCCGACAGGCAGGTCTGCAAGTTCCCAGCCGCAGCAGCAAAGTCACCCTGAGATAAAACACATTGTTGGCTCAAGACGTTTATTTTGCATGAAAACATTTTACAGTTACTATGTAAATACTGCCTATTACAATATAATTTACTGCCACATACCAATCACCAATCAGACACCAACATAACACAATCCAAGCAAACGGAGTTCAGTTCCTACCCTGCCAAGGTCCAGGTCCGCTTGCTTGCGATGTCTCCAGAACGTGATGGACGATTGGGAATGGAGACGTGTAACAGGCTCCCCGTAAACAAAGAGTTTAACAAACACACTCAGAACAATGACGCCATTCACAAGCCAGAGGATTAACGTGGGCAGCATCCAATCTAACCAACTTCTGGAGACCTCTAAACAGGGAAGGTAAACAAAAGGAAACTTTAGTAAATAACAATAACAAATTACAATTGTATGGCACCTTTCACGTCAGGAAGACATCCTAAAGCTCTGAAAACAATCTGAAAAAAAGGTCTATTTTTATATTAATAAGTAGAGATTTGAAGGAGTACACGTGTATAAACCTAACGGCACATTCCACACACACAGATGATTAAACACTGACCAGACTGAAGTCCCAGCATGTTTCTCCCGTGATGTCCAGCACCTTCAGCCAGGTCCGAGTGGCCTCCCCGCTGAAGCAGTGATGTGAGTGGGTTGAAGGAAAGGCAAAGGAAGGTCAGGGTGCAGAGCAGAATACGAGAGCGATCGAGCATCGCCAGGGCAGGGGGGGACAGGGGCTCCTCCTTTACCTGAGGAGAACAGAGAAGCTGTAATGAAATACAACAACTTGCATTTATATAGTGCCCTCCACGTGGAGTAGCGTCCTGGAGCGCTTACTAAATGTGAAATACACACACTGTACGACAGTCAGGTGAACACAGAGAAACAGGATCAGGGTCAGCCACTAACATAACTTGCTGACACGCACTGTCCAGTGGGTGAGGCGGAGGGACTGTGGGATGGAGTTCAAGAGAGTGGGGGGAGAGTGGCTTAAGGCCTGCCCGGCAATGGTGGGGCGAGCAAGGTGGGGACGTGATTACCGTGGTGTCCTCGAGGAGGGGGCTGCCCGGCTCGGAGTCAATGGAACAAGGTGAGAAGGTGCCCAGAGACCCAGAGTCGGAGGGTGGTGGTGTGCAGAAAAAATCTTCCTTCACATCAACGTCAAAGTCCATCAGACAGGAAATCTCCATCTCCTTGGGAACCTCTGTAAATGCAGAGACAGGAAAAGATAAATCAACAACAACTGAAATCAAGGCCTAAACTTAAACATCTATAAAGTGGAAAACATAATATCGGAGCATAATCAATTCTCAACAAGATTCAACAGGACTGAGAATTGTCAGTAGTTAATAGTTCCTGAAGGGAAATGCCACCAGACACCATCACTAACAGAGAAATTGTGGGGAATGAACATACTACACAAATGAATATGTTTGACTCACTGCTTCTCTGTGTGGCCACCTTCAGTGCCATGTTCTCCTGACGCAGCTTGTGATTGGCCTGTTGAAGATATTTAATATAATCGATGGCCTTCCTCAGGACTCCAGATTTGTTCATCTGTAAATACAGCCAAGCCCAAGTAGTGAGTGCCTTTCTGGATTTAAATCATAGATTTCAACCAAATACATTTAGTGAAGCCGAAACAAACAGCACAGGAGTTCTGCAACAATAGGCATTCAAACTTCTCCTAAAGATTTCCCTTCAGCCCTGGGAAGTTTATGTTTCACAGAAATAGCAGAGCACTGCATGGGAACAGTTTGTGTATAAGCACCAGCTCAGTTGGTAATGTCAGATTGTTGTGGGTTCGAGCCCCACACCTGGCCTGATACCCCACGGCAGTATTGGGGAACGCTGCAATGTCAGAGGTGCCAACCTTTGGCTGAGAATACAAGCCCCGCCCCTCCTGCTGTTATCAATTGGACATTAAAAGATTTTGTGACACGATCTACATAGGATAAAAGAGCTTCTCCCATCTCCTGGTCAACAATTAACTGCTCACTCAAATCACAGCTATTGGTTGAACGCTGCTGTACACAAAAAAGTAATTGCATTAAAAAAAGCGTTAACAGGCGCCAAGCAATTACTGTAACAATGTACCTTGTTTCTACATAAACTCCTTCAGTAAGTGACTTACCTTAGATTCAGACCCCATCACCAGATCCTTCAGCTCAATGATTTTATCATTGATGGATGATCTGTAACGTTTCTCAATGATGTTGTGTGTAGTTCGTTTCTCACCCTCCTTCAGGCCTTCCACTGGGAACTTCCCATTCCCAACGAGCTGCTTGATTGGAAGTTTGTCTGGGCCAACCATCATGGGCAGAGTCGTCAGAATGGTTCCATTACTGCTAACCAGCGTCTGTGGTTAATAAAGTCAAAATCAGATATCTACCAAACACTGAGTACATTGTCTCAGTTCTCCTCTGTAAACCACACCAACGAATTACATTTGTACAACGCCTTTCACGTCAGGAGGACGTCCTAAGGCACTGGACAGTCAGGGATTCGCACCTACACAAGCACCAGTTATTGCAGCCTTGGCCCATGAACTTCTCCAGCTACTCCTCAGAAGTGCTCTCAAGAAAGCAATCTCTGCTTGACTGTGATTAACTGAACTCACCGGCATTTGCAAAGCTGCTGTCTGCACTGGAGTTGTCAATGTGGTGATGGTCGGATTCTGCATCGTGGCAATAACTGGATTGCGGTCAGATTTCAAAGTTGTGAGGACAAGGGAGTCGGACTTTATCAGCTGAGGCTGCACCAGCACCTGGACAGAGAAAATCCAATTATTTACGGAATAACAACAAATTACATTTGTATAGCTTAGCTAACAGGAGAACTCACTTATGATGGGATGGAAAAAGAGAAATATTATTATTATTTTAACACATTGTATGACAGTAGCAACTTTAAAAATGTACAAATGTTTAGTATTAACTTTTCCAATTATAGTAATAATCCTTGCATTTGATATAGTGCTTCATCATGTCTTCGAAATGTCTCAAAGCCCTTCACAGAATATGAAGTGAATTGACTATATATTTTGTGAGCGAAACAGAGAAGCCCATTGCGCACATTAGTGTCCTACAAAGAGTTGCAGATTGAGTGACCAAAATTCTTTTTTTTTTTTAATTCATTCAAAATGCATGTGACTTTTTTGTTATTATTGCATTGCTGCTTGTCAGATATAGTGAGTTCCTTGTTTGCCGAAAATAATAATAATCCTGGCATTTGATACAGTGCCTTAACATGTCTTTGAGACGTCTCAAAACACTTCACAGAATATACTGTAAAATGAATTGACTGGATATTTGGGGTGCGAAACGTGAATTCCATCATTTGCAATTAATCTTATTTGCCAAAGCTGGTCAGTAGTTTATTTTACATGAAAAGAATGATATAAATACAGGCTTCTGTTTGTGATTACCTGTTGTACCTGTGGTGAGATTGTGGCGGAGGCTGGGGTGAGGGTCTGGATGGTGGCTGTTGTTGCTGAGGTGAACATCCTGTGAGTGGACAGAGCCCCAAGACCCTGCTGCTGGATAGTGACCGGTTGGATCTGCTGAGAGGTCACCAGGCCCTGCATCTGAGGTTGAAGAACTGCAAGAAAAACAGCCAATGTTTAACATAACTTAATAATAATACTTTAATAATACTTGCATTTGACATAGCGCTTCATCACGTCGTCAAGACACCTCAAAGTGCTTTGCCGGATCCACTGTAAAATGAAGTGACTGTATATTCTGTGAGCGAACACGGCAACCAATTTGCACCCAGCAATGTCCCACAGACAAACATGAAGCAACCGCAAGACATTCTAAACTACATCCTATAAATGTAATCTCAACATGTGGTGAAAATAATAACATATGGTAATAATAATGTGTTAGTAATAATAATAACTTTTGGTAATAACAGTAATATGTGATAATAATATGTGGTAATAACAATATGTGATAGTAATAACAATGTGTGGTAGTAATAATAATAATAACATGTACCTGAGAAGCTAGGGTTCTGGTAGGCTAGTACAGGCTGTTGGATGAAGCGAGTTTGCGTGGGAGTGAAATTTGAAGTGATCATGAAGGTTTGCTGCTGTGGTTGTGACTGCACTAAAGGCCGAGGCTGAAGTACAGGCGTCGTCCTGTGTGAGACGGGTACTGGGACCTGTGTCAGAGCTGGCGGGGAACACAACTGTAACTGCTGTTGTAAAACTTGCTGCTGCTGTAGTTGTTGTGGCTGTAATTGTTGTTGTTGCTGCAGTTGTTGTGGTTGTAATTGCAGTTGTATTTGTTGTTGTTGCTGTTGTGGTGGTTGCTGTTGTGGTTGTGGTTGTTGTTGCTGCTGCACTTGTTGTTGGGGTTGTGGCTGTTGGGTAGGAACTGGCGGCTGCTCCAACTTTTCATTGTTGAAATGTTCTTCAAACAGGTCTGGGAAATCCCCCACCTGACCACTGACAAACTCCAACATTTCTGATGAGGCAAAGAATAAAACATCTGATGTCAATCAAGTGCACGGATTGGTGCAGTGAGGAAACAAAGATGTCTACAGTGTTGCACAGTATTTATTATTTATTATTCTGCATCCAAATTATTTAAGCAATTAAGGATTTTGAAAGGGTGACACAGAATATTAGGGATAGAACCGAACTAATAAAATAGCAGATCAGGTCAGATGTACCAAAGGTTCTTATGTTCTTAAAACCCATCTGTGAAATGTCCAGACATGTTAAATGTATAAGGAATCAGTAATTAACGATGAGAAGTGACTTCCAGCATCGCAGAATTGTTCAGATGAGATCCACAATCCACAGTAACTGGAGAGCGTTACAACATGAGGATGATGTGACGTGAATGTGTCATCATTGCCAACCCCCCGTTTTAAGACTATCTGAAACTGACACTCGATGTTCCTGTTGAACAAGAAGCCAATCCCCAACAACAATTTATAAGTATTCTTCACACAGAATAACTTCTTTGCAATCGTAACTTGGCAAACAAACTCCATCACAGATATTGTTAACATTTATAAATAATCCTAAAAGCATCCAGTGGGAATGGTATCAGTGTGTAAACACGCAGCACAAGCAGAGATCACAGTGTTGCTTCCTGTCTGTCACAACGTCAGAAACACAGAGAGTTTGTTCTGCAAACTGTCCAGCTGACATGACACGGAGCAGAAGGTGTGACACAGTCGGGGCCTGAGCCCCTCAGACACACAACAAACTGCCCCGAGCAGCCGTGTCAGTGACAGGTCAATCCTCACACCATCAGCCAGTGAGTGACACGGGGACAAAAGCTGCTCAAAACACACAGACAGACTTTCTCGCTGTCGCTCAACAGATTGTTCCTGTGACGTGTCTCAATGACCTGATAATAACAACAACAATACAGCGGCTCATCACAATATACTGCAAAGTGAATAGACTGTATTTTGTGAGCGAAACCAGCAGCCAGTGACCCCCCCACAGGGATGGACTGAGTGACCAAATTATTATTTATCTATTATTTTCTTAAAGGGATTATTACAGCTGTGTGTGTGTGTGGGGGGGGGGGGCTGTGTGTGGGGGAGCTTTGTGTGTGTGTGTAGGGGGGGTCTGTGTAGGGGGGGGCTTTGTGTGTGTGTGGGGGCTGTGTATGGGGGGGGGCTGTGTGTGGGGGCCTGTGTGTGTGGGGGGGGCTGTGTGTGTGGGGGGGGCTGTGGGGGAGGGCTGTGTGTGTGTGGGGGCTGTGTGTGTGTGGGGGCAGTGTGTGGGGAGGGGGCTGTGTGTGGGGAGAGGGCTGTGTGTGGGGAGAGGGCTGTGTGTGGTGGGGGCTGTGTGTGGGGGGGCAGTGTGTGTGGGGGGCAGTGTGTGTGGGGGGGCAGTGTGTGTGGGGGGGCAGTGTGTGTGGGGGGGCAGTGTGTGTGGGGGGGCAGTGTGTGGGGGGGGGGCAGTGTGTGGGGGGGGGCAGTGTGTGGGGGGGGGGGGGGCAGTGTGTGGGGGGGGGCAGTGTGTGGGGGGGGGGCGTGTGTGTGTGGGGGCTGTGTGTGTGGGGGCTGTGGGGGGGGGCTGTGTGTGTGTGTGGGGGCTGTGTGTGTGTGGGGGCTGTGGGGGGGGCTGTGTGGGGGGGGCAGTGTGTGGGGGGGCAGTGTGGGGGCAGTGTGTGTGGGGGCAGTGTGTGTGGGGTGTGGGGGCAGTGTGTGTGGGGGGCAGTGTGTGGGGGGGCAGTGTGTGGGGGGGCAGTGTGTGTGGGGGGCAGTGTGTGGGGGGGGCAGTGTGTGGGGGGGGCAGTGTGTGTGGGGGGGGCTGTGTGTGTGGGGGGGCAGTGTGTGGGGGGGGCAGTGTGTGGGGGGGGCAGTGTGTGTGGGGGGCAGTGTGTGTGGGGGCAGTGTGTGTGGGGGGCAGTGTGTGTGGGGGGCAGTGTGTGTGGGGGGCAGTGTGTGTGTTGGGGGCAGTGTGTGTGGTGGGGCAGTGTGTGTGGGGGGGCAGTGTGGTGGGGGGGGCTGTGGGGGGGGGGGCTGTGGGTGGGGGGGGGGGGGGGGGGGGAGGGGGGGGGGGGGGGCTGTGGGGGGGGGCTGTGGGGGGGGGGGCTGTGGGGGGGGGGCTGTGGGGGGGGGGCTGTGGGGGGGGGGTCAGTGTGTGTGGGGGCACTGTGTGGGGGGGCAGTGTGTGTGGGGGGGCTGTGGGGGGGGCAGTGTGGGGGGGGCAGTGGGGAGGGGCTGTGGGGGGGGGCAGTGTGTGGGGGCTGTGGGGGGGGGCAGTGTTGGGGGGCAGTGTGTGTGGGGGGGCAGTGTGTGTGGGGGGGGCAGTGTGTGGGGGGGCAGTGTGGGGGGGGCAGTGTGTGTGGGGGGCTGTGGGGGGGGCTGTGGGGGGCTGGGGGGGGGGGGCTGTGGGGGGTAAACCCAGTGACAAACACCGGGAGCCGCTCTCACCGTCGATGTCCCCGAAGTTGAGCTCGTCACTGAGGGCCGCGAGCGCCGGGTCCAGTGTCAGGTCCGCGGGGTCCATGTCGGCGCCGCCGCTTCTCTCCTCCTCGCGCGGCTCCTCACTTCCCGCCGCCGCCCCCGCGCGCGCTCCCCGCCGCCATCTTGCGCTGACGTCACCCGCCCACTGGCACCAGCCGAACACGAGACGCGCCGCCGGCCAATGGGAGGCCGCCCCGGCTGTGGCGCGAGGCAGCGTCCGCGATCAGAACATCCGTCACCATGGCGACAGCCCCGCCCACAACCTCTCACAGCCATCAGGCGGGGCTCCCCGACACACGTCAGAGGAGCGAGCCTCCCTGTACTGCAGTGACTGGCCACAGGGGTGGGGGGGGCGCTGTGCACCAGTGCTCCCTGTACTCGTGACCGACCAGGGGCTCTCTTGGGTGGTGCTCTCTGTACTGCTGTGACTGACCAGAGGAGGTGCTGTGCACTACTGCTCCCTGTACTGCTGTGACTGACCAGAGGAGGTGCTGTGCACTACTGCTCCCTGTACTGCTGTGACTGACCAGAGGAGGGCGCTCGTGTTCGCCCACAAATACACTGCGGAAACCCATCACTGTGCTCGAGAGTCTCCAAACCAACTTGAGATTTCCATTCATCGCACCTACACATGGAAATCCCAGGAATAATTGTTGGAATGGAATGCGCTCTCTCCCGCTCTCTCTGGAGGGACACATCTTGCTAACCTAATTCCAGAAAGTATTAGGGCTCAGGTTGGGAAGAGCCAAGGCTCGGGGGGAACCCAGAGTGTGCGTTGGGGTAACTGCTGGAGTCTGACCAGTCGAAACTGCACAACTTGCTGTCCACATCACTGTCTGGCCAGCTTTCCGGCTGCTTGTCCAGCTGGGACCACCCTATTCGTTAGGGCTTTGGTTTGCAGGATTAATGGGAACTGAATGGGATGATTCCCTGCCCCAGGGACTGGTCTGCCCTCCCAAGTTTTGCCAATGAACCGGGCTGATCCCACCACGGTGGATTCCAATCTCTGTGTAGCCAAACTCGTGTTTCAAGAGGAAATTCAATGTTTTGTTTTAAAATGGCAAATGTACGTTTGAGGTAATCCAATGAGGTCACTGACGATTGTGTTTCATTGCCCCCCCCCACGCATGCACTCACCCTCCCTCGCCAAGACACACACACAAAGAATGCTCTCAATTCTGTTGAATGGGTTATAGTTTTAAAAAGCGGAATGATAAACTTCCTCGTTGGAGATAAATTAGCAGTTCGAGTGCAAACCTATATTATAGGTCACTGCCTGGCCACAATGGCTTTGTTGACACAAATACAGAGATTTAAGATAGTGGAACATTTAACCAACTCCAGGCAACGGCAGCAGCATCTGGGACATCGCTGGACATTCAGAGGTCATAACTCATTCCGTGTTTTTGTGATCCTTGGTCCTTTACGGAGTTCTTTCCTTTTATCTTCTTTTTTNCTTCTCTTTTCCTCGTCTTTCAAAGCCTTTTGGAACACGTCTGTGCTGTGGATAAACTGGGACAATGGAAGGCAAGGGATCAACAAAAGCATTTTTATATATGTCGACATTTTGAAACATCTCAAAGGGGAAACATTGCCAAGTGCACAGACATGCTTTTTTGGGACAAAAATCACAGATGGGAACTTCTCAGCATATATTGTGATATCTCTATAATATCTTTCTGATTAATCTGCTCAAGTTTTCCAGCCAATGACAACCTAAGTTGTAATATCAACAGGACACCTTGCGAATAAGACCAAATAAGACCTGTGGGTGGGGGGGCGGGGAACAACATGCACATCAGTAACGGGACAACGAGGAACATGCACAGGGTCTGAGGGTTAAAGTTAAATTGGACTTTGATAATCTGTCCCAATGGCCTGTTTCTGTGCTTTGACTATTATTCCATAAGATAAACATTTCTCTGAGAACATCCTTGATTTAAAAGTGCATCCTACCTCTTTCTCGTCTTTAAATGGATTCTTGTAGTCGGCTGATTTCTCACTGATCCCCAGCTCCTGAGCCATCTGTGGAGGAAAAGGAAAAACAGAATAAATACTGAGGTGTTGAAACTCACAGTACTTTATTTTGCTGCAATTTCATGTTCATCTCCCGTACACAGAGAAGCAACCATAGAAAAGACTCTGCTCTCACCAGGCTGAGCAGCTGTGTATGGGGACCCAGGTCGAAAACCCCTGTCTGATTACAGAAACTGATTCCCCAGCGGATGAGGCTGTTCCAGTTGGAGTTGTGGTCAAAGTAATGGTGGACGATCTTAGGAAAACGCAATGTCACATCCCCGAAGAACGCTGTGTTTTCAACAATGTGTGAATAAGCTGGAGAACAAGGCAGAATGTTAAATAAAATTAATGACTACGAGGGAAGGGAGGGCAGAGAAATCTATTCAGCACATTGGCAAAAGCCTTGGTTGCTTCAGAGACAATTAGAAAGTACTTGGGTCAAGCGCTTTGAGATTCCTTAATGACGTGATAATGCGCTATATCAAATGCAAGATGATGATTATTATTATTACATGCCCTGCCCGTAATGGGCAGATCTCTGAGACAATAATAATAATCTGGCAGAAACCAGAACCACACCAACGTCCGAGCAATGTGTAGCACATCGCAAGATTGCAAACTATCCACCGTCTCTGAGCAATGATGTAAAAAACTGTGTTACAAAAATCATTTAAGGAAAACAATATTCAGCAATATACTGGACAAACCATCTTTCAGCTTTTCATCCCTCGGGAAGGGACCATTAGGTTGGATGTCACCAGCTGTCAAGACACTTCTAGAATCTTCCAGAACCTGAGATAAATAAAAATCAGATTGTGTTTTCACCATTTTTTTGAAAAGTCAACATTTTGCAACTTTTACAAAATTATTTTTTTGTCTTCAGCTTGTTCATAATTTCTGTGTCATTTTATTATTACAATCAATAAGCAGCACAGACACACTGAGGAACAGTCAGTGTTCTTGGTCTCAGAGTCGGTGTCGATCACTGACAACTCACACAGTCCCCTCGGGAGCGGGGGATGTAGGGGGAAGTGATCTCTCTTGACTCACCTTGAATAGTCCTTTCAACATGATGTCAATGATCTTGTACTGCTGGTTAATGTCATTCAATTCAATCATGTTCTTCAGCGCATGCATCTGGTCTTTGCGTTTTGTTTCAAAAAGTTTTTTATCTAAGATGAGGCACCAATCAGGAAAACGCACACGGATAGAGACAATACAATTCAATTCCTACACTTTCCTGAAATCCTAGTGCAACACGATTGCTACTGCGCTAAATCCTCACTGTATAGAAAACACCGGCTCTGCCAAGGTCACTTGTGTGACCATCATGATGGAACTGGTTATGATGTACAACATTCTTCACCCTAAAGGTACACTGCAGACAATTTCATTTGCTGGAATTCAATCTCCCTTCAATGGCTACTAACACATTTCATACATTCACACGTTCCCCTTCCTACTTCAGGACTGCACTAGGCATTGATATTTCTGGTGAATTAAGAGTCAGAAAAAAAAAATATATAATATATAATCTAATACAGCGAGAACTCATCATTGGCATCGCCAGAAAGGATACAAATTTCCAAACTTGAATCCAGGCTTTCTTTTTGACAGTTGACTGGAATTGTCCACAAGCTCAGCACAATCACACAGACCTGCAGCACATCCATGCCGAGGAGATGCTTTAGAGAAAAATAACACCTTAGTTAATCAATAATCAAGCAGGGTGGGACCTATTATAATCTTACTGCATAACACATAGTATCTATTCTGTCTGAACTCAAACTACCCTCTCTTTAACTCCAATCAGTGAATTACACACACTGATTCAGTAGAAAATAGAAATGTCACATTGCTTTTCCGTAGAGCTGCTGACTCATCAAGGAAAGCGCACAGGAGACCAGCCCTGAGCCCCGAACAACTGTGCAGTATTTCCACTTTCCCTTGTGCCACCAAATTCACCTTCCTTTCTGGCAGAAAGTTCTCTGGACAGCAATCAGGATTGGAAGTCTGGCAGATATTCCCCTCTGCAGAAACCCAGCCCCACAAGGAGATGTGATGGTAAAACTTTCCAGTCAACGTTCACTAATCAAGCGCTCTGGGATGCTACCCTGCGTGAGGGGCACTATATAAATGCAAGTTGTTGTTGTAATCAGACTCCTATACTTCTCAACCTTCATCCTGTAGGATATGTTACAATCCAATATTCATACACATCATTCCAATGAAGACATCTGCCATTCCTGCGTCCATAATAATATATTAATAATAATCCTTGCACTTGATGTAGCGCCTCATCACATCGTGGAAATATCCCAAAGCGCTTCACAGGATACACTGTAAAGCCAACTGACTGTATTTTGTGGGAGAAACGCAGCAGCCAATTGCGTACAGCAGCGTCTCCACAGACAGTCGTGGATTGAGTGGCCACGTTATTATTTTTTTGAAGGGATTATAACCCCTGGAAAGGGATCTGCCAATCGACTAACACGCGGGTTCCTCCTGACTGCTGTAAACAGCTGCGTGTGTGCGAGTGAGGAAACTTGTGCAGTGTTGCACCCTCTCCGGGAGTCGAACCCGGGTCCTCTCGCTTGTGAGGCAAATGTGTTAAACACTGAGCTACTGTAATTGATCAGATTCCCCGTGAACACCATTATCAGCTACAAACAGTCACTGCACCACGGTGAACAGTCACTACACCACGGTAAACGGTCACTACACCACGGTAAACGGTCACTACACCACAGTGAGCAGTCACTACACCACAGTGAGCAGTCACTACACCACAGTGAGCAGTCACTACACCACAGTGAGCAGTCACTACACCACGGTGAGCAGTCACTACACCACGGTGAGCAGTCACTACACCACGGTAAACGGTCACTACACCACAGTGAGCAGTCACTACACCACAGTGAGCAGTCACTACACCAGTGAGCAGTCACTACACCACAGTGAGCAGTCACTACACCACAGTGAGCAGTCACTACACCAGTGAGCAGTCACTACACCACAGTGAGCAGTCACTACACCACAGTGAGCAGTCACTACACCACAGTGAGCAGTCACTACACCAGTGAGCAGTCACTACACAGTGAACAGTCACTACACCACAGTGAACAATTACTACACCACAGTGAGCAGTCACTACACCAGTGAGCAGTCACTACACCACAGTGAACAATTACTACACCACAGTGAGCAGTCACTACACCACAGTGAGCAGTCACTACACCACAGTGAGCAGTCACTACACCACAGTGAGCAGTCACTACACCACAGTGAGCAGTCACTACACCACAGTGAGCAGTCACTACACAGTGAACAGTTACTACACAGTGAAACCCCGGGACGAGGATTATTATTATTATAATAAGTCACGGGAGGCCGTCACAGGCTCAGAGCTCCGCACTGTGAGGGTGAGCCCCGGGGCCTCCCCGCCGCCCGCACACACTGACTGACCGCCGGGCCCGGACCCGCGCCGCAGACACCGCTGTCCTGACTCATGTCCCGGCTGCACACTTCCCGCCCGGCGCCGGGAATCACTGCGCACGCGCGGTCGCGCACTGTATCATGGGAATTGTAGTCTTTCCCCGGGCGGGAATGCAGCGCATGATTGGTCAGTGGCTTGTGACGCACCCGGAAACCCGCCCGGGCTCTGGCCACGTGTCACTTGTAAATGACAAGTTGACACCATTCAGACATTAATCCAATACAATCCAATAAAAAGGCAATATGACTGTCAGGCTGTACTTGTACAAAATAAATGCTCAGTTGAGACTTTCCTGAAAAGTGCCTCATCAGGTCTTTGAGACGTCTGAAAGAATACACCGTTAAGTGAAATCACTGGACATTTTGTGGGCAAAACGCATCAGCCAATTGCACACGGCAGTGACCAACACTGAGTGACAAAATTATTACTTTTTTTTAAGGTATTACCTCCGGAAAATCAATCTGCCAATCGACTAACAACCAGGTTCCTACTTGTTACTTGTAAAACAGAGGCATGTGTGTGGTGTAATGAAGCTTGCCAAAAGTTCGACCTGACGAGAATCAAACCTAGGTCTTCTCGCTTGTGAGATGAAAATTATGGGTGTGACCAGTTATTTGAAGGAATGTTAGGTGTAAACAAAAGTAATATGGAATGATTTTGGAAAAAATGTCCTTTTTAACAAATTAATTGGGAATAAGATTCATATTCAACTCCGTAGCTTTTTAACAGTATGGGACATACACCAATCAATGTATTTGGATGAATATTCGAGTCACTAGACTGAAATTGTTTACATGGTGTAAGGAAAACTCTCAGTCCATTAATAGTAATTAACAAATGACAATCTTCACGCTAAAATAAATGAGACATTTACATCTTGTTTTAGTCCATTAATTTATTTGTCCCCAACACCATCTAACAATCCAACTGCATAGATGACTTGTTTCAGGTCAGAGACATTCGTGAGCCAATTACAATAAAGTGCACAGATGTTTTTATAGCCAATGTTGAAATATGTTTGCTTTGCTGTGAATAAAATCAAAAATCTTCCTTTCTTCCAAAATTCAAGTTCTTATCTACAGCACAAACTAGTTACAATCTGGATTAACGGCCACAAATTGTGGGTTTCGTGTGAAGATATGAGTTACTCCCGTCTCCAGCAGCAAAAAATATCCAGCAGCAAAGAGTTATGGATCTTTATTGGCGACACCACACTAGCTTTGTACATTGCATTGACAATCATTGTATGAGAATCTGACAGCACAGACTGAACCCAAACTGACTATATTGCCTTGATCGACTGAGGCACATTCGAGGTAGTAATCCAACAGTCAAGTTACATCACATCAACTCAAGCCTAATACTTGTATTCTAATGAATGGCACATTATGTTGACCAAAATGGAATCATTATAAGCTTAGCTGTACACTGGGAACTCTAGTTGCCTCAAAAGCTTGCACATGTGGAGCTACACAAGCAACACAAGACACAACACCAACATATTTGGAATAAAAGTTGATTTTTCTTTCAGGGGCTGTTCTTTGGGGCCATTATTCAAAGCAAGTCTTGAGATAGAGTGCGAGTCGGCTATTCAAACGCAATCAGCTGAGTTCAATGATATCTATATCAGATGTCAATTTGAATGCACCTTCAAACAGGCCTTTGGATAGTTGTTAGGAACCAGAACTTTGATTTTCCTTCCCAACCCATGGGAACTGTAGCCAATTATAGCCCAAACTTTTGTGCTAACTTGGTGAATATTTAGATTTGAACTGGTTTGTAGCCCAGGGTTGAACCAGAGGTGTCTTTACCCCATTAGAGCCACGGGGGTGCGAGGTAGAACATAAATTTATTCTGTTGTTACAGAAATTTCTTTGACTCTCAGAATAAGTAACAGGGTCAGTGCCACCCACATCAGAATCAACATTAAATCCATGATATTTCATAAGATGCCCCAAGGTTAGCCAATGAGTGAGCTGGTCATCGCAGAGAAACAAAACAGAAATTAGTAACAGATTGAAAATTGTAAAATATTAGCACAAATGTTGGCAATAGCCTCCCTGTACCTGATCTTGCTGATTGTAATGAGAGGCAGGACGATGGATTTGCTCACCTGATGAATCTGGGAAACTTGGGCTTTAGCATTAAGTTTGACCTGGACATTTGCTTTTTCTGAAATAAACACGAATTTCCAGTTGGGACTCTGACAGTTTCAGCCCATGTACTTCACCTATTTGAGATGACAGGAATGAAATCCCAGGGGTTTTAAGTCTAAATGTCAACTGGAGTTTCTGGGCTGAGAGTCAGATGCCTATTGACACCCAGATGGAAAAGCGAACAGAGCAACAATAGCAGTTTTACACTGAGGAAGCTTTTCACAACCATCATTAATAAAACTTTTCTACGACTACATTTCTTCATCTGGCCAAAGAAGCCTCTTTATACATATGTTAAACAAATCCTTCAATCTGAACGAGACAGTGTTGTAGCTTTGGCAGCTCTATGTGGTCAGACTTGTCCTCGCCCTCACTCCCTCCCTCAGTAATTTCTGCTGAAAGCTGGACAAGCTCTCTGGTGTGTTATTTCCTTTTGCAGTAATGAAAGCCTCTCATTGGGTTAGAAATCACATTCATCACAAGCGACTGCATTCAGGAAGCGTAACGACATCACTCATGTCTGTGATTACTTATGTAAATGCTTTAAAGACAACCACTAGGAGTACTTTAATTATACAACTCACTGAACAGCAATGCTGACAAATAGCTTGTCATTTTCCACAGGGTCTGAATCCTTAAGACGTGGAGTAAGCCGAGTTGAAAGTATTTAACCTCCACAGTACTGTTCCCCTTTAAGGTGTAATTATCTGGACATAAATATAACATGAAGAGAAGCAGCTCATGTGATTGTTCAGGAGCCTCCAGCCATAGGTGTCAATTCTCCCCCAGCCATTACTGCTGCAGATACGGGGTTACAAACATTAGCATAAAGACACTACAACACAAACCAGACCAAAAGTAAAGCTAAGAGATATAAAGCATGGGCAATGAAGGCATAAAACCATTAATGTTTCTCTACATTGGTAATTACTACAATACAGACAGACAGGTTGACTTGAGAACATTTGTAGCCTTCATATGAAGAAAAATGTAAACACTTATGAAGTCTTTTTGTGTGTTTCATAATCGGTCACAAAGTTATCATTTTCTTACTACAGAGCAGTGGCTATTAGTCTGCAGGTGCAGAGGATGTTACACACAAATCCCATTTATGAAAGTTGCAGCATTTATCTGAATTCAGCTAAAAGCATGTCTGATCCAAGCAGAAGTTTGAGATGTACCAAAGCGTACACCATATTCATTCCATGGTATATCACCATGACAAAACAATATTTAAATTGCTAAATCATGCCCCAATATTCTCAAATAATAACAATAATCTGTATTCAAAACTATACATGATCACATCTTGTCTAGCTTCACCTAGAGACAGCAGCACATTTAACAACTTCAATTACTTTTAAGAAGAATAAAGTGTTTTCCATTTTTGTTCAGATTGAATTGCTAAACAAAAGGTCTTGGAGAGAAACAGCCAATTTGTGAGTTTATACCTTGTTTACACCAGTTAGTTCTGTGTAAGCTACGACCCACATACAAACACAGTCGAGTCAGTACCTCAGTAATTCAGCTGGAACGATACCTGAGAATAGTGACCGTTCCATACAGGCTGGTCTTCCTGGGGTAAGATTTTGTAGAATGTTTGAAAAACTAATGGCTAGTGGCCAAATGGGTTAGGTCATTCCCATTTTCATTGTTTAGGTTTTTTCGTCTCTTCCTGATCCTGAGACTGAAGGACATTGTTGGAGAGAGAAATCCGTATCATTACAGTTAGCAACAAGACACTGCCCTTGTGCACACTCTAACAGCTCACTGTAGGGCTCTTGCCTTGCATAGCTCCATCGACTTAAGCTTAATTTACCAGGATTTCCTCATGGGAACTTTGGAATGTAGTTCACATTTTTCTGATCCTTGAGATTAATAATTAAAAAGTTCAATCAATCAAATCTCAATCAAATTGCAAGTTTTCCTTGTAAGGTAAAGAAGCTATGTTGCTAGCACAAAATCAATCCAAATTGAACAGAATACAATGGAAATAGGTGACGGCGAATTGTTTAACTTAACGTTTATAAGACAGTCGATTTATTCAACTAAAGCATAAAGATATGACAGACCACATCGCTGAATGAATGACAACAAAGTAAAGTGGAATCCTGAATGGTTAATTTAGAATCAAACCAATCGTCTGAAGTCTTACAGAATCTTACCCAGGAGCTGTGCCTTTCATAATTCTGTGCAGATTAACTTGTAACTTGCGGGTTAGTGCATACCATTCCCTGACACCTCAGCTGCCATATTGACGAATGCAAATGGGTTTTAGTAAATGGACTAAAACAAGAGAAAATTGCTAAACAAAACAAAACCACGACAAATTTATTGAAGTTCATGCTATGCTATCGTCAATTATACACCATTTCTCTCCCCTCCCCAATCGAGCAATGAGACCAGGAGATAAAGTAAAGAAGTGAAATTGAGCTACTTACGAGCAGCAATTTGTTTTTCACCAAATGGGAGACCTGGACATTGCAAAAATCTTGTGAGGGAAAAGGTTTGAACAAACAGCATCCTGGACACCTCAGACATGCTGCCGTGTTCACGAGAGACAGTCACCCACTCCAATATGGCAGAACCAGGGAGAGATCATCACGCTCAGAGATCTCGTAAAGCAAACCAGGAGACAGCGATCATGATTGGTCAAGTCACTGAACCACTATCACGATCCTTGGGTTAAGAAACTTCAAAAAAATTCAAAAAATAATTTAAATGACACCAGAGAACATTCCTGGTTTGGGACGAGAAAAGAAAATAATTTGCTTTAGAGACACATTAGGAGCTGATAGGCTCTTGTATCCCAAATTAAATTGTAATGAGTCACGTTATAAAGCTACCTGGTCTGTTGTAAGTTGGCAGGAGCCTCAACAACAAGGGTTATTTATTCAGCTTTTATTCTCCGAACAACTCTCGTGTCCTCTCCACCAAATATCCTAAACATGGTGTATTTCACTTACAAACGGCTACTCTGGGGTTTGCTGAGCCACTCGCAGAAGCGAGAGGCTGGATATGCTATGAAGGGCGATTGCGGAATTTGTCTTCAGACTTTGCAGTCGAGGCTGAGAGAGATGGAACATCTCAGAGTGAGAAGAGGGCGTCCTCTGTCTTTTCCTGCTTTGTCTTTTTGGATGTGGCCAGTGACCTGGGCGGCTCTGAGGGAGGAGACGGGAGCGTGGGGAGCATCTCCGCGGCCTTCGCTCGCTCTTCAAGGAACTTATCGAATTCTATCAAGAAACAAAGTCATTGGACAAAAGGCAAACTTTCTGTATTCATTTCTTGTCTGAACCATTTACTGTTTGAGAAACATCCAAACACATTCCATTGCAACTCTTTAGTGTAGACTGGTTCAGGACGACACATGTGAGACTATCGCACTTGCACCAACAATTCCATGTCAGAAATCAGGATTTTTTAAATATAGTTTGTTATTCTGACTTCACCCCCACCCAGTGAAACATCTTAGTAAACAGCAAATGACAGGATAAGATTAAGCTGCAGAAATAGCCTTTCCGACCTCGGTTTTATCAGCACATGAATTATTGATGCCCCATTAACCAGAGGTTTGCAGAGTTGCCAAACGTTGACTAAAGGCAAATCACAACTTAATAAGTTAACTGGAATCGGTTGTGAGTTATTAATTGGTCGATGACAGCAACAGGATTAGTTTCGTATAAATGAAACGTGATTTGTGGACAATGTAAACATCCCTGGGATAAGGAAATGTGTGTTACCTAGCAACAGAATTACCTGGATGGATGCACAGAACATTATTGAAGTAAAAATCATTACCTTCACTTGTTACACCTTCAGCATCATCTCCCAATTCATCTTTCTAAATTTAAAGAGCCAGAAAGATAATTAATTATTCCTCAAACTTGTCAAAATAACGGGACTATTTTGTTTTGCTTTTGTCTCTTCTGCAAACAGAGCTGGCATTATAATTCTTTGGATGCAATAAAGTCAGACATTAGTGAAGGTGAATGTGACAAATCTTCCACTGCAGAAACAAACAACACTGCAAGACGCAATCAAAATCAGAAGTCCCAATTCAGCTGGTGTGATGGTAGAGAAAGTTAATGGATGTCCACAGTCAGTATCATGTGCAGGTCCCGATGAAAGGAGACAAGATAAATTAAAGTCAGTTTAACTCAAAAACAATCTTCCCCCTTCAAATATATGCAAGATATACAAACCCCAGGCAATACAATGTTTCTAGATGTGCTTCTAAATCAGGACAAGTGCCAGCACTAGTTATTCTAGTTCTGCCTCAGGAATGTGTACAGTGGAGATTTGCTGCTGTCTAGTTAAACCCTAATGGAATCTGCCATTAAAATAAAAAAAATCAATGAAAACAAAATACAATTCTCACCACATCTGTGGACAGCCACTGTTCAATGTCTTCCATTAGACAGGCCTGAGTCACAGGAATCTGTTGTACATAGAAGGGTAAGGGCAGCAGCATATTAAACACAATAAAAATAAATTAAAATAAGATAAACACACAATAAAGATAAGGTATGAAATTCATTTTCTTAATTAATTTTACATAAATAGGGCTAGCAATGAATTTCTGATGAGAACCTGAATTATCATCAATTTTTCCTAACTTTGTCTCATCACAGTGATAATAGTTTAAAACAATTGTGATTTAGGCAAGTTTTCAATGTGTTTAATAGTTTTGTTATGTGTGATGGAGTCCAGGATGGTGGCTGAGAGCTGCCTTCACTACAATAGCGTTGATCTGCTTTCTCTTTTGCAACATGAAGTGCTCTATCATTTAGTTTTTAGTCATTGTTTTAAACAATGCGGTCATTATTCATGCTGAATTCTGCACTTTTGTAATAATGAATTTCATACGTTATTTCAAAACATAATTTTAAAAAAATCAACTTCAACCAAACACAAAGCTGATCAGAGAATTGAAAAATAATCAGTCAAATAAAATCAGAACAAGCAGAAATGAAGAGCATAAATGAAGAGCTGGACTGCAAGGTGAGAGATACGAAGCAAGGGTTTAGACAGCCATGTGAATATACACTGGTCCATCAGTCAGACACCTGCCTGCCCCTAGTGAACACAAGCCCTGTATGTATCTCACACACCAGGTGCTCGCTAACTCCACACCACACAGGTCTGCTGGTCTGGCTAACACTCTCTCTGTTCCCCATCAGTCACGCAACCACTTACCATCAGCTTTCATTCTACAACTGAAAAAAAACTTACCTGAAACACAGAGGGACAAGCAATCCCATTTAGCCCAAGTGATTAACTGTGTAAAACATGCCCAGAGCATCAATCACCAGAGCAATCCACACACACACACAGATCTACACATCTACACACACAAATCTACATACACACATCTACACATTCACCCCGATTTACACAAACACCCATCTACACATACATACACACACCCCTACACACATACACATCCCCATACACCCCCCCTCCCGCCACACACACACACACACACACACACACAGACTGTTTCAGGCACCACAATATTTATTATGGGCAGAAGATTATTTTTGCACAATGTGGCCATGAAACAACTGAATCGGGCTCGTCACTCACTCGCGCTGAACTCTCATCAAACTCTTTAAAACATATTATATATATATATACACACACACACATATATATCAAGTCCACTTTGAATGAACAAGAACGCAGTGCTCGTCATCTCATATCATGCAATGAGATACTCGGCTGATTGTAGAGCAACACCAAGTTTAGCATCGGATTTACAAGTTGAACAGAGAAACTTCCACAGCCTCGTTGGACTGAAATGAAAGGGCAGATCCCGGCTGTCAGCAGCTAAAGCAAACTCATAACCTGCTCCAGACAGGGAAACCCAGAAAGATGTAAACACCGTGCAACCCCCACACAGACACCACTGCGGGATATTTACCAGCCTCGTCTGAATGCAGGTTCCCCATTAAACACACAGAAATCTGCAGCACAGAAGGCCATTCAGCCTATCGAGTCCACACCGCCTCACAGAGCATAGCCGAGGAAAACATTTCTCCCTCCCCCAAACTAAAGATAAAACTGCTTTTAGACTTTACAAAAGAAAAACGTGGCTAAATTATTTCAGTGCAAGGCTCTGCAGTGGCCAGTTAGTTTCCCTGAACCATATATCAACTTAAAACTCTTCACACTGGTCTACAAATCCCTTCACGCCCTGGCACCTGTCTACTTCTGACCTGCTTACTCCCACTCCAACTGTGCCTCTGTTAAGCACTCAGACACACTACTCTCCCTGCCTGATGAGCTCTGCATTATTGCTGTGGTTATTGGAAAAGCCAACCCTGGAGTCTTGATGCTGATATCAGTTTCCTATCCCCAGCTTTACTCCATTCTGCATCAAACCTGCTCAGAGCCACTGGCACCAGTAAGAATGAGGCAAGACTGGATTTCATCTCCCAATATGGTCTGTGTTGATTATTGAGCAGCCTCAAGATTGAGAGGCACAGGCAGCAGCCACTACCAGGGAGAGGTGGTAAACCCTCACCATTCCTTGGTTTGTCATCCAGCTGTCTAGTGATCGATTGGTGCTCTCGCTCACTGTGCTCTCCGTCTGTACCAGAGAAAGTATTTCTTAGTACATTAATCAAGCCCAGACCCCAACTCACCGAGGATGCTCATAGGCCACGTATCACCAGAACAGTACGGCTAAAATTACTAATGTGGCATTATTAAAAAGGAACCCTGGCAAAGAATCACGTTGAACTACTTTTACCAACTTCATAAAAACTGTTGTCACTGAATTACAATATTACATTTGCACAGTGCTTCTCACGTTGGGAGGACGTCCCAAAGCGCTAGTGAATTAATAAATTAGTGAAGGCGATTTTATTTAGCAAACGAGACGGACTGTCTGAGATAGAGAAGCTGACAGTCAAATGTGTACAAAATCACTGAAATGCTTAAAGTATCTGCCACACAAGTATCTGCTGATGGTAATTAATAAAAAGCAATGTTGTTTTGTTGTGTGTTGTTTTGTTCAGCAATATGAGTGTATTCCCACTTTCTATGTTGCAATTCACAAAGTAAATTGGCCCGAGAACCTGAGATCAGCCATAATATCCAAGTACTCACCGCCCCAGTATTGTGCTGCCGTGTGTCCAGTGCTCCAGCCAGCCCCTCAATCGCCTGCGGGTCCTCATACTTTACACTGAAAGAAAATCAACAAGTTATTACTATTCAGTGTGTCCATGTTACTTCCTCACAGCGGGAGACAGAATGCAGCACATTTACATATTAGCTGCAGAAATCATACTCGCAGTTTCTCACAGCCAAGGCTCCTGTCTGCCTGATGTTGACAGCAACAAATTACATTTCCATGTCCTTTTACATCAGGACAAGCCAACCCTGTTCCAGGTGCACACAAACATCAGCTGAGATAGCAACACAGGGCGGCCAAGGCTATTTCTGGGTAAACAACCTGCTGAGCCTCACTATCTCTTCAAGAAGTTAAAAGGGAACTTTGATTGACTGGCCAAGTATCTGTCACACGCTCAAGACTATCCGATCCAGACTGAATGCCACACACACAGACACACACACACTCACACAGACACACACACATACACAGACACACACATACACATACACACACAACAGTAATGATCCTTACACTTGATAAAGCGTTTTTGATTTTGGGAGGACATCTCAAAACGCTTCATAAGATACACTGTAAAGTGGGGTGACTGTGTCACCTAGACATGGAATGAAGTGTGTGCATTCTCTCTCTGCTTAACCAATACCCAATTCTAGAAATTATTACATAGAGGCAAAGGCTCATGAACCCCCGAATGTGGATTGGAAACTCCTGTAGGTTAATGCACCAGCTAAACCACAAAGCTTTGCCTTTGTCAACACGGTTTCACATCCAGCTAGAATCACTGGTAAGGCTTTGGCTTGTAGCCTTCCCAGTACTGCTAACAAATCATCGCTTCAGACACAGGATACGGGATTAAAACAGTTTCTCAAACAGTCGGCGCTGCAGAGATTAATAGCAAAGCAGCTTCAGACGTCAACAAATAAACAATTCATTATGTGGAGTGTTTACTTCACATGTGGAAACACAATAATTCAAATACAACGACAACTTACATTTGTACAGTGTCTTTTACATCAGGAGGACCCCCAAAGTCTAAATACACACACTTTAGTGAGGAAAAAAACACTCCTGTTTTCTTGGAAATTTCTGTAGTTTTTCCTAATCTAGTGAAGTCTAGTTAATAGGAGTGACTGAGGAGAACAGGACAGAATCCCCTCCCTCGCACCCAGATTTGCTTTTTTAAACAACTGCATTTAGCAATCATCATCATCTTCATCAAACAGCAAAGTCTCTGCACTCACCTGACACGGCAGAGCTGCACAACAGGACACAACCCAGCTTGAATGTCCTGCCAATCCCTTAGCATCAAACAAGCATTTAAAATGAAGAGGATAAAAAGACGGTGAAGCGAGCAAGCCTCAGCTGTCGCTGGTGGAGTTGACGGAGAACAGCTTGGGGTTTTTGCGATCAAACTTTTCAAAAAAGTGCGGGTCAGTGAAGGGCCCGCTGAGAATGATGGCTTCCAGGAAAAAATACAGAACGACGATCAGCAAACAGATGAGGAAAAACGGAATGAACTGTTTCAAGTCATTCAGATCCATCTCTTTGGGGGCTTGTCAGCAAACTAACGAAGGGCTTTTGCAGGGCACACACTTGTGAAGTAAAAATAGAACGTGTCTGAAAATGATCCCGACACACACACACACACACTCGTGGATTAGATTTAGAAATGTATTTACATCTCATTTAAAAAGGACACGGCGACTCTCTGCTGTCCTTTGACGTTTCTCCTGGCCAGAGCAAGATCAAATTTTAAAAAAAAGTACTCAAACCTTATTCTAGATTTTCTTCCAAAAGAAGGTATTTTTGCCAAATTTATTTTCGGTTTTAGAACACGATCCATTTCCCTCTTTGCCAGCCCCACGTACACACCATTCACCGGGGAAGGGATCAGAAGTTTCAGGACGCTATTCAGCCCATGAAACCTTCTCTTTTTTAAAATAACAGTTTTAAAATAACATATTCCTTGGTTTACCTACATGCAGCAAATAGGAACCCAGATGTTAGTCAATTGGCGGATCGCTTTCTGGGGTCAGAACAACAACTACAACAACCATCACCAGTAAAATTTATTATATTCCTTTCACTGAATATTCCCAGGGGACCAAAGCAATGCCCAATAGCCAGGGAGACAGCACATTCTGTGGTGATGGTCAGCGGGAGTTGGGATACCGTCACCAGTATTAAATGACAGCACTTGTCTTCACTAAAGGAATAAGTGAATCACGGTGGGGTTTCACACTGAACCATTGCCCAGATATTCAAGATAAATGACGTTCCCTCCAGGCCCAGTGGGAAGATCCAGTGAAAACAAAGGTAAACTTGCCGAGATCAGCAGGGCCTGACTTCATGTGTTGATTTAGCCCTCCAGATAGTGGATCAAGATGCAAATAGAACTAATGACACCAAGAGAAAGGCAATGAGGAAACAGACAGACAGAGACAGTCACAGACACTCACTTCTTGCGCTGGTCGGCCAGGGAGCTACTTCTGGTTTGTGCAAACATGTCAAACTCTTCCTCCTCAGTTTTTGCAGTGACGTTGGGCTCCAACGACTTGAGGGTTCCACTCACATCGTCTCCGGCCACATCTAAAGGTAGACAATCCCCCGTTCATCTCAAATCTCCTCAAGACAATCTAGATGAATATCTGAGCACACGGGAGCTCGGGTTTGGTTTGAGACAGTTAGGAGGGAGAGTGGAGAGAGGGCGGGACAAGGGGAGAGGTAAAATCCAGGATTTGCAACAGGATTCAGAAATAATGAACCATGCAAATACATTGATGCAGTCAAGTTAACCCACGGGAACACACTCTGACCCAATTTCTTTCTAGGTGTCCTGGTAACCTGCAGGATTATATCCTGTGCCACACTACATTTTCAACTACATATACACACACAGAATGGTTCTTTAAAGTGGAGTCCTGCAACTCAGTAGTTAGAGCAATCGCCTCGCAAGCAAGAGATCTGGGTTTGATTCCCGGGCAGGGCGAAACCTTGGGCAAGTTTCCTTACTTCACACACACGCCTCTATTTATTTAGCAGTAAGTAGGAACCCGGTTGTTAGGTGATTGGCAGGATCATTTTTCTGTGCGTAATATTCCCTTCAATAAAAATTTAAATTTGGTCACTCAATTGTGGGGACGCTGTTGTGCACAATTGGCTGCCACATTTCACCCACAAAATATACAGTCAATTCACTTTACAGTATGTCCTGTGAAGTGCTTTGAGACGTCTCGAAGACGTGATAAGGTGCTATATCAAATGCAAGGGTTATTATTATATAGGAATCACATTCTTTCCTCTTGTGATTCCAGCACTAATAGCCACATCCCCCCCTCGCTTAGCTCCCTAGCCCAGAGGCGGGTAGTGGGAGCTGGTTTATACATCTCACAGACTCTCATTCTTTACTTTCTAGTTAGCATTTCCCTCTTCTCTTTCAGATCTGAGTCAAACTAGAATATGGTTACCCCTGGTGTCGACCGCACTCTGCTACCTTACTCACAAGTTGCAATTCGTCAGGTTCAACTATCACACCCACCATGAGTCTCAGCCTTCGACAGAGGGAATAATTAGATGGGAAAGTCATCCCTTTACCGTGAATCACTGAGTAACAACACTTACTGAGGCCAGCCAGTTGTGTGGACAAAGCCGAGGCCGGCACGGGGCTGACGATGGCCGGGGAGTTTGGTGTCAGGTCGATCAGACTGTCTGGGTTCTCGGTTCCAATCAATACCTTCAGAATAAACAGACAGAGGAATATGAGCAACAGAACTTGAGGAAGCAGCTGACCACGTGAACAGCATCTGAGCACAAGCTCAGGGCATACAAACTTGTGTCATTTCTGCAATTCTAACTGGATGGTTTGTGAGTCACCGAGTCACTGCCAAACCCATGTAAAGGGACTGGATAAACACAAGTCATTATTGCTGAATCTCACTATGAACTTGGCAATTTACATCATCATCTTTGACTAAAAGTACCGATGGCTGTTGTATCACATTAGAACCTGATGTGTGTACGAGATCATTAGTCCTGGATTACTGTAATCCTATATCTCCTGTCTCCACTGAAGTCATTGAGGGTGTGAAAGAGAAGTGTGACAGAGGGTAACAAGTACAGGACACAGCAGGCTTGCTTTGTGAGCTGCACTAACAATATTCGTCACGCATTTTGCATTTCCAAACGCCTTCCCCCAGCATAAAGTGCAGAGAAAATGCCAACCATCTCGATAACAAACTCCACAGCAAACATACACCTGAGAACAACAATGAGAAAATCTGGATTTGCAGTGCTCTCTGAATTAGATACAAGGTCAGTGTTTATTGTCACTCACTCCCTCAATCTCACGACCCCATTATCATCACTGTGGAGTCCTGTAGCTCAGTGGTTAGAGCACTCGCTTTGCAAGTGAGAGACCTGAGTTCAATTCCAGGCGAAACCTTGGGCAAGTTTCCTTACTCCACACAGAGCCTAATAATAATCCCTCCAAAACTAAAAACAATAATAAATTTTCAATCCACGACTGTTTGTGGGACATTGCTGTGCGTAATTGGCTGCCGCATTCGCCCACAAATATACAGTCAATTCACTCTACAGTGTGTTCTGTGAAGCGCTTTGGGACGTCCTCCCGACGTGAAAAGCGCTGTATCAAATGCCAGGATTATTATTATTATTGTTATCACTGCAGGAAATGTAAAGGAAAGTAATTGCACTCACTGAGTTCACAGCATTCTGTCCCGTTCTAAACCGTTCGAACCTGAAAATAGATTGAAGGTGAAGCAAAGAACTCTGTTGTCCGTTGGCAAAACAAATTATACAAGAAAAGTCTAAGTGCTTCTATTCCCTGCTGCTGAGGATCAGCTACAATCACATGATCATCAGAGTGAGGATTCTTCACTTTTGACCAATAACTACATTTCCCAAACAGAAACCTGGCTTATTAACACGACAATGTGTAAATCAATCCACAACTTGGCTATCCTGCCTGCATTACAGTTAACCTGATAAATAACCTGTGCATTAAGCAATGAGTTGAAACAATAACCCAACACAGCTAATTCCAGTGGTACGAAATTACAAAAAAAAAGTAGTCATTCAATCCACGATTGTTTGTTTATGTGCAATATCAAATACAAGGATTCTTCTTCTTCATATTATTATTATCGAAAAAGCAATGTGAAAGAGCTACAAATAACTGACAAATACCTTGCGGACACAGGGCAGACTCAGGCTCACCTGTCATATCGCAGGAAGACATTATTGAGGTTGTCGTTGACATGCAGAAGCTCCTCAGTGACCTGCTCATTTGTCACACGAGAGATTAGCTCCAGCAACCGCTGCTGCATCGCCCGACATGTCCTGTTCAGCTCCTGGGGGCGGCAAGGGGACATTTAAACAATAACTAGCAAAAGACAAATCATCTATAGACAGGGCAAGGCTAAAGCAGTAAGAAAGCGATTAATTAGGTTTCTAGTGTGATCAGGAAGTTCTTTTTCATTTTAGCAGCAGAAATTCACCACAGGATTTGCACACCCACCACCAAACACCCACCACCCACTACTCCCCACCCAACCAGCCACCCACCCACACAGAAATCATATGTTATTCAGCTGCTGATGGATTGCTAACAGAGTGATATTAAACCATGGTTTGTTTCACCTGAAGCAGCTCAAGATCTGAAGAGTCCTCTTGTCCGGGGACCATCTCAGTTAACATCTCAGACATGACCTTTACGTTGCCGTTCACAACATCCAGCTCACCGCGCAGTTTAGCGATCTGTAAAGTACACACAGAGTGAAGTCAATCTGTGCAGCAAAGACACGAAAAGGGGATTTCTCCGTCAAAAACTGGGTCATTCTCAGTCCCACCAGCAGATGGCAAACGAGTAATAATAATAATAGATCATTAATAATAATAATCCCTGCATTTGATATAGCACTTTCCACGTCTTCTCGACGTCTCAAACACTTCACAGGATATCCTGTAAAGTGAAGTGACGTATATTTGTGGGCGAAACAGGGCAGCCAATTGTGCCCAGCAGCGTCCCACAAACAGCCATGGATTGAAGCGACCAAATTATTATTAAATTATTTTATCTTGAGGGATTATTATCAGACGTGTGTGTGGAGTAAGGAAACTTGCCCAAGGTTTCGCCCTGACCTGCCGGAATCAAACCCAGGTCTCTCGCTTGTGAGGCAAGTGCTCTAACCATTGAGCTACAGGACCCCATTTGGTATGAAAACAGAAAGTGCAGTTGAGTTTACACATTAATAATAATCCTTGACACAGCGGCTCATCACATCTTCGAGACCTCTCAAAGCGCTTCACAGGATACACTATAAAGACTGTATATTTTGTTTGAGAAACCGACAACCAATTGTGCACAGCAGCGTCCCAGAAACAGTCGTGGATTGAGTGACCACTTCTTTTTATTTATTATATTTTTTGAGGGAATTATTACCCCCAGAAAGCAATCTGTTAATCGACAATTGGGTTCGTACTTATTGCTAGGTAAACAGAGGTGTGTGGAGTAAGGAAACTTGCCGGGAATCGAACCCAGGACCTCTCAATTGTGAATGCTCCAACCACTGAGCTACAGACCATTCTGGCTCCATGCACACCCACAGGAGACAAGGGGCTGGCTGGGGAGGTGGGGGGCTGGCTGGGGATGGGGGGGGCTGGCTGGGGAGGTGGGAGGGTAGAGGAGGGGCTGAAAGTTACCTGTTCGAGGGAGGGAGTGATGGCACCGTCTGCTGAAGCCCCTGGAATGGGCAGCTCCGAGGCGGGGTAGACAGCAGGGGCTGGGGGCTGTAGGGGGACGGCATTGTGCGTCTCCGCTGGGTCCACCTCAGGGATACTCTGGAAAATAATAATTCCACATTCATACAACAACGACAACAACAACAGGCGACAAAGAAACAGCAACAAAGCAAATCCCACACAATCCAAAATGGGAGCGAGTTCTCACACATCCCGGGACTGTGGGGAAGCTGATCCACACCACAGGGAGATTGTGAAACATTGATGCCGTTGTGTTCAGTTGCTCACTTGCTCAGTGAGGATGGCAGGAGGCGCTGTCAATCCCACCAGTTTACAGGGAAGGTGGGAGCCAGAGAGTTTCCCTCCCAATCCCATGGGAAGCACAGGGTGAATTTTTCCGCACTCACTGGCTTAGGAAGCGAACAATCGAGAGCGCCACAGAGGGCTGACTCGATCCCACATTCGTTGCCAAACACATCCACCTTGGAGCCAAGGAGACCACCCTTTCCCCCCCTCCTCCCACCCCCCACCGAGGAAAGGCGTAAACACAGCAAAGCCAACCTGTTTGAGCCGCAAGTTCATACAGACCCGTTGTGGCGTGTGGATGGGCGACAGAGCGTCCAGGTCAGTCATCGGGAACTCGAGCCCTTTCCTCCGCAGTTCCTCGTACATGGCCACGACCCCAGTGAGGTCTGGAGTGCTGCGGAATGCATCAGCCCATGCCTGCACAGCATTAAACAAGGTTACTGTATGTGATGCTTCGCCATTTTCTGCTGTGTAAAGCTCGGTGCAGTTAGTTATGTTCCTTACAGACACTGAATACCGTGTATCAAGTGATTACTGACCTGAATTAAACTCAACACTTTGTCCTGCACAACATTGGGGGGGTTGTTTTTGGGCAGAATGGTTTTGACCAACACGCCTTCCACAAAGTCCCGACTGGCAACAAGGACATGGAACCGATGGCCACAATTCTTCACGCACGTCTCCAGAACCTTCAACAAGAGCAGCAGCTTTAACGCACACTTCAAACCTTTCACTTCTCCTCTCACCAACATTGCTCACATCAGCCTGGACACAGAGGTCACAGCAAGCGTTCTTACCAAAGCATCTCAACCACAGCTTGTTCGACAAAGCGGGGAATGGAAATCCAGGCTAATTTCCAGGCTAATCAAGTGCAAGAAATAACTTCTTGTTTTTAGCACATTGTGTTGAAATATTTCAAAAACACTTCGTTGAAGTGTTGCAACTGCTCTTGAAGGCAGACACGGCCATCGTCTTTTGCATAGCAATGCTCACGAGGTGGAAAACCAATAAGTCTGAAGGATTGTCAGCCACGGCACAGAGAGACAGACTGTCTTCTCTTCTCAAATAGTGTCACCTTCCTCAATGGCTACCTGAGCAGGCGCAGGGACTCAGCGTAGTAATATATCCCAATACAGATTTACATTAATATAGACAGAGCTTTCACACCAGGAGAACATCCCAAGTACTGCAGTTAACTCAACAACCAACTGACTCAACATAATACCTAATACCTGAGAAGTTAATAACATGAGCAAATAAGCCAACGAACAGCAAAGATGATCTTTCTTCTGCACAAATTATTATTATTACAAAGACTTACTTTAAGATAAATACTAACCGTCAGACACAGCATCACCTCCCGGAAGTTTTTATTTCCCGCGAGCCTTTTCCTCAAGGCCCTGATGGCATCTTTTGGTCTGAAACAGAAGCAGAGAATGACTGAATGAACAAAAACAATCCTCAGTACTGTGAGATGCAATGGGAACTGATTTCTAGTGAAACATCCTATTCCTAGCTCCACTGATGGTGCAGTTGGTAAAGCCACAGCCCAAAGTAAACCTCGTCATCAGGTCCATTGTCTCACTCAGGCCATAAACACCCACCCCACCCGCCCCGTGATGGTAGCCACAGGCCATTAGTGTAACATCAACGGAATTCAGTAAAATTGCTTCACATTATAATACAAAGTTCCTGTGCCAAGGCCTCAGATTTACCTCCATTTCCGTGTTGACTTGTCTCCACTTGCTGCACTGCCCCCCAAAGCAGCTATACTTTGCTGATAATTACAGATTTGGGTGCAAAACAAGCAAAATATAGATAAGAGACTAATGACTCAATCTCACTGAACTTGTACCAAACTGAGCCACGTTGACCTGGAAAGTCCCAGCGTCAATCTCTGCCAAATCGATGTCAACTTCCTCAGCAGGTTTCTTTACAAGAGTTTCCTGATGCCAATCACTAACAGTGACTGCAGCTGGTTAGTGCACGATTAATGTTCAGTCCATACAGGGCCAGGCTTGACTGCTCTCTCTAACTCCCCCCTCCCTCACCCCCAGCCACGCGACTCAGACCAGATAAATAATAATAATCCTTGCTGTATGGGTGAATTGCACCTCAGCACGACTCACAGCAAATGTGAGTGTGTAAACAGACAAGCATATCTGCTAAATGTGTAAAGTTGTGAAAACATCACCATTGGTGCATTAGCTGAATCATTCGCTGAGCTGTCAGAACCCTGCACTGTCCATTGCTCTCATACTGCGTTTCATGACAGTTTTCCTGTTAACGGACCTGAGGAAAAGTCTAGGTTGACTTGGGAGACAGTCAGTGGGACATGAGCTCTTTGCCCCAGTGGCAGCGATTCACAAACCACAGGGTGGGGCCAGACTGACATTCAGATGTTAGGAGGAACCGTAAACCACATATCCCTCCCTGCAGCAGGACTTCACTATCCTGTTTGTTTGCTGTTTAAATAGCAATAAAATCCTCCTATGACCCAGCGGGCTTTATAAATCTGCAGTACGTTTTCAGGAGTCAGCACTCTGGCCTCTGTGTCAGGGCTTTAAGGTCACTTTAGGCTGACATACCAGGGAGGTGCTGTAGGAGCACTGCCGTAAAGGAGGTGCCGTCTTTGAACATCTGCCGTCTGCCCGTTTAGATAGTTGTTAAAAACTCCCACAAGACGAGCCCTGGGAACCATCTCACACCTCTCCTCTACACTTCCCCACCCCAACCAGAACAATGCAGTTAAAATCACCTTTAAAATAGCCAAACAAAATATCTCAAAGTTTCCTGTGCACTGTTCATGCCAAAAATTGCAAAATAAGACAAAAAAAATCTATTGCAGTTTTCACTAATTGAAATCTCTGCCCAGACGATGTACACAGAGGATAAGGGCTCTGGGACTCCACCCTACGTGAGAAACGCTGTATAAATGCAAGATGTGGAGTCCTGTAGCTCAGTGGTTAGAGCACTCGCTTTGCAAGTGAGAGACCTGAGTTCAATTCCAGGCAGAGGGCGAAACCTTGGGCAAGTTTCCTTACTCCACACAGAGCCTAATAATAATCCCTCCAAACCAAAAACAATAATAAATTGGTCATTTTCAATCCATATGACTGTTTGTGGGACATTGCTGTGCGCAATTGGCTGCCGCGTTCGCCCACAAATATACAGTCAATTCGCTTTACAGTATATTCTGTGAAGCGCTTTGGGACGTCCTCCCGACGTGAAAAGCGCTATATCAAATGCAAGGATTATTATTATTATTATTATTATGTTGTTCCTTCGACAGAATCTTCCAGGGTGAGGAGAAGCTTATTGAAGAGCAGGAATGGAAACCCGGTGTGGACAGACAAGGGGAGCAGAGCTGCCAGAGAATGTAAGGAACCGAGATACAAGGAATGTGGCCAACCTTGTTCCACACACGCCAGATACTGATTCTTGGGCTGCTTCACAGTGCACAGAAACTCCCAGTAATCTGCTAAAAATAACTCTCACAAACCACTGTAGTTAGTTATACACATTGGCCACTACTCCTGACAAGCAACTTATACTTACAGATAATACAAGAGCTGACGTCTTTACTGAGAGTTTCAAAGACATGAATGCTGCCAGTCCGTACATACTGGGGAAATATTTAAAGCTTTAAACGTGAAGCAGTAAACAACAACAATCGGGTGGGGGGGGATGGAGATTGGAAGAACAATTGTGGAAATGGAAAGGAATGGTTTAAAGTGTTGCTGTGGCTGGATGGAGGTGGATCCAGCTCTGTACGTGGCACATGGTTGCTCTTATACAACAATTCCGGCTGGTGTTTACACTCCACACACCTGCAACCTTCCTATCCTCCCCTGTTTCCCTTCTCCATCGAGCATAGTCACAATTCAAGGCCTCTGCACACAGAGGGAGAGTTACTCACCCTTCCTCAGTCTCATTGATGATATCACAGATCTCGATGTTCAGGCCCCAATCCTCAGCCTGCAACGATCCATCAGTTGCTTGTTCTGTGTTTGTAAAACAAGGAGAGTGAAAGCTTTCAATTTGAATATCAACTTACTGCTATTCACTGTGAGCACAGTCCTGTATTAAAGAAACATGTCACTGAAATCGACGGTGAAAAATAAAAAGGCTGGAAATTCACAAGTCGTTCAGCAACTGAGAAAAAAGTTAGTTTAGCAGCTCAACAGCCAGAAACTGCCAGATCATTTACAGTCGCCCTCCACACAGGGTAGCGTCTCAGAGCGCTTGTCACTGCCACTTACGTCACCGTGCTGTTAATATCCCTGCTGCAGTTATTCATGTATTTATTGTTTGATAATTAGGTGTTTAATTGCGGCTCCGGCTCTGATTTAGACGTTGTACAGTCACAGCTCCACAATGTATATGCTCGGCCAAGGAGAAGATGCACGAGTCATGGTTCCATTTGGTAAAGTACTGGTTTGTTTACCCTGAATTTAATGCTGTTATTTCTCACCCAATCTCTGGTGAGTGCTCTTTAGTGTGTGCTCTTCGCTGAACAAATCTCAGTGGGGAGAGAGTTAAAAAGAAAACAGCAGCTCCTCCAACAGCACAAACAAGATCACCACAAACTCAGCCATGAGCAGATCTACTCCTGAGCCAGCCAAGCACATCAACATAACGCCCAGCTCAGCCCTGAGCCTTGCCCCCGACAAACACAGCCATACACCTCAGCCGACCAGCCAAGCAGACACAACACCCTCCACCCTGTGGCGAGGCAGAAGAAACAGATTATGTGGAAAAATCTGGAAAGTTGGAACGTTGGAAATTCGCCATAAGCAGTTTGAACATGGCCTGGAGAAGAGGAAACGTTACTAAAGGGATTAAGGGATATGGGGATAGGGCGGGTAAATGGAATTAGGTTAGAAGATCAGCCATGATCTTATTAAATGGTGGAGCACAGGCTCGAGGGGCCGAATGGCTTACTCCTGCTCCGATTTCTTATGTTCTTATGAAACGTGAAGAGTTTTCCTGAGGAGGTGGTGGAGGCAGATTGTGTCAGCAAATGTAACAGGGAAGTAGATAGGTAGCCAGCCAAGAATTTAATTCAGGGACATGAGGGGTGAAAAATCACTTGATGGCCAGTCATACTATTACTCTGTTCCTGTTTCCAATATTGCTCGAGTAATAATTAACTGGACTTTGTGCCTTTTGTTGTGAAACCATACATGGAGCAGAGCAGATTCAACCTCAAGAGGGAAAACTTCTGAAGTGCAATAAACAACCTCTTAACTATTACTGGCAATCACTGCTTCACATCAGCACCAGATCTAGATGACAACAGGACTGTGATACCTGTTCCAATGTCCTGACTCATCCACCCTTTCTGGTAACCTATCACAGCCACTAACTGCTAATTAAAGAAATATTTTTGGGTGTATCCCTGAAACACATCCTCGACCTCTTGTTCTTCCTAATAATCAAATCAAAGTACACTACACACTGGCTGCTCACACAGTAATCAAGTTCTTATATAATTTGTAAAAGTTAAACAACAAAGAAGTCCCAAGATCAATAGCGACTGGGATTGAGATTGATAGAGCACCATCTTGGCACAGTTACAAACCTCTCAATGTCAGGAAGCTAAGCTAATACATGCCTGCACCTGTATTATTAATTCAATTCGCGTAGGTTTAACCTGAGCAACTGTTTGAAACCAGCACTCAAACAATATCATCAGCACTCAATTATTTAAAGATGGAGGAAGCCAACCCAGGCAGCAGGACCAAGCGCATACGAGGGAAGTTTCTCTTAACAGAGGAGAAACCAGGTCACAAGGAGGAGTGTGAAAAGGCAGGACCCTTGACTGATGCTGAGGCTGTGATGTGAAGTCTGCTGGTGGGTTTTCTGGCAGGAGATCAAATGGGCAAAGGTCCTTTTTCATCCCAACTTCTTTTGATCTTTATATAACTTTTATAAAATAAAAGCCACAGAAGCAAATTATTTTGCTGTGACTTGATACAAATATATTGATATAGCGAAGAGTCTTTTATCGGGAGGACATCCCAAGGTGTTGATATCTGATGCATCAATGACAATAATAAGGCGCTACATCAAATGCAAGGATGATAACAATAATCTCACATTTTACAATTATAGGCAGAAGCAGAGCTCAATTAACCATTACTGATCATTTCATTCTAAAACTAGAATCATTTATAATGGAGTCTGCTGACACTCATCGTCTGATACTGATCACACGTGGGGAAGCCACCACAGGCTGACAGGGACCCGTGAAACCACATGACAGCATGAATCAGTGATTTCAGAGTAGGGAGGGGATCTATAAATACAAATATGTGCAATTACAATTATTAGGGTTGCTGTGGGAGGCATTCCAACATCTGTTAGCATAGGTGGGGCATCAGCATTGAATTCCTAACCTCAACTACACCGATTGGTAAAACGGGTTGTTCTTTTGCAGATAATAGAGTCACCAAAAACTGCTCAAATTATCAGGAACAAATTTCTCTCAGTCACAAAATGGTGCAGAGTTTAAACGGAAACATAAGGGACATAATAACAGAAGTGTAAACCAAGGACCATCTTTGCTGCGTTTCTCTCTAAACCAGACTCACTCACTCAAATAGCTGTCTCAAAGACTCACTCATTAACTATCATTTAAAGAAATGAAAGTCAGTCTTTTCTAACAATAGACACAGTGTGCACGGAACCATGGAACTCACCCCATGTCTCAGGAATGGCTGAAAGTCACTCACTAAATAAAATTACTTACTCATTTTGTTTGTTGCTGTGTGGGGTAAGCACTCCGGGACTCTATCCCGTGTGAGGGGCGCTATATTTGTGCACAACTCACATTCACTGCACTACACAGTGAATCATGTGAGTGGCCTTGAGACATCCTCCTGATGTGAAAGGCATATAAATGTAAGGATTATTAATATTGTTGTTACTAAATAATAATCATAAGGTCACTCAATCCACGACTGTTTGTGGGGACGCTGCTGTGCGTAATTGGCTGCCGTGTTTCGCCCACAAAATATACAGTCACTTCACTTTACAGTCTATCCTGTGTAGCACTTTGAGACATCTTGACGACGTGATCAGGCGCCATATCAAATGTGAGGATTATTATATCAATGTTATTAAGATTATTATTAACGTTATGATCATTGCCGTTGAAGCTGATTTGTTGTCCCAGGGCCAGACGTGCCCTCGGAGGCTCCCGATTGACTGTCAGAGCCGCCAATCACCAAATAAAAACAACAAACAACTAAAATAGGAATAAAATCACAATAAAAGCTGAGACACAGAGATAGACACAGAGAGACGCACAGAGAGACAGAGACAGACACAGAGAGAGAGACACGGACACAGAGAGAGACACAGACAGAGAGAGAGACACAGACAGAGAGAGAGACACAGACAGAGACACAGACAGAGAGACACAGACAGAGAGAGACACAGACAGAGAGACACAGACAGAGAGAGACACAGACAGAGAGAGACACAGACAGAGAGACACAGACAGAGAGAGAGACACAGACACAGAGAGAGACACAGAGAGAGAGACACAGACAGAGAGAGACACAGACAGAGAGACACAGACAGAGAGAGAGACACAGACAGAGAGACACAGACAGAGAGACACAGACAGAGAGAGAGACACAGACAGAGAGAGACACAGACAGAGAGACACAGACAGAGAGACACAGACAGAGAGAGACACAGACAGAGAGACACAGACAGAGAGAGAGACACAGACATAGAGAGAGACACAGAGAGAGAGACACAGACAAAGAGAGAGACACAGAGAGAGAGAGAGAGAGAGAGACACAGACACAGAGAGACACAGACACAGAGAGAGACACAGACACAGAGACACAGACACACAGACACACAGAGCCCCGGGGGGGGGGGGTGGGGGGTCGGTACCGATGCGCTGCCCCACGGGGCTGCTGTAGGGGCTGCCGTACAGGAACTCCATCGCCGCCGCCGCCGCCAGACCCCGGACCGCGCTGTCTGTCCGTCCGTCTGTGCCTCTGTCCCTCTCTGTGCCTCTGTCCCTCTCTGTGTCTCTGTCTCTCTCTGTGTCGCTGTCCCTCCGCCGCCCTTCTCTCTCTCACTGGTCGCGGCAAGAGGCGCCGCCCACCTAACACTGCCCCTCCCCCTCCTGCCCCGCCGCCAACAGCGCCACCCAGCGGCCGGGAGCAGCACATACACACACTGTATACACAGTATATACACTACACACATATACACACTACACATATACAGTATATACACATACACACACTATATATACACACATATAAACATACAAACACTCACCACAACATCCTTCACACATACACACATATATATACACACAATACACACATCAGAACACACTTCACTCCCTGCCCCAAGGCTGTGAGTGTGTCTGTGCCCCTCAGACTGGCTCAGGGTGGGCGCCTCTCTCTCCTTCACCTGTGAGTCAGAAGGTTCACACCGGCTCAGCGTCAAACTACACCGCAGACCAGTACATTGAGACACCTCGGGACATCCTCCCGACGTGAAAGGTGATATACACATGTACTTTGTTGTTGTTGAAACGTTTCCCCCATGTGACAGGCGCAATATACATGCAAGTTGTTGTTGGTTGTCTGATCTAGGTTGACATCCCAGGGTGGGCTGGGGGGTGAGGATGGGGCGTTGCATTGCCACTAATCGGGCAGATTTTAACAATAAAAAGAGTAGGCGAGGGTCTCCTGGGTGGGAGCGGGCAAACCCCCAGATTAATCAGTCAGGACAAATAGCTGTCCAAGCTTTAAAGACATTGCAGGGGGCAGCAGCCAAGCGAATCCTCCGTGTTACAAGGATTAGGTTTGAGAGATGACAAATATGCAGCGTCTCTTCAGCTACAAAAGGGGTATCCCCGAAGAAACGTCATAGATCTGTGCAAAATGTTTACAAAGTGTGAAGTAAATCCAGAACAATGATTTAGAGGTTCCCCAAACAAGCAAGACAAGAGTCCTGTAGCTCAGTGGTTAGAGCACTCGCTTTGCAAGTGAGAGACCTGAGTTCAATTCCAGGCAGAGGGCGAAACCTTGGGCAAGTTTCCTTACTCCACACAGCGCCTAATAATAGTCCCTCCAAAACCAAAACAATAATAAATTGGTCATTTTCAATCTACGACTGTTTGTGGGACATTGCTGTGCGCAATTGGCTGCCGCGTTCGCCCACAAATATACAGTCAATTCACTTTACAGTGTGTTCTGTGAAGCGCTTTGGGACGTCCTCCCGACGTGAAAAGCGCTATATCAAATGCAAGGATTATTATTTATTATATAAGAGGCCACAGGTTCAGTGAGGGATCATTAAGGGCAGATGTGAGGAAGTATATCTGTAGCAGGGGAGGGAGGAGATTTCTAGCAGGAGGTTTATGAAGGCAACAGCACATATATTAATAGAATAATAAGGCAGAGACAGATACAGGTACAAAAAAGGGTTTCATTTTATAATAATTCTACAGTAAAAACTACAGTAAACACTGTGCAACTCAACAAGACTAGGAAGCACTTTTTATAAAAGATCAAAAAAATCAGACAGGATTATATTTTAGCCGCTCTTACTCCTCCTTCCGTCCAGTGAAATCACACCCCAGATTCCCCAAAATTCAGGAAAGGAGAGAACGGAGAGAAGGGAAAGGGAACAAATAGGTAAAAGCTGCTTGCTCCCACATTGCAGCAAACCCACAATTTGAATGCTCACCCTGTGTCCATTGTTACACACTGGACCTGTTGGACTATCAACGATGATCAGGAGACACTGAAGGAAAAGTAAAACGACACAAATGTTCCTCTTCTACAGTGAACAGTCTTTATATACAATATGTTCAGGTTCTCGGCGTCAGCCCTCGGTCAAAGCCCCGGCATGATGTAAGCAATGTTATCCAAAGTGTTTGCCTGGTCAATGAAGAAGACACCGTAAGAAAAAACACAGCAACAACTTCAAACAGTCTACGTACCTGTGGAGTGACGTACATCAGTCAGCCAGCCAACCAACCAGCCAGTCAAGCCGGATAATACCGTCTGCAATCTCTGTCCACATGATTGCATCTTCTAGCGGGGGTGGGGAGAGGGGGACACTGTCCAGTGATCAGGAGCAGGATCACCACCCAATCTTTCCCTCTCTGCAGCCCAGGAACATTGAGGTCAGTTATTGTGATCAGCCAATGACACCAGTGTGTTTGAAGAGGTTTCCAATCTCATGGTTTGGTTCAGATTCACTCAAAACTGTGAGGTTATTTCACTTAAATAACTGGTCTCCATCGCTAATAAAAGCTACACTAAACACGCTTCGCATCCTCTTTCCAGCCGCACGTGTCTGTTACTTACAGAATCACAGCACAGATGGCTTAAGAGTTTCTGCAATAACTCTCTTTCACATCCACTTTCCTGTCCTTTCCATGTATTGTACCCCTTAATAAGTGTTTTTCCAAATGTTTGTCTAATTTCCCCTTTAAAAACTGTTACTATTCTGTTGTAAAAGATATTTTTCAATCAGATATTCCACATCAAACACTTCTCCTTCCCTTGGTGTGACAACCTGATGGTAATTCTTTTAATAATCTTAACTTATTGTCCTAAAGACTGTCAACCTCAAACCTGAGCCCAGACTGTTACCCTCTGAACCGGGCTGAGCAGTCGGTGCTCAGTGTTATTCGTATGTGTGAGAAATGTACCAGAACATCTTTTGAGCAGCCGTTGAGGTGATGGACCTGGGCAGTGAGACAGGCCAGAGGACCCAGGGCACAGATTATCGAATCCAGCAGCACCGACAGACTGCCGGAAACCGCCACCATCCCCTAGCAGGAAAAGGAAAACAAGATTTAATCATAGCCGTTTGGGGTTTATAACAAAATGTAAAATGCACGTCAGTTTTCACGACATGTTGGTCAATGGGTCGAGAACGATTGCGACTCAATGTTGGTACCTGAACTCTGTCTCACATCAATGATCCTCCAACAGTTACCTGACCAGGGAGTCATGGCACCGCATTAAAACAGCAGCACAACAAAATACATTTGCTTAGCGCCCCTCATGTCCGGAGGACATCCCGGGGCGCTGGACAATCAGTATTTCAGACTTGAGCTAAGGGCTGGGATCGTGGAGTGAGAAAGAGGGTGATCAAAAGCGAAGAGGAGAGTCTTGAGATGGGTCTTGAAGGAAGCAAGAGAGGGGGCGAGGCCCAGAGTCTGCGGGATGGAGTTCCATCTCCTCCGCTTTCAGCCACAACGCCCCGAAGTTCTGGAACTCTCTCCCTCAAGCCCTCCGCCTTGCCCCTTACCTCTGCCTTTCAAACCTCACCTAAAGACCTTCCTTTTTGATGGTGCTTATGGTCATCTCCCCCCTCCCTCTCCCCTGGCTCGGGGTCAGACTCCGCCACTGTCAAGCGATCGGGAGATGTGGCACGCAGAGCGCTGTGTAAATGCAAATTGTTGTTGTTGTTGTTCCTGCTTCAACTCAATCTTTATCAAGTCATTAATACTGTGGAATCTGTCCCTAACAGTGCAGCACAGCGCAGTGCAATCACCCACTCGGCCACTGGGGGAAGCTCTCTCTCTCTCTCTCTCCCCTAACGCTCACCTCAGTCTCCTGCAGTCGGTGCCCGATGAGACTCAGCGATTCTCCCAGGAGCTGAAGGTGAGCAGCTGCATCGATGGGCTCGGCCTCGGGCATTTTAATGGGGGAGACAGAGTGAGCGGCCGCCCCTGACCCGCTCGAATGGGAGGATTTCCTGTGAGGAGACGTGATTCCCGACGGGGACGAGTGGTGGCTGCCTGCAACAGCGAAGGTACAAATCAACAAGGGATTCACTGAGACATCGATGGTCAGAACTTCGGGTCAAACTACTTTCCCTTCTCGGATAGTGTCCCCGCGTCTCTGGCTCCGAGACGCTGCTCCGCATGAAGGCCGCTGGATAAATGTAAGTTGTCGTCGTCGCATCCACCTGAAGGCAGGACCAAAGAACAATATCTCCGACCTGCAGTGACAGCCCGGGGCCTGAACCTACAAGTTTCTGACCACTCACTGCCTTCTAGCAAAATCACTTTCAATTGCGACCATTTTGTGTAATAATAATAAATAATAATCCTTACATTTGATACAGCGCCTTATCACGTCTTCTAGACCCTTCAAAGCGCTTCACAGAATATACTGTAAAGTGTAGTGACTGTATATTTTGTGGGTGAAATTGCGCACACGGTCAATGAGGATGGCTCACAGTCTGAACACAGCACAAACAGTAATCATCAAAACATAGACGGTAGCAAACAGAGGCGTCCAAGAAATGATCTTTTAGATGAAATAATGATGCGTAACCTTCAGTGTCAACCAGGAAGCCGCCCGAGATTGTCCTCCTCCTGAACTGAGAGGAGATGTGTCGTCGCTGGAGACCTGAGGGAGAGAACAAGGGAACAAGCTCCATCACAGCACAAGACATCCTGCTGATCCCTGGGTACCAAACACCATGGATGGGTCAGCGACAGGAAGGTCCCAGGGCCCAATGCCAGCTGTGCGTTTGCATGGGCTGAAACTGGCCTATGTTTCCAGGGGCTATAATAGGAAACATCAGTGTTCACGTGGGACAAAACATCTCGATGCGTTTCAGAGATGATGGGAGGAACAGGAAGAAAGAGGGTGGAGATTTAAAGGTGGCCATTTAATGCTGTTAGAATAACAATAACGTTCTTTGGTGTTAGCCAAGAATAAGCACAAAAAGGTTTGAAGAGGTTTTTGCAGAAGATTCAAAGTGAAGGGATTTGGGGAATGAATTCCAGGGGGAAAACTGGCCATGGCAGTGGGACACATGGAGTGAGGAATGTGGGAAGGACTGGAGACAGACAGGGCTGGAGATGGTTAGGAATAAATATATTTTAGGGGAAAAACACCAGGTAAAAACCAAAGTGGAGAGACAGGGAGGAGCTGCTTGGCCGGGGATGATGAAGTACCTTTGGGTTTGGTGGATTTGGTTGATTTTGTAATTGCCGTGTCCGAGGGGTCTGTTAGTTTCCGTTTGATGGTTGTGGCCTCGGCTTTGTTCTGTTTGTGCTGCAGGTAAAGACACTTCTGCTTCCAGGCCTGGGGTCAACACAAACACAGCTTATTCTCCAATAGACACTTTAGGGTTTGCCCCGAGCTGGGGGTTGGAAGGTTGGGTGGGGTTAGGGAGGAGGGTTGAGTGTGGTTGGGGGTGGGGTAGGGGTGTGAATGGGGTTTGGGGTGAGACATGGTCAACGAGGATGGCTGAAAATAGCACAAAGGCAGAACAATTTGCTTCTGATTGGATGAGACGGCACTTACCAGCTTTTCCTTCTCAGGAAGCTGTTTCCACACCTCGGCCAGTTTTTTGCTCAATTCCCCGAAATCTGTCCAAACAATTCACCAACATTTTAGTGGCACTTTTCAGGGGCTGGAAATGCCTCATTGTATTAACCTAAAGACCAACACATTAGGTCTGAAACTTCCCTCGCCTCCTTCAAGGCACGCCTTACGACCCTCTTCTTCGACCGTGCCTTTGGCCACCTTCCTACCCCCACCCTCCCAGATCCCCACGCTCCTCTCCCCCCCCCCCCCCCCGTGCTCAGGTCCTAATCCCTGACTGTTCAGCGCCTTGGGTCATCCTCCTGACGTGAAAGGCGCTTTGCAAATGTAATTTTGTATTGTATTAAAATTCACACTCATGCACAATTTGGGAAAATTGTTTGATTTAGCTTTAATTAGCCACTGGACCACAGGGTCTCTGCTGTTCAGTTCTGTCTGTTTCAATAAAACCCCCTTCATCAACATATTTGGATGTAAAACAAGGCAACTACCTTTCTTGCCTATTGCCGGGTGTTCAGCAATGATGTTAACTCTGTATTCTTTGCAGAAGACCTGATAGGCCGTCATTATTTTCTTTTTCTGTAAAAGAAATGCAATAATAACCGTTACAGAATAACTTCAACCAGGACACTTTCTCCAGCCCGGAACCAGCCGTGACAGGACCTACACATAACTACACAAACGTTCTCTCCAGGTGAGTTTCGCTTACTAATATTTACATTTTGGACACATCTCTTTCCAATATTCAACTTCTTGAAAAACTCCCATTAATAAACCTCTTTAGCAATAATCGATGACCCATTGTAACTAGTCAGTCAATTCACTTTACAGTGTATCCTGAGAAGCGTTTGAGACGTCTCGAAGACGTGATAAGGCGCTGTATTATTGTTTCTCATCCACCTGAAAACGGCACCTGTGACAGTGCAGCGCCCCCTGCTGGTTGGTACCAGTGACTGCGTGGCGCCCCCTGCTGGTTGGTACCAGTGACTGCGTGGCGCCCCCTGCTGGTTGGTACCAGTGACTGCGTGGCGCCCCCTGCTGGCTGATATCTGTGCTGCGGGGTGATGTCTGAGCTCACTTTGGTCAGGGCTCAAGTGGGAAATGTGTAACATGAGATAGTGTCAATGGCAAATCTGGGCTACAACTTCCTCTGACCCAATTATTCCCAAATTACCTTTTCGGGTTTCGGGTCAAACTTCTCTTTTTCCTTTTCTTCCTTTTTCTTCTTTTTTTCACTGTGGCTGTCGGTATGGAATATGGGCGGGGGAGGTGTGGGAATAGTGTAGGGAGTGACCACTGTGGGCTGGAGAGGAGGGAAGGTCACGACGCTGGGCTTCACCTCTCCCGGGGACAAGCCGGAGCCTCTCTTGGACTTGGAATGTTTCTTGTCTTTGTGTTTCTCTCTGTCTTTGTCTTTCTTCTTCTTGCTCTTTTTTGCTTTCTTCTTTTTCTTGATCTCGCGATACGAGTCGTCGATGACCAGCTCCCCGGCCTCCAGCTCGGCCCCCGAGGACGAGGCGCTGTCCAGCGTCTCCAGCCCCGAGAACTGATACTCGGCCAGGCCACTACCGTGCACCTCAGAGTAGAAGGAAGCCTCGGACTCGAAGCTCTCGCTGACCCGGGCCTCGGCTCTGTGCTTCTTCTTGACGCTCTGGGCCTTGGGGAATGTTCCCTGCTCCTCCCGTGAAGCTTTCTTGGACGGTTTCTTCAGACTGGAGGTGGCAGCGAAGCTGAAGGCCTCGTCGTCGGTGCTGGACTTGTCCTTGGGTGACAGAAGCAGCTTCACTCTCAGGCCCTCACCGTCCCTCGCACTCCCTCCCTCTGTGTTCAGAAACAGCGGCTTCAGCTTTTTGGCTTTGTGACCCTCTCCCTCTTGCCCGGCATCCTCACTGTCTGCTCCCCCGGACCTCTTCCTGTGCTCCTTCCTGCTATCTGTGGGGAAAGCCGTGTGCGAGGACGAGCTAAAGGGAGAGAACGAAGATTTCTCAGTCTTTTTGGAGGACTTGCTCAGTGCTGGGGAGGTGATAGCCTTCAGGAGCCCCATGGCTGTGTCCGAGTGGTGACTCTCACTTCTCTTCTTCTTCCTCACAGGCTCCATTGGTGACAGCTCTGCACAATTAGTGAAAGGAAAAATCATCTTTTTACAATAATAATAATCCTCGAATTTGATACAATGCCTTATCAATTCTTCGAGATGTCTCAAAGCAATTCACAGGTAAGTGAATTGACTGTATAATTTGTGGGTGAAACGCAGCAGCCAATTCCACACACCAGTGTCCCACGAACAGTCGTCGATTGAATGAACAACATTTTTTTTAAAGGACCATTACCCCTGGAAAAGCAATCTGCCAATCGCCTAACAACCGGGTTCCTACTTCCTGTTGGGTAAAGAGGTGCGTGGTGTAAGCAAACTTGCCCAACATTTCCCCCTGACCGGGAATCAAACCCAGTCGACGAGCTCTCTAACCCCTGAGCTAAAGGATTCCACTTGTAGCTTAGTCCTTCATCCGAAGGACGGCGTCTTGAACAATCAGTGCTCTCTAGCACTGCACTGGATTGAATTCAAAGCTCTGACACGGGAACTTGAACTCACAACCTTCTGAGTCAGAGGCAAGAGGTTGACACACAGCATTAAAAGTGAGAGTGAAATGGTGCTGGACTGAGAAACATATAGAGGGGAAAGTGAACACAACAAATAGAAGTCAGGTAAGGAGCAATATGTAAGTACCTCTACAGAAGATATCATCTCCAGTTAAATGTAGTTTCTTTTTTTTCTTGTGAGAATCAGCTCCCGACAAGAAATCTTCAGTCTCCTTAAAGTCAAAGAGGAAATTGTAATTTAGCCCATAGAAGGTGCAAAACACAAGCACCGACACACACTCAGTTACATTCCCCCAGTAACTCTGTGCTAAACAGATACTACCAATGCCTTGGGACATCCTTCCGATGTTAAAGGCATTGTACAAATGTAATTTGTTGTTGCTGTTCATATTGGAATGGATCGAGTGGGGTACGCTTGTCTCTATCACACTGCACAGGGATGTCAGCAACGCAGGAATAAACATTGATAATAAATGGGGAGAAATCCTCACCTTCGTCTTCTTTTTCACTGACTTTCGCACCTCGGCGTCGATCTCCTCTTCTTCTCTCAGGAAATCCTTGTAGGAGCGCTTCTTCTCACGTTGGCTCCTGCCTGCTGCCAAGCCCACCTCTTCGATGCCGATCTCACCCACTAGACAATCTGCAACGACAAATCTCCTCAATTCCCAATGACGTCTGGAGACCTTCCCTCTCAACCGACCACAAACACTCTCTCCCCCCAGACTTTATAATCCGTTAACCTGCTCGTGCCCGCGTTTGGACATCGGAATAAATTACCTTCTTTTTTCTTGAGGGCGTCATCATAAGCCATGACTGGAAGCTAAATTTAAAATGCCGTGGACTCCAATGATCAGATAGTTCAGAGCAATCCAACAGTGTAAACATTGGGAAAAACCCGGATCTTCAGCCAGTTCTAGATTCATCTGTATATAATCCTGCAGCACAGAGAGAGAAATCAATCCTATTGTTACCGTGTTATCCCCCTCCATAGGGATGCTGACAGGTCACAAAACTCTCAGCAGGCACTCACGGGACAAGACGCCTCTCGTCCAGTGTCTGAGCCAGGTGGGTCCGTAGTACTTCAGGGCATTCACTGCTGATGACAGCCCAGCTCGGCCTGGCTCATTGGCAGGACTTGGAAGGGCCGACCAGTCACTGGGGCAGGAAATCCTACACCTCAGCTCGTTAACCCTGCAGCCAAAGCCCTATTGGGTAGAGTGGTCCAAGTTGGACAGGCAGCGGGAAAGCTTGCGATAGCGGTTACCCCAATGCACACTTTGGACTCCCCCTAAGCCTTGGCTCTTGTCAACCTGTGCAAAATACTTTCCAGAATTAGGTGGCAGGATGCATCCCTCCAAGGAGAGCACTCCATTCCAATCACGGGGAGATTTTGAAAATGCGGATGACGTTCGTGTGGAACTCTCAGTCTGGTTTAGAGAGATTGTGAAGCACAACGGTGATGGGTTTCCAGACACAACAAATTGCATTTACGTTGGCTTTGGCTGAGGTTCAACTGAAAACAAACAGCAAACGAAGCAACTCCAGACATTTCAATTCTCAAATGCAAATCCTGCTTTGTCCCTCGTGCTCCATCGGTGGCCGCACTTTAGCGTCTGTGTGTGTGTGTGTGTGTGTGAGGGGTGGGGTCTGTGAGGCCTTGAAATTCCAGATCTCCCTTAATCCCTCCATCTTGTCCTTCCTTCCCCATCTTCAGGTTGTGTTGGGGGACGGGTCTGTGTGCGGGTGAGGTGGGTGTTGGGTTGGGGGGGGGGTCTGTGTGTGGGTGGGGTTGTGTGTGGGTGGGGAGGAATCTGTGGGGGTCTGTGTGTGGATGGGGGGGTGTTGGGGGGATCTCTGTGTGTTGGGGGGGTCTGTGTGTGGGTGTTGGGGGGATCTGTGTGTGGGTGGGAGGGGGTGTTGGGGGGGTCTATGTGTGTGTGTGATGGGGGGTGATGTGGGGGGGTCTTTGTGTGGGGGGGTGTTGGGGGGATCTGTGTGTGGGTGGGAGGGGGTGTTGGGGCAGTCTGTGTGTGTGGTGGTGGGGGGTGTTGGGGCAGTCTGTGTGTGTGGTGGTGGGGGGTGTTGGGGGGGATCTGTATGTGGGTGTGTGTGGGGGTGGGGGAGTGATGGGGGGGTTCTGTGTGTGGGTGGCGGGTGTTTCTGTGGGGTCTGTGTGTGTGTATAGGGGTGTTGGGGGGGGCTCTGTGTGTGGGCGTGTGTGTGGTTATGTGTGTGTGTGGGGGGGGTCTGTGTGTGGGTGGGGGGGGGTTGGGGGGAGTGTTGGAGGGTGTCTGTGTGTGGGTGTGTATGGGGGGGGACAGTGGGGGGTCTGTGTGGGGGGGGGTCTGTGTGTGTGTGTGGGGTCTGTGTGTGTGGGTGTGTGTGTGTGGGGTCTGTGTGGGGGGTTAGGGGGGGGGGGGTTAGGGGGGGGCGAGACTGACCACAGTTATGATGATCCTCTGACTCTCTGAGGCCCCGAATCGGACTTTAACTTAACCCTAAATCCCGTTTCCCGCCCTTTCTGCCCCCGGGGCTGTGCCGTTCGGGAAACACCGAGGCTTTGGCGGCTCCTGTAGGCCCGAGCGGCCCCGGTGATCCCCGCGGGAGGCGGTGTCTGTGGGGCCCAGGCCGCCGGGAGCCGCCGGGAGCCGCCGCTCGGTGTCGGTGCCGAGAGCCGCGGTCTCACCGTGAAGCGCCGCCGCCGCCTCCCGCCGCCGCCGCCATGTTGTCTGTAGCCCTGAGCAGCCGAGCACCGAGCGACCGATCGGCAGCGGCTCCGTCCATAATCCCAGACAGAAATAATACAAACAGATAATAACACTATAAACATAATAACACTGTACTGTAATACACTGTAATAATATATTATAATATAAACAGATAGTAATAATATGTTGTCATATAATAATACTGTAAACAGATAATAATATACTGTAATATACTGTACTAACATAATAATATACTATAGTAATAATATATAATATACTATACTAATATAATAATATAATCATACAATATGCTATAATAGTACATAATATACTATAATAATATAATCACTACAGTACAATAATATACTATAATAATACTTTAATATTAAAGTGGAGGGAATGGACTATTTTAATCCCTGTACTCGTGTTATTATTTGACAATTAAAAGGGAGGCCCACCCCAGATGGGACTCGAACCCACAATCCCTGGCTTAGGAGGCCAGTGCCTTATCCATTAGGCCACTGGGGCTGTTCACTTGCAGCCGCTCGAGGTGCGACACTTATACAGTTCCTGCGTCATCGCGTCGCCACGTCATCAGCGGGAGACGCTCACGCTCCGGTCCGGGTTTATATTGATATATTTACATCTGAAATGAAACGCCAACTGTCCCGCGAACCGCCCAAAGAATTCACCGCTTTTATAAACCATTAATTAAAGTTTTTTTAAATGTATTTATTGCCTAAAAGTTCCGTAAAACGGACCCCACCCCAGATGGGACTCGAACCCACAATCCCTGGCTTAGGAGGCCAGTGCCTTATCCATTAGGCCACTGGGGCTGCGCGGCTGCAGCGGGAGACCGGGTCGGGATGGTCCGCATTCCCTACACTTCCCGAGGGATTGAATCCCGTCCTCAGGCCCTCAGTCAGCAATAGCCACACGTCATCCCGACCGTCTCACAGTGCTTCCCAGCACAGACTGAGGGTGTAGTGACTGTGTTATAGACTGAGGGAGTAGTGACTGTGTGTTATAGACTGAAGGTGTAGTGACTGTTATAGACCGAGGGTGTAGTGACTGTGTTTTGTGGGGGAAACGCGGCGGCCGATTGGGACAGTGATGGCCCCACAAATGAAGTCACCAAATTATTATTATTTTTTGGCTGTTTGTCCGATCGGGAAACCCACCCGAGGGGTCGCCCCGAGCGGCCGGGGATCGAACCCCAGTCTCTCGCTCGTGAGGCGACTGCTCTAACCACTGAGCTACTGGACTCCGCAGATAGGAACAGGAGGAGGCCATTCAGCCCCTCGAGCCTGTTCTGCCATTCTATAAGACCAGAGTTGATCTGAACCTCAGGTCCAATTACCCACCGTTGTCCCGGATCCCTCGATCCCGACTTGACAAACATCTCCCCTCCTCAGGCTGGTTCCTCCCTCCTCTGTCCCACCATCCGTCATTTTGCCGAGGTATAGATCAGCCGCTAATAGAATGCAGAACAGGCTCGAGGGGCTGAATGGCCTCCTCCTGTTCCTCCATCTCTTCTGGAAGTGTCACCTTATACCATCACTGAGGTGCAGGAAAGTGCTGAGTTTGCTGCTCTTGGCCACGACAGCAAAGTCATTTGTATTTTATTTATTATACTTTGGTACTTTACACAGAAAACCGTCACCATTCCACGACAAGATATACATTCATCTGAGCAAAGATTACAATGGCAAGTGCATGCGACACGGACAATCAGAAAGCACGTGGGTTGGACAGAAAGCCGTCAGTTCTGAAACCACAAATACAAGCCACAATTTTACAATCTGAACACTTTAATATTTTAATTTTTAAAATAACCAATGGAAACTAGTGAAGGCAAATGGAAAGGCGGCTTTAAGAACGGTCCTGCGGTTGTGGCCACAAAGGCTCTGGGTTAAATTAAGGCTGTTACACATTATAGCATTAATGAAATGAACAGGTCACGTGTTTATCAGCCTGTGGCTGAATTTCATTAAAAAATAATAATTCTGATATTCCTCCTCCTTCGCCCCGAAGATTGACAAAGAGACAAACGTCCATCAGAATCACAGAGACAATCATTTCTTCAGCGTTTTCACAATACAGTCTGTTCACATCCGCTTCAGTCAGTGGCTGCCGAGGCTCTGCCGGGCACCGGCTACCTCTTCCCGAGTTCATGCATCTGTAGGCTGAAGCTGGTGAAGCTCGACAGCAGATCAGCCACTTCGTCCACCTGAAGGAGGACATCAAAAGGGGAAAGTGAGAGGAAAGCAGGGTCAGCCAGAGAATGCTGTGGAGGGCAGGGATAGATGGTCTGGTGTGGTCGTGTTTTTCCTGCCTTACCTGCTCTTTTGTGCTGGTCATCTGAAGCTTGGTGCACAGGTCGTCCAGTTGTTCAGTCTCCTGGTGCTGCCCCAGTCTGTCCAGGTACTCACGGAGCATCTGGATTATCTGTAACACAGCGAGTGATTTGCAACTTAATAACTGCTGTAACAGGCAAACCTGCCCCACACTCACCTCCCAATCCATGTCCTTGCTTTGGCATTTCTGAAACTATTCTTTTGTGTCTCCTTCCTATTCCCCAGCCCCGATGGGAGAATCCCTGCCGCAGAGGGAAGGGAAACCCCGTCACTCGCCTCACAACTCACCTGTTTGACCTCTGCCCTCAGGGCTTCCAGGCTGCGGGAATGTCCTTCCTGTAAGATGTTCAGCTTAGACTTGGCCAGGTGGAGTGGGGTCCTGCCGGCTCGGTCCAGGGCATCCACTCGGGCCCCTAAAGGCAACATCAGAAGCTTCGCTTATCCTGGGCACAACCTTAGCTCCTCAGGCCCTGCCCTTCCCGGGCCCCACCTGCTCCGGTCCCCACTCCCAGGTCCTGACCCCTCAGGCCCCACAACCCCCACCCCCCTCACGCCCCCAGAGATGAAGCTGGTTTGTGAACCTCCCACCACAAAGGGCAGTAATTAATAGAATAAAATCCAAACTTACCTCCCCTTAACAGCCTGGTGATCACAGACACGTGGTTGGTACAGGCAGCTGGCAATCAGACACAGAATCACAGTCAATAATAATAATTATTATTATAATAATAAATGTGTCACAACACCAGGGTCCCTCATGCCATTGTGTCTGTGCTGGTGCTCGCTCCTCCGCTGATGCTATCTAACAAATCTCATTGCCCTTTTCTTTCCCCATTCCCTTCAGTGCTTTTCTCCCCTCCAGTAATCATCCCATTCGCCCCTGATTGTGTGAGTGATATTTACAGCCATTGTGTTTAGTCTGTAACCACATGATCATCAATAGTAAGAGAAACGCAGTACCAAGGTGGAGAGGTGTGTTTCCCAGGCCATCCCGCTGGTTGGGGTCAGCTCCGTGATCCAGTAACAGTTGCACTGTAACAGGACATCGAACATCACTATAATAACAGCAATTAAACAACAACAAACTTGCACTTATAAAGAGCTCTTCACTTAGAAGAGATGTTTCAAAGCACTTCACAACGACAATACTGTCACACACAGAGGAAAGTAGGGAAATTTGAGAGCACTGATGAACGTCGGGTCAAAGACTTTGAATCCCATTTCATGGTGTTTTCCCCTCTCGCTGGGCAGCACCTGGTCTCCATTTGACTTTAGAACCTCCTCGAGAGGAGACAGAACAAGGGAATAACAGTGGGGTCTTTACGGAGATCAAAATATTTATTTATTTAGAAGGAAGGGAAAAAGAGGGAGAGAGAGCAAAATGAAACATTTTTGAAAAAGAATTACAGACAGCAGAGGCACAGCGGCTGAAAGCTTGGCCACTGATGGTGGGATAGACTGAGTGGGAAGTGAGCAGCATCAGGCAGAAGATTGGGAGGAGCGAGGTCACGGAAAGAAATTAAGGGGAAGGGTCTTAAAGTCCTGGGAGCCAGTGAAGCCTGATGATGATGATGAGGAGGAGGAAAATGGGAGTGTGAAGTGTGTGGGAGAGAGAGCACAGGCTGCAGTTTTGGAACGTACTGGAATGTGGAGCGGGTTGGCAGTAAGGAGAGCGACTGCAATGTACTCACCGATTGAATCGTTTCCGTTGCAGGAAGCAAAATGAAGTGCGGTTCTGCCCTTGTCGTCCGCAGCACAGGGATCGATGCCGTCTTCCAGGATCTGTGTTACTGAAAAACATCCCAACACCATGGCAAGAGGGTTTACACTCCCCACAACACTGACACCAACCACGCAGACAATGGGGCCAACAAGGAGACAATGGCTCTAATTAATAGTATTTCGGTATTAAATTCCTCTAATAAGGGTCACCGGTTGGTGACCGGATGTCCTTCTGGTCAATCTGCATGAACTCCGCTCTGACCTGATGTACATCAACGACAGCAAAATTAACATTTGCTCTCCTTTCACATTGGGAGGACGTCTCATGGTGCTGGAATTTCAACAATTGAGTTTATTTAACGCCCTTTGTGCAGAGCAGCTTCTCAAGAGCGCTCAACAGTGCAGAGTTTGTGGAAGTCAATGAAGTTACCAACAGCTCCTTATTGAAGGAACTCTGTTGTTAACAACTCCACTGACTCCAACTCTGATATTTCTTGTCGTTCCAATTTTCTTCCCTTCCCCTGACCACAAGGCTTTACCGCTGACCTGACTATGATCAGCCAAATCAGACACAACCGCTGTGAGGATGTGGGACCTTCTGATTTCTATCGGTCAGTACTTTACCCACTAGAAATGCCCCCAAACCTACCGATGTCCACCTCGTTCGCATTGGCAGCTTCGCGTAAACGCTTCTGAACTGCAGGAGAAAGAGAGATTTCAGATTAACAGCAATAATCCCGGCATTTGATTCAGCGCCTTATCACATCTTCAAGACGTCTCAAAGCTCTTCACAGAATATAATGTAACATGAATTAATTGCATATTTTGTGGGCGAAACCCGGCGGTGTATATATATATATATACACTGTCTCGGGAAACTTTGCAGTGAATGTGGCGCAAAGACAGAGGAACAATGAATCGGGAGAGTTGATGGAGGCCGTTCGTGGATTGGAAGGTGAGGGCGAGGATGTGCGCGGACTCTCACCGTGAACCTCTTTGCCCAACGGACAAACCCTGCGGTGAAGCTTCACGTGGCGTTTCAGACGGCTGACGCCCATTTTGCCGGTCAGCTCGTCCCTCCGCGAGCCGCAGCCGTCGTGTTTCTGCCACATGAAGTGCAAGTAACTGAGCGCGTCGCTGTGATCCCCTCCACTGAAGCCCCACTGCATCCTGAGGCCACTGCACCGCGACGGCGACTTCTGCTCCGAGACCACGAACTCTCCTTCTGAGCATTTGTCTGAGGTATTGTCTTCATCAGAAACGGCGCAACTCATTGCACCTCCGCTTCTCCGTCACTGTCTCTCCACTGTCCTCAACGTCTCCGTCTCTCTGTGTCTAACCTTATGGTGTTGTGGTGGTGTTGTTGCTGTACTCTGTCAGTCAGTGTCACAGTCTGTGTGTCCCTCAGTGTCTCTCTGTTTGTGTCTCTTTCCTCTTCCGGTCACAACCGCCCAGTGACTGACTGACGGCGGTGACAACCAATAGGAACTCCAGACACCGATGACCTCATTCCCACCCAATGAGCCCTCCCCCCACACAGCCCCTCCCCCCACACACAGCCCCTCCCCCCCACATAGCCCCTCCCCCCACACACACAGCCCCTCCCCCCACACAGCCCCTCCCCCCACACACTGCCCCTCCCCCCACACACACAATGGGTGGGGGGGCTTGGTGTGTGTGTGGGGGGGAGGGGTATGAGGGGGATTATGACGTGAGGTTGGGGGCGGGGACTCTGTCCTGCGGAACCTGGGGCTGGGGACCGGAAGGGGAGGAGTTTCTAGTTGCGGGACGCCACTTCCTTCCGGTTGTGACGCGCGGCAGCGGCAGCGAGAGACATGTCGGCCTTCACTGAGGAGTACAGCGCCGAGGTGAGCGGCTCCCCCCGCGGCCCGCGCCCCGCGACCCTCCCCCCGTGCCCCCCCGCCCCGCGACCCCCCGCCCCGCGACCCCCCGCCTCGCGACCCCCGCCCCCCCCCCCGCCCCCCCCCAGCCCCCCGCCCCCCCACGCGGCCCGGACAGGCCTCGGGCTCGGGCGCCTTTGTGACCCCGGGATTATTAGGATTATTACTATTATATTATTATATATATCTCTCCCCTCCCTTCCTGATCCCAGGCGCCAATTGTTTCCCGGCTGAGACTCGCCATTCGCACAGACTGGGCCAACAACCACAGATGACATTTGTTCAGCGCCTCTGTCACAGACTGAACCTGTGATGACTGAGACCCCGCGAGGCAACGGCGACACATTTACTCACCTGCGCCTCAGGCAACGAGCGCCGTTGTTTCAGCTCAAAAGCAAATCAAAATCGCCCATGAATTGACCTGAGATATAAAGAATGTCTCCCCTCATTTACTGCAGAAAGTAACACTGTACTGACCACCACGTTAATGTTCCCGCTGCCTGAACACCACCATTAGTTTGCTAGTCAGTTAGTTTGCTAGTTAGTTAGTTTGCTAGTTAGTTAGTTAATTACATGGATAGATTGGGTATGTAAGTGCTGAGATGACGTGACAACTATTTTGTATTTCAGCCTTCAAGAGATGACACTTCGCATTCTAAAGGGGAAGCGACCACAAGTAATAAAGTAAGCTTTTTTATCACTTTAGTCTTTCACTGGTTTTGTACAGCTCTTTGTTGTGGCGCTGTTCAATGTTGTGCCAGTTCTGGTTTTTACCGGCCGAATAATAATAATAATAATCCTTGCATTTCTAGACCTCTCAAAGCGCATCACAGAATATACTGTAAAGTGAATTGACTGTTAATTAATTGAATTAATGGTGGGGGGNAGAGTTACATGAGCATATTGAAAAATCCTCTTGGACACCCGGAGTACTATTCTGTGTGACTGTGTGGGTGTGAAATGGTGCTGTTGTCGTTGCCTGTGTTACTAAGCTATTTTGCCCCTTTTTCCACAGTATGATCCATATGCTTACAATGCTGAATACGACCTGCACACAGGTAAGCCACTCACCTGTCTCACATGCATTTCCTTTCTCCTCAACACAGTCAGGGGGTGAATGTATGGCCTGGTGGAGGTGGGCTGATCTCGGCTGATTGCATGTTACTCCCAAGGAGAAAATTGCAGAGTTTCACTCTACATCACCCGATTCACAAGGCAACACAACCTAAAGTAATTACTGTAAATGCTTTGAGGAGTTTTGACGTCACAGGCGCTAGATCAAACGGAAGGATGACAGTTCTGATCCTGTAAAGCGTTTTGAGATGCTGAAAGGCACAGAGCAATGTGAGTTATTGTTGTTGTTCTCAGGGGATCCCAAGCAGGACCTGGCTTACGAGCGTCAGTATGAACAGCAGACGTACCATGTGATCCCAGAAGTCATAAAGAACTTTATCCAGTATTTTCACAAGACGGTGACTGACCTGATTGACCAGAAGGTGTACGAGTTGCAGGCGAATCGTGTGACCAGCGACCTGATCGAGCAGAAGCTGTATGAGATCCAGGACATCTACGAGAACAGGTATTGACAACAATCACATAAGCGTCTGTTTGCTATTCCCGTCTCAGCCCATAGACAGCACAGCACACTCAGGGCTGATCTTCTGTAGTTCTTAACGATTAAGGTTTAACTTAATAATTTTCAAAAACTTGTAATGATTTCAAGTTTTATGACTTTGATGAGCTTAACCTTAAGACCATGCTGAATTGCAGGCCTCTGATGTATTTATATATGAGGTGGAAGCGGGCTCCACGTGTATGAAGTGCCTCTATGTCTGTCTGTCACTCCTTGACTTTCCTTCTCCAATCTCGCAGCTGGAACAAACTGACCGAACGCTTCTTCAAAACCTCACCCTGGCCAGAGGCTGAGGCCATCGCCTCCATCTGTCGCAACGGTAAAGCGCATTGAACTGTCGCACGGAGTGCACGCCTGTACGTAACTGCGCTGCCTAATAAATCCAGACTGAGCACGGCGGCCACAAGCTTTCACCTGAACAGCAGCATGAGCAGCCCATCAGGAACAGTGAAGGGAATTCTGATTGGAAATTTCCCACAGACGGGGGTGGTGGGGAATGTAACAAGAGAAACTTTACAAAGAAAAGAAGTTTTCACATTGTGCAGCTAAGATTACTGGCTGAACAGCGTCTGTGTTCAGTTAACAATAAACTGTGATGTATTTACCAGCAAGTCTTTCTTTTCAGATGTTGTTTTCCTGATTCTGTATAAGGAGCTGTACTACAGGCACATCTACGCCAAAGTCAGCGTAAGTCCTCGTCTCCACTCGTACTGTTTGTAAATCTATATCCAGGCCAGGGTTAATAGCTTCCTGCAAATCCATGGTTAAATTGAAGTCAGTCACTGCACATTCCCCTGCAAACACATGGTAACTACATTTCACAGTAAGATCCTTGTGAAGCACATGTGGCTCAAAGTGTTTTTCTCTTCACCTCGCCAGGGAGGGCCCACACTGGAACAGAGATTCGAGTCGTATTACAATTACTGTAACCTCTTCAACTACATTCTCAGTAAGTGCGTACTCCACACAGGCTTTTATTTCCTGTCCAGTCTCCCCTCCCGGCTCACTGAAGCTACACCTGAAATCTTCTGTTTTTGTTTTATGCCTTGTTCATTCCACTTTAAAGTATATCCTGTGAAGCGCTTTGAGATGTCTCAATGATGTGATAAGGCGTGATACCAAATGCAAGAATTATTATTATTATAATTACTATAAAGCACATTTTGATGTATAAAGCGCTACAACAGTTCTTTCTTTGCCACCACAGCTAATGTGTTTTAAGCGATTGATTTTTATGAAGCTCAAAGTGCTATGAAATACAGTTATTATCAGCTGACTTCTCTGACTCCCTGAATAAAGGAAAGTGTTTCTATCTCTCTTTTCTAATCCATTCTCTCTCTACCTGACATCCTCAGATGCTGACGGACCCGTTCCTTTAGAGCTTCCTAACCAATGGCTTTGGGATGTCATTGATGAGTTCATTTACCAGGTAACCAGCCCTTTGTTAACGTGCAACCAGTGGCTTGAGAGTGATGTTGGTCTTGGTGGAACGTGAGATTCAGGCTCGACGGTCCTCAGAGACTGTCCTGTTCTTGGCCAAGTTTGTCTTCCTCGACACACCTAAACGCACGCACACACACACGGCAGGATGTGGACATCTCTGTGGCTTGCGGAGTCCTGGACCAGTTAGATTTGAACGTTGTGGAGCCAAACGGGTAGAAACAGGGATCGAATGTAAAAGTTAAATATTTACGGAGAGAAGTGGCTTTGCTAACCGGATTTGTGAATGAATCTGAACCATGTTACTTTTGACGCTGGTCTCAGTGAAGCTTCGCTCTGTTGCAGTTCCAATCTTTCAGTCAGTATCGGTGTAAAACCGCTAAGAAAACGGATGAGGAGATTGAATTCCTTCGGTCCAATCCCAAAATCTGGAATGTGCACAGCGTCCTCAACGTGCTGCATTCTCTGGTCGACAAATCAAACATCAACCAGCAGCTGGAGGTGTACACAAGTGGAGGTAAATGCAGATATTCCCCGTTCTCAACTCGACTCCGCCGTCTCCATCTCTTCGCTGTGCTCCTCCCCTTGTCTGGCCAAGTGCGTTTGCTCCTCTGACGCCTGCTGCTGTTTGTTGACAGGTGACCCAGAGAGCGTGGCTGGGGATTACGGACGTCACTCCCTATATAAGATGTTGGGATATTTCAGCTTGGTGGGACTTCTGCGTCTCCATTCACTTCTGGGAGATTATTACCAGGCCATCAAAGTGCTGGAGAACATTGAACTCAATAAGAAGGTACGTCTTGATGATGCGCAGTTAGGATCAATCCCATTACTTTTTACAGTCAATACAGTCGGCTATAGTTGAGGCAAAATCTTTTTGAATGGGAATTATATGTAGCTGCTAGAAAAGTAAGGATATGACGGAAGGGAGAACAAGGAGAGTGGGGCTAGTGGTTCACATTTGTGTAAATAATATCTGAGTTTCCTGCCTGCTTTGGGTTGTGAATGTTTGTGACTATACCATGTGGTTTATCAGCTAGCCAATGTGTCGTTACATGTGTTACAGAGCATGTACTCCCGAGTGCCAGAATGCCAGGTCACAACCTATTACTATGTGGGATTTGCCTACTTGATGATGCGTCGCTACCAGGATTCCATCCGAGTGTTTGCCAACATCCTGCTGTACATCCAGAGAACCAAGAACATGTTCCAGCGATCCACTTACAAATATGAGATGGTAAATAATGGCGTTCAAGGATTTGTATCTCTGTCAGAGTGTAATTAGTGACTGCATCGGTTTTTCCAGATTACCAACTGGCAGCTTTGGCCACGACAGTCAATTCCAATGTTCTGTTCCGAGGAGAACAACAACAAATTGTATTAATGCACGCCTTTCATGTCAGGTGGACCTCCAAAGGCACTGTAAGATGTGGGGAATTTACAGGATGTTTTCTCACTGTCTCACAGATCAATAAGCAGAACGAGCAGATGCACAGCCTTCTGGCCATCGCCCTGACTCTGTACCCCATGAGGATTGATGAGAGCATCCACACCCAGCTCCGAGAGAAGTACGGAGACAAGATGATCCGGATGCAGAAGGGGTTAGTGCAGCCGCTCCCTGCGGTTTACCTGATTGTTGGGATCTAACGGTGTCTGTGGTGATCAGTCAATCACATTCTCAGCTAGTAACAAACTACACAAACAGATCAACCTGATCTGTTACACCTGACCTGGTAAATCTTTCCGTTGGTTACAGGGACCCACAGATCTTCGAGGAGCTGTTCAGTTTCGCCTGCCCCAAGTTCTTGTCGCCTGTGGTGCCAAACTATGATGCTGTTCATGCCAATTACCACAAGGAGCCCTTCCTGCAGCAGCTGAAGGTGTTCATGGATGAGGTGCAGCAGCAGTCTGTGCTCTCCACCATCCGCAGGTACATGTGTCAGCCCGGCTCAGTCACTAACCATCTCGTTTCCATCGGAAGGTTGTGGGTTCAAGTCCCACATGGGGACTGGATGTCAGTCCAGACTGAGTGCAATGCTGGAGAAATTATTACAGTAACCTCGCTTCTAACAGGGCTTAGCTGTAAACTTCATCCTGCCGTTTCCCTTAAACGTTAAAGGTACAAAAGGAAAAGCCTGCCCTGTTTGTAAATTATCAGGCAAGTGACTGACTAGCACTGAAATAGATTTGTGTGTGGGAGGGGAGGGGGGCGCGGGGATGTATGCATGTGAGTGAACAGACACAAGACATTAGTGTTCGGGTGTGTTGTCAGCTCACTAAAATAATTCACTTAATGTTTTCCTGGCTCGCTGTCTGAGCTGCCAGTATTAATAGCCGCCTAGTTACCATTGACCGCGCTCTCTCTGTTACTGTAGTTTCCTGAAGCTCTACACCACCATGCCTGTGGCTAAGTTGGCCGGCTTCCTGGACATGTCAGAGCAGGAATTCCGCATCAACCTCCTGGTTTTCAAGCACAAGATGAAGAACCTGGTGTGGACAAGTGGCGTCTCAGCGCTGGACGGGGAGTTTCAGTCGGCCTCGGAGGTGGACTTCTACATTGACAAGGTTTGGCCACCAAGAGGGCAGTGTGTGGGTGTGAATGTGGAGACGTATAGCGTAGTGTTTAGAGCACTTGCCTCGCGAGTGAACCTGGACTCCATTCCCGAGCAGAGCGAACCCTTAGGCAAGTTTCCTTACTCCATACATATGCCTGTTTACCTAGAGGTAAGTAGGAATAATTTGGTCACTCATGGGATACTGTTGTGCGCAATTGGCTGCCGCATTCAATTCCCTTTACAGTGTATCCTGTGAAGCGTTTTGAGACATCTCGAAGAGGTGATAAGGTGCTGTATCAAATGCCAGGATTATTATTATGGCAGATCTCCACCCACATGCAAAAGGAAGCAATTCAATCAGAGGTACACAGACTAATGGGACAAATGGCCTCCTGGTGTGAGGTAAAAGATAATCTTTCCGTTGAGGCAGTGCTGTTCACATCTGGCTGATGTCTCAAAACCATTCTTTCTCATGAGGATTTTTGTATGTCTTGTAGCTGAATGAAGCTCCATTATTCAGATTCTAACACAATTAACATCAGCAAAGCTGCAGTCGTTTTTCTTCTTGTCAGTCTTTGTACTCCTGAAAGTCTTGTTGCGTTTAAACCCAGTCTGATTTGCTGTTTTAATTCAGGACATGATTCACATCGCAGACACCAAGGTGGCCCGGCGTTATGGTGATTTCTTCATCCGGCAGATTCATAAATTTGAAGAGGTGAGGCTGTTTATGTAACTCACTGACTGTTTCACAATCTGGGATATCAGTTTAGTTTAGTCTTTCTCTCACCTGAGTCAGATGTTTGTAGGTTGAAGTCTACAACTGAGAGCTGGATTGTCAGAGGAACAGTCCCTCAGACAAGATGTCAGACTGAAGTCTTTCCTGCTTTTTGTTCATTTATTATTAATAATAAGGTAGATAGTAAAGATCCCATTGTATTCATTGAAAATAGAAAGGAGTTTCTCCAGGTATCATTACCTAACCACTGGGTAAAATAATTTGTTTACCTCCTGGCTGTGCTCTGTGACCCACGCCACAGCAACGGCGGAAGTCAGCACGGGCACTAGGTTTAACTGCAGGGCTATGTTACACCTTAGCAATAATAATAACTTGAGCAAAACTGGCATATATGTTATGATGAGCTTGTTTAGATCATAGCTCATCAATGATAGGAGATCCCTGAAAAAATATTTGCCCATGACACTCCCTGGAGGCAAGACCTTTCCGATGAAGTATAAATAATGTCTCTACGTCAATCGGTTATTGAGTTCTTAGTGGGTACAGATATAGACATTAGGTCCTTATTAGTATAGATGAGCGTCTGCACTGACCACAAGGTGGTAGGTATGTGCTGAGTTCGCTTGCTGAGATCCCAGTTTGGGGCTTCTGATTCTCCTATGTCTGAAATAAGGAGTGAAATCCCATGTGGTTCCTGATGCTCACTCTTTGGGAATGCGGGTGCCGTCTGTATTAATAATAAAAAATATATACTGAAATGTAACTTCTTTCTTTTCTAGCTGAACAAAAGCTTGAAGAAAATCAGCCCACGATAATCCAATTACTTTTCAGAAGGACTGAGTGAAGAAGGTTGCTATCTGGGGTCTATGGTTTCAGTATCTGATTGCTAATGGGTGGGTGCACTGCCTGGAGGCTGGTGCTATGCCGTGGAGCAATTACAAGCTCAAAATCATCAAAGACTAAAAATCAATAAACACACTTTGTTTTATAATTTGACGGATCGGATCCAGTTTCCCTGACAGTTTTTGACTGTTTTCTATACGTTGCTATTCTCGGTTACACAGTTGCCTACATGGCCTTGTTACTTGCTTAAATCCCAAACAATGGCTGTTCAGATGTACTTCATGTCAAAACAGGGCAAGGAAATCTCACTTCCCCTCCCTCCACAGGCAGATTTACAGATAACAAACAGACCCTCACCAACTACAGCTGAATATTGGTAATTCGGAGAGTTCGGTGTATACAACCCAGCGTTAGGTCAACCAGATATCTGCCCTTCAGTGTGACTGACATTATTCCTGTTACAATTCAGATGTATTCAGTTACTAAATTAAACCTCCACCGAACCACATTTATCAATAAAATAATAAACCGATGTCTCCTTGTTGTATTTGTGTTTCACACAAAGTTACTGAGTGGACACCTGAGTTGGAAGAATTCCATAACAACAACAAATTAATGTGTACAGTGCCTTTCACGTCAGAAAGTCCTAAGACGGTCAGCGTTTGGAATCTGAAAGTATGATCTCAGCTCATGGTCTTTGCCATCACTGCACCTGAACACAATCTAAAGTGGCAAATGTGATCTATCAGTGGCACTACAATCAGTCACATTGCCACAAAAATCAAACCGCTGCTGTTAGAGCTCTGCACTGGTGAGAAGGCTCTGAGTTGGGACCCGCAGTGACGCTGCCACACCGCAGGGCGGCCCCGCCTCAAGGGCCATGGCAACGGGTGACGTCAAAGCGCATGACGTGCCCCGGAAGGAGTCTGGTTGCGGCGGGGTAAAGGTTTGGGTGACGCTGTGACGCCATTGCTACTGTTGTTGTTGTTAGTAACTGCCGCCAGGAAGTTCAGGCCAGTGATTGGCAGATCCTCAGCCAATTAGAAAGCCGTCTCAGGGATGTTCTTCCAATCCGCGAGCTGCTGGGGCGGGACTTCCAATGTGGGTGACCCTTCCGCTTGAGCTTCAGGCGGACATTCCCTGACACCTTCCCCTCCTCCTCACCTCTGGTCACCGAGACCCGCTTCTCCTTCAGTGACTGTTGGAGCCGGGAAACAAGACGACTGGCCGGAGAGCGAAGGGAAGGCGGAGGGTAAGTGCAGCCACAGAATCACATAATAGCATAAGTGACGGGAAAGCAGTGGTGGGGAAACACACACCGACATGGAACAACTCAGCCGCAGCCACTCGGCCCATCCTGTGGCTGGTGATTCTTCCACAACAAGAGCCTGTCCTTGTCCCATATCCTGACACCCCCATCCCTCAACTTCATTCTTATAACCATGTGTCTGTCCAGTGTTTTTGAATGTGAACATCGCCGAATGGCCTCTCGCGGTGTAATCGTTATATTAATCCATCCATCTTCCTCCATATTCTGGAGAGCTCACATATTCTTCGGGGGAGACTTCAGGACCAGAGAAAATTCAAGGCTGCAGCGAAGTGACAGCGCCTTAATGAATGGTCCATAACTTTGCTTATTTGTCTCTTGTATTTCATTGCTGAGTCGTGTCCATCTCCGTTCATTGACTTTTTTTTATCTTCACAGAGAACATAATGTTGTGATCCTGACCTCCACTCACTGTCATGGCGACCTGGTCCCGCACAGCTGTGTTGAATCTCTACCGCGCTCTCCTGCGAGCAGGTCAGCACCTGCGGTACACTGACCGAGAGTATTACTATTCGTACGTTAAGCGGGAATTCAGGAAGAACCAGCATCTCACCGAGGAGCAACAGAGAACTCAACAACTGAAGAAAGGCATTTACTTTCTGAACAATAAGCTTGGAGGCCTGGTTTAATTAATGGCCGAAGCTTAGTAGCTGATTTGAGAATTCTAGGTGAATGTTTACTAAAACTTCTTAGGCTGCACTCCACTGAAGGGTCAATGAGCAATATAGCACCTGATGCAGCATGAGGACATGAAAGGCACAGGCACAACTCAGTCAAGCTCAGTTGATGGTTGGGGCTACTCATTGGGTTAGATAGGTGAAATCAGCCAGGGATCCTGCTTCAGACCAAGTGTTAGCATTGGCATCTAGAGTGACGTGTGAGCGTGAAACTGATCTCTGCAGTTCAGTTTCACACTAACCAGGGCGTAAGTGAGTCAGCGAATGGGGGAAACCCAAAAATGTAGTTTTAAAAGTTTTTTTTAAATGAATAAACTAATATCTTATAAAATAATAACAAGATTACATTTGTAGAGCGCCTTTCACGTCGGTAGGACGTCCCAAGGCACTGGACAGTGTACAGCATTTCAGACCCGAGCTGGGGGAGAAGGGAGGGAGGGGGGTGGCCGATGGCATGGTCAAGAGGAGGGTCTTGAAGCGAGACTTGAAGGAGGCTAAGGAAGGGGTGAGGTGGAGTGATTGGGGGATGGAATTCCAGAGGTTGGGGGCAGAGTGGCTGAAGGCTCTACCGTCAATGGTGGGGCGGGTGGGTCAGGGGACGTGGAGCAGGCCAGAGCCGGCTGAGCGGAGGGAGCGGGCGGGTTGGTAGGGGGTTAGGAGGTCGCGGAGCTCGGGTCTGAAATGCTGTACACTTCCAGTGCCGAGGCCATGGAGGGCTTTGTAGGTGAGGACCAGGATCTTGAACTGGATCCTCTGAAGGATAGTGAGCCAATGGTGTCGGACAAGAATGGGGGAGATGGGGTCACGGAGTTTTGTGGGTGAGAGGACATGGGCTGCAGAGTTCTTGATTATCTGCAGCCTGTGGAGGGAGGAGTTGGGAAGGCCAACAAGCAGGGAGTTTGCATAGTCGAGCCTGGAGGTGATGAAGGCATGAACAAGAGTTTCGGCGCCTGAGGGGTGAGGCAGTGGTGGAGTTGGGTGATGTTACGGAGGTGAGGGAAGGCAGAGCTCGTCAAGGCTTGGATGTGGGGAAGAAAAGAAGGTTGAGGGTCGAACAAGACACCGAGCTTCCTGACTGGCTTGGTGAGTTGTAATGTGCAACCATGGAGGTTGATGCTGCCAGAGCCTGAGGTGCAGAGGCGCTGGCGCGAGCCAATCAGGAGGGCCTCAGTCTTGTTCAACTGGAGGAAATTTGCCCTCATCCAGGACTTGATAAAATGCTATGTCAAATGTAAGTAGTATTATTATCTGCATTTGTGTACTGAAGCCTATTTGTAGTAATGTTATCGCTTTTTTGCCTCTAGTTGTACCGTGTTTAACATGGCTGGTGCTGGGGAAGGAAAGAGCAAGAAGGGGGATAATGGGATTGGAAATGCCATAGACTTCATGCTTTCAAATGCCAGGCTGGTGCTGGGGGTTGGCGGTGCTGCCATGTTGGGTATTGCAACACTGGCTGTCAAGAGGGTAAGATGTTCCTTTTTTCTCAGTATTTACTATACTGTGGTGCTGACAATTCTGCTGTGGGGGAGTTGTATCTTACACTTTGTAACTAACATGAACCCTGTGGTGAAGGAAGATTGGAAATAGCAAGAGTAGAATATTCTTATTCTTCATTTTTTTCTGAATTTCTTTGACTGATGGGTGGACTCTAAACTCAGTTTATTTGCCAGTTTTCTCTCCTCCTTAAGTTGATAAGATAGGACTTCAGCCACCGCTGCTAATTCACAAAGTGGGAGAGGAAGTAAGAAGCACACAGCTGAAACCTGAAGCTGTCCTACACCTCATTCCCATCAGAGGGCTCTTCATACCAATTAATGACATGAGTCCTGGCTTACTCATGTTATTAATTGCTATGAAAATTGCTATATTATTTCCTTATAGCATGGGTTGCGATTTGAACCTAAAATTTCTGCTTATGACTGTGCTAATAAGGCTGTAATTGAACAGACTTAAGATATTGGGGGAGCAATCTATTCAGTCAGTCCACATGTCCAGCTAATGCTTCGATCTGGGTTTGCCTGTTTCCAGATGTACGACAGGGCGATTAGTGCTCCAAGTAGCCCCAGTAAAGTGGACTCGAGATCTGGGAAGCGAAGCTGGGAGGAACCCAGCTGGATTGGGTCATCACCACGGTTACTGACCAAGGATATGAAGAGCAGTGTTAGCAAGTCTCTGCAAACCTTGCCCACAGATTTTGTTCGTCTTGAACCAGGTAAATGAATTATCTGGGGGTAAAATAAGGCTTTGAATTAATATATATGATACACCAAGTACTGAAAATTCATGTCTTTTGTATGTGAGGAAATACAAAATGATTATTGAGAGAATATTCCAACATCAGTAATGGTTTTAGGAACAGAAGGGTGGTGTGGTCAACTGGTACATCTTGGAGTGAAAGGTGCAGATTTGCTTCTGTCATTTTCCCACCCTTCAAGTTATTTGTACACCTTTCATCTTAGCTTTTATATTTTAAATGCATTTATTACAGGAATGTAAGAGGCCATTCAGACCATCAAGCCTGTTCCACAAGTTTGTTTGATGAGAAGAAATCTGGGTATCTCACTTTTAAACATCCATTGCCTCTGCTTCTTTAGCCTTCTGGGGTAGTATGTTCCACACATTTGTAATGTGTTTGTGTAAATATGCTTTTATTCTGAAATCCCTCCTACTTTGGATGTAAAGTTAAGATGATGTCCCTAGTCTTTGATCCTCCACCAGAGAGAAGTCATTGACTTCATTGTGTTCAATACTATTGTTTCAAAACATATTGTTTTCCTCTGTCGGGAACAGGTATCTCCAGAGGCGCTGGTTCCAGTAAGAAATCCCACATGGACCTGACGAAGGCCAGACTGCGCATGTCCATGCAGGAGAAGCTGTCGGTTTACTACCGCAAGCACGTGATGGTTCCAGATGGGGAGATGAACCGAGCCAAGCAGGCTGCCATGGACATCTGCTCAGAGCTGCGCAATTTCATCCATGCCAAACTGCCTGACATGCCTCTCCGGGATATGTACCTCAGTGGCAGTCTGTATGACGATCTCCAGGTCTGAACTTGAGCGTTTACCCCACAAAATACACACAAACACTTTACAGTATATCCTGTGAAGCGCTTTGAGTCCTCTCGATGACATGATATGCAAGGAATATTATTATAAAAGGCTACTAATGAGCTGACATTCACTTCATCTCTAATTAGTCATTTTGTAAAGTGCTTTGAGATGTTTGTTTTATGTGAAAGATGCTACATAAATAGAAGTTGTATGTCGTTTCAGTGCAACAAATAACTTCCAATTTTTGATGTGTAGAATTCCCAATCCAAGCACATATCCATGTGTAGTCCACAGGTTGTATTCTCTTAAGACGTGTGATGCTATATACACTGAATTGTGGAATGATTGGTCACTGTTGAAGTTACGACTCCTTCAGCAGTGAGGAGCGTTATTAGTTATTGAGGAAGAAGCACGTGCAGTAGTAAGTTAAAAACATAACTAAAGTGAAATAGTTTGTTTTGCCTTATGCTGAGCAACCAGTCACCCATCATGGCAGACTTCAATTGTGAGAACAACTAATGTTCCCTCATTCTATTGTAAACCTAAGAGTGGCATTTGAGTGAGTCGTGTTTGCCTGTATAAATAATCACAGCAGCACTGGCCTTGTCTATTCATGTCAAAGAAAGTGTAAGACAGCTAAGACACAAAGTAGCTGCCATAGATATTAATTGTGTGCCAATCTTTCAGGTAGTTACTGCAGACCATGCTCAGCTAATGGTTCCGCTGATCTTGGAGAGAAATCTCTGGGCTGCCATCCCAGGGGAGGACACCATCATGAACATCCCTGGCTTCTGGCTTGTCCGCAGGGAGAACATGGAATACTTTCCTCGCAGCAGCAGTTACTGGGACCGCTGCATCGTGGGGGGCTATCTTCGCCCAAAGTAGTGATCGAGACGTTTGATAAGGTCATGTCAGGATCGATCAACTGGCCAGCCATTGGGAATGTCTTGGACCTGATCATCCGCCCAGTGGTTCCCTCTGAGTCACTGACCTTGGAAGTTCAGTATGATACCAGTAAAAGGCTGTTTATTGACTTCTTACCTTTGATTGTCATGGAGGAGTCCATGCTGATCGCCAAACCACACAGGAATGGCCGCTATGAAAACATGTGGCGTCAAAGTTTCCGGACTGCGGAAACAGCCAAACTGAGAGCCCTGGATGACGGGGATGGAGGCTGTCGCTGCTGCTGTCTGAAGATATTGAAGACGATATGTAAATACAACCCCGTCCTGGGAAAGCTGACCGCCAGCCAACTCACCAATGTCCTCCTCCATCAGAGCGAGAAGGAATGCGACTGGTCACAAGAAGCACTGGCTGATCTGTTCATTGGGGCCCTGAAGGAGCTGATTGGCTACTTGGAACAAGGCTTCCTGCCATGCATTCTGGACAACAAAGTGAACCTGTTCTTGGAACTGACTGACAATGAGATTGATGAACTGGGTTATACTCTGTACTGTTCCTTGTCAGAACCAGAGACTTTACTAAACACATGAATTGAAATGTTCAGTGGGCACTTGTACAAGTTCATATTGTCCTGGTGATCAGGGAATTAGTCAAGTGACCTATAAATGTGCCTAACCAATCCGTTACCCAAAGTTTACCAGGAGACTATTTTGAAACCAGACTTTCCTGAACATTTCTTGTGATTGTGTTGCATGAAAAGGGAAGGTCAAATGGCAGTCTCGCAGGCAGCACGTGGCAATTTATGTTAAACACAAGCAAAAATTGTGAATAGTGCTGATTTAGGGAGCCAAAATGTAGAGTAAATGTTCTCATTTCTCAATAAGTATAAATTGTAAGTGTCCAAACAAATCCACCAATTTGGGAGTGAACTTTCAAGATCGTGGTGTGAATAAAGCCTATTTAATTGAGTTGGTGGCATTTTCTTTTCTTTTGGCAATCTTCCCTCCCCCCAGCCCCCTCTGATCGGGTGTGATCTTTTCTTTCCTTCAAATGCTTATTTGCGACATACTGCTGCATGCCAGTAACCTGTTTCTATCATCTACAAATGCACAGTCACTAGACTTTCTTTCAAAATGTTTGGGCAACACAAGGTGTTATATTATAAATAACAAGTGTTTATTCTGAGCATTTGAGTCAGTGTCAGCAGTTATTTGACTGCAGAGGAATCAATAACCGAGCCTGTCCCCACGCTCACACCAAATCCCCAAAGCGGCCTTCATGAACTGCATCTATTCTCCATGTAAAATATCACACTGTTTATATCCTGTCGAAAGTAGCCTCGTGGGAATATTATATGAGGCAGGATTCCTGTTCCTGGTTGTTATTCAGTGCACATAATGGACAGGAATCCTGGCTGACGTGGGTAAAAACAGGACTGGGTGCTGTTCACCATCCACGGCTCAATTAAACGATTTGTGAACCGAGAATGAATGTCTTCAAGCATTTAAATTATACAACCTGACTAAAACAAACGGCAAAAATGTCGTGGAGAGTTAAATATACGACGAGAAAGTAAGGCAAATATCTTTTGGAATACTTTGTTGACAATATCTGAGCATTAAGAATTGGTTATTTAGGCAGTTAGTTGCCTGAGCCTCTGTAACCCAAGAAACCCTGACTTCAGGGTGCAAGATAATTGGCAAAAAAGAGAAATTCTTTGCCTGGAGGGAAAAATCCTCATCAAAAGCTAGAATTTTTAAAAAAACAAATGTCTTCCATTTTCCTTTGTTTCTTTGCGCTGTCCTCACGGTTCTCATAAAACAAGACCCTCAGAGCTCACAACTTTTACAAACAATTCTGGCTTGCAACCCAAGCCTATGATTGGTTTTGACTTCCACTTGATCTTTTAAGCCAGCTTTTTTTATGGTGTTAGCTTGGCTGGAATGCTATGTGGTATTTTCATTGGGAGAAGGGAAGGGGTGGTCCCTTAACACAAAGGTAACATTAGCCTTGGAAGAAATCAAAGGACTTGCCCTTTAACCCTTTTACCAGTGCAACCTCAGATTTGCGTTGGAACAGCACTCCAGATGGCACGATCGAATATTTCTGTTACTTTTTGTTTTAAGCAATAATCAAACTTGTGCATGAATCAAATGTTCAAAATTTGCATTAAGAACTGTAGCAAATCCCAGCAAGTCAGTGAGAGTGGTTAATGGCAAAAAGAACATTACAAGATAACTCCAGAGGAACAGCAACTTTGTGCTTTAACTGAGTGGTCCTTCATGATCAGAGCCAGCCAGAAGAAGTGTTGAGGTATGTTTTAACTATGTCTGTGAAATAAGACAGCTCCTTTACGGTGACTGACTGGGTGGTACAGTCTTTTGGAATATTGGACAGATGCGTCACGTGAGGTGGCAAAAGCCTGAGCTGAGTTAACCTGTGTGGCAGTGGGGGCACAGACATCGGTCTCTGAATTGCCTGGGTGGGGAGGCAAACAAATGAACATGATTGCTGATTGCTGACCAGCGACCCCTAGTGATCAACATTTGTGTGGAGACTGAATGAGAAAAGTAGGTGGCGAGATCAGCCATGAAGGAAATGGATTGATGATATAAATAACTTGATCTCAATGCTGGGTCAGAAGATGTAGGTTCACGTCCTACAAAGAGACTTGGTCAGGGAACTCGCAATGGCAGCATTCATTACTCTGTGTGCGAAATTGAATTCATTGTGTTATTAATCATGCAATGATTTGCCTTTTCTGCATTAGCAGAAAGCTGTCAGCAAGTTGTGAGTGACTTTAGGAAAGCTCTGCAATTTTACACAAGGAATTGGTCAGGCAAGCCTCCATTTCTTTAAGGAATTTATAAGGATTTTTCAAAAATTCTGCATGATCTTAAATTTTAAGGCTAAGATCAAGTGCTGTCCTCTGGTACCTCAACCAAGTGAGGTCATTCCTGATGTGTAAGTCTAGACAATGAGGCACAGTATTTGATGGTGGGAGGTATTCTCGCAATAAACTATCTATGATGTTGAAAACCTAGGAAGTAAAAGGTCATTCATTAAGTGTGTATATTCATTAAGATAGTTTTAACTTGCTCTTATAAAGAGGACAAACACCTGTTCCACTGATAGCTCACCCCAGCATTCGTTATCTCATTTTCTATTTTTGTGAGTCCTGAAAGGCTTTGAAACTCTTAGGATGCCTCTGTCCATGTGTCTGTGTCTTTAAGAGGGTAATAGAGTTCCCCAAATAACCCAGTGAGTACAGTTTGCCTAGAGTATCAGTAAGCCATAAAAAAAACAATCGGTAGCCTGTGCTGAGTTAGCAGATCTAAACCAAGGCAGCATTTGGATAGTGATGATTGGCTTCAATGTCTCGGGGTCCACGACGATAGACTAATTTAACAACCCAATTTAAAAATACAAATAACCCTAATCTCATCCACCCCTCAGTGCCAGGCCAGTGAAGGGGAGGAAGGACTCAGCTTCAATGCTGGGATGTGCTGCCTGTAACATACTTGACCTAGACGTTATCATTTAATTACAATTGCACTGCTTTTATGGGTGCAAAGGCATAGCATATTCTAGGATAGATATGACATATCTAGCAGCTTAGCTACAGGGTATATCCTAATATGACACTGTTGCTTGGAAACCACATTAGCACTTACCCATTGATTACGGTTTAACATAACTCTTTACAGACTGAGCGAGGAGAAACCTTTTCAGCAGAAATTCTGAGCCCCAGGAATGCCCTGTCAGCAGTTACAGTACTTCAGTGCTCAGATCCCCAACAGTAGATCCTCAACTTAATTCCTCAGTTTCTAGACACCATTCCCTTGTGAGAAACTTTACATTCTATTCAGTAATTAGCTTATCTCACCCGGGCAGCAACAAGGGCTTTACAATGGCTGCAGTACATACACTAAAGAGGGGTTGTGGCAGATATCATTGAACATGAAGTGAAAGCGTATTGACCTCAGCCACAATGCCCTTGTTCTGTGTCTAGGTTCTCACCTGACACACAGCAATAAAGCTGCAATAATCAGCACCTTCACAAGAGGTGGAGGAAGAAAACTGAAGGGGAAACGTTTTGGAATGTGAATCTGAATTGTTGAGAGCAAATCTACGCAGGAATAATTTAACTGGATAAGTCTTCAACTGAAATGGCCATTGTCTTTTCTCTGCTACAGCTGTCCGGGGCAAGGAGAAAATAAGGAAACCATATTTCTGGGCAAAGGGTATTACGATAATAATAATCCTTGCATTTGATATAGCGCTTTATCACGTCTTCGAGATATTTCAAAGCACTTCACAGAATATACTGTAAAGTGAATTGATTGTATATTTTGTGAGCAAAACACGATTGTGGGTGAATTTCCACAAGATTGTGGAGACCTGAAAATACTACAGTTGCTGTCAGTTCCATATTTACAAACCTGGCAGCTGGCAAAGAGACTTCTAGCTGTGAATTCTTTCAGGCATTGCTAAATTTAGGTGACTTCCTCAACGAGCACTGACTGTTCCAAACAAAGCCCAACAATGGCAACGTCACCTGGGGAAAGGCTTCACGCCCCACCGCATGTTGGCCATGTATTTGGCAAACATGAGAGAAATGGGAAAGGAAGGCTGTGGGAGAATTAGGCAGGGTGGAAGTTATGTGGAACATGAACACCAATGCAGACAAGTTGAGCCATGTTCTAATGGTCTATGTAATTATATGAAAAAGAAAAATGCAGAAGTATGTGTGCACTCCTCTCAAACAATGCAGGGTGGTTCCCTGGATAAACGCAGAAATAAAGACAATGTTTAATCAGAGCAATTTGCCATTTTTTTGGAACAATTAATCTTAAAAAAAAGCATAAAATATAAGTAAAAATAAGATACGATCATTACATTAGAGGGGCAAACCGGGTTCCCAAACCAGAACAAAATCAACAGGAATGAACTGGCCACTCTATTCATTTTCAGTTTTCAAAACCTGAATGCATTCAATGGGTGAAGAAGAAATCTTTGCACAATTTTGTGGATACCCTCAGGTGTTAGCTCAAGGGCATGAAAGCTTCTTGGTTTCCTGAGCAGGTGTGGCAATCTCTCATTCAGCAGGTGTGATATCTATCACTTCTTTACCAAAATAGATTCACTATGGAAACCAATGAACCCAACAACATACATACAAAATCCAGGATCCACTTGAGCTTCACGAGTGCAGTTCAGAACATCTAACTGAGCAAATACTTCATGTGAACTCTTCTACTCCTCTTTTCTATTCCCTTTGTCCTTCCACACTTAGAAATTGGTGTAAATACTTAGGCTGTCTTCACAGTGTTACATTGTGTTACACTGAATCACTAATTCTTTTAACATTTTCTCCCGAGACACTGACAAATGCTGAGATGTGGTTCCACGCCCAGTGGGAGTTGACGTGTGAACTTATACATTTAATATCATTCTTTCCATATCTAATGGAACAATTCCCAGCAGGCGGTCATGACCTTGGCAGGAACCTTGGCTAATTTCCCCCCTCTGCATTTTTCACCCTAAACGGAAAAAAGGCAAACACAACACCGTATGTCTTGGTCCTCAATGCATGAAACTGAATGGGTACAGAACACACTGTTACCATTCGATTTAATCTTGAACTGTAAACGTGGCTTTTGTCTTGGCAACTTTCCATCCTCCTTCTCTGTACCTGAGTAAATATTGTAAAGCAGTCATCTAACACTCACTTCATAGAACCAGCTACTCCCTCTGCCTCCTCATCCTTCTGGACCTCTCTGCCCCACAGTGAGTTCATTCACTTAATGGCCTTACACAGCAAGAATTCCAGACAATTATTCATGTGCTATTGAAAGTAGCTCTGCATTATTGATGGGAAAGACAGACAGTGATGGCTGATACTCACATCAATTGTCCAACCTTGGTACCCTGATCAAGCAGACAGAATTTGCATAAACAGCAATATATAACCAATTTGATGTCTGGGGGAAAAAAATTATGAGTCAGTCTCACAATTAATATTACACACATGAATATTTTTCAATGCACTATGCTGACAAAACATCTTGCATCTGGTAGTAAAACAAGTTCTTTGTTTGCATGAGGGTCACTGGAGCACCTATAGTTTGAACTCAATATGATTATTCGACATGTGCTTCAAATTAGAGCTGAGGAGCTAAGTGACATGAGAAAAAACTTCTTCACAGAAATGTTCAGGAGACTTTAGAATGCCTTGCTCCAGATGATTATAGATCCAGAATCATCTGGCAGGTTTTAAAGGGGAGTTTAGATATTTTGTAAGTAAGGGATTTGGGGAAAGTGCGGAGGATAAAAAAAAACTTTAGATGATCAAATAAAATAAATTTGTGTTCCACTGACAAGCAGAGTTGCCAAGCAGCCCGAGGCTGTTAGTGCTTGGAATGGAGAAATTCTCGTTTACTTTCCAGCCACAATTACAAGCAGCGAAAAGGCCACACCTACATACAGGGCTACTCCTTTTATAACACAATTTTTGGAATCGAGAAAATTAGACCCTGGAATTCATGTCCACAGAGAAAATAGTAACTTTTAAAGAGATCTGAAGATTGAAGAGAGACACATCAAATGGTGCTGGGGGAGTGGGCAAGGGAGCAGGAATGGACAGCTTTCAGAGGGCCACCAGGGAAATATAGGAACATAAGAACGGGAGTAGGGCATTCAGCCCCTCGAACCTGTTCTGCCATTTTATTAGATCATGGCTGATCTGTACCTCAACTCCAATTCCCCACCATTGCCCCATATTCCTTGATAGTCTGACCTAACAAACATCTATCCACTTCAGTCTTGAAAATTTGAATGGACCCCATCATCGACAGCCTTTTTGGGGAGAGTTTTAGAATTCTACTACACTTTGTGTGAAAAAATGCCTCCTTATTTCACTTCTAAATGGCTTAGCTCTAATTTTAAGATTATGCCTCCTGTTCTGGAGGCAGGGGAATAACCTTGTGTGTTGTATCTTCAGTATTGGTTTCCACTACCCAACTCCTCAGCTTTAGTTCTAATAAACTGCCCCAACCCAACCAACAATAACAAACAGAGAAAACCTCAAAGTGCTTCACTGAACGATATAACATAAGAAATGCTGGACAAAAAGACCAAGGTCCATCTCGTTCACCTTCCACCTTTCTGGCAGCCGCATGCCCAGTTTGGCAGTCCCAAACTATCTATGTACTATATGCCATGTTATTTACTAAAAGAAAACTATCTAATCTGTGTTTGAAAGAATCAACACTTCCTGCTTCAACCGTCTCCCTAAGTAGAGAGCCTGTTTCACAGGTTCACTATTCGCTCACTGAAATAGTGTTGCGTAGATTCGTTCTGAATTTATCCCCTTCAAACGCAGGCGTTTCCTCTGGTTTCACTATTCTGGACAACATGAAACAGCCTGTCATGATCTATATTGTTTAGCCCCATTAGAATCTTAAAGGCAGCAATCATGTCACCTCTCAAACTTTCCAGCGTGAACATGGCCAATTTACTTAGTTGCTCCTCATAGTCCAGTCCTTCCATTCCCTCAGTCATTTTGGTTAATCTCTTCTGTATCTTCTCGATTTTTCCAATATCCCAAAAGGTACTTGGGTGACCAGAACTTCTCTTTAAGTGTGGTCTCACCAATGATTTATACAGTGGCAGGAGTAGGGACAACTGTGGAGAGTGGGGGAGGTGTCCCATTATAGGGTCAACACTTTCAGGGTTTTTAGGGAGTGTTTTGACCACAGAGTGAGAAAGGGCAACGGGATTTTTAAAATCATCCTTCCACCTCCTTCCAGCGCCATCAACCCGGGGACATCGCGGAGGACTTCACAAGGAGCTGCTGTCAGGTGTTCACAGGCGAAAGATTGGGAGCTCGGCGTCGTGCTCCGCCATCGTCAAGCGCTCCGAGGCGCTGCCCTGCCTGAGGGGCGCTGTGTAAAATGTCAGTTCTTAATTGTGAGGGATTTTTTTCCAAAAGTTATGCGAGGATTATTATTATTATTATCATTATTATTAGCAGGGAAGCTTGGCTGCACATGGTGGGATGGGTTACCGTGTTTCCTGCTCACAGTACAGGCTGCTTTTACACACCTGCTCTCTCTCTCTCGCTCGCTCTACGGCCGCCATTGAGCAGCTGTCACTCCCTCATCCGCCCAAACCGCCCGCGCGCCTCCAACCGCCGCCCCGCGCGCGCGGCTCCCGCCAACTGTCAGCGCGCGTGACTGCAAGTAGCGCCGGCGCCGCCAGCTTCAAGCGCGCGCGCGCGCGCGCGCGGGTCACATCCTTCGGCCAACAGTTCGTAATTAGACGGCAACGCCCCGTGTCCAAGTGAAGCAAAAAGCGGTTAATATATTCGCGGAGGTATTAACCTTCTGCTCGGGAAGGTTAGGAGGAGGGGGGGCGGGGAAAGGAAACCGGTTTATTTGCGGTGACGTAGACGGCGGAGGAGTGCAAGCTGCAGCGCGGCTGCGCGGGTATATAAGGCGGCGCTCCGCGCACCGCGCGGTTTTTCTCCCCGCAAACAGCCACGTGTGAGTAAAGCGAGTCCGGTTTGGCCATGGCGGCGGCTGTCTAAAGCGGGAGCCCCGGCACCTAGGCAACAGTGCACTGCACTGCGCAACAACACAGGCATTAACAATGGCGTAAGTCTCTCTTTTTTAAAAAAGTCTTGGGATGTTTTGACATTTGGTCTGTTCGGGGCGCGGCGGTGGCGCCGTGACCCCCCCGGGGGGGGAGGGGGAATAGCGGGTATAAAAGTGGGTATAAATGTAAATGGTTTCGAGTGTTCGGTTTGTTATGTTGTGACAAAAGATTTGTCCGCGGAGGAGGAAGTGGAAGTCGGGTTTGCGATCACAAAAACTGCTTCTTACGTTTTTTTAAAAAAAAATATTTCTATATATATTGTGTTCGAAGTTTTCGATCGTTACCAAATAAACCGGTGGGGTGTGGGGGGGAAATCCTCCCTCGTGGATGGGGGAGACATTGAGCTGTGAAATGGCAGCGCTGTGTGTGAGAGAGAGAGAGAGAGAGAAGATGGCGCCCGAGTAAAACGTGGCACCAGGAGGTGGTGAGAGGCTGTTGGCGGGTGTGGCCTCTGACTGACCACTTCCCTCTTTCATAATCAACTGCTCTTGAGGTTAACAATACAATACGACGTCTGCAGAGCCATCGCGCCTTTCGTGTTGGGAGGACGTCCCGACAGGAGAGGGGGGGGGATCAGCCCTGAAATTTATGTGAAGTAGTCACCCCCCGCACTCCGCCATCCCCCCCCCGCGCGCCCCCGCGCTGGGACATCCGCCACTGACGTCAAAGGCGCCGCGTCATACAATGTGCAATGGCTTCAGGGAAAGCTGCACTTTTCGTTGGATTGGGACGTGTACTCCCGTTTGCCACAACGTCATCGGTTTGTGAATCTGATTCCGTTCATATTATTTTCTTTCCTTTCCGCTGCTGAGGGGGGTTGGGTGGGGGTTGGGGGCGGAGTCTGCCTCTTGCTCATATCTGCACTCCCAGTGGGAGTTGCCAGATGGCGAGAGACTCTCACTCTGCTCCCACCCGCTGAGATGATTATCTTTTGCATAGACAAGCGATTGTATCCGGGATCTTCCTGACCGTTGGCTCAATTCCATTTGGAAAGTTTACAGGTTTACAAAACTCAATGTGGAGTATGGAGTAGGTGCAATTACATTGATAATTGGACGTGTCCGTATTTCATGTTTGAATTCTAACAATTGTGGTGTGGTTTGTCCTATCTCTATTTACAAAATGTTTTTTCTCTTTATGCTTAGGCTCCAAAATGGGCTTGTCAGCATTGCTGCTGTCGACAGCATAGAAACACTCGACTCGAAAACGTCATATTTCCTCGAATATCTTGCATTACGAAAACAAACAGAAGATGTCAGTTTGGCCAAATTCTTCGCTTTCCACCTTGATGGAGGACTTGGTGTCCCTCCTGGACTCGCCGTTTCTGACGGCTGAAGACGACCCCTGTCTCCTGCACAAGGATCTGGAGGCCGGGCCGGTGAAGGCCTGCCTCAGGTCACTCCCGTTTGGCGATGCATCCTCCCAATGGCCGTGTGTCAATCCATTACTGGACACAGACAATGGTGTGGGTAAGTTAATGCATGTCATGTTTGAGGCTCATCTTCTCACACACTAATCAGCCTGGACTCGTGAAGTTGCACTTGCCCAAACTCTTAAGGATCTTTCACAGAGATGGATACTATTATTCTGGTCTAGATTCAGACCTAAATCCTAGAAAAATTTCTTATTAACTGGTAAATTGTGCACCCAATTGTTATAAAGTGTAATTTCTGGAGTACCCAAAATAACTTGAAACTTTTTGCCTTTTTCAGGGGATGCGTTCACCGGCTTGGACTGGATGGTTGAGAAGGTAGATCTCTTTGACACCCTGATTGAAGATGAAAGTGATCCTCCATCCCCAGAGGACCTGATGGCAGCACTGGATCGTTCTTGTGACCTTCTGGATGACCTGCCCTTTGACCCCTTGCCCAATAAACTACAAGTATCTGACCCTGTGCTGGACAATAATAATCTGGACTTTGGGGCATTCCCCACCTCACCCCTGGGATCTGATCAACTGGCCCCCGCTTCCCCCTCCCCCGTCAGCCTGAAAACCCCAGAACTTTTCTCCTCTCCGAGCCACTCAATAAATTATGAAGAGGAGAGTGAAACCAGTGTTTTAGATAATGATAAAAGGCTAGATTTGGCTTTGCTTCAATCATCACCACTTCAGAATTCCTGCAAAGAGAAGGATGAAGGGGCTTTATCTGACTCTGACAGTGGGCTTTGTAAAAGTCCAGTTCAAACCCTCGACAGTGGGCTTGACACAAGCCTAGCTCGGACTTCAGGGGGTGCTTTGTCGGACTCTGACAGTGGGCTTCCTGCAAGCCCCTGTCACAGTCCTGTTCAGTCTCCAGATAATAGCATGTCAGAAGGCTCCTCTCAATCTGGCCTGTCCTCACTGGAGAGTTTAAGCCCAGTCAGGTCGACACCGTACGACCGCCCTAATGCAGAGACAGTAGCAAAAGTAACACCAGCCAAAGTGAAAGTAATCAGTGGTGCAGAGCCGAAAGTTATAGAGAAAAAATTGAAGAAGATGGAACAGAACAAAAGTGCAGCAACACGGTACAGACAGAAGAAGAGAGCAGAGCAGGAAGCTATAACTGCAGAATGCCGGCAGTTAGAGGCAAAAAACCAGACCTTGCAGGAGAAAGTGGACTCTATGGCAAAAGAAATTCAATATTTAAAAGGCTTGGTAGATGAGGTCAGAAAAGCTAAAATTAAAAAAGAAAAAAGCTTGTAATGTAGAATAGTGTGTTTGTATATGTTGTAGTACTTGTTTTTAATGTTATTTGTAATAAAACATTGAAAATGTCAATCAGTAGTTGATTACTTATTCCTGGAGGGTTTTGCAACATAACCTGCACAAAGTCATTTGATTCAACAACAGCTTCCATTTATACAGCGCCCTTCACGCGGGGTGGCTCCCAGGAGAGCTTCGCAGTGGGGGAGTAACGACAAGTCGGGGAGAGGGAAGCCATTCAGAATACCTGTTCTCATTCTGTCCTAAGCAGATAAATTCATTAGTTCAATAAACCATTCATGGAACATCTGTAAGAGCACCTTTCTGCAGCCCACACACCGTGATGTGTGCAGTGGAGATGAAGATGTGATAATTTCCCAAACCATTCCCAGTTACGACATTTATACAAAGTGAGGATTGCAGTTCTCTTCCCCTGTCTGTACCACCTGGTCGTAGCCTTGTCGAGGTGCTCCCTTCTGCTTTACGCCATTTAATCTTCCTGTATTGCACAATTAACATTTTTGTGTCTCATAATTCACAGCAATCTGTAAGGCCCATTTGTTTCTTCAATTAAATCTGTTAAGGACAATCAAGATTAACCTGCCATTCAGAGATTTATGTTGACTGACTGATCAGATCTTGTTTCTCCAAGTAGTTTAAGCAGTTTTTTTTCTGGGTTTTGAAGTAAGACTACCTGGGATATAAAATTGTGAAAAGCTGTGCAATGGGAGCGGGGGGGGGGGCGGAATGTGGGTTGATTGATTGCCATTCTACTACGGCCAATGTACTGCCAGCAATGACGTTCATACGTGTCATTACTCAGTTCAAGGATAAAGAACAGATGTTGCTGACGTGTGGAGATAAGCTTCTCCCACTTAATTAGATTTACATCTTTATGTACTGATCACAAACACAGTGTCAGAGATAAATACACACTGCCCTTCAGTTCAGGCACATCTGTTCTTTTTACTCGATCCAATTTTACCCTTGAAACCACATTGAGCACACATTGGAGGTGCTCGTTTGTAGACTTTACACCCACCCCTAGGCTTTGATACCTAGCGGTTGGAGCCCAATTCTCTATGGACCTGCACTCAATCTAATCTGATCACACAGAACACCTCGACCTCTCGGTAGGACGTCTGATAACAAGTACCAACAGTGCACCATGGAGCTCAGCACCTGTAGTGTTCAGGGGATTCGCAAATCAAGCAGGAAGCTGATTCCTGTGGAGTCCTGTAGCTCAGTAGTTAGAGCACTCGCCTCACAAGCGAGACTCGGATTTGATTCCCGGGAGGGCAAAACCTTGGACAAGTTTCCTTACTCCACAAGCCCGATGATAATCCCTCAAGAAAAAAAACAATAAATTGGTCACTTCAATCCACGACTGTTTATGGGACACTGCTGTGCGCTTCACAGAATTGGCTGCCGCATTTGGCCCACAAATGTACAATCAATTCACTTTACAGCCTATTCTGTGAAGCCCTTTGAGACGTCTGGAAGACGTGAAAAGCGGTATATCAAATGCAAGGATTATTATGTTCTTATTCATGCCGTTCACACAAACTCGATCCCACCTCTAATCATTTTAATCTCATTCTCCGAGTCTTCCCTAATATTCAAAGGTTGTTGTGAAATAATCTCTTGCTCCCTCCTCATGACTCAGCGGGTGAATTCACTGCCAGGTTTGACACTGACTCAGGGAAGCTTGGCGGGAATGTCTGGCAGCGAGCTTGTGCTGATCACAAACTACTCATTGAATAAATTCACTTGAGACATCAGACAAACATTTCTTTCTTATACGGTTGAGAAAGTGAACCCAGAAAATACTGTCAGATCCACAGGCAGCAAGACAAGTGGGTAATAATAATAATAATTCTTGCATTTGATATAGCACCTCATGTCTCAAGGCGCTTCCAGAATATACTGTAAAGCGAATTGACTACTTCATAGGAGGTTCTAATCGACTGAATTAACGACAACAAAATTACATTTGTAAAACGTCTTTCACGTTGGGAGAACATCTCAAGGCGCTGAACAGTCAGAGATCAGGACGAGAGTGTGAGGGGGCAGGGTCGGGATGAAGGAGGGAAGAGAGATAGGAGGGCGGCTGAAGGCACTTGAAAAGGAGGGGGAAGGCAGAGCGGGTCATGGGCAAAGATATGGAGGAGAAAGGACAGTTCAGGGTCAAACAAGGCGCCCAGGTTCCTGACTGGCTTGGTGAGGTGGAGTGTGCATCCTGGATGGTGATGGTGCCAGTACCCCCACACAAAGCACGATGACTGGACTGAGGTCCATTACGATAGAGATACAGACATGGCCCAAGAAGGGTACCTGATCCCTAAGTCAGTGCCTTCAGCAAACGAGGGGAGAGAATTGGGAGTCATTTTAGTGATGTGCTCTGAGAACCAGCAATTCAGCAGAGACATTCTTCACAATGTGATAGGTAAGCTGATGAACTATTATGACCCATTTTCTCTACGGCTCAATGACCCTGCTGAATAGGATTTCACTCCCAATAGTTTGCCAGCCCAGCTCACCCCGATTCCTCCCATTGTCTGTGCTGCCGACTGGGTTTTCATAGACAAACGTGACTGCACAGTGGTTAGCTGCCAACTCAACAAAACCTGAGCCTCGAGTACATTGGTCTTGGCTTGATATTGACCCATTCATGGACCAGGTACACCTCAGGGTAGAGGTACCGCTGTTTTTTTTGGAGAAAACTGTTCCACTTTTATTGCATCTCGTCACACTGGAACATCTCAAAGCACTTCACAGGAATTACCAGCAAGTGTAGTGACCGCTGTATTTGTAAACACAGACCTTGGTTTAAACGTCTCATCTGAAGGACGGCACCACTAACAATGCGGCCAGCAACCCTCCCACAGTGCTGCACTGGAGTGTCAGCCTCGACTGTGAGAGTCCTGACATGGGGCAGGAACCCACAACCTTCCCCGGGCGGGCACTATTGGTGTGAATTAGTCGCTTGTAGGTCACTGCTCCTTTAAGAGAGAGTTTTATTTTAGTCATTTTTGGAATAACTCCCAAACCTAGTACCATAGCTGGGTGTTGCCTTGAGCTGGATGGTAAAGAGTGTCCACCAAGATAAAAGCTTTTAATTATCTCTTGCTGCTTCATGTAAGTGAGTGTGCGGAGCCCAGAGCCGAGGTCACCACAAGCCTCGGGAACAGAAAAGTTTGCAGTTTGTTACGCCCCCGGCAAAATCATCTGGCTGTCCGTGGGGACAGTGGACCACAAGCCCCAACATTCAGGGTGAGCAGCAAAGTCATGGACGGGGGGAAAAGGACCGAAAGGGAAGCAATGGATCTTGTATCTGGTAAACCAGCCCACGTCCCACTGATCTCCTGCTAACACTGCAATCTGCCCGAGACTGATGGCAATGAGGCGGGGAGGCACAGTGGGTGAGGTTCCTATTCAGAGAAGCTGTGCTCGGGGGAGATTAAGACTTACTCAATTCAGGGAATTCAATACAGGAAGTTTTCTGCTGACGAGAAACAAGAAACTGTTCGCTTTCCGTAAATTGTCAATTAGGGAAATGAAATATTCCAAAATGAGCATTGCTTCCCCTGGCTTCTCGACACCCTGCAAACCAGTCCACCCTGTCCTCAGCCAATGTGCACACACACACACACAGACACACACACACAGACACACACTGCAACCTGCTTACCCAGAGATCTGTGTTAATGATATCTGGGCTCAGTATCACACCTTCACACCCAGAGCGGTTTCGTGATCTGCCGTGATCTAATAAACTCAGGGGAATGGCTCAACAATCTCTTCCTGTTCCTATGATGGGATCTCAGTCTAAGCTGACTCTCCAATGCAGCGCAGTGGTGGTGTGGGTGGGGTGGGCTTTCGTTGTCAGAGGTACCGTCCTTTGGATGAGATGTCAAACCGAGTTCCCTGTCTTCCTGTTCACATGGGTGTTAAAGATCTCATGGCACTATTTGAGAAGAAAAGGGAATTTCTCTCTCTCTCGGTGTCTTGGCCAACAATGCCTCAAAATGAAATTGCTCACTCACTCCATGGCTGTGGGCAAATTATCTGCTGTGTTTCACCCACAAATACACCGCCACCCCACTTCACAGTAAACTACAGTAAATCCTATGAAGCACTTGGAGACATTCTGTATCAAATGTAAGGATATTTATGATAATAATCAAGAGCAGGAGCCCTCCCTAAGCCACGGACATTTGCTACCCTGCCTTATCACACTCTCAAGAATTTTACTTTGAAGTGTAGTGACTGTAGGCACTTTGTCACAATGCGCACACAAAGGAGAGCCGCCAGCGATTGGTGGAAAGTGTTGTGAGGGGGAATTGTTGACAGACGTTACATTAAAGTAATTTGAACCACAGTTCAAGGAGCCAAAAGTTGGAACAAAAGGCAGTTTCGGAAACAAAGTGATAACTGTCCGTGCGGCACCGGGCGGATAAATCCGGGTGTGTCTGAGGGACAGTTAGAGTCGGTCAAATAAGTCGATGCTGGAATTCTCACACACCATTGTTGAGCCGTAAAACCTTCACTGACTGGGACTCAGAACATAAAATGGCTGCAACCAACTGCAATATGGAGGCAGCTCAGTGACAGGCAGAGCCACACTGCCACCTCCTGGTGACCAGGCGACACTGCACGCTCACACTGCCACCTCCTGGTGACCAGGCGACACTGCACGCTCACACTGCCACCTCCTGGTGACCAGGCGACACTGCACGCTCACACTGCCATCTCCTGGTGACCAGGCGACACTGCACGCTCACACTGCCACCTCCTGGTGACCAGGCGACACTGCACCGCGAGGACTGCACAACCCAGTATTTTGTTGCGTTCAGCCATGTCCCACAAACAGCCATGGTGTGAGCGACCAATTTTTATTTGGCCAGGACACTTGAAGTACCTCACCTAAAGGAAGAAAGTGGTTTGGATCCCAAAGTATAGAAAGTTTAATATTTAATTGTCACACGCCTCTAATACAGCAACGAGTCTGTCTTTAGTTAAGTAACTGTGATCCACTACTGACACATACCTAAATTTAAGGCTTTTGTCTTGATCCTTACTTAGGGACTTGTGTGAACAGTGAGGAACACCCCAACCCAGTCCATCCCACCCCAGCTTCACCAACAATACATCCTGTACCTGCGGCTCATGGGCACGTTTGCTCTTGTTCAACATTCGCTCCAGCCACTGAGACTCCCAAGTTATTGCGGATTTCCAAAATATTCTTTCTCAAATGTCCTGAAGTCTTTCTCTGAGAAAACACTCTTTTCTTCCTTCTTTGCTTTCTCCTCTTCCGGAAGGTCTCTCGCTTTCCTCCCTCGATTGTAATTGAGAATCTGCACCAAAGCAGAGAATTGCTCCACGTTATAATCTATTGCTCTGAAATGCTCCCCTTGTGAAGGGTACGAGGGAAATACAAGTTGTTGTCGTTGTTCACTCCAGTAAATCAGAAGATTACAGGAGGCCATGCACTCCTCCAAACGCACACACACTCATGTGTGTATATGCACCCACAAACACGCCTGCACACGTGAACACACACATACGCTCGTGTGTATATGCACCAACACAGTACCGAGACACACCCGACCTTTTCAGTCGCACTCACCTGTCTGGTGATGCTGCTCTCAGTCTGTGAGCTCACGCCCAGCATGTACCGGAGATTGTCTTCAGTGTGGTCCGTACCCTGTCGTTTCCGATACTCCTCTGTCGAGGAAAGAGCGCTCTTATTAACACCCGGCAAGATGGAGTGGAGGACTAGTGGGAATGCTCATTGTATTCCCCTCAGTGGGGAAACCCACCGTGCGATGTGATGTGATGCCGAGCCACACAGTGGGGTCTAACCTGCGGTGATTTCTGATAACATTTTTTTACGGAGGATGTGTTGGATATGTGCAGGTCCTCCCTCACATGGACAGTGTCAGCACGGGAGACAACCACTCGCCCCTCAATGTCCCCCACACGGGCGTCTACGTTCGCAACTCTTTAAAAGCCATCAGCAAGCGCTGGTCATCGCTGAAGGAACAAAAAGGTGTGAGGGTCACGTACCGAGGGCTGACTTCACCGCCTTCCCCTTCACAGTGGATTTGACCTTTTTCTTTTGTGCATGAAGCCTCTGCCGCTGCTTCTTGACTCCTCTCTTGCCTGTGGTCCTCAGGCCGGTGCGGTCAGTCCCAGTCCGGCCACACGCCACCTTCCTCTTCACCGTCATGTCACTTTTACCTGAAACACAAGGCGGCGATCGCGTCAGAAACACAGTCAACAACGCACAGTAATTGGCCTCTGCGCTCGAGACGCTGCCGTGTGATAATGTGCCATAAAACACAGAGTTTCATCTTCTTTGCCATCACACGGAGCAGCACCGACCGGGCGGCACTTTATTATAATAATAATAATAATAATAATCCTCGCACTTGGTACAGCACCTAATCATTTTGATGACGATGACGCAAAGAGCTTCACATGATATTGCTGTCCAGTGGAGTGACTGTGCCTTTTGTGGGCTAAACAGGAGAGGGAGTGGGGGGAGAGGCGGGAGAGGGGAGAGAGGGGGGGAGGGGGAGAGAGGGGGGGAGGGGGGGGAGGGGGGAGAGAGGGGGGGAGGGGGGGGGAGGGGGGGCAGTGAAGCCCCACTTACCCCTGGTTTCCTGGCCCAGCAGCTCCAGGCCTTTCCTCACCAGCGACGCCGACATCCTACTGTAGGCCCGAACCTCACCAGCGCCGCCCACTGGTCACACACAGCGCCGCCCACTGGTCACACACAGCGCCGCCCACTGGTCACACACAGCGCCGCCCACTGGTCACACACAGCGCCGCCCACTGGTCACACACAGCGCCGCCCACTGGTCACACACAGCGCCGCCCACTGGTCACACACAGCGCCGCCCACTGGTCACACACAGCGCCGCCCACTGGTCACACACAGCGCCGCATGCGCGGTGAGTTTGTGCGTATGTGTGGGGGAGAGTGTGTGTGTGGGGGGGGAGTGTGTGTGGGGGGGTGTGTGTGGTGTGTGTGTAGGGGGTGGAGGGAGGGTGTGGGGGTGTGTGTGGGGGGGAGGGAGTGTGTGTGTGGGGTGGAGGGAGGGTGGGTATGTGTGTGTGTGGGGGTGTGTTTGGTGGGGGGGTGTGTGGGTGTGTGTGTGGGGGGTGTGTGTGTTTGGTGGGGGGGTGTGTGTGGGGAGGGGTGTGTGTGTGTGGGGGGGGTGTGTGTGGGGGGGGTGTGTGTGTGGGTGTGTGTGTTTGGTGGGGAGTGTGTGTGTGGGTGTGTGTGTAGGGGTCGATGGTGTGGGGAGGGGTGTGTGTGTGTGTGGGGGTGTTTGGTGGGGGGGGGGGTGTGTGGGTGTGTGTGGGGGGGGGGAGGGTGTGGGGGTGTGTGTGTGTGTGGGGGGGGGGAGGGTGTGTGTGGGTGTGTGTGTGTGGGGGGGGAGGGTGTGTGGGGGGTGTGTGTGTGGGGGTGTGTTTGGTGGGGGGGGTGTGGGGGTGTGTTTGGTGGGGGGGGGTGTGTGGGTGTGTGTGTGGGGGTGTGTTTGGGGGGGGGGGTGGAGCTGAACAAATAAGGTTTCAAATATAATCGCTGACTGAGAGTTAAACATTGAGCGGTTTATGAAGCCTTATGTTTAAAGTGCGGCCCTTACGCTCCCGGCTTCAGGTTTTTTTCACCCACAAAATACAGTCACTAAACTTTGCGGTGTATCCTGTGAAGCGCTTTGAAACGTTTCGACGACGTGACCAGGCGCTGTGGCCAATATTATGATGATGAAGGTGTCGCTGGGATGGCAGCAGCGTGTGGACAACTTGGGGCGCTGTCGGGGTATTGCCGATCGGGGTATTAAATCTCCTGAGGTTTGGCAGTAATTAGCTGTGAAGTTTACTCATTGATGCCAGAACCAGTGAAACTACATCAGTGAGGAGTAACCTCTACTCTAAACCGCCACTCCCTCTGCCAGTGACTCTGCCACTGCCTCACCCCTCAGGCTGCCCAAACCCTCACCCACGCATTCGTCACATCAAGGCTCGGTTACGGGAACTCCCTCCTCATCGGCCTTCCCAACTCGTCCCTTCACAAGCTGCAGATCATCCAAAACTGCAGGTCGTTTACTCTCACGCACCCTGGCCCGACCCCACCGGCTCCCCATCCCCCAGAGGATCGAGTTCAAGATCCTCATCCTCACCTTTAAGGCCATCCACAGTCTTGCCCCCTCCTATCTCTCTGACCTGCTGACTCCCTACCAATCTGCCCACTCCCTCCGCTCAGCGAGCTCCGGCTGCTCCATATCTCCCGCCCGACCCGCCCTACCATCGGTGGCCGGGCTTTCAGCCTCTCTGCCCCCACACTCTGGAACTCCATCCCACGGTCCCTTCGCCTCGCTTCCTCACTTGCCTCCTTCAAGGCCAGTCTCAAGACCCTTCTCTTCGACCGTGCCTTTGGTCTCCCTCCCACCTCTCTGCCTTCCCTCACCCCTACACCACCCCTCCCCCATGCTCGGGCCCCGACACTTGACTGTTCCAACGCTTTGGGACGTCCTCTCGATGTGAAAGGCACTCTATAAATGTAATTTTGTTGTTGTTGTTGTAATCACTAGTTACAGTGGCTTTGGCGAGAACCAAAGTGATTCTCCCAGATATAAAAGTGTTCGTCAGAGCTGAGTGAGTCTCCATGTGTTATCTCTGAAACCCACTGACAGTTTCTATCATGTGAAGCGAGCCCTCGCTGGGTTGCCAGTGTCACAGAGGTCATTCATCCTGCATTAACGTTGGCTTACAGAACACCATACGTTCAGGAAGAGCTATCCGTTTAATGTCCAAATGTTCACTCACCCCTTCCCCAGTCCCTTCCTCAGAAAGTGTCTCATCAAATTGGAAAGCTTTCAAGGTGCTTCACTTCACAGGTAATTCCTGTCAAGCGTAGTGACTAAGTAGTTAGTTTCACTGCTGGCTACTCCTTTGAACCCAACACTTACAGCACTGAACTCCTGGGTCAGCTGAGATCAGTGAACCCAACACAGGAGAAACCCTGAGTAATCACTGTACAACAACAACTTTTTTCCGAGAGCGCTTGAATGCCCAGTGCTATCCAGCCCCACTCCTCACTGCACGTCACTCAGTCACTGGAACCGTCGGAAAGATTCTACATAATTTATTTTGAATTATTTCAACAGCAATTAATAAAGTATATCACAATTCAATTTCTCTACAGATCACATTACTGAAGGCAAGGCGTAAATTGGAGCAATATCTCTAAGTTTGATACATTGGAGCAGGAAGCAGACTCCATCATTACATCTGAGCTTCTGAAATGGTTTTTAAGGCTAGATCATGTAGACCATGATAAGCTGTTTTATCTTGTACTGACCAGTAGAACCAGAGGACATGGCCTGTGATTGGAGGGGAGTAAATTCAGAACAAATCTGTGGAGACACTACTTCAGTGAGTGAACAGTAAATGTATGGAACAGAGTCCCTGAGGAGACAGACGGAAGCAAAGTGTTGATTATTTCAAGAACAAATTAGAGCGATTTCTGTGACAAATTCCCAAATTTAGTCTGAATTTGTAAGCCGCTTTTCTGCAGCTGTTACAAAGGACTTTCAGGCAAAAAATTTCAATAATTTGGTCACTCAATCCACGGCTGTTTGTGGGGACGCTGCTGTGTGCAATTGGTTGCTGTATTTCACCCACAAAATATACAGTCAATTCACTTTACAGTATATCCTGTGAGCGCTTTGAGAAGTCTCGAAGATGTGATCATGCGCTGCATCAAATGCAAGGATTATTATTATTAAAATGCTGAAACTTCAGCTCAGGTTTTGTCTGAGTAAGTTTTTCATTTCTCCCATTGCTACCAAAGGGCAGATATTTCTGACTCGGAACAGCTTCACCATTGGGAGACCACCATTGGACGAGGTGGGTGGGGGGGCTACTTCAGCTTCCCTTTTCCCTCGGAGATAATGTTCTCGGGCTTGGCGCGTGTGAACCACTCCACCCAGGAGCCATCATAGATAGCCACGTCCTCCTTGCCGCAGAGATAGGCTGCCAAGGCGATGTGACAGGCTGTCACCCCTGTCCCACACGTGGCCACGATGGGTTTGCTCAGGTCCACATGGTGCTCCTCAAATATCGCTCGCAGCGAAGCCACGTCCCGCATGAGCAGCGTCTCCGGGTCCAGGAAGGTGTTAAACGGGATATTGATGCTCCCAGGAATGTGGCCCGGCTCGAACCCTGGAGATAAATAATAATAATAATCCTTGCATTTGATACAGCGCCTTACCACATCATTGAGACGTCTCAAAACGCTTTACAGAATATACTGTAAAATGTAGTGACTAGATCTTGTGGGCAAAACTCAGCAGCCAATTGCGCACAGTAGTGTCCCACAACAGTCGTGGATTGAGGAATCCAATTTTTTTGTGGAGGGATCATTACCTGTGGAAAAGCGATCCACTGCTGACAATGGTACAATAGCATCAATGATGGTGTGTAACTAGAGCCGAACGTGGCAGCCAATTAAGAGATCCAAGTAACGCCCAGGTTACTGCAGCAAATTGTTGGCCACCATGACACTCCCAAAATAAGACCGGATTTTAGAAGTTCCTACAGCTCAGTACCATTTTAGTTTTAAGACAAAAGCTGTCTTGCAGCCAAAGACCAGGTGAATTTTGAGTGCTCAGGGAATCAGAGTTTCAGTCAAGGATTTCCCTATTGCTCAACCCTCAGAATTGCTGACTTTGTCTAATCTGATTGTTACTTTAACAGAATCCAGGTTAATCATTAGTGGGATAGGTCACACATAAACACTGACAAACTGTCTACCCGGTGAGGAAATCACTCGCCCATAAATACTTAGACTCCTGGGCTTGTGGCTCACAAAGTTTCCAAATAATAATCAATAATAATCCTAATTAAAACATCCCCACAAACCTTTAAAAGTTCCGAACTGTGGCTGAATTTGACAACTGCCCACAATTCTAATGCCGACTGTCAAAATATATACAAGAAATTACATCAGTAAAGCACCTTTCACGTCGGGAGGACGTCCCAACAACAACAACAACAACTCTCCTGGTGTTTTCAGATGAGACGTTCAACCGAGGTCCCGGGATGTCTGCAGATTAGTTGCTGCAAAACAGTCACTACAGTTTACAGTCGAGTCCTGCGAAGCGCTTTGAGGCAAAGGGTGAAATTACAAGGAACGAAATGCCAGGGGGAGGTTCCAGCGATTGTTACTCCAGTTACTTGGATAATGGGTACAGGATTATTATTTTCATTGTGTTATGTTGCTGTTAAGGCGCGATGATGAGTTGTTTAAGCACAGACTCTCCCTGAGCTCTGGGGTAGAGGGTTATTAATAATTACTAGTTCAATAATCCGCACTTTGGGACGTCCTCCCGACATGAAAAGCGCTTTACAAACGCCATCTGTTGCTGTTGCAGTAGTTATTATTAGTAATAATATTATCAGTAATGAGGCGTGGAGACCCCCTCCAGGCTCCGGGCTCACTCCCCCCACCTGGAGCTGCCCCGGTTATTAAAGGGGTTTGTGTAGATGATCGTTAAGTTATATCAAATGCAAAGATTATTATTATTATTATTATTATTATATATTATGAGTTATTTCAGGGGTTAGTGAGGGGGTGACAGACACACACCACACACCCGAGTGTGGGCTCGGGTTCCCGGCCCTGAAGCCCTGGAGATCATGTGGTGTTTGTGCAGATGATTACATTATATTATTATAATTATAATTATTATTATTATTATTGGGGGTCATTAGTGGGACACACACTCACTCACTCACTCACACACCCTCTCTGGGCTCGGGCTCGATGCCCCTGAAGCGGCCCCGGGACCGGGCGTCCAGCAGCTGGAAGCGGGGTCGGTGGATGTTGCTCACGACGGCGGGGAAGGCGGTGACGGCGCTCGGGGTGTAGGAGGCGGTGAAGGCCCGAGGCCTGGGGCTCGCGTGGCCGCTCTCGAGCGGGAGGCCCAGGCGGCGCCAGGCGGCCAAACCGCCGTCCAGCACCGACACCGCGCGGTGTCCGAACAACCGGAACATCCACCAGACCCGCGGGGAGCAGAAGGCGCCGTAGGGGCTGCCGTCGTACACCACCACCCGGCAGCCGCCGCTCACCCCCAGGCCGCCCGCGTAGGCCGCGAAAGCCTCGGGCTCGGGTAGCGAGTGCTCGTAAGGGGACGAGCGGTCGCAGCACTCGTCCAGGTCAAAGTACCCGGCGCCGGGGATGTGGGCCTCGCGGTGCTCCCGCCGCCCGTCCCGCCCCGACCCCGGCAGATACCAGGAGGTGTCCAGCACCCGGATCGGCTGCTCGGCCCCGGCCCCCGGAGCCCCGGACCCCGGAGCCCCGGACCCCAGGGCCTCGGCCAGGCAGCGGGCAGACACCAGCGTCCGGCTCAGGCTCATGGCGGGAGCTTCGTCTGCTCCTCAGCCACAAACACACCCCTTCCCCCTCACTCTCTCCCTCCCCTCACTCCTCCCCTCACTCCCTCCCTCCCTCCTCCCCTCACTCCCTCTCTCCTCCCCTCACTCCCTCCCTCCCTCTCTCCTCCCCTCACTCTCTCCCTCCCTCCTCCCCTCCCTCCCTCCCTCCCTCCTCCCCTCACTCCCTCTCTCCTCCCCTCACTCCCTCTCTGCTCCTGACTCGCTGTAAAATCGCAGCTGACTGACTGACTGACTGACCACCGGGAGACAGAGAGATTCTCCCTTCTCTTCGAACAGCGCTGTGGGATCTTCAACGTCCACCTGAACAGACAGACGGGACTTTTAATCCTGAATCTGATTCTCATGTGGGCCGGGGAGCGTGTTATAATAATAATAATAATCCTTACATCGGTACAGTGCCTTTCACCCCAGGATGCCCCAAAGCACTTCACCGGATGTACTGTAAAGTTTAATGACTGTGTGTGGTGTGGAGTTCATTTAGTGTTGAAACCCTCAATGCACGAGGGGGTCATTCACATGCAAGCGAGCGAGAGCATTTTGTTTCAGGTTTTGTCACCGAGCGCGAGGCCGTGTACGTGCGCGGGTGCGGTCCAACACAGGATTGAGCGCTGACTTCATTGCTTTTAGCCAGAGCAGTAATAGGGCCATTACAATTGGCTACAACTCTGCGCAAACTGGCTGCCGCGTTTGTCTACGACACAGTCACTGTACCTTACAGGGTATCCTGTGAAGCGCTTCGATAGTCCTCCCGATGTGAAAGACAGTATATCAGATATCAGACGAACCCACTATCAGTTGACAATAAGAATTTGAGGATTTCCAGCTGCCTCTTTGGAAGCAGCGAGACAAAGGCACCTCCACTCTGACGCTCCTCTACAGCGTCCGCCTCGAGAGACCAAAGGAGCTCTGTAATCCTGACCCACAAGCTCTCGGCTCGGAGGCGAGAGTGTGAGCGACTGAGCCGCCACAAAGACGGGCTTGAGGGTGGCAGGCGGGCGGGGCGGGGCGGGCGGAGGTGAGGGTGGGGCAGAAGGTGGCGGAGGTGTGAGACTCCCAACAGGACGTCCCGTCACCTAACAACCCTCAAACCCAGTCCGATTCCGGTCCGGCACGGACGGCGCGAGGGGCTCACAAGCCAAACGGCGGCCGCGGTCGGGCAGCGAGAGAAACCCCGCGGATCGAGCTCCGGGACCGACAACCACCGGAATAAAACCTGATCACCAAATAATCAGATAAATAACGGTTGCTCGGGGGCCGGGAGCGCGGGGGGCGCTGCGGGGGCCGGGAGCGCGGGGGGCGCTGCGGGGGGCGCTGCGGGGGCGGCGGATGCGGATAATCCTATTTTATGGGATCTTTATTGATTTTTATTATATCTAAAAAAAAGATGGAAGAGTTGCCAGGTGACGTCACGCCTGGCCGCCCGGTGACGTCACGCCCCGCGCTCCAGAACTTTCCGCCGCGATTTTCCCGCTTTTTTCCCCCCACTCATAAAAGTCTCCGCCCCTCCCTCCCTGCCCCCCCCGGGCCCGCGTCCCCTCGAGACCAGAAGGAAGGTCGCTAACGGTTACCGTGCGGCGCCAGGGCGATAACACAACGCCTGTTGTTACCGGGCCTCGCGGCCACCGGATCAAACCGGTTCCAACCGGCCTCGAGCACCTCGTAGGTAGCGGAGCGCGTGCCTGAACAGAGTGGGGCGCGAGGCGAAAATAAATTGAAACAACCCCCCCCCCTCTTTATATACATCCCCCACCAGGAGAGAGCGTGAGGGGGAAAGGAATCAATAAAGAGAATCTGGTTTATAGAAATAAAATAAGAAGCCCCCGAGGAGGAGGAATGTATGTGACCGGGCTGGAGGCAGGCGCCACGCGGGCAGCCCTCGGGAGGGGTCCTGGCGGGGCGGAGGGTCCTGATGCCGCCATATTGCTGCCGCCTCTTGTTGTTCCTGTGGATGAGGAGCGGGAGCTCTCGGCACCGATTGATACACACACGGGGAGCCGCCGCCGCCACAGCAACACACACGGTAAGGCCTCGCCCCCTCACAAATACAGGCCCGGGGGAAGGCCTGAGTACGAAGCGCGGACACACAGGCAGTGCGGGCGGGAGGAGGGCAGGGTCCAGGTCCCGGCCCCGCCACAGCCTCCAACCAGAGGGAGAGGCTGGGAGTGACTCTGGGCCTTTCCTCTCCACCAACATCCCTTCCTCCTCCCCCTCCCTCCCTCCATCACTCACTGTGTCTCCAGTGTTGCGCATTACATGTGCTCTGTGTGTGCGCCTTTCGCTGTATATATCTGTACTCTCTGTCTCACTGTGTGCGTGTCTCTTTACTTCCCTCTGTCTCACTGTGTGTGTCTGTGTCATTGTGTCTGAGAGCATTTGTCTTGCGTTAACTTGGACATGCATAAAAGAAAGATTGGGAAGTACTCTTTCCCCCCCCCCCCTCCGCCACACTGTTCTGTCTCTCGCTTTATCTCCATCCTTCATTAAGAATCTCTACTTGCTTAATACTTTCTCGTCGGGTTCTGTCTGCGAGTGTGTTTAGAATAAAAACTTAATTCGCTCTGAAATAAATAACTTTCTGAAAGTATTTCTTTGCTTTTGTTGGCTTTTATCACTTGCTCTTTTCCCACTATTGCATTGGGCATTACATGTGCTTTAAATTTTGTTCAGAGTAATTTGAAGATTTGCTTTTTTTAAAAGAAACTTAGATTAACTTGAACTAAAAACTTTTCATTCACTCTTACTGGGCTCTTCACTTCCTGTCTTTCTCTTCCCACCATTCCTCCCTCTAAACTTCATCATCTATGTATTATTTCTACTTGGCCTGTATTGTTTTGGATGATATCTACTTTGAAAAATAATTTTGAATTAAAATGGAAATGAATAGTTTCTTAAGTATCAATATCCTCACCAGGTTCTGTCCCTCATTCCTATATCATGGTTTGCAAATTCCACTTGTTCTATATTAAACTAGTATTTGAACAGCCCCAGTGATGGGGAGATGGTATTGATGTGTGTGTGTGTTATACGTATATATAAAATAATCTTATCACCCAAAGAAATTCATTTAAGATTTATGAGAAGTGTGATATGATCTAATTCTCAGTATCACTGTAGAGTTTTTTTGTGCATTGGATCTAATCATTGTTAAGTTGTGGTTTTATACCATATTGTGAATCATATGACCAGTACTGTACGGAAGTTTCATTATCAGAATCTCATTCACTCATCTAAAACCGCAGGATGTAAATGTGAACCCTACGGTCTTTTATGATGAGATGCCCTGTTTAATGTTTGTGATTTTTTTGTGCACTAGTTTTCTTCTCCCCGTCTCCTGAAGGCACTGATGTGTGCAGTTGGTGCACTGGAAGCCCTCTGGTGCTTTGCTTAATCATTCTTCACGTTCTTCTTAGAAATGAGGTTGTTTGTGTGGGGGATCCTTTATTCCTTACACCCACAATTTCCATCTGGGATCACTGGCAAGCGATGGAGGCTGCTGAAACACTTCCTGTCTTATTTTCTTCCCCTTCTCACCCTAGTGTTCGGATATTGAGGCCAATTGTAGCATCCCTACTGTCTGCCGCCTCGGTTAACAGCTATCTCAGTAGCCTGAGGCATTATATGGCTTATTGCTACCCGAGGCAGTACCTTCTTTCAGCCACTAGATCAGGGGATCCAGGGACCGCCTATTGGTCACTAGATCAATTTAGGAAGTGTTGGAAGTTGTCCTGTGCTAGCAGAGAATTGGAGTTGACGTACACAGGAAGAGACCGTGCCAGTGAGGATAAGGTGGTACCTAGCCAGTGCTCATTTCCTATGTTTTTCTTCCAGAAATCAAGGTGAAGGGCCAAGGCCAAAGTACAGAACACCATCAATACTGAAAGCAGTGACTGAGAGAACAAAGTGGTTAGAGACGCCAAGTTTAGATTCTAAAAGCCTGCTGATCGTGTGAGGAAGAAGCAATTGAGGGAGGTAAGGAATCTCACAGTCTTCAGGGGCTGGCTGAGTGGGAGAAAGTTCAGTGAAGGTGCAGGGAGGTGCTTTGCTTATTTAAATGGAGCATGGCTTAAGATTGTGAGGCATATTTAGTGTATCATACAGCACACATGGGGTGGAAGTATTGCATAGGCCATGATACCTTAAATGCAGGTAGATGTTAAGAAACCAGGGTCTCCAGAAAGAGAGAGTGAGTGTTTCTCCTGGTGTCCTGGCCAACAATTATCCATTCACTTTGTCTGAATGTTGGACATTGCCATGTGCAAATTGTTTGCTGAGTTTCACTGCAACCAAGTAGTAAGCTGCACTTTACAATATATCATTTTAACCCCTTTGACATATTTTGATGTCATAAGGCACTGCATCAAATTCAAGGATTATTTGTTAAAACACTCACTATTTTAGTGCAACACAACCGTAGAAAAGGAAAATATCTTTGAAATGTCCAATTACCCTTGCTGCAAGAAATTCCATGTCCAAATACATTTTGCTTTATTGCAAATGTAGTGATTGCAGCAATATAGTATCCTTGCATTCAGGAGAGACAATTGGCGGGTTACAGTTTCAGCTTGCCAAATGCTGTGCTGAATTTTGACCAAAGGGTGTTGTGTTGGGGGTGGGGGGGGCGGTGGTAGAGAGTTAATGTAGATGAGCTAAACAGAAAGTTAAGAAAGGAGCTGCAAGATCCTCTGGCGGGTGACAGAGGGTGCAGATTTAAGATAATTGGCAAAAGAACAAGAGGGGAAACGAGAAATTTATTTTACCCAGAGAGATGGTCTGGATTGCACTGCCTGAGGGCTATGTGGTAAGAGCGGGGGGAGTGGGACTAGTTGGTAGTTCTTTCAAAGAGCCAGCATGGGCACGATGGGCCGAATGGCCTTGTATACTGTAAGATTCTATGATTTCATGTCAGTACTGTATTTTGGAAGGGCTGGGTTTGAGGTGTACTGGCATCATTCATGACTGGCTTTCAGGTTGCTTTGTGTTTTGGGTCTGCTGAAGCTGGAAAGCCACCCATTACAGCTGGTCAGTTCATAGAAATTTACAGCCCTGTTAGAAACTTCCATCTTTAATTGCCTTGAAAAGCTATACAGTTGTGTGTTTCTCCATAGTATTAATGCAAGTTACCAACAATAAAAACAGTTTGCAAATTTTCTGACCTGGAAGAATCCAGGGTTGCAAAGAGGAGTAAGTAATGAGTGTGAGAGAGGATGTCGTTTGGACCCTTCTATGTCATTTGTAGTCCTCCATTAGAGGGAGGCATTGAGCAGAGGTGAAGTGCTTTTGGTCAGGGAAGGAAAGAACATGTTCAGGGTGAGATGTGAGAAGCCTGTTCTTGTTTGTCTTTTGGGACATAGGAACAGTAGAGTCCATTCACCACCTCAAGCCTGTACCTCAACTCCAATTACTTGCTTTTGCCCCCTATCCCTTGATGCCCTTATCTAACAAACGTTTATCCAGCTCAGTCTTGAAAATTTGAATGGATCCAGCAAGCATTTATTCTATGTTCCGAAATAGTATTTCCACAAGATGTAGTGAAATATAGCATACTGTGTTGTCTGGAGTGAATTAACCCAGGCCATGAATGTCTCTGGTTTGGTACTTGGTCACTTGGTCTGTGTTTAGATTCTCATTTGGAATTGCCCTCAGATGACTGAAGGCACGGTCGAAAAGGAACGTCTTGAGACTGACCTTGAAGGAGGGAAGGGGTGAAGCGGGAGCACCCTGGGATGGATTTCCAGAGGGTGGGGGCTGACTCCTGATAGTGGAGCAGACAAGTTGGGGAAAATTCAAATAAGATACTATTAATATAATATTATTAGAATAAGATACGTGCAGTGCTCTGTACAGCTGTGATGTACTTCGTAGATTTAGGCCCATCAAGATCCCAAATGTTGGGGATTTCCAAAAGCAGCCTCCCGTGATTAAATAGTTTTGTCATTATATTCTGTGAAGCACTTTAGGATGTCTAGAAGACGTGAAAAGCGCTATATCAAATGCAAGTATTATTATTATGTGATCTTGACACTTCCACAAGTGGTAAGTGACAGTTAGAGTTACGTGGGGTGTCTGAAAGTCTGGGTAACTGCAGTTAGTCCTCTAGGGACATCTGCTTCCACATTTTGCTCCATAAACAGCAGAAAGACATCTACTGGATCTTAATCTGTTACAAGTCTCCGCTATCATAGGAACACACACATGTGTTTGCACACAAAATATACAGTCAATTCACTTTACAGTATATTCTGTGAAGTGCTTTGAGACGTCTCGAAGATGTGATAAGGTGCTTTATCAAATTCAAGGATTATTGTTATTCTGTATATAATAAACGGGTGATGGATAGTTGAAGATATAATAATAGTGAGGTGTATACTTCAGTGGTTGCAGCAGACCCTCTCTTGTCAAGATCATTCTATGAGCTACACAAATGAAGGACATCCATCGCCTCAGATTGGGATTGAGCCCATCTTTCCCTTTGGGATGTCAGTTGACCTGAATGGGTCTCCAGCCTTTTTGTTAAGTATTTAAAATGGCAATGGTACTGGCTTCTGTAAGCTTTTATCATCAAGCTCAATCTGTAGCTCATCTTGTCTGCTGGAAGAGCTACTCCACTTATTTTTGACAATTTTTAAAAAATGCAAAGTGCCCCATTAAATCACGCCTCTTCTTCTTTCCCCCCCCCCATACAAATACACACCAGCCAATTTGTTCTCCCTCGTTAGTAACTGCAAAAATATCACATTTCAATAGTTTTGTCCTTAAAACTGTTGCGTGCTTGGAGTCAGTGTTGGCTGGGCTGAGGTGTGCAGCTGGCTTTTCCTTCCCCTAAGAATAATAATAATAATAATAATAATCCTTGCATTTGATATAGCGCTTTTCACGTCGGGAGGACTTCCCAAAGCGCTTCACAGAACAAACTGTAAAGTGAATTGACTGTATATTTGTGGGCGAACGCGGCAGCCAATTGCGCACAGCAATGTCCCACAAACAGGCGTAGATTGAAAATGACCAATTTATTATTGTTTTGGTTTTGGAGGGATTATTATTAGGCTCTGTGTGGAGTAAGGAAACTTGCCCAAGGTTTCGCCCTCTGCCTGGAATTGAACTCAGGTCTCCCGCTTGCAAAGTGAGTGCTCTAACCACTGAGCTACAGGACTCCACATGGTTGGGGGAGGGGGGGTTATAACTGTCATGCTCCCACACTGACATGGAGGGAAAAAAAACTATGGACATGCAATTGTATCTGGGAGCTTGCCAATCAAACCTCCAGTGATTTCACTAGAGGTTCTCAATCTTAACATGCAATGTGGTCAGGTTGCTCTCAACCCGTTTTTATTCACAAAGGATGTGAAAACATAAACTTCAGGATCATAACTGGGATTTTTTTCTCTAACTTTTTTTGTAACATTCAATACATTTCTCATGATGCACTTTATCAAAAATAAGTTGACAGCCTATTTTATCTGTGTATTTGATCATCACTGGAACATCTCTCCTGAAACTGTTTTTCTCTCTTCTGGGTGACAGTTTCCACACTTTGATATGTCACTTGAGTGAGTGGTCATTCATTCATGCGTGAATATTGTAGGCGAATGGCAGCAGATTATTCAACTGTGAGAAGACATTAAAGCTTTCAGCATGATCTGATTGTGTCGTCCCCAATAGTTGCAGGTACCAGCTCCAGTAGGAGTCTGCGGCTAACAGTCAGCAAGCAGGGAGTTCTGGCTGAATCCCCCTCGCTGCCCTTATCTAGATCATTCAGGCCAATTGTTATTCCCCCTAACTCAGCGTAGTGCGTGGGACTTTCCTGGGTCGTAGGTCAGTGACTTACTTACTGGATTAAAGTGCCGCGTATCTTTGGAGCGGAATCATTTTATGTTTGTGTTGTTAACTTCATCCCGTTGTGTAGGTTAGAACAAATGTTAGGAAGGAAACTGGACTTAGAGCAGATAACTCCATTGGGGAGAGGGAGTAAGTACAGCACAGGAGCTTCAGGAAGAATGGATACATTGCAGACATTTAATCAGCAAAGATTGCAGTCAAGTCTATGCTATTAAATACTTTGTTAAAGAATATAGAATCTTTTGCCAGTTGTGAGATGTGAATTGGGAATGGGTGGTGACACAGGTTTAGCTGATTTCATTATGTATTCCTTCCCCTGATTGTAGAGCTGACAGTCACCATGGTGGAGGCATGAGCTATCGTTACTGACACTGTCCATATATCCATGTCCTGATGGTTTAGCCCATGTGATATTGGAGGGGATGGGGAAGCAGGTTGTGTATTATGGGTGGGCCAGTGAGGAGCCTGAAAGTATATCGCAATAACTTCAAATCTGTTCTCCTGATTTTGAGCTGTAAAGATTTGGTGTGAAACATTCCTTTCTCCTGATTAGGTGGATTCCCAAACCTACCTGGGAACAAATTGAATATTGAATTCAATAAGGCAGAATTGTAGTTTGTCTGCTGTTTCGAGAACTTGTCTAAGAACTTCTATTCCCTTTACAAATGTCTCTTTATTCACCTTTATTTCTTTCCTATTTGTTTATCAATTAGTTTCTCTTTCCTCTTTTTAGTGGATATCTGGGATTTACACTGTAGGTGGACAGGGTCATCACATTCAGGAGAAGCTGGTTTGTCTGTCTCATTTGAATAGAATAAGAAATCTTTCATAGCATATAGCATTAACCAACCTCTTGAGTCCTATAAAGTGCAATGATCTTTTAAAGTTCTGTTTCCTTTCTTTTCACTCGGTCATTGGAGAATTGATTTGAACAAATGTGAACGCAAAGTGTAAATGAGTGGAAATTAACCCTTGATTATAACTTGTGTTTATCGCCAACAAAATAAAGTCACTACACTTTACAGTATATCCTGTGAAGTGTTTTGAGACGTCTCAAAGAAATGATAAGGTGCTATATCAAATGCAAGTATTATTATAGTGCATTTCAAGTAAAAGCGCTTCACAGAATAATGTTGAAGAGTGAGTGGTACATGAGCAAGTTATATTTACTAGTTTTTTTTTACAGGTGACTGAAGTAAAACAATGTCTGGAATTGCTTTGAGTCGACTTGCACAAGAAAGAAAAGCTTGGAGAAAGGACCATCCTTTTGTAAGTAGTCCCGTACAATACAGTCCTGCACTGACCTGCTCAGGGCATTGTCTTTACCAGTCCCCGGTATTGTTGTTTAACCAGTGTCTCAGCCCAATTAATTCCTACCTGGTGCTACATGTGATTGTGAATGCAGGCTGGCAGGTAATGTGGGCAGGTAGCAGCTGCCTGCAGTATAATGTGTGGATCACAGGGCGTCAGTGTTCAGTGTCGTGCTATTCTGGTTGAGGAGTGCAAAACTGTTTTATATGGGAGTTGGGGATGGACCTACTTTCCCTCAATGTAATTTTGCTGTTAAATAAATCCTGTGGTTTGTGTCTGAGCAGAATAATGCTATTGATGGAGCATTGTTTAGTTATCTGCAGTTTCCCTAAAGGCACTGCATTTCTTATTTAAGGCATTTTGTTGTGTTGCTCTGGGATGCTACCCTGTGTGAAGGGTGCTATATTAATTGTTGTTGTAGTACCTGAACCTGGTTGGAGTCCTGCTTGTTGGTGGCGGGGTGTGGCTTTCAGTGTGGGAATTGGCCTTTGTAAGCTCACACAGGGGATACTGGACAAACTGCAATAAAATCTGTTTTTTAAAAAAAACCTTGTGCCCACTTCCTGATAGATCAAGTTCTTCAGGGGTACAGTAGATGAATTTATAGGCAGATACCTCAACACCACCAACTTATATCTATATGGCGCCCTTCATGCGTGGAGCGCTTAGATCGGGTTTGAGTAAAAACAATCTTGCTAATGACTGCATTGACAGTAAGTAATGTGTGTGAATATGTGATGTGCTGTTTAGTGTGGTCTAAACTTGTCCTGTTTCACTGTCAGGGGTTTGTTGCGGTTCCCACCAAGAATCCAGACGGCACATTAAACTTAATGAACTGGGAATGTGCTATTCCAGGCAAGAAAGGGGTAAGTAGTCAGTGTCTGAATGTAATGTTTGATTTGAGGCCCAGGAAATATACACACCAGTTTGAGTTATTCCTAGTCAGGAATTTTGACACAAACTCATCCATCTCAGCCTAATCTTGACTGTGGATGAAAGATTAGAGATGCCGTTGGCTGCACAGTGTATTTTGTTATATGTGAAAGCGATGTGAAAGTGTGCATTAATGTGTCTCCCCCCCCTCCCCCATGCTGGACTTCCAGCTGAGAACGGTTGGGTTTGAGTGCTGCTGTGGCAATATATTTTGTTTGTCATGGTTTATGCTCTAGCCGTACATCAGCCTGTTGAGGTATCTCCTGGCCTCTGACTGGAATTTTTTACGTATACATTTATTTTCAACAACAATTTGGATATGTATAATAATTCCCTTCAAGAAGGGAAAGACAGAGGAACCATCTAAACAATTTTACAGTGTATAGTTTGGGACACGATATGTCAAGTGATTGCCAGGAGGTGAAAGGTGAACTAGATGGACCTCGGTCTTCTTTCACCAGCAAATTCTTATGTTCTATTCTTATAGACGTGAAAGGATTATTATAATGAAAGTCTTTTCTCTTGCAGACAGCGTGGGAGGGCGGGCAATATAAACTCCGAATGCTCTTCAAGGATGACTACCCTTCATCACCACCGAAATGTAAGTGGTTTATTGTTGGCTGTGATATTATTCTTTCTCTCTCTCTGTGGGCTCGTAAACCAACCCAACCTGCCTCTTAGCATCAAAGCCTCTCTTGTAACGTTTCGCCTCCAAAATATACAAGTCAATTGACTTTACAGTATATCCTGTGAAGCGTCTTAAAGACGTGATAAGGTTCTATATCAAATGCAAGGATTATTATATTAACTAACCAAAGCGATTTCTCTGGCCATTTCCCCCCTAACTGATGTAGCTCAGAGCTGAAATGCTACACTCTGCACTTTGGTTAGTTAATCGTGACTTCTCTGTTCTGGAGGTTGGTAATCACGTTCTGCCAAGATGTATAGTTTCATCCTCTCAGCTCTCCATATCACATTATATAAACACCCTTTTCTCTGAATCCTTGTGATCTATCGCCAGAATGTCTTACTGTGGCGCAAACCATATATCACAGCTGAGTCCGATCTAATCCTTGTGCCTCTTCACGTGCTCTTCCCATCAAGTGTTTTGTTTTGTGATCTGACAGGTAAATTTGAGCCTCCGATATTCCACCCGAATGTGTATCCCTCTGGTACGGTATGTCTATCCATTCTAGAGGAGGACAAGGACTGGAGGCCAGCCATCACTATCAAACAGGTAACCAACCCCTTGTAACTCTACAAAACTGCATTTCCACCATTCTGTAACTTTGCTTTCCACCACTGACTGGCCATCTCTTTCCTGATAGATATTACTAGGAATCCAAGAACTTCTCAATGAGCCAAACATTCAAGATCCAGCACAAGCAGAAGCATACACAATCTACTGGTACGTAGGGCAGTAGATTGAAGCTAGGCTGCTCCCTCTGTTGGCAGGAGACACGGAGAACTGTGTTTATCGTTGTTGTAAAGATAGCTAACCTGCTGTGGCTCAAGCTCTTCCTGAGCCAGTTCTCAAACGTACACTCATGTTGGGGGCAAAACCCCCGTCTGACTCTCTTGGGGAAAACGTGTAACTTTGTGTTTCTTATTGTTCACAGCCAGAACAGAGTAGAGTATGAAAAACGAGTGCGAGCACAGGCCAAGAAATTTGCTCCAACATAAAAACAAACCAACAACAAAAAAAAGATGTGGATTTCTGACTGTCGGTGGAGAAAAGGAGGCATGCTTTTACATTTAGCAAGTTCCTGTTACAACCAATTGGCTGTCTTTTGGGGGGAAAATAGTTTGCATCATTACTTGGACAATTCTAGTTTACAACTACTACAACGACAACAACAAAAAAATGACTCCAATCTTCTCAGCACAAAACTTGCTGTGTTTCTTTCTGTGACGGCCGTAGTAAACTGGTTATTAAAACAAAGCCTTAATTTTCAGTGGCTGATCGGTCGATCGATTGGTCTTCAAAGTAGAATATGTGGTAGTCAGAATCGCGGCTCCAAATGTAATGCTGGCTGACTAGCGAAATGTAGTTGGATTCTTTTTTTCAACCTGGTTAGCCAGTTTTACGTCCAGTAGGAAAGGTTTTTCACCTGTGTCCACACACCCTGGGGTATAGTTACCACCTCCAGGTGCCTTCACCAGGAGGGAGATTTTAAGAGCAGAGAAAGTGAGAACAGTTATATGCAAAACTCACTTCACGATATTATGAGCTGTGTTTTTTTTTGCTCAAAAAAAATTTGTGTCAAGTTTTACCAGAGAGCGAGACTTGGAAGTCCTGTAATAAACTTATTGTCTTAAGTATTGTATTTAAAACTTTAATAAAATTCACTTTCTGTCCATCCACTCCTTTCCTCGGTCAGTCACTGTATACAATTCCTCTGGGAGGTTGCAGTTGCTGAGCCTAGTTCAGTGAGACCTGCAGCTTGTTGCTGAGTGTCAGCCTGTCTGGCTGCCAGGGATTTGCCTCACTTCAGTGTGAGAACTTGCTCAGGTCCTCAGTGTGGTGGGATTTGGTTTTAAATGCATTTTTAAAAAAATAAATAAATCAATTTCGATGACTCCAGTTGAAACGAGAACTTGTGTATCACCTGCTGTGGTTAGTCTTGTCAGCTGCTCTCACTTTTTTTTATTTGCTCTGGATTTCCTCCTACCCGCCCACAGCTTCTGATTGCAATGTCCTTACTGGAAAATCGAAGGAGCCATTTAAACAATTTGTGGCAGCAATACCCGTGTTTGTAATCTGGAAAAGTATCTCCCTTTGGCTGAAGGTGTGAAGCTGTGTATGTTTAGTGAGCAGGTGCTGCTCTCCTAAAGACTGGTTTGAGACGGGCAACGAGGCTTTGGTTACGGTCGCCTCGCCGTGGCTTGAGACCGACATTTAGCTGTTCCCGAAAGGCTTTTTCTCCCATCTTTAGACGGTGGTGTTTCTTTTTGGTGGGAGACATGTTTTGATCAGTAATTGTCAGTGTTGTAAAGCAGTCAAACATTTTGCAAAGGGATTGTAGCTTCTTTGGTTGTCGCGAAGACGTTTGGAGCGGAAAAACTAGACCAAGAATTATCTGGAAAAGTATGTTGACTGATGCTCCTTTTGTTTTAAAGGGGAAAGGAAAATCTTTTTTGGAATTTTGAATGAATGGGATCTTGGACTGGTCTGTTTCAAATCTATAGAATACATGCAGTATTATAAATTTTCAGTCTTGGTGTGAAACTTGGTATCTGCTTGGCAAATACGCAGTTGTGGCTTGCAATTCCCAGGATTTGGAAGAAGGTTAATTGGGAAAGGAGGGAGGGGGCAGTAGAAAGGTGTTTGCAGACAGTTTTACTACTTGCTGGGCCTTTAGAAATTGTTTGGTTTGTGCGTTGGAATGTACTACATCTGTAAGCATAAGTTGTCAACATTGCATTTGAAAGTGTATACTTTACTTGCTGACTTGATTCATTACCTGTGTACAGCGTGATCAAATAACTCCTACCAGGAATGTTTAGGTGAATTACAGATGCTTAAGATGGCCCTGGTGAGTCTGTAGCTGTAACAGTCCTCCAGTTTGCATTGCTCCAGTTTCACTTTGGGCTGGGGATGCTGTGCTTCACTGTAAAATGATTGCGTTGCCTCCTGTTTGAAAGTTCCTCCTGATTCCTTGTGGATAGAACTCTGCTTAAAAACATTTACAGCCCCTTCAGATTGCAAAGCATTTCAGAATTCTACACTGAACCTTGTTCTAAATCAGAGAGAGACGCTGTGTGTTGTTGAGCAGGGAGTAATACGTTGGATTGTATTTTCTGCATCGTTGATTCTGGTCATAAATTGGAAGTGTAGCTCCTCTAATCTGTCACTTTCTTCCCCAGCAATGTCCACACTCACTCCCATGCGATTCTCCACTTGGGGTGCGAGTGTGTGTCTTTGTTCTTTTTTCAATATATAAAAATTACCACGAGACGATCCAAAGCTCAAGTCACCTGGCATGAAATCAGGCTAAAGTTTATCCTTTTTGCTTTAAATAAAGGTTCTGTTAGCTTTAGTATTAGTGTCCTGGTGAAGCAGCTGAGAGCACTTGGGAGTAGATCTCAGTGTCTGTAGGATTTTCACCATTCACAGGGTCACCCGCAGGTTTCACTCACCCTGAGATAAAACTAGCTTGGTTCATACTTTTTTTTAATGGGGGAAGTAAAAATTCAATGGCCAGTGATCCGTCTCTTGTGTGTAAACTATGTGCTGGTGTTTTACATTCTCTGCAGTATGTGTGCACATTGTTGAAGATTGAAAGATGGATTGTGTTTGTGTAAAATGTCTCATTGACTTGCCCACGTTTTTGCGATTGAGCTGGATTTGGTTTCTCAAACAATAATTACTGGTATCTAAAGCCTGTCAGTCCTGGTTAGCAGTTATGTTGGCTTGTGGTGACTTTTCCTGGTAGGATAAGTTTGCTATTTGCTGTAGTGGAGCATTTGGGTGTGTACAGTGTTAGAAACTTTTGAAGACCACTTCTGGTTCCATAGAAGAAAAAAAGGGATTTTTTTTTTGTTCTTGTTTTAAAGATATATTACAAAATTGTTCCCCCTATCAAACTTTCTGGTCTACGTTGCTTAGCTGGGAAGTAATATCATAGTTTAACATAATGCAAAAAAAATTAGGAGCGGAGGTGGCTGGTCAATAAGATCTCACTTTCTTGTGAAATCTCAAAGCTCAGCAAACTTCAATCCTGAATCCATTCCAGTTGTCTCCTGTCCCTCCCCACCAACAAGTACTTGCTAAATTTATAAACCAAACACCCTGGGAATATTGGCGGGTCACTTTCTTTGTTTATATTTTTTGATGGATAAAGTGACAAATTCATTAAAAAAAACCCAATATTCCAGGGTGGTGCTGTAAACTTGTACAATACTTTTATATCTTTTTTCATAGTTCATTGGAGTCTTGAGTATGAAATGGGTGTGTCTTTAGAATACATGCTGATTTTAATGTTTCCTTGCCCCCCTGCCCCTAACCCCTCCTCTCTTTCTCCCCAACCCCCAGAGAGGAATAAACAAACCAATAAATAAATTAACGGCTGGTTGTAATGGTCGCCTCTTGCATGGCCCTCTAGTGCGATCTGGTTCGAGGAGCATTCTGTGTCCTTAAAGTGTCACTTATGTCACCATGTTGTAGAGAACAGCGAGGAGAACTGGGAGCTGAGAACCTTTACTGTGTTTGGGGGCAGCATAGAATCTGTCAAGTGAGCGAGCAAAGGGATATCACAGTGATCAGGGATCTTCATGCCTTTTCCATGCGACCACCCTCTCCACAAAAAAACTATACTCATCCTCATGTCAGAAATTAAGTCCGAAATGATGGTATCTGCTTGACGTGTTGTGTGTGGCCAACCAGGGTGTAATAGTTTTGAGCGTGGCGCCAAGCATTGTATGTAAAAGCCCTTGAGTTACATGTGAAGGGAGTTCTCTAGATATCAAATGTTATTTCTTTTTGTAGATTTAATTGTCTGAATTTTGTAATTGCTTTTAGTTAGATTTGTTAGGAAGTTAGCATTAGGACATTATTTTGGGTGCTTACCTCCTCTACTCCCTCTCTCACTCTTCTCCCCTCAAGCCCCAACCCACCACCTTTCCGATTATCCTGCATTCAAAGCTGCAGGACTCAATACTTTGCTTTTAAACGTGTACTTATCAGTTCTCCCCAAGGTTTGGGGTGCAGAGAAACCAATTTCACTACATGTGTTGAATTGTGCAGCTTAACCAGAACAAAGCTAGGATTAAAATTACACCAATGTTTTGCTCCTATGGATTAAGGTTTTTTTTCCAGCTGGAATAGGTATCGATGAAGCGTTTATGGCAAAGCACCTGTTTGGACAGTTTTTCAAACTTTTTGTGAGGTATTTTCCCCCCTCTCCCCCCTCATAATATTTTTATATGTTTAAAGACTTGAGTGCAGTTGAAATCCAGAGTCCTGTTGGGGGCTCAACTTTTCAGGCTGCAGAACTAGCGTGAGACGGAGCGCAGAATCCCTCGGCTGTTCTGCCGATATTAACCGCAAGCTAAACTTGTAACCTTTTTATAAATACACGGGTATCTGTTGGAGTCTGTCTGTGGGAAGCGGCTGCACAAGAAGCTTCTGTAGATGAGCTTGGTCTGGTGAGTGTATCAATGGTCTTTAATTAATTAATAAATAAATAAAAACCACACATGGGGTCGGACTTAAACCCACTGTCGACTGATCCGTTGCTAAATGGCTTGTCTGTCTTCTCGGGCCAATTTGGGGTCCGGTTGTGTGAGCCGTATTGTTCTGTAGTGTAATAATTACAATATGGTGGAATGTGAAACATTTTTTGACATAGAATCTGCTATCTTCCCAAGCATACCTTATATTGTTTTCCCCAAAGGCCATGTTTGTTCTCCCCCTATCTCCTGCTTGCCCGAAAAGCCCAAACTGTTAATATTGAAAAGCAAGAAAAACGCGCTTGGTTTAAAATAAGTCAAAGAAATAATAAATAAAAATCTTAATGAATGGAAAGTTTTTTTTAAAAAAAACAAAGTGAAGAAATCATTCCATTGTTCATGTACCGTTTCAGCACACGCACCATTTCAATCACGGATACCTCTGTTTGTATGCTGTTTGTTAATGTATTTGTGTTTAGAAAAAGAAATTAAAAATGGCAAAGTAAACCATGATCTCTTCTGTGTGTTTCTTGTTCACAGATTTAACTTAAAAGAAATCTTTGCACTTCGGTTGTGGTCTCCCTCGAACCTTGGTGTGACTCATTTTTATACCTTGATTTTGGATCAGGTTTAGAATTGATCCCCGTCACTGCGGAGGTGATTTGGCAGGTAAAAGCCCCTCCGGAGAGCAGTCCAGCTGGGCAATGCTTTCCAATCGCTGAAGCGATTTCAGACATCTCAAATGCGATAAGGCGCTATATCGCTCTGAACTATACAGTCAATTCACTTTACAGTATATCCTGTGAAGCGCTTTTGAGAGTCTTGAAGACTTTAAGTGCTATATCAAATGCATGGATGCCCCTCTGCCCCTTCCCTCACTATTCCCATGTTATGTTATGGCCGGGGTTGGTGGGGGGGGAAGAAGGGAGCAAGAGTGGTCTGTTTGTGTGCTGTTTCGCTCTGCGTTTCCCTTTCCTGCTCTCTCTCCACCCGAAGGCCGTGTAACAATAATAATACTTGCATTTGACCCAAAAGCTTTTTTTTTCTCTCTCTCAAGCGTTGAGGTGTCATGACCAGTTTGTTCCACAGGAGGACAGCATTAGCTGCCAGTCTTTGCCCAGATCCCTCAATGTAACTGGAATGGTGATCAATGGGAGCGTTGCATTGCACTGGAGGCCATTCAGCCCATTGCAGCTTTTGAAAGAGCGACGCAAATTAATAGAGGAACCTCAAAGTCTGGACAGGTTTGTCAATGAGAAAACTGCTGTGTAAGTGCAATTTGTTGTACCCTTGATATTCAGATCAAGTACAAATTTACATGTTACAGGCTTCGGCTGAATACACAAAGCATTTATTTAGATAGTACACCTTCACGTGGGATAATGACAGGGTTGGAGGCCGAGCAAGGGAGAACGGGAGGATAAACCGTCACTACCCTTGAAAACAATTACTGTTGAGCACAAATAATAATAATAATAATAAACCTTGCATTTGATATAGCGACTTAATCACATCTTCGAGACATCTCAAAGCGCTTTACAGAATATGCCAGTTCATAAGTGTCAATAAGGTTTTGTAGGACATAATCAGCTTAATTAAATACCTAACCAATATTACCAATAAATAAAATTATATCATCAGTAAAACATAAAGCAAATAGGATTAAGGCAGAGAATAAAACAATGCGGTATAATAAACAGCTTTTTCCACAGATTAAGTTAAACTAAATATAATTGAGCTAAACAAATAACTAAAGATCATCAGTGATTATTATCAATAAGAGTTCAGGTTCAGACCGACAGGAGGAGCAGTGACCATTGTCACCAGCAGGTGGCAGGCTCGGGGTTGGCGCGTGCGCACTCGGCCCCTCCAGGGCCACAGGAAGTAGAACCAATTCGCGCCGCCGGAAGTGCAGTGAGTGCGCGCGAACGTCAACCGTCAAAGTGGTGAGACACCAACTGTCACACCAACTGTCACACACCCCCTCACACACACTCTGTCACACCCCCTCACACACCCCCTCACACACACCCCCTCACACACACTCTGTCACACCCCCTCACACACACTCTGTCACACCCCTCACACACACACCCTCACACACACACCCTCACACACCCCCTCACACACACTCTCACACACCCCCTCTGTCACACACCCCCTCACACACACTCTGTCACACCCCCCTCACACACACACACACACACACACACCCCCACACACACACACCCCACACACACATACCCCCACACACACACACCCCCTCACACACACCCCCACACACCCCCTCACACACCCCCTCACACCCTCGCACAATCCCATACGCACATGAACCCTCACACACAGAGTGACACACACCCCCCGGGGGGTGAGGGTCTGACGTGGGTGAAGGTTAAACTCTCTATGTGCTGTTGGTGAGAAGATTCCGCCCTTCAGCTGAGACGTCAGACTGACCCCCCACTGTGGCTACTCAGCTGTTAAACATCCCAAACAAATACACATCTCACAGTCACTACATCTCACAGTAAATCCCACCCACAGTCACTACATAAGAACTTGCTGGACAAAAGCAGACCAAGGTCCATCCATTCCAGTTCGCTTTCCACCTGACCGTCGCTTGACATGTCGTGTCCCAAACTATATACGGTCTCCCCCGGATATTATCCCTAACAGAACTCTGTCTTGTTTGTTCGTGAAAAAAAACAACACTTTCTCCTTCCACCGACTGCCTCCCGAGGGAGTCTGATCCATTATATTATTTGGTGGTATTTACTCTCTGACTTGGCTGATATTAAGCCAACAGGAGGCTGAGTTTGCTGTTGGTTATGGTCACTTCGGTGAGGGTTTATGATTGCTTTCTGTGTAGATTTGTGCTGAGGTTGGGTCTTATTCTGGACATGTGAGGAAGACTCGGGGGCCCCAGACATTGGCAGTGAGGTCTCCCATGTTCCAAAACTATTTTGACTCTGAATCCTCAGGAGCGTTATTTACCAATTTCAGGAATGTTGAGCTTGCGGAGCGGAGCGTCCTGGTGTGAATGTGTGGGGCTGCGTTTTGACAGCTAAAACCAGGGAGATCTCACTGACAGTATAAACGATCCCGTGTGTGAGGAGCCTGAGGCTAAGCTTCTCAAAGCTTCTGCTGTTGTGCTTGAGAAGTGTTTATTGCTGGTAATTTTTAAACTATAACGTTCCTTGTGCTCCTCACTACTCCCAGGTCAGGTTTGCTCCTGAACCATGCAATAATCCTGGCATTCCATGTAGTGTCTGTCTTATCACGTGTGTATGCTGTGCTGAGGGTGCCAGCTTAGTGAGCGAGTCTGTTGTGTGTGCCGCTGCGTCGCGCCTACACGCGTGTTTTGCATGGTGTGGGTCATATGCGTTGCACATGTACATGACTTGTGTTTGTATATGTACACTCTGTGTATGTGGTGAGTGTGTATGCACCTGCGCTGTCTATGTTGTCTGTGAGCGAAGTACACTGTAGATGCTGCAATAGTCCTTCTGTTTTGCAGGGGTTCTGGATCAAGCCAAGCTCTACAACATGGGGCCGCTGATCAAACTGGTGAAAGAGAGCAAAGCGAGATTAACAGGTAACCATGGTACAGACGGCTGTGGGGGCGGGGGAGTGGTGGTGCTGCCTTTAACAAACAGGTCAGCATCTGCAGTGTCGCTATTATTTAGATAACCCTCTGGTGGTTGGGGGGGAAGAGGAGGCCAAGAGAATGTTACACAAGGTGGGGTAAATATTTAACCACAATGTGAGAGCCAGCAAAACAAGCCCTTCTCTTTGCCTTTGCCTCCAGTAATGAACACTCTCACTGGTATAACCCTCCTGTATATTATATCAGATACTCTCACAACAACAACGTGTCTGCGTATAAACATTCTTCACATGGGACAGCTTCTCGGAGTACTTAACAATGGTGGAGCTTGACACCGAGTCGGGGAGAGAGAGGAAGGTCTACAAATATGATCTGAAGATGGAACTTCCAGGGTTTCAGGGCAAAGTGGCTGAAATAGCTGAACGGTGCAGGAACACTCTGGTGTGAGAGGCTTTAGCTGAGAACACTCCAATCTGAAATCATTCAGTTGCAATGGATGAAAGGGTCTCTGCTAAACGAAAGCCGACAACAGCATTCTGTGAGGAAAACGACCATCGTACAATTCTCTATATTAATAATAATAATCTTTGCATTTGATACAGCTCCTTATCGCGTCTTCATGACGTCCCAAAGCGCTTCACAGGATACGCTGTAAAGTGAATTAACTGTATATCTTGTGGGCGAAATGGCAGCCAATTGCACACAGCAGCGTCCCCACAAACAGTCGTGGATTGAGCGACCACATTATTAATATGATTTTTATTTATTTTTATATTACACTATATACAATGGTGATGGGCAATGAGCAGTATCTGAACAAAGAGCATTTGCCATTAACAGCAGCATTGGAAGAGGTTCAAGCTTTATAACTCTATCATCCAGTCTATCAATAAACAAGGCCATTCAGCCTGTCCTACAACAATAACAACAACTGCCATTTATATAGTGCTCTTCACGCAGGGCAGGGTCTCGGAGTGCTGCTCTGTCAATGAAAGAGGAAATGCGGGGGCATCTGATTGAGGCGTTTAAAACAATGAAGGAAATCATCAACAACAACAAATTGCAGTTATATCATTTGCATATCATGTTGGAAGGCGCTGTAATTGACGAGCTAGATAGGGGCTGGTTTCTGTCTGGGGATGATGTTAAATTAGAAGTGAGATCAGGAAACAGTTCTTTACACAAAGAAGGGTGAACGCTAGGAAACCAGAGTCGTGGGAAGTTCGTGGGTTAAAGGTGAGGTGAAAAGGCAGGGAATGGGATTAAAAGATCTTCCGGAATGTAAAAAATAAAGGTGGAAAAGGCAGAACCCCTCCTGTTAATGAACAGGCTGGGTGGGCTGAATGGCCTCCTGTTGTTTCTAATATGAATGAATATATAATTGTGGTTAGCATTAGCTCTCTTCCCCCTCCCCCCATGTCGCACTGTAACAGCCAATGAAAGAGTCCCCTTTGAATGGGTGAGGTGGGATTGGCCTGGCATTGGTGGGGTGGGGGCTGCTGACGGCAGGCGTTGTGTTGTCTGTGGTCCTGTCGCTCAGAGCGGACCCTCGCTGATGATGTAGTGAATCCAGTCCACCAGCCTGGTCACTCGTGTGTACACACCATAATAGCCAGGGCGGCCGCAGCCAATGCCGAAACTCACCACCCCGGCCAGAAACCATCGCCCGCTGGTCTCCTCACATACCAAGGGGCCTCCAGAGTCACCCTGCAGAGGAAGCAAGAGAAGTCAGTGCCTATCTTGTCACTCGGTTACCCTGGTCCTGGATACTGGTGTCTCCTCGACCTCCCTCCCCAGGCATCACTGACAGACACACAGCAACAACAACAGCTTGTGACTCAGGGTAGCGTCCCACAGCACTTAAGGCAACACAAAGTACGACTTCAATGAGTAGCTTGTGGAAAGGCACGGGACGTACCTGGCACGAATCCTTCTTGCCCTCCCTGTAGCCAGCGCAGATCATTCTGGGACTAATGTTCGTATAAGGTTTTGTGCATGTGGCCTGATCGGTCAGCTTGACGTCCACTTTCTGAAGCACATTCTCAACATTACCTGAGGCAAAGTGAGAGACAGATGATCAGTCCTGTGGAGAACAGGGACTGGGGTCCGTGTGCGCGTGTGTTTGTGTTCACAAGGTGGTGAGGTAATAGCCCTATGTGTAACAATCAGAGCTACTCAGCATAGTTCTAACTGCCACTCACTCCATTTGTTGGACGAAAGAAGACCAAGGTCCATCCTGGCAGTTGCTTGACACTTGTATCCCCAGACAGTATTGTTTAACAGAAATCTATCTTTAATTTGTTCTTGAAACAAACAACATTTTCTGCTCCCACTGTCTGTCTCCCTAGGGAGCCTGTTCCATATGTTTACTACATGCTCACTGGAGTAGTTTCTCCGCAGATTTGTTACGAATTTACGTGCCTGACTTACCAGTCTCCTTCGTTGCTCCCCAGCCCGTGACCCAGCAGACAGAGCCAGCCTGGAAGACGTGTGTGCGGGTGGGCAGACAGATGGGGTAGGGATACGGCCCCTTGGGCACGGACTGGTCTAGCAGCAGCAGAGCAATGTCGTAGTCGTTGGTGTAATCGTCATAGTAATGGTGTCTGACGATCTTCAGCAGTTTGAAGGCGAGTTCAGTGCTGCTCTGCACGTTCAGCTTGAATTTCCCAAGTACAACCGTCCAGAACGATGGCTGCTGATAGCTGGGGAGAGAAGGGGCGCCGTGTCAACATGCATGGTGCAGAGCTTCACCCACGTCTCCTTTACATGACAGGTGTGTGTACGTTGTACACCGTGTCCTGTAGCTCAGTGGTTAGCACATCCACCTCGCAAGTGAGAGGACCTGGGTTTGATTCCTGGGTAGAGAGGGTGAAACACTCGGCAAGTTTTCCACGCACAAACCTCTGTTTACCTAGCAGGTGTAGGAACCCGGTTGTTAGTCGATTGGCTTTTTCAGGGGTAATAATCCCTTCAATTAAAATAATAAGAAGAATTTGGTCACTCAATCCACAACTGTTTGTGGGATGCTGTTGTGCACAATTGGCTGCTGCGTTTCCCCCCCAAAATGCTACGTTTTGCCCACAAAATATGCAGTCACTGCACTTTACCGTGTATCCTGTGAAGCACTTTGAGACGCCTCAAAGACATATACGGTGCTATATCAAATGCCAGGATTATTATTATTATGTGGAAGGTGCTGTGGACATTGTAAGTTGTTAGTAAAATGCTGGAAGAACGTACATGTCAAAGAAGCAGTGAGCGGCAGACAGGACCCAGCGCTCGTTGATGAGGCTGCCCCCACACACGTGGTAGCCGCTGATCTGGAGACTAGCCTGCCAGGGCCACTCACCCTCCGTGGAGTTGGTGCCCCCCACAATTCTCTGCAAAGGGGTCTGCAGTCCACAGTCTGAGGGGAGTGAGAAAGGTTTGCGATGAGAGGGCCACCACACACACGCACTACACTCACACATACGTACACACACCACACACACTAAACAGACACGCAGACATACACACACACTCACAGTAAAGCCAGAGCTGGGGGCTATAGGTAATGTTTGATGTTGTAATTTACACGGGAGGGCAATGCAGTCATCAATTGAGGGCAGTAGTGTGGCTTTAAGAAGAATTCCTCCCACTAAGATTGGGTTAATTCACCCTTTGGAACTGCAACCGACAATCCCTTCACCTCGCTCCCTCCCTTGCCTCCTTCAAGACGCATCTCAAGACCCTGCTCTTGGACCACGCTTTCGGTCACCCTCCTATGCCTACCCTCCCTGCCCTCCACCTCTTGTGATTCCAACCCCCAGCTTTGTCCAGCGCCTTGGGACATCCTCCTGACGTGAAAGGTGCTGTGTAAATGTAATTTGTTGTTTATGATTTTGCCAAAAGCTTTGTCAGTTGTGAGAGGCCGGCGACATATCTGCGTTAGCCGGAGGTGTGGTTGGACACAGTGATATAGTACTACTGCTTGGGGCCACTTGTCACTGATGGCAAGGCTGTGCCTCACTTCCCCTCCTCTCCCCTCGCAAACCTGACCCAGCTTTGGGGCTGACTGACAGCTTCACCTCTTACCGCAATGTTGCTCATCGGTGAGATCCTGACAGTCGGATTTGAAATCACACTCCGGGTTTGGCTTCTTGATGCAAGAGCCGTCCTTGCACGTGTAGGTGAATTGTGTACAGGGCACGGCTGTGCAGGGAACACAACACAGGCCACCGTTACGCGCAATTGACATGTGGTCACGTACAGTTACAGAATCAGGTACAGTTACTGGGAACATCACATACTGTCACAGAATTGCACAAAATCAAACACAGTTACATACAGTCACACGGCTCCAGCACGGGTAAAATACTCCCGAGAGAAAACCGTGTAATAGTCTTGTAAACAGAGCTGGGAAGAGCTGAGAGCCCGGTCACCTACCCTCGATACAGTCCGTCTCATCACTTCCTTCTGAGCAGTCATCCTCTTGATTGCAAACGCTGTGGTAGGAAATGCAACTCGTGTCCTCTTCACACTGGTACTGAGCGGTACACACTGGGGGCGAGAGAGAGAAAGGAAGAGAGAGTCAGGGGTTTTATAGAGAAATAACAGATTATATGGCCTGTGCCTACCATAGAATTATACAGCACAGAAGGAGGCCATTCGGCTCATTGTGTCTGCTGGCTCTTTTAAAAGAGCTTCTAAATCCATCCCACTCCCCCGCTCTCTCCCCATAGTTCTGCAAACTTGGCCTCCCCAAATAAGTATTAATTATTATTCATTAATATTAATTATTAATTCTATTAAGTCTCTTAAAACTTGTTATCGAATCGGCTTCTACCACTCTTTGAGTTGATGCATTCCAGATCCGAACAACTTGCTGTGTGAAAACGTTTCTCCTCACCCTCCCCTCTGTTATTTTTAACAACTATTTTAAATTGCCCTCGAGTTACCGACCGTCCCGCCAGTGGAAATAGTTTCTCCTTGTTCACCCTACCGAATCCCCTCATAATTTTGAAAACTTGTATTAAGTCTCCTCTTAACCTTCTCTGCCCCAAGGAGAATAATCCTGGCTTCTCTACCTCTCCTGATAACTGAAGTCCCTCATTCCTGGTACCATTCTGGTCAATCTCCTTTGCACCCTCTCCAATGCCTTGACATCCTTCCTCAAGTGTGGGGCCCAGAACTGAACACAGTCTCTCGCTGAGGCCTAACCAGTGTTTTATATAAAGGTTCATCATAACTTCCCGATTTCTGTATTCTATGCCCCTATTTATAAAGCCTCGTATCCCGTATACTTTTTTTAAAAAACAGCTTTATCTGCCTGTCCTGCCATCTTCAAAAATGTACTTATGTGAAACCCCAGGTCTCTCTGTTTCTTCACCTCCTTTAAGATTGTACCATCAGTTTATATTGCCTATCATTTAACTGCTTTCCATTCCCCTGCTCTGCCCTCCCCCAAATACCCTCATATAGTTCTCATTTTCAAATAATCGCCTTCTCTCCTTTTAAAAGCTATTATGAATTATTTGTGTGTGTATCTATAGATGTGTGTTGATATCTGTGTGTGTTGATAGTTGTGTTTTGTGTGTTGATATCTGTGTGAGTGTATCTGTGTGTTGATAGCTGTGTCTGTATGTGTGTGTTGATATCTGTGTATATTGATATCTGTCTGTGTGTTTGATATGTATGTGTGTGTGTTGATATGTATGTATCTTGGTGTATGTGTTGATCTATGTGTATGTTAAGTAACATTCTCCTAACTTGCCTACCTAGTGATGATGTTAAATTGACGCTGTCAAGTTGACTAGCTCAGTGGAAATAGTAAATTCCCATTGAGCGAGATGGCACAGAAGTACTTTCCATGATTCAGTAGCCATGGCTGGGTCTCGGCTGGGTCCTATTGTGGGCCAGAGGAGCCCTGGGCTTGCTGCTTACCACAATTAATCTCGTCCACTCCATTTGGGCAATCGTTCAAACCATCACAGGTCACCACGCACAGCCCGCTGATTGAGCACAGACCTGCCCAGGGCAAGCTGTGAATAAACAGTGCGTGTCACTGGGATCATTGTTACCATGATCATTGAGCAATAACTGATTAGAATTATTGACAGTTATTATTCTCACTACCACAGCGGCTCAATAATATAACAACAAAATGATACTTGCATTTGATAAAGTGCCTTATCACGTCTTCGAGACTTTTCAAAGCACTTTACGTGATATACTGTAAAGTGAATTGACTGTATGTTTTGTGGGCGAAACACAGCAGCCAATTGCAAACAGCAGCGTCCCACAAACAGTCGTGGATTGAGGGCTGACATTTTTTTAAAAAAAAGGAATTATTCCTATATCAAATGCAAGGATTAATAATAATAATCCTTTCATTTTATATAATGCCTTATCACCTCATTGAAATGTCTCAAAAAGTGGCACAGGATATACTGTAAAGTGTAGTGACTGTGTTGTGCGGGCGAACTCAGCAGCCAATGCCTTTGTGATGGATTACTTCACATATTTGGAAACCGAGAAGAATTGGCTAACGCAAGGGAAGCAGTGACACTGATGTCAGGAGCTGGGGAGGGGACTAAGACGAGACGTACGGTCAGATTGGTTGAAGAGGCTGTAGTGGAACTGAATGCCGGGGCCGATCAGGGTGGTCTCAGAGGTGAAGGTCACGGTGGTGCTGGGTGAGACCAGGAAGATTCTCTGTGCGTAGGGCTGCAGCACTCGCCTCCCGCAGAACCTGAGACAGGAGCAGAGCATTGGGGATGTCAGGGTAGCAAGGTTAGGCCTTACCATCACACAGGGAGAGAGTTTGGGTAGAGGCAGCTGGAGCAAGAGCAAATTTAAAACAATCAATATATTTTGGTGGGCAGCTGGGTGTGGATAACGCACACAGAAGCCCATCGCCAGGGTTATCCCAGAGTGCATAAACCTCACAACTGCCTTATATAAAACTCTCCCTTCCATAAAACACAAGACAGACACGTGACAGTGAAATAAAGTAGATTTCAGCTCACTTTGTGTTCTGAATGATCCATTGGCCCTGGGTGCAGGTCTCAGTAAAGAGTGGGGAGTCCAGCTCATAACCCTCGAACCACAGAGCAATGCCATAGTCCACAGAGGGCACCTGTCAGAGGCACAGTGTGAGTGTCTGATAAGAATTATAATTATAATCCTAGCATTTGATATTGCGTCTGCGAGAAGTCTTAAAGCGCTTCACAGAATATACTGTAAAGTAAATTGACTGTACATTTTGTTGGTGAAACAATAGATAAATGAAAAGGCAGAACAATTCAGTGTCTGAGCCTCAAGACCACTGTCTTCACATTTAAGAAGAAGGGCACACAATTCTTTGGGAGATACTTAAGTTTCACTTCCAATCTGGAAGCTGTTTTTCGATATTGGTTAAAAAAAATTCACTGGATTACTTTACAAAGGAATCCAAGCAGGAAATTGAATAATAATCCTTGCAGCGCCATCTCACATCGAAGGAGCTTACGAATGAACAATGGAGCCCAGCTCCCGAGGACAGACATTCACAGTGGGAGAAAATGAGAGAGAAATAAACAAACATTGAGCTCCGACTCTCTGAGCAAAGCAGTGACAGGATGCTGTACTTACAGTGAAATGCCAGACACAGTGGGAGTTGGGTGGGTAATAACTCGGGTAATAGGGAGTGCTCTGGTTGCCCTGGATGTGCCATCCCGCTGTGAGAGTGATGTTAGCTGTGCACGCTAGAGAGAACGGGTAAAAGACAATACATCAACGGCACTGTCTGCGATCAATCGGTCCCCATCAATGTGTAATGGGGAATGTAATGGAAAAGAATCCTGTTTAGCTCCGGAGGTTCCAGGTAACTCCTTCCATTGAAATGACCTCAACCGTTTCACAGTTTTTTTTGTGTCTGTCTGCTTCACGTCCCCCACCTTTCTCTGACAGGCGGGCTTTCCGCCACTCTGCACCCACCCTCTGGAACGCAGTCCCTCCATCTTGCCCCCTCCCTTGCCACCTTCAAGACCCTCCTCTTCAACACGTGCTTTCAATCTCCCCGCTTCCTACCGTCCCACACCCCGACCCTCAGCTCGGCTCCGCAACTCTGTCCAACGCCTTGGGACGTCCTCCTAACATGAAAGGCGCTATACAAATGCAATTTTGTTGTTGTTGTGGACAAACCTGGCTGCCAGTTTGTGCAACGGCAATGTTCCACAATCAACCATAAAGAGAATGACCGATTTTATTAGTCTGAGGAATCGATGGCTAAAACTCCCTTCTCTTATTGAATTGAGCCACGGGATCTCTAACCATCTCCTGAACAGGTCTCAGTTTAACATCTGTGAAGGATCGTGTCTAACAATGCAGTGCTCCCCCCAGCACTTCTCTACAGTACCAGCCTAGACTGCGAGCTCAAAGTTCCTGACTTGGGGCTTGAAACCACAAAACTGCTGATTTCAAGGCGAGAGCACAAATGACTCAGTTTGAAATGTAAACCACACACCTGATGAAATGACTTTTATGATTGTGTTTCAGATATAATGCTAAACCTGGAGTGAGAGACACACAGAGTAGGACAGACATGCTGAGCTCAGTCTGGTGTCCGAATGACTTACCGACCACAGGGAAGGCCTGTATGGCGAGCTGGAAGGTATCGTAGCCTTTGTAACCGGCCTGCTTGAACATGACAAGCATCACGTTGCTGGAAGAGAAGATGTTCACCTCCGGCTCCTGGATGCTGCATTGGTAGAAGCTTGAGTGAAAGGGAAGAGAGAAGGAGTGAGCCAGGCCCAGGTCAGTGAAAGATACAGAGAGACCGAATGTAATAATAATAATAATCCTGGCAAATGACATCGCGCCTTATCACTTTTTTGAGATGTCTCAAAGCCCTTCACAAGATTTACAGTAAAATGTAGTGACTGTATGTTTTGTGGGCGAAACGCAGCAGCCAATTGCGCACAGCAGCGTCCCACAAACAGTCGTGGATTGAGTGACCATATTTTTATTTTGATGAGATTATTATCTTCGGGAAAGTGATCTGCCAATCGACTAATGAGTGGGTTCCAACTTACATCAATGTACAATGGACAGCGGAAGTGACACAGACAGCACTGACTCACGAGGTTAGGAGGGATTGGTCGTTGGCAGAGACCTGGTTGTAGATGAAGAGTGAGTCGTAGCAGGAAGCTTTGATCCACTCCAGGTGTAGCCGGATCATCAGGCCTGCTGGTGCCTGTAACAGCCAAAAGCAGCTAGTGGCCTCGTAGTCACAGCTTGACAGGTACACGGGGGACTGCAGGTCAGCAAAGCCATACTGCTGGGAGGCTGGGTAGAGAAAGATAGACAACAGAGGAACAGGAGGAGGCCATTCAGCATTCATGGCTCACCTGTACCTCAACTCCAATTACCCGCCTTTGCCCCATATCCCTGGATAACCTGACCTAAACATGTATCCACCTCAGGCTTGAAAATTTGAATGGATCCAGCAGTCCTAAAAATACTGTCAAAGCAAACACTGTGTGTGTTGTGTGTGTTTGTGCGAGAGTGGGTGTGAGAGTCTGCGTGTGTGTCTATGTGTGTGTGTGTGTCAGAGAGTGACTCAGGGAGATGCTGTCTTCCTCTTGGAGCTCGGCACCCTGTTTATTGCCTGAAGCTGATGTAGCCTGCGGGGGTAGCATGGCATTTGGGTGGTGGTTTGTGAGACACCTTTTTAACCTGGTGCACCACAGTGTCTACAGTTCACCTAAGCAGGCGCCGACCGACAAGGTCGCAAGGTTTAACATCTCATTTGAGACAAACACACAGAGCAAGTGATGGAGACCAGACCTTCAGCTTAGCTCAGTCTCGCTGCTCCCACTGCTTGTCTCAGTAACAGCGTCACACAGAAATCACACTTCCATTACCTGAAGCAGCAACCAGGCTTCTCAGTTGATTTTCTGACATCTCTGTAAAAGTGAAAGACAGACTCAGCTATTCGTCAAGTAGCCCAGATGTACAAAAGGCTGGAGGCAGGGGTGTAAAGAGAGACGACAGGGAGGGGGAGATGTGACAAGTGAGAATTCCTGGCTCATAATTATCAGATTCACCAGAATTGTGTCATGCTTTGAATTGCTACCACTGGCCTGTGGGTTAATTGGGATTTAAGCGCTCTGGGACCCTACCCTGCGTGAGGGGCACTTTCTAAATGCAAGTTGTTGTTGTGACATAGCGTAGGTGTGGAAGCAGGTCAGACAAGGGCGGTGAGGGAGATTAGCTCAGATCTTATTCAGTCAGAACTAATAATCCCTTCACTTGACACAGCGCCCATAACATCTCAATGTGCTTGACAGGGAATTGCTGTAAAGTATAGTGGCTGCACAGCAAGGCCTCACAAACAACCTTGAAGGGAGAGATGTCTGGGGGATCTGGGGGATTGTGAGCTAGGACACTGGGAGAGAGAAACTTCTCTTTTCCTATAGTGTCTTGGGACACTTCACATCCAACCACACACACAGATGGCATCTCTGTTTAACCTCGACCCGGGATTGTTTGGGAAACACTGACTGATAATGGTGGTTGGGATTAAGAGGGGTGGATGGTGGGTAGGGTAGGGGTAGGTTGTTTGGGAAACACTGACCGATGATAGAGGTTGAGTTTAGCTGGATCACATAATCTGCTTCCTCGTCCATCTGCAGTTGCTTGTTCAGTGCTGCCCCCACCACCTCCTCTGTCAGTTTCTCCAGGTCCTCCTCTATGATCCGGAAATCCATCCAGAAATACACCTGCAGGCTTCCCTTACTGCAGCCAAAACAACACCCAGAGGTGAATAATAATACAACATCAGCATACACTTATCTAGAGCCCTCCACGCAGGATAGTGTCTCAGAGCGCTTATCAGTGGCAGAGCCTGCCTCTGAAAATAAAAACAATTACATTTGATATAGCGCCTTATCACATCCTCGAGACGTCTCAAAGCCCTTCGCAGAATAAACCGTAAAGTGTATATTTTGTGGGAGATAAAGCACATTCCATTCCAACAATCTACCTCTGGGATTTCCGTGTATAGGATGGAATTCTCAGCTTGGTTTGGAGATTCTTAAGCACAGTGATGGGTTTACGCATGTGTCAGACACCGGGCTGGTCAAAAGAAAAGTCCAAAAAAAACCTCCAGAGGGAGAGGAGCCGGGACTCTTATAATTCACTTACCCCAGCGTGAAGGCCTTTGATTGATTGTAGTACGGCTCCAGGTCAGAGGCCTTGAATCCTTTGTCAATCTGAAAAACAGTCATTTAGAGAGAGAGACAAAGGGGTGAGGAGCAATGATCTACCTGGGAGCCTTTGCTGCAGTTGAAGAAGAAAGAAATCAACAACAACAAATGACATTTACACAGTGCCTTACATGTCGGGAGGACATCCCAAGCTGCTGGACAGTCAGGGATTTGGACCCAAGCAGTGGGTTGGGGTAGAAGGGTGGCAGAATGCGAGGTTAAAGAGGAGGGTATTGAAATCGGCCTTGAAGGAGGCAAGGGAGGGAGCGAGGTGAAGGGACTGTGGGATAGAGTTCCAAAGGAAATCGATTATTTAAAAAAAATAAATTTTTTTATATATTATTAGTATTATACAGTAAATTGACTTTACAGGATATTCTGTGAAGGGCTTTGAGACGTCTCAATGACGTGCTAAGGCGCTGTATCAAATGCAAGGATTATTATGATTATTATTATTGTAACTGCACATCATTGCTCGTTCAGCAGGTGATCTTGATCCCAGTCCCATCCCCTCGATTAGCCTTTAGCTTTTAACCTTTAGGCAAAAAAACAGCATCTTGTGAACTCACAAAATTGCTGACATCTTTAAGACTGTGTTTAATCTCCTTTAAGAAGTCGTCAGTGAAGCTGATGTCCAGGTCCTTGTTGAGAACGTGGAGTTTTCCCACATAATGTACAGCGACCTTTGTCACGTCCACCTTGTCTCTACCTGGAGAAAATAAAATAGCATGACTTTTCGGAATGAAAACGAGTGTGATAATTGTAAGGAAATTTCCAAGATAAAATAATTGGGAGTCTCCCTCCCCCGCCGTCCCCCCAAGGCCCTTTAAGCCAAAGCAACTTGTTGTGTTTACCACAAGCTGCTGTGTTACCTGCACAGAAACCTGAGCCCAGCTGTTTATATCTCTTCAATGAATGATCATGTCTCACGCTTTTCATTTTAAAAACATATTATTATTAATAATAAAGCAGTTTCGGTGTTTTTGACTGGTGGGGTTGGGGGCACGGGGGAAGGAGGTTTATTTGCTACCTTGGCAACAGAACTCATAAAGGCTCTCTCTGTAGGTGGCGTAGGGACATTGTCACACCTGCCTTAGCCCCCCCCACACCCCCAACTGTTTGGTGTTATTGCTAATAGTGTGACAAACAAAAATTAGGAAAACTTGCCTCCGCCTGTCTGCACTCAGTGCATGTGTCACACCGTGTGGGATTGGGCTCACAGTCCAGCTCAGTAATAATAATAACCCTTGCATTTGATACGGCGCTTTATCATGTCTTCAAGACGTCTCAAAGCGCTTCACAGGATAGACCGTAAAGTGAATTGACTGTATATTCTGTGGGCGAAACGCGGCAGCCAATTGCGCACAGTATTGATGAAGCGATGCATTGTTAGAGAGAGTTGCCACGAGAGAGAAAGAGAGCGACAGACACATAATGAGAGAGACACACACAGTGATAGAGAGAGAAACGAGAGACACACACCGAAGTGAGAGAAAGAGAGAGAAACACACACACACACGTGAGAGAGAGAGTGAATGAGAGGGAGAGAGAGACACACACAGTAAGAGACACACGCAGTGACAGAGAAAACAAGAGACATACACGGACACATAGCACAAGAGAGACACACACAGCGAGAGAGACACACACAGCGACAGAGAGAGAGTGAGGAACACACACATTGAGAAATAGACATACATAGTGAGAGAGAGGGAGCTGGTGTAAGAGTGAGCGAGTGAGACAGTGTGAGAGTGAGCGAGTTGTTGGTCTCCCCTGGCCTCGATGAGCACATAGTAACTAGTGTCCCAGGAACAGAGGTCAGTGACAGACGGGATATCTGGCGTTTGCCATGCATAGTGGCAGAGCTCATCTCCTAAGTTACTCAAACACTGGCTGCCCTTGAAACAACATCAGCCAACGGTTATTGCTGAGGGAAGGGGGTGGGGAGAGCTTTTAGACATGCTGAGATGACTTACTCTGTTCCCTGACCAGCTATAATGGATTCTGCTGTGACTATTGTTGACTATGTCCCAATAACCCTCAGAGTCAAATAATCACTGTGATTGAATGTCTCCATGTTTGGAAACAAACACAAGTGTCTCGTGTCAGCCTGTCAGTCGCTTGTTCTTGTCTCTGACTCAGGAGGATGTGGGTGGGTTCAGACTCTGCTCTAGGACTTTGAGCTCAGGCTGGGGGGGAGTGGGGGGAGATTGGAGGTTCAGTCACTACACGATCACGGTTTGAGATATAGGAAACACAGGGCAGGTGGGTGACTTTAGAGGGGATTTGTCTGTCCCCGGCTGGTACAGAGGAACTGTGATATGATGGAGGAGGGTGTGGAGGTGAAAGTACCTGTACCCTTAAAGTACCAGAGGAGAACTCCGACAGTCACGAGCACCGCAGCCACTACCAGCAATGAGATCAGCGTGGCACGTTTCTTGTTCATCCTCTCTGTCGATATGAAAGGGACCTTGACCTGAGAGCACACACAGTCCAGTATCAAACAACAAGATCCTTCGTCACGCTCTCTCTCTCTCTCTCTCTCTCTCAAGGAATCTGAAGTTGTTTGATGACAAGGATGCTTCTCTCTGTATTTCTGACAGTGACGCAGGATCTTTAACATATTTTTTAGGTCAGGGTCTCGAGATATGGGGCAAGGGCAGGTAATTGGAGTTGAGGTACAGATCAGCCATGATCCTACAGATTGGCGTAACAGGCTTGAAGGGCTGAATGGCCTCCTCCTGAACAGACCACAGATGGGACCTCGATTTAATGTCATGTCTCATCTAAAAGATGGCATCTCCGACAGTGTGGTGTCTCCCCATCCCCCCCCCCCACTGCACTGGAGCATCAGCCTTGACTGTGAGCTCAGTGTAACAGACAGGAAGAGCTTGAGCCTAGCACCCTGTGTTAGTGGCAGCCCGAGCCAGGCTGAGGTACTCACGGTTTGAAAGCCATCGCTGGTGCTCACAGCCGCCCCACTGGCTGAGATGACAAAGACACCAGACTGTGAATTTAGTGCAGAATCCATCCCGCTGGGCAGCGCTGTCTCTCACCACCTCCCACTCCGAGCTTCTCCCTCAGCCCGCCCAGGGACAGGGGGACAGTTAGACTTTGGCAGGACAGGAAAATAGATTTTGCAATTGCTTCTTTTCAGAGATTAATCGATAGTCAGGCCACAACTGCCTCCTGTGCTATTTGCACTGGCTGTGAAGTGAGGAGGAGTTTCACTTGATTTAAAGGAACAACAGCAACAATAACAATGAACAGATCAGGTGTCAGTAAATTCATCCAACACCTGAGTCAACAGGTAATGTGGGAATAAACAGTTTACCTGCTGGTTTCCACAGGATCCCAGTGCCCCGGAGGTATGGAATCCTGTAGTTCAATGGTTAGAGCTGTGAAGCGCTTTGAGATGTCTGAATGACGTGATAAGGCGCTATATCAAATGCAAGGAGTATTATTATAGAGCACTCGCCTCGCAAGCAAGATGACTTGGTTCGAGTCCTGGACAGGACGAAACGTTAGGCAAATTTCCTTACTCCACACACACGCCTGTTAACCTAACAGAAAGTAGGAACCCGGTTGTTAGTTGATTGGCAGATCGCTTTTCCGGGTGTAATAATCCCTTCAATATAAATAATAATTTGGTCACTCAATCCACAACTGTTTGTGAGACATTGCTGTGCGCAATTGGCTGCTGCAAAATATACAGTCAATTCACTTTACAGTATATCCTGTGAAGTGTTTGAGACGTCTCGAAGACGTGATAAGGCACTATATCAAATACAAGGATTATTATTATTATCCTGCGGGGTATTAGGAAAGAGAAATTAGTTTCTTGGGGTAATTAGCTGTGGGGGACTTTGCTGAAAAATGTACAGTCACTACACTTGCTGGTAGTTTCTTGTGAAGCACTTTGAGATGTCAGAGGTGCAGTGTCAAATGCAGGTATTGTGGTTCTTGCCACAATGACAGGAATGAGAGGCGGGAAAACGGATTGACGCATTGCTGAGTAACCAAAGAGAGAAAACCTTTATTATAGATGTCAGTCACTTACAGGAGAATATCGCTGGATTTTTACTGGAACAAAATAACACACATGTATAAGAAGGGCTGTCAGTTTTACATTGTTTTAAACGTTATAGAAAAGAAACACAATAAGCCAAACAAACTCCAAATCGTAGCCAGTGGAGAAGCCACAATGTGCATGTGTGCGTGGGTGCGGGCGTGCATGAACACAGACAGCTGTGTGTGTGTGTGTGTGTCTGCGTGTGTACACAGTCATCTCTGTGTGTGTTTGTGTGTGTGTGTACACCGTCAGCTCTGTGTGTGAACACAGGCAGCTCTGTGTCTGTCTGTGTGTATGTACAAGCAACTCTGTGTGTGCGTGTGAACACAGGCAGTGTTTGTGTGTGTGTATGTACACACTCAGCTCTGTGTGTGTGTGTGTGTACACTGTCTCCTCTGAACACAGGCAGCTTGTGAATGTGTAAAAACAGGCAGCTCTGTCTTTGTGTGTGTGTGTATATATACAGGCAGGTTTGTGTGTGTGATGTGTATATACTAGCAGCTCTGTGTATGTGTACCTGAGATGCAGTGTAAGGAAGTTGGCTATATATAAATGTGACCCGTCAGAAGCCAGCTGCTTCATCTTAAATGCACTTCTATACACCACTAAGGATCCTTCATCTTCAATACATACACTGCAATAGTATCTGAAAACAAAAACAGAAGTCACTGGGAACGCTGACAAATTTCTGACGAAGGGTCGTGGATCTGAAACGTTGACTCACTTTCCTTTCTTCATAGATGCTGCCTGACCTGCTGACGGTTCCCAGCGACTTCTGTTTTTGTTTTCAGATTTCTAGCATCTGCAATATTTTGCCCTTTGTCCACAATAGTCTCTGTCGCTCCCTCCTGAGGCAGAGGAAGGCAGGAATATTCCTATTCCTTCCCATGTCACAGTGGGAGGTGTTATAACCAAAGGCAGTGCTTCGAGAAGTTATATAAGTGCATGTTATTGTTAATCATTAGTTTAACAACATTATTAATCATAGAGCAGCTGTTTGCCACGTTACATAATAATAATAACCCTTAAGATCAGTCAGGAAGCTGGAGCGAGCAGCTTGAGAGAGCAGCCTGAGAGTAAGCTTCCCTCCCGTTCGTCCGTCTGTCTGTCTGACTGGTCGGGGAAGGAACTCCCAGTAACCAGTAAAATTGCTAAGGATTTTCTGGATACACACGAGAATATGTTTAGCAATAGCTGCCAGAGTCTATTATACTTTTTTTGATCATCCGGGTGTTTGACACATGCGGAAACCATAACCGTGAAGAAATGGACGTCTGACACGCGCGAAAACCCATCACTGTGATCAGCCGGGTGTCTGACACGCACAGAAACCCATCAACGTGCAAAAGAGTCTCCAAACCAAACTGAGATTTCCACGCATCCCACCTACACATGGAAATCCCAGAGATAGATTGTTGGAATGGAATGCGCTTTCTCTCTCTCTCTGGAGGGAAGCATCCTGCTTACCTAATTCTGGAAAGTATTAGGCTCAGGTTGGGAAGAGCCAAGGCTTGAGGGGAGCCCAGAATGTGTGTTGGGGTAACTGCTGGAGTCTAACCAGCTAAAACCACACAGCTTGCCATTCATATTGCTGTCTGGCCAGCTTTCCCGCTGCTTGTCCAGCTGGGACCACCCTATCTGTTAGGGCTTTGGCTTGCAGGGTTAACAGGAGCTGAGTGGGATTTATTTACGCACAACCGATTTGCTTCTGCGGAATTGTGGCTTTGTTTTTCATTAAACTCTCTGCTTGTCAGCCTCCCCAACTCCTCCCTCCAAACGCTGCAGGTGATCCAGAACTAAGCAGCCCATGTCCTCTCCCGCACCAGGCTCCGCAACCCTTACTGAAGGAGAAGAAGCTGGGTTGTGCGTGCGATAATATATATTGTAAAGCTTAATGATATGATCAACAATAAATCCCCCAGATAAATTTCTCATTCACGTAGCAGCTGTTTGCGGGGAGGTTGGTGCGCGCAAATTGGCTGTGGCGTACATTATAAAAACACACAGTCACTACACTTTACAGTAAAACTCTGTGAAACCCTTTGAAATGTCAATAGCAAGCACTATCCCTTATTGTCTTAATGCTAATTCTCGTGCTGTTGCTGAGCACGGTGACTGGGTTGGGCAGCTTTACCCTCTCTACCCCACTCTGCCCCCTCCCCTCCCTCTGCCCCCCCCACCCCAGGAAGCTTGGCGAATATGAGTAACTTTTAATTACAAGAGAAGTAGATGTCAAAACAAAACTAACTATTACAATGAATGGAGAGGTAAAAATATCTCTAAACTAGATGTGACAACTAAAAGCCATCTGTTAAAATTCTTCCCTCTCCCGTGTTCAGTGAGATTACACTGAGTTCGTTTCCAGGGCACATTTAGCTTCCAGGCGCTTTGTATGAACAGATATCAGATGCGAGACTCAAGGCAACAACTCCTCACCTGATGCCAAACACAGCGAGTCCCCATATGGGACCTTCCTTGTCTATATGGACTTGTTACTGTACGTGCTCTGAACCTCCTTCAGGGAGAGATAAGCGTCACAGGATCTGCCCAGGTTCAGTGATGCAGCCTTCAGGATGTTGCCGGCTTCCTGCCTGAACACCCCGGAGCACTGGGAGACGGCCTGGTCACCGAAGCTCAGCCCCTTGCAGCCCTGCCTGCCCTCATCCTCCTCCCCCTCTTCCTCCTCCTCCAGCTCCTCGTTGAGGAGCATGGTGTGTGGGAAGGCGCGGGACCCCAGAGAGTAATGTGGGAATTGGAAGAAGGCAATCTGGGGCTTGGGGGGGAGGAGGTCACAGGCTCGGCCGTTGTGTGGAACGTTTCCAAGCAGCTGCCCCACGTGTCCCACCTCAGCTGCCGATGTTGTGAGAGTAGCCGAGGCTAAAACCTCCTCCATCACACGGTCAAACCCCAGCCTCCCCCGGCCCCCACACTCGCTGCCCGGGGAGGTGGGCTCCACATCCAAATCTTCATACAGAGAGTCGTTGGAGGTGGTCAGGCACTGGTACGACCCACTCTCCTCACTCCCTGACTCAGCCCCGCTCTGCCCGTAGCTGAAGTAGACTTTGCAGGGCTCCATCTCCACGCAGTTTGGGTAGCTGAACCAGAAGTAGCCCTGGTTGGCAAAGCTAGACAGGGAGGAGGTTCCTGCGCTCCAGGAGCTGCTGCCGTCAGAGATGTAATCCTTCTTGATGAACGATTCCGAGTCTTTGATGCTGGAGATCTCGACCGGAGAAATTTCTGTTCCCAGCTCCTCAGCCGTGTAGAATGAGGCTGTCAGCCTCCCTCCCAGCCACTTCTGGGGGAGGACAGAGAGAGAGAGACATTGTATAATAATAATCCTTGCATTTGATATGGTGCCTTATCACGTCTTCGAGACTTCTCAAAGCGCTTCACAGGATACACTGTAAAGTAAATTGACTGCGTATTTTGAGGGTGAAACGTGGCAGCCAATTGCACACAGCAGCGTCCCCACCAACATAAATAAATAAAAACAAGAATACCAGTAAAATGGTATTGATAATGGCTGTAACTTCAGCACGAGATCGGATTGTTCGTCCACAAGTAAGTGGTGACTCCACCTGCGAGAGGTATTGATGTGTAGTGTGGCTGGGGGGTCAGTTCTGCAGTTTGGATGTTTATTGAGCAAATCGTGCCGGACACATGAGATCACCTCGTCTGCAAATAGCCCAGCAACCCCTCTTCCCACCCCCACTCCTGGTGGGTTGAGACGAGTGGCGCTCCCTTAGCTGAGCGTACGGAGTAAAGTGCTATTCTCGCCACTGGGCGAATGTGTTTCTGTGTGGTTGAGGAGGAACCGAAGCACAAGTGAATTATAAATAACATCATAAAGGAGTTTAAACGCTCACTGCAGGTTTATAACCACAGGAGTGGAGAGTCTAAACTTAGTCCACGGAGTGGCTAACAATGAGCACACATGAATAGGTTTTTCTGAGTGAACACAACAGCTCCCCCGAATGAGTGATCTGTAGCTCTGACAGACAGGCATACTCACCTCCACGCAGACACTCACACACTCACAGACACTCTCACACACACAGACAGACACTCACAGACACTCTCATACACACAGATACTCTCACCCACATACAGACACACACACACAGACAGACACACACAGACACTCTCACACACAGACACTCTCACACACAGACACTCACACACATACAGACACACACACACACACTCTCACTCACACAGACACTCTCACTCACACAGACACTCTCACACACATACAGACACACAGACACTCATTCACACAGAGAGGCCGACACAGAGACACACTTCCACAGAGACACAGACACTGTGACGCAGACACGCTCACACACACATCCACAGACATCTTTGCGACACAGAGACAATCACACAGACACTCTCACAGATGCTCACACACACACATACAGAGACACACACACAGGCACAGGTGCTCAGACATACGACTGAATAGAAACCACAAACAGGCCAGTCTGACAAAGTGCAGGAAATTTCTCGTGAATCAACAGTATTAATACAGTGCGGAGCTGGGCTGCTGCCTGCGCCCTCACATAGCTGCCTTCCGTTCAGAAAGTAATATTTGTGGTTCTCGGCTCAGAGGAAGCCTGCCGCTGCCTTTAAAAGGTCAGACGTTACATTGATACACATCTTTGGGTGACCTTCACTTCACGCATAGTTTCCTCCCCGAGGAGGTGGGGGGGTGGGGGGCGCGGGGGGGTAGGGCTGTCACTGAGATCTAGTGTTTATCACAGGTAGAGTCACACATGTCCTCTCTCCAAAACAAGATGAGGGAAAGGAAGCACTTGGTTACTTTTATGGGTCCTTATCTCATCATAAAAGGTTCTACAACTTGACGTTTTTTATATGACTGTTTTAGTCCACAAAATATACAGTCAGTTGAGTGAGTGTGAGTGAGTGAGTGAGTGAGTGAGTGTGTACTTTTCGCCCACAATATATAGTCAGTTCGCCGTGAAGCTCTTTGAGACGTCTCAAAGACGTGATAAGGTGCTATATCAAATGGAACAATTATTATTATTATAAATATTATTATTAGACGGCTGCCCTTTACATGAGCAGGCTATGACGTGAACGTTTGATTAATTTGGGGGATTGACGGCCAGGACACCGGGAGGAGAGAGAGAAACTCCATTCTCTTTTCCAACAGAGTATTTAATGTCCACCTAAATAGGGCACAGACGTAGAGCTCGCCTTAACCAAAGGACAGCACTTCTGACAAGGCAGCAGCCCTCCAGCACAGTGCTGGGTCATCAACCTGGCCTGTGAGATTGGCATGGGGCTTGAACCCACACCCTTCTGACCCAGAGCCCAGGCTTCCTGGATTTGTGCTGAGAATAGAGATTGGACTGTCTTCTGCAGAACAAGGCAGGAAGAGGGCAGAACTGACAACAGCCGATGACGTACTCAAGAGAAACTGTGGTTTACCTGAAAATTACCGCCATGTATTGAGTTTAGGTCATAAAAGAATTTGCCGGGATCTGGGACGGAAAACCATTTCAGCTTCTTCAATCTGTGAATGAATTCAGAGGTGGACAAAGTCTTTGGTTAGTTGAATCTCACGGACAATGGCACCAATGTGGTGACTTAAACACAGTTAGAAACAGAGAATAGGGACAGGCAGGACCGGAAAGACATTGAGGTCCAGCCCAGAGTTACACGGTCCTTATGCCTCTCCATTTTGTCCTTTCCTCAACCCACGTCTTCTGTACGCTCTCACCTCTCTCTGTGTTAGTCATTCAGTCTGTTCACTGTCATATCACAATTCAGACAGGATTTAAATTAATAGAACTGGCAAAACAAGGTGTGGTTTCTCTATCTGACTGATGGATAATAGACCTGTTTTTGTTGTTAGCGCTCTGAGGGCTACCCCGTGTAAAAGGGGCTACATAAATACAAGTCATTCTCCTGTTGGCTATGTGACAGCCGTGTGTGTGACTGCAAGTGTGTGCGTGCGTGTGCAAACGTGTGTGCCCTGCCCATTGTATCAGTCTCGCTGTTTGCTCCTGATCCCAATCAGTGCTCCTCTCCCCACACAGGCCTGTCTGGTTGTGGTGTAAGCTTACCGTTTGGGCATCATGTATCGGTTGACGAACACCAGAATCATGGTGACCACAATGCTGATCAGCGACAGGACCCCCCATACCGCCATCTGGTTTCCATCTGAGAAACAATGGCCATTGCTTATTCACAGTAATAGCGATAATAATCCTTGCATTTGACCCAGCAATCTTCACATTGGGAGGATGCCTCAAAGCGCTTCACAGAGTTCACTGTAAAGTGTAGTGACTGCATGTTTGGTTGGATAACATGCTCGGGGTTGGGTGTCCGTTACAGGGGGGATTAAGCAGATCCAACGCATCAAGTGGTTTCTTAAATCAGCCCCAGTGTCCTGCCCTCAACTCTGACAGCTGTTACATCTCCTCTGTGTTTAACATAATAATAATAATCCTTGCATTTGATATAGCACTTTTCACGTCTTCTAGACGTCTCAAAGCGCTTCACAGAATATGCTGTAAAGTGAATTGACCGTATATTTGTGGGCAAAACGAAAAATGAATATTTCCTATCCTGAAATTCCCCAACGCTACTCAAATATGGTTCTGGGTGTAACTGTGCCTGCCGGTGCTGTGAGAGCAGAAAGGGTCACCTTACCATTAATGGTGCTTCCTGGAGTCTCCCATTCCACCTCCAGGCTCCACTGGCTCCACACACTGCGGTAGACGATCCCTCTCCCCTCCAGGGTTTTAACTCTGATCTGGGCTACGTACACCTGGCTGGGCTTCAGGTGCTTCAGATCGATTGAGGTTCTTAAAACACTTTCAATTAAAAGAAGTTCAGAATCCTAAAATCACAAAGCCCCAAAACGTTTTGTCACAACAGTTATTATTATCATTCATCTTAATATAATAATTAAATATGATGCAGCGTCAAGAGACTCTTACAGGATTTTGAGGAAAGGTTAAAGTGATAGGAAAGGTGGAGGGTTTCCATGTGTGTGATGGACACCTGGGACCCAGCATCACAGGATCAGTCATGGTATGAAAGCCTCTGGTTGCATGTGCTCAATGAGAAAAAGGCTAGACTACAACAACAACAAGATTCCATTTATTGAGCGCCTTTCACGTCGGGAGAACGTCCCAAACATTTGGGGCTTGCTATAGACCGCCAGGCCATAGCAGGGAGAACAATGATAATGTTAGGAGTGTATGTGGGAAAGAGAAGGTACATCTTGTATAGAGTCAATACACCTGGCAGAAAAGCAAATGAAACTCACTTTCCAAAGCCCGTCCTTGGGCTTGTATCTCAGTTCACTTTTCAACGCCATATAGTCGGTTATGGTTTTGGGGACAGTCCAGGAGAACTGGCAGTCATTGGTGGACATGTTGGCCACGATGTCTGGACGGGGAATCTTAACTGAAGGAACAACAGACTGGCTTTAGCTTTGGTCAGCGGCTATCTGGCACCAAATATAATAATAATGATAATAATCCTTGCATTTGAAATAGCGCTTTATCACGTCATTGAGACGTCTCAAAATGCTTCACAGAATATAGTGTAAAGTGTAGTGACTGTATATTTTGTGGACGAAACACAGCAGCCAATTGTGCACAGCAGTGACCCATAAACAGTCATGGATTGAGTTGGGAGGATGTGGTAAGGAAGGTATCCAGTGCTTGTTGTTGTCGGGATTGCGAGCTGCAGTGTTTGGGACAAGTTGAAGTTTATACTGTACGTCAGTGGTTATAGATTGTGCAAGTAAATGAAAAATTGTTGCTTTTCACTTACTGTTCGAGCTTGGTTCAAACATCTCAATCATTCCGTTGAGAGATTTGTGGCCGTTCTTGTGACACCACAGAGTCACATTGAAGGACTGGGCAATGGTGAAAAAGCTGAAGGAAAGACTGCAGCTTCTGCTTGAGCCTCTGAGCACAGCATCGAGTACACTTTGTGCTTCGCATTTATTGGCAAACCTTTCAAAACATGAAAAATTAGATTGGGGACTGAAGTTATTGATATAGTTGACATTACTGTGGCTATTTATGCAACCTTCTGTTTTCTAATAGTATCACAGGGTCTTTAACCTCCACCAGATCAACAACAACAACAAATAACATTTACACAGCGTCTCTTATGTCGGGAGGACATCCCAAGGCGCTGGACAGTCAGGGATTTGGACCCGAGCTGGGGGTTGGGATCAGGAGGGTTGGAGAGCAAGGAGGGTAGGGGCAGGAGGGTGATCATAGGCGTGGTCGAAGAGGAGGGTCTTGAGGCGGGACTTGAAGGAGTCAAGGGAGGGAGCGAGGCAAAGGGACTGAGGGATGGAGTTCCAGAGGGTGGGGGCAGAGAGGTACAGACTGGAACTCATCAGAAGGATTATGGCTGGATCCAATCAAATATTCAAGACTGAGCTGGATAGATTATCTGTTAGGTTATCAAGGGATATGGGTCAAAGAGGCGTAAGATAAGGTATATGATATTATAGAATGGTGGAACAGACTTGGGCTGAATGGCCTCCTCCTATTCCTATGTACCTTATGATCATGACTTACATATTGTCTTCTGCTTGCACCATGCACTGATCCCCGGTAACGGCCGCTCGTTCCACCCAGTCACACGTCATCTCAGAGATGTAATCTACCGTGCAGCAGAACTGGCTTGTTCCTGGCACCGCAGGGACACAAAGTAAGGAGTCAGCTCAGGGGTATGAGCAAAGCCGCTACAACATTCGCTCTTTAACCTCGCTAAACCAACACGGGGGGACGAAGGGAATGCAAATTGAACCCTGACTTTCCGTTAAATACTTTGGCAACATGAAAGGTACTGTATCACATGGTAGGATTGCTATTCATTATTCTCCAGTGATTGAACATTCAAATCAATCACTGGAGAATAATCCTGCCATTTGATATACAGCACCTTTCATATTGTATTTCGTATTGTCAAAAGTGTTTAATAGTAGTCGCTGTAAAGTGTAGTGACTGTGTATTTGTAGGTGAATGCGACGGCCATTTTGCTCAAAATAACATTCCCACAAATAGCCACCAAGTGGCTGAGCAATTTGTATCTCGTGGACTGTTGGCCAGGACATGGGGTGATAGAGAGAAACTTCTCTTTTCCCAATAGTGCTGTGGGACAGTTACTGTTGCTGTGCACTTGCTCAGGCACAGTGGGACCTGGGTGTAATGTCTCATCCCAAGGACGGCACATCCCGTAATGCAGCACTGTTCCCGCTCTCGTAGAGCTGAACTGTATTGAAGCTTCAGCCTGGACTGTGAGCTCAACATCCTGAGGTGGGGCTTGAACCCACAATCTTCTGATTCAGAGAGCGATTGTGCCAGGTTGCCACATCAAATAATTACACATAATTGTTAACTGTATACGTACCATTTATATAGTCATGTCCCTTTGATATTCGCAGAAACATCAGGATGTTAAGGAATCCAAGTTGCAAATAAGCTGCCATTCTTCTAGGGAGCTGGAAACATACAGAATACATCAAAGGAAATCTGATTGTCTACTTTCTGCAGCATTCAAACCTCTTGGCCCTTCCCTCTCAGTCCCCAAAGAAACTAATCTCAGATTTTTAGTGCTAAATTCTGTTTTGCTTTGAGCTCAGCAGAAGGTTGCACAGTGTGCTCTCAGTGTCGGTGTTCCTTGTTAATGCCTCTTTCACAGAGAGGGTGGTCCTCTCTGTCAATGATAAGGGGAGAGGTGTTTGTCAACGATTGGTGATTGGCATGTAGATGTATCTGGTGTAGGGTGATTCTATTGAGATCCGTCCACTGAATGTTCCCACAACGCTAGTTTGGCAGCTGAGGATTAACTCTGCGTTTGAGTTTCTAGGATTTGAATTCCTGCTCTGCTAACCAGGTGCTAAAGGCACAGGGAGAAAGGACAGGGCAGGGGGCAGAGGGCACAGGTTCAGATGTGGAGAGCAAGGTTAGGGCAGACACTGCATTGGGACGCCCATAAGCATGTGTCATTTGTTTTTGTTGTTGTTGCATTGTTGGTGAGAACTTAAACTGAAATCCTTGCTTTGCCTTTTGAGGGGGGATGTTAAAGATTCAGAGCCGCTATTGGAAAAAGAAGGGAGTTTCTTTCCCTTGTGTCTTGGTCATCAATCCCCCACATGAATTGGTCATTGACCACATGGCTGTGTGTGGGGAGCCTTTGCTGTGCACAGAATAGACCGTTTCTGTCAACACATTAGAGGGCTGAACCCTGCGTGTTCACACCTCAGCTTCTAGTTTCTCTCCTGTAGGTCAAGATCTTATCTGTTACAGACTGTCCCTGTTTGATGTTTACCACTCGCCTTCCTGTGACAGCTTTTTCTCTCCATTCAGACCCTCATACAGGAACATGTTTGACTTAAACAGCTTTTAAGAGGCAACAAGGCAACTATTTGAATAGGAAAAATCTAAAAGGGTTTGCGCGTGTGTGTCCGCGCGTGTGTGTGTTAGGATTACAGTTGCAGTGCGGAGGTTGAGATTAAGAAGGGGTTGGGGGAGGTTGAGTGAATAGCACAATGATTAAAGCAGTGCACAACTCTGCCTCATTAAGTGTAGGCCGCTATGTAACTACACTTTGTTGTTGATGCGTACCAGACCTGACATATACGACTGACGCTCAGACCTGACACAAGGTTGAAGAAAGCATCACTGTGGCCTTCTCTATTTTTCGAGAACTGAATTATTTTTAAGGTTTTAGGCTTTTACTTAACATGTTGTGGAGAAAGGAATAAGCAAAAAAACCCAAATGATGGCACCTGAGGTAAACAAGGCAGCTTATGAACAGAAGCTGTCCCTCACAATACTTTGTGTTATTTCCTGTTTTCTTATAATTCAGTGACCACAAAAACCACAATTAAATTTACCCCTTTTAATGAAGAACATAATTCGCTTCTCGGTTTGGCCATGGGTTGGAGCCATTATATATTTAACTCATTAGGATTTATGGGGCTTTAGAGAGAATTTGACTGATAATATAATAAGTACACATACACGCGCACACAGGAGTACACATACACATCACAAACACACATAGGAGTACACACAGGAGTACACACACACACACACACACACACACAGGAGTAAACACACATGGGAGTACACACACACAGGAGTACACACACACACACAGGAGTACACACACATGGGAGTACACACACACACACAGGAGTACACACACACACACAGGAGTACACACACACTTACAGGAGTACACACACAGGATTACACACACATACAGAGTACGCAAGCACACACACACATACACACACAGGAGTACATATACACGTGATTTTACACACACACACAAGTACACACATGCACCAACATGCAATTATACACACATGCGCACACACTCGGGCGCAGGTCACACACGTGCACGTGAATATACACACAGAACACATACACACATACACTCCCAGGGGGAGAGAGTAGGGTCAGGCGAGTAAGGGAGCTGTGGGATCACTGTGAAGCCAGCACTGCTCCTGGTTTGGGGACTGACTGACCGCTCTCCTCAGTCTCTCTGTCTAACTGCAGGTTTGCAAACAAGTGTTTGTGTGCTGTGCAAACTCCCCTCTCGCTCGTTTGCTCTCTCTCCCAGCCTGGCTCAGCCAGTGAGATACGATCCGCTCTCAGGCTGAGCGAGCGAGTGAGCCACCACAGTGGTTGTGGAGCTATAACCACACTGAAGGCCGCTGATGGTAACTTACTCATCAAACCACAGGGTGGATGGGACTCTCTGAGCGATGAGGAGACACCCACAATCTCATTGACTAGTAGTCCTTGTGTGAACACTTCCCTCTCCATTCCCTGTGTATTTTGCTATTCCAGAAGATAATGGCTGATCTGTACCTCAACTCCATTTACCTGACTTTGCCCCATATCCCTTGATCCCTTTGACCTAACAAACTTCTATCCACCCCAAGGCTGGAAAATTTGCGTAGAACAATGGCCCACACACACAACCACAAGGCGAGTGGCCAGAGTACCCGGGGGATTGTTGGGCAGGACATCGGGAGAGAAACTCCCAGTAGCGTCATACAATCAAAACACTGAGCTACAGAGCTCCACGTTGAACAGTTACATTAGCAAACCAACTTGTGCTATTATCTGATTCAAACTGGAAGTTGAGGAAATGTCAGCGTGTGTTATTAATGGCTTTGATCAGAGATAACATCTTGGTATGTTTGATCTGCACGGAATTAGACACTGCTGAGAGCAGCCTGCTTCAAATTAGCACCCAGCCTCCCAGCACAGCGTCACTCATACCTAACAGGTGACGGTCTTACAAGGAAGCCCGAGGCTCTGGCTGACAATAATAATAATCATAATAATCCTTGCATTTGATACAGCGCCTTATCACATCGTTCAGACGTCTCAAAGCGCTTCACAGGATATGCTGTAAAGTGAAATGACTGTGTATTGTGGGCGAAACAAGGCAGCCAATTTCGTACAGCAGTGTCCCACAAACAATCGTGGATTGAGTGACCAAACTATTATTATTAATTTTTTTTTGGAGGGATTATTAAGAACCCACCAAGTTACATTATTTTTTCCCCTCATGGCTCTGGCAGGACTCTGGGCTGTGTGCAAGCTGGCTGCCATGTTTGCCTACAAAGTATGCAGTTGCTCTCACTTGACAGTAATTACTGCAAAGCACTTGCTGACGTGGCGACACTTTAACGCACTCGGTTTGGTTTCATACGCTCTCCTTCCAGTTTCAATTCACGGCAGCTGTCTGACACTGTGTGTTATCTGATCTCAATCGTGTTGAAGTATTGGTTCTGACAGTTTCTGATAACACAGGCAGATAGCTCCAAATACGGTCACAAATACCCGGGCTTGAAACCTTCCTCATGGGTTTCAACATGAGTGCAGTTTTTGGTCAGAGCAAACATTACCTTTGTATATAACATCCACCCCACAATGCCGTACAGATAGCTCACTGTTTGAGTGGCACCAAGCAGATGAGCTAACACACAGTCAAGCTGAACCTTACAGGGTTTATTTTCCACCTTGATCCATAATTGAGCCGAGTGGGACTGGGAGCACATTTCCATCTCACTTGAGTGGCCACGATTTCCAGCTGAGACTTGAGGGTGGACCTACACACGCATTTTCTCTCTTTCATAGGGACAGGAGGAGATCTTTCAGCCCCTCAAGCCTGTACCTCCATTCTATAAGATTTGTACCTCAACTTCAATTACCCGCCCTTGCCCCATATCCCTCTTTGGGTACCAACCTCAAGGGCAAGTCTCAAAATGGGGGAGGGAAGAAATATCTGGGTTGAAGAGAGCAAGGTGGGATTGACTAGAGCGCGGGACTGGGATTGGGACGAGAGAGTGGACTGTGTCTGTGCTCTGTGGGGTTTGGGTTTGTTGGAAGATGGAAGATATTCAGATGGAAGTGTATAATCCTCTGTCAAATCAAAACAATGATGTTATCAGATTAGTTCATCAACCGCGATTAGACCTGGGGGAAGATAGAGAGCAGCCAAATAAGTCAATGTTTTGATGATTGACTGAGAAGCTATTTACCATTCATAGGAACAGGGGAACAGGGAGCACCTCATCACATTGTCCACCCAACCCTCCTCATCACAGTGTCCACCCAACCCTCCTCATCACAGTGTCCACCCAACCCTCCTCATCACATTGTCCACCCAACCCTCCTCATCACAGTGTCCACCCAACCCTCCTCATCACAGTGTCCAGCCACAACCTCTGTTCCGGGTAACCTATTCCAGCTATTCCTTATCTTCTCTGTGTAATACCTTCTGGTGTCTGGCCATCACAAAATATAGTCAATTCACTTTACAGTATATCCTGTGAAGTGGATTGAGACGTCTCGAACACGAGATAAGGTACTGCATCCAATGCGAGGATTATTATTATTATTATTTAATCGCGGTGGAGGATCATAGCAGGTAGAGCAGGGCTGCGATGGGCGGGGCTGGGGATGGGCAGGCAGATCTCTGGGTTCCAGGCTTGCGATTGATATAACTTTGGAAAAAGGTGTCAGATCTAATGTGCGTCAGAACGTGTGCGCATGTGCGTTTGTGTGTGTTTGCGCACGTGTGAGAGCGTGTGTGGGTGCGTGCGTATGAGTGTGTGTGTGCGCGTGTGCGCGTGTGTGTGCGTGTGGCTACTGCAGAAAGTGGATGTGAGAGTGGAAATTCAGCTCCTGTGTTATGTTGACAAGCAGAAACAAACTCTTTATTTCTCCCCAAAAATCTGTGCCCATCAGTGATCAGTGTCTGCCCGTCACAGTGTCAGGAATCCCAGCCGGGGGGGCAGGGGGGAAATCTACCCAGACATAACTCACCATCTGGCTCATCTGATCCACAGCACCACCTGCGTCTCCTACATTGAGTTTCTGTAAAATACAACATGCATTGTGTCATGTCTTATTCCAGGAACATACTGGGGGCAAGGGGAGCAGTCAGTGCCTTGGGACATCTGACATGATACATCGTGTGTGGATCCTTACCTGGCTTAGCTTTCTGACCTGTGTGTGTGAGCGTGTGACTGTGTTTTGTGTGACTGTTATGTGTATGTGTGTGTGAGTACGTGCGTGTGTATGTATGTGTGTGTATGTGACTATTGTGTGTGTATGTATGTGACTATGTCTGTGACTGTGTGTGTGTGTACGACTGCTCTGTGACTGGTGAGTCAGCGCAGAACTGATCCACTAACAGTCTTAACAAGTTATTGCAACACTTAAGCCGTGGACTCAAACGTAAAAAAAACTCCCTCCTGGGTTGTGAGAGATGAGACATTAGCCGAGTTGCCTGTGTGGTCAGACAGAGCTCAGCTCTCACCTGGGTTTCCAGTAATGATTTCCTTTTCCTTTGAAATCATTTTGCAATGTTCCCCCCCCCCCCCCCCACCTCGTTCTTCTGCTGTGTCAGCCACAAGGTGCAATGTGTGTTAGCAAAGTCACAAGCTCAGAGCCTGACCTGGAGCAGAGCAGAGAATGCCTAACAAACCCAGATATAGGAGCACCTTTGATTCCTTCCTGAGAGATGCTGACACGACTCAGGTCCGTACCCCAGCCCGACTCAGCAACTCTCAGCAATGAAATAGAGGGAAGAATTGTGTGTACGTGCGTGGGGGGGAGGAACCCACATTTAACAGATACATTTCACATCCCACGATACTCAGAGGCAGAGAGTGAGACTGGAGTGAACAGCGAGGAGAGGCAACAACAACAACACATGACACATTTCCACAGTCGGGAGGACGTCTCGAGGCGCTGGAAAGTCAGGGATTTGGACCCAAGCTGGGGGTTGGGATCAGGGTGGCTGGAGGGCGAGGAGAGTAGGGGTAGGAGGGTGATCGAAGGCGCGGTTGAAGAGGTGAGTCTTCAGACTTGCCTTGAAGGAGGCGAGGGTGTGGAGCGAGGAAGAGGGACTGCGGGATGAAGTTCAAAAGGGTGGGGGCAGAGGCAGTGAGTGAGACTAGCGTGAACAGGGAGGAGAGGCAGCTCGCTTTCAGTCTGATCAAAACATCAGCTGCAATATGAACTGTTCTCCAGAAGTGTACCAACTTAAAGACGATGGCCTCAGGCCTGAGTACAGGAGACATTTCAGACATCAATCCTTTCCCTTTCACTGTGTCAGGCATAAGGGCCATCAGTCACCTGTGAGCTTCAACTTGCAGTTCTGCTCCCCTCTGACACACATTAATACATAGACACACACACACACACTGTATCATAGGTACTAACAAATGCAGAGTTTCAGAGAGCTAAGTCCACCCTACCCGTTAGGGCTTTGGCTGCAGGATTAACAGGAGCTGAGTGGGATGACTCCCTGCCCCCAGTGACTGATCTGCCCTTCCAAGTCCTGCTGGTTAGTCAGGCTGGGCCGGGCTGTGCTGTCATCAGCAGTGAGTGCCCTGGGATACTGCGGACCCGCCTGGCTCAGGAACCAGACGAGAGACCGTCACAGAGGGTTTGCTCAATTCCCACATGCCATTGTCACCTCGGAGGCTGCTCAGTCCTCAGTCACTACACCTCAATCACTACACCTCTACCACTACATTCGATTCAGGTGTCAGGCTGACACTCTCGCCTCTAAACAACAACAGCAGCATCCCTCATGCAGGATAGCGTCCCAGAGCGCTTGGCAGTGGTGGAGCATGACCCCGAGCCGGTGGGGGTGTCGGTAGATCGATAGGAAGGTCTTCAGGCATGACCTGAAGATGGGGAAGGAAGGGGCAAGACGGAATGTTCTGGAGTTTTGGGGCATAGTGGCAGAAAATGGCAGGTTGAGGCTGACACTCAGTGCAGTGCTGGGAGATCACCGCATTGTCGGAGATAATAATAATCTTTGGATTTGATACACAGCTTTATCATGTCTTCGTGACGTCTCAAAGCACTTAGATGCCATGCTTCGGATGAGACATTAGACCACGGTTGGTCTGTGCTTGTCCAGATGGGTATTAAAGATCCCGTGGTGCTATTTGGAAAGAGGAGGGATTTTCTCCCTGTATCCTGCTCAACAATCCCCCAGATAAAATTGGTCATTCATTTCATAGCTGTCTGTGGGATATTTGGTCTCAGCTCGGGTCCAAATCCCTGACTGTCCAGCGCCTTGGGATGTCCTCCCGACATTAAAGGTGCCGTTTAAATGTAATTTTGTATTGTTTTGAGTTCACTTACTAATACACAGTGACGACACTTTACAGTAAACTCCTTTGAAGCACTTTGAGACATTTCAGCAATGTTATGAGGCGCGATATCATATCCAATGATCATTATTAACTTCACTTAAGTCACGACTCTTGTAACTGTGTCTCAGTCACACTGTCTGAGTAACCGCGTCTCAATAACCATATCTAGTAACCGTGCCTGGTAAATCATAAGTAAGCTGGTAGTTAGCGCAGTTACCGGCAAACGGCAGTGACACAGGACACAGACACTAAACACCTGAACGGGAAGAGAAAAGAGTTAATCACCTGGAGCTGGAGGCTGAGTTGAGAGACGATACGTTAGTCAGTCACTGCTACACAGGCTGTCGAGTGAGCAAGACAGAAACTGGTGGGTGATGGTTTGAGGAGGATGTAAGCTGTGTTGATCTGATAGTGCGCTGCTCAGCACATCACATCACATGCAGTTGTGGCTTCTCCATCACAATAGCTCCTATAGGGCGGTTGGTCAAAGGGAAATGAATAATAAGATGTCCCTTCTACATCAAAGCTTTTAGCAACAATGAGCTTCACTTCGAACCGTTCTATTTTTTATGATTTGCTGTGAGATGTTTAAGTGAAATCTCTGTTATTTTTAGCATGAATAATCTCACGTTTAATACAGCCATAAAGTCCATTTCCCGGGGAGTGGCTGTAATAATAACAATCCTTGCATTTGGTATACATCGTCAAAGCACTTTACAGATTTACTGTAAAGTGTAATGACTGTATTTTGTAGTTGAAAGCAGAATGCCGATTTGTGACCACAAACAGCCAAGAAGTGAACGACCAATCTTTCCTGTTCCCCCGTGAAGGGTTATCCACTGAGCTGAGGGAATATCTGATGGGCAGGAGTGTGAAAGGACATGGTGAAAGGACAGGCAAAGGGGCAACGTTTCAGATCAGCCATGATCTCATCAAATGGTGGAGCAGGCTGGATGGTCTGAGTGGCCCTCTCCTGTCCCTGTATTGTGTTGTAATGGCTGGCAGACGCTGTGACTGTGCTAGCGGTGCTCCCAGGGGATGGTTTCCCTTCACACCTGAGCGCTCGCGTCCACCTCCTCATCCATCTCCTGGTCTTTCTTATCAGCGAGGCCAGCTAGCTCGGGTGTTTCTGCCAGCCCCAGTCCGGCTCAGCCACTCGCGCTCTCGCCCTCGCCTCTGCTCAGGACGTTGTACGCGTTGGGGGACGTTGAGCTCACAATCCAGGCTTATGCTCCAGTGCAGTGCAGTTTTTAGTAATTAGCTTTATTTGGTATTGTGAAAGGCAGCGGGTGCGTGAGATACAGCACATTGTGTACATCCTCAGTCAACGTCTGTCTATAGTCGCTACCCCCCCACCCCCCCGTCCCTCCCAGCCACGCAGGCTCGTATTTGTGCTGTAACTGGGCGTGTGCACTGCCCCCTGGTGCTTTGTTGTGATCAGCCACATGTCTCACCGTCTCCAGAGTCTCCAAACCAGGCTGAGAATTCCACAGATGTCTGCCAACGAACACACACAGAGATTTCCACGTGTCAAGTCATAGAGGATGTCACAAGCCAAACACCCAATCACTGCCCAGGTGGCGATGAGTTTTAATGTTTGTAATGACAGGCGCTGCGAAAATCTCTAATCAACTCATTCATTCAATTCAAATTCCCACAGGTTTAACCAAGGTCCTGTCAGCCTGAAGGACTGTGTCTCTAACAATGCAGTGGGGTGTCAGTTTAGACTGTGTGATTGCATGTCCTGATGTGTGGAATCGAACTCATAACCTTCTGACTCAGAGGCAGGAACAGCGCTAACACAGGGGCAGGTCACTGGGAGACAGAAGGACCCAGCTCTCTGGCTGGCTGGCGATTCCTGCACTTCACAGCCAGTGTATAGGGACGAGGGGCTAAGGTGATTCGGTACAACCCACGCAGGTCGGGAGGGGGCGCATGCGGAGGCCAGAGGAATGTGAAGCTCTGAAGGAGGCTGATGAAGAAGAGGAAGAGCTCCATGTTGGCCACTCTCTCCCCTGGACATGCCCGCAGGCCTGAAACACACAAGACATCACATGATACAGAAAGCTGTGTGTCTGTATGCACGTAAAGTGTACAGAACTGCATCAGCACCAACAGACAGAGACGGAGAGAGACACACATACATAGATACATGGATACATACATACACACACACGCACACAGACACATGCAGAGAGAAGACACACTCACAGCCAGAGACACAGATCGAGCGAGATACATACACAGACGCATGTACACTGACAGAGCATCAGGCAGGCAGGCAGGCAGGCAGGCAAGCAGGCAGACATCTACAGCCACACACACTGATGGGGAGAGAGAGAGAGACACACACACACACGCGCAAAGATCTATTATGCGCACTGTCTTCATATCTGCTGTATAATGACGCTCAGCATATAATGAAGGAGACTCACAAGGAATGAGATGGACTCACCCAGTGAGAAGGGGATGAAAGCTTCTGGTTTCACAAACTCTCCGTCTTCGTTCTGGAAGTTTCCCGGGTTGAAGTTGTTGGGGTCTTTCCAGGCGGCCTCATCGAACAGAGCTGAGGTCAGGTTCACCAGCATGATGGTGTCCTGGGGAACGAGGAGAAGCTACTGTTAGCACCGCGGGATCATAGTGATGTATATGTATATGTATATACGTATATATATATGTATATACACATTTATATATATATATGTATATACACATTTATATAGCGCCCTCCATGTAGGCTAATGTCTCGGAGCGGGTGCTTAGAGTGCTGTAGACCATGATAAGCTGCTTTATCTTATACTGAAAAGTAGAACCAGGGGACACGGCCTGCGATTGAAGGGGAGTAAATTCTCCTCTTTCACCAGCAACTTCTTAAGTTGTTATATAGGATGAGGCTCCTCAGGGACCTAGTCTGTTACTGACTGAATTAACCTTTTTCATTGTGTAGCTCCTGAAGCTGGTGTCCTGGATGGCAGCGTGAGCTGGTGTGAAGGGCACCACGTTCCCGAACCTTTGGATTTCGTGAATGACGGCACTGACGTAAGGCATTTTCACTCGGTCGTCCATGCAGGGCAACCGACACCAGCCGACCACCTGCTCGATCTCCTTCTGACACTTCTCTGCAGAGAGCGAGAGAGCGACAGAGACACGGACAGAGAGAACAAACCACACAATGAGAGGGATCAGAGCAAGGAGGAGGCCTTTGATCACATCCGGAACCAATGGTAATTACCATCTGAAATGATCATCTCGATCAATAGATTTAGTTAATTATCACATAGTGGATCCTGTAGCTCAGTGGTTTGCGCACTCGCTTCGCAAGCGGGAGGACCTTTGCTTAGATTCTGGGCAGGACAGATCAGGGCGAAACTTTAGGCAAGTTTAATTACTCCACACACATGGCTCTGTTCACCTCGGAGTATATAGGAACCTGATTGTTAATCAATTGGCAGATCGCTTTTTCCAGGGATAAATTTTTTTAAAGAAACTAATAATAATTTTGTCACTCAATCCACGACTGTTTGTGGGACACTGCTGGGCGCAATTGGCTGCCACGTTTTGTGCACAAAATATATAGTCGATTCACTTTACAGTGTGTCCTGTGAAATGCTTACAGATGTCTAGAAGATGTGATAAGGCTCTATATTAAATGCAAGGATTATTAATATATTATCTAGCTATTATTGACCTCGATAATTCTAGGATTTAATTCTCTCATTACAATTTTGATCATTGGACTGTCCAACGCCTTGGGACATCCTCTCAATGTGAATGGCGCTGTATAAATGTGATTGTATCTGTACATCAGAGGCTGCAGTTACCCTGTATATCGGGGTATGTCATCATGTATAATATTGCCCAGCGTAGCGTGGTGGCTGTGGTTTCAGTTCCAGCCACGAACAGATCAAAGACATTGTACACAAGGTTTCCCTCCGTCAAACAGGAATTGGGAGATTCTTGTTCCTGAAAAATGATAACGCAATATACATTGGTATTTGTCGATTTCACGTCAGGAGTGTCTCAGGCCTCTTTACCCAGCTGGTTGCTTTATTCCTCCTTTTAAAGAAATATCTTGTGCCCCCTTTATCGATAGCCACAATCATAAACCATTTCCAGCACAGATGGTCATTCAGCTGGACCTCGGTCCCCTCACACTGGAGCTCTCCACTCTCACCCCATCCCCTGCTCTCTCTCTCTCCCCCTCGTGTCTGTGCTGGTGCCATTGAGAGCACTACGCTCACCTTTTTCATTTCTAATAAATAGGCATCGATGAAATCCCGTGGTTTCTGCAGATCCAGCGATTCCCGGTGCTTTTTGATGAAATCCTGAATGATTGCTTCGATTTCTGCCTGGACTCGGAACATCTTCTGATGAGGCCCTGGGAAAGAGGAGAGAAAGGGGAGTGCCATCGCCACCTGGGGAAAAACAGTGCATTATTCTGTGGGGAAAGCACAGGAGAAAGCTTTAGAGTAGATCTGTCAGTTCCAGAGAGAAAGGGAATAATGGCTGGAAGCTCGGCTGCTGCTGATGGTGGTGTTTGGGGGTGTGAGGAACACAAGCAGGCCTGAGTTTGCTGAGTCGAAGCTGGGAGGGAAGCAGGAAAGAAGGCTGTAGGAAGTCAGTATTAATAGGAAGGTGCGAGAGAGTGCGTGAGGATTTATTGATGAGCCTGAGGCAGAGGGAGAAAAGGTCACAGGTTCAGGGAGTGAAAGACAAGTTTAAGACAGACACCAGGAAGTATTTCTTTCCACTGAGGGGGATTAAACCCTTCAGTGAGGTTCCCAGAAAGTGTGGTGACAGTCAGCATGCTGGGATTTTTGAGAGGTCAGGTGTCCTGAGTATTTGAAGGCGGTTCTTCCATTGGCGTATAAACAAAATAGTAATTTTCTGCTAACCTGGAACCAGATTCCCGCTTGAAACTTCAAGCTCTTGTCGAAGAGTTCTGTCATTTGTATGAAGTTGGGGTCCGTGTAGTGGAAGCGCTCGCCAAAGACAATGGAGCAAATCACATTGGACACAGCGTTGGTGATCTCAATGTCTGGGTTGAATGGTCGTCCTGGACAAGAGCAAAGAGCAAACCAACAAGTGACTGTCACTACGCTTTCTGGGAACTGAAGGGTTAATTCTTACAATCCATATCGTGGCTGCAGGCTCAGCAGCTACGTACAGTTAGGTGTAGTGACTCTGTATTTGGTAGGCGGACAGCGGCCAATTTGTGCAGAGCCTTGTTCCACAGATAGCAGTGAGGTAAATATCCAATATCAACCTGAACAGGGCACAGACTGGACAGGTTTAACATCTTGTCTGAGAGGTGGCAGGTGCAATGGTACAGTGTTGCCCCCTCCCCCCCCCCACCCCCAAGGAGGCGGTCAGCCTCGACTGTGGCTGATTACCCACTATATCGTCGGCTTCTGGTGACAGTTTGACAGACTGAGCCAGCCAGGCTGACACCCGACAGAAAGGGGGAACCTTGGATATTATTGAGGATTATATTGGAGATCTTCCAATCAAAGAGGACTGTGTGACCACCTACCATCAGTTGATCTGAAGATCTCGATCAAATAGCGCACCTCTTCTAGAATCTTCTCCTCAAAGGCATTTTTACCCAATCCAAAGTTCCTCAAAATGGTCATCAAGAATCGCCGTTGTTGTTTCCAGGACTTCCCGTAGGGGGCGTTAATAATACCTGATAATGGTAACATTGTACACATGATAATCAGTCTCTGCTTACTTTTCTTTTCAGAGTGAAGAACAAGCAAGACACCCTTCACCCCACCTCAGGGATGTGCCTAGAAATTCCTCATCCAGCACACAGAATCAGACACAGTAAGAAAATAATAATAATAATAATCCTTGCAATTGATATGGTACCTTATCACTCCTTCGAGATGTTTCAAAGTGATTCACAGGATATAATGTAAAGTAGATTATCTGTATATTTTGTGGGCGAAGCATAGCAGCCAATTGCGCACAGCAGTGTCCCACAAACAGTTGTGGATTGAGTGACCAAATTATTATTTATTATTTTTTAAAACAAATTTTGAAGGGATTATTACCCTCAGAAAAACAAGACGCTAATTGACCATCCAAGTTCCTACTTACTACTAGCTAAACAGAGGCGTGTGCGTGCAGTAAGGAAACTTGCCTAACATTTCATCCAGCCTGGGAATTGAACCCAGGTCCTCTCGTTTGCGAGGCAAGTGCTCCAACCACTGAGCTACAGAAATCCACACTGAGCTACAGGATCCCAGGCGTTAAACACGTGGTTCGAGCAGAGGGACACGTGTGTGACCAGCCCTCTTTGTGACGTTATGTAGAACAATGAAGTCTTCTCACCTTGTCCTTTGGAGAAAATATCAAACTGTGGTCGTCCGGCAAAGTTCGAGCCTTGATGGACAAGAGCCTCCTGGATCATCTGAAAGCCGTTCAGAGCCACCATGGGAATGTGTATCATGTAACACGTGAAAATGTTCCCATACTTCTTGGCAAGCTGATTGTAGTTTGGGAATAGGAGGGTGGGGGGAAGGGGAGGGAGGGGAGAGAAAGAAAAGAAAGGATGAGCTTCGTCTGCAGTTAGCACGAGGTTGTCGCACGCATCAACAAACTTTTCCCTCTGGTGAGGGGTTTGGGGGAGTGGGAAATACAGAACAAGGAGCAGCATCTTAATATTAGAGCTAGGACATTTAACAGTGAAATCAGGAGGCAGTTTTTCACACACACAAAGGCTAGTGGGAATATGGAACTCTCTCTCTCTCTTCCTCCCCCAAAAGACTGTGGATTAATGCTGGATCCATTCACTTTATCCAGACTGAAGTGGAAAGATGATTCACAGGTTAAGGGTATCAAGGGAAATGGGGCAAAGGCAGATAATTGAGGTTGAGGTACAGGTGATCTAACAGAATGGCGGAGACATCCTCCTGTTCCTATATTCCTATGGCAACAGATCAACTGTGAAGAAGTTTCGATAAAGGTAAACGCACTGGTCAGAGCTGCGCAGCTGTTTGTGGGCAGAGCAGTACTGTAATTTACACTTTCGTAAACAATCTCCTAACAGTGCCATTTTGCCATCTTCCTGGGGCAAGGTGTGTTTGGAGAAGCATTTGTGTGGAAGACTCCACACAAATGGGAATAAGTACATTTAAGAATTGATAGGATCACATAACACAAAACTACAATTGAAGGATCAATACAAATTTTTTTCTCTGTACCTTCATTATTCCAAATTGTGGATACTTAAGAGCCTGCACAGTGAGGTTTTGGCTGATGGACCACAGGGACGGTCCGTGGGGCAGCTTGCTGTGGCTCTTCCTGGCCCGCATCACAGCCGTTACCACCACAAACACCATCACAAAGATCCCCCAGGTTTGCACATCCAGCCAGGTCTCCCTGCCCCACAAGCCTGACCACTCCATTTTCCACTCCAGCTTCCCTGAAAAATTCAGCCTTCTACACAATCTGTACAGCTGCTTCTCCAAACACACCTTGCCCCAGGAAGATGGCAAAATGGCACTGTTAGGAGATTGTTTACGAAAGTGTAAATTACAGTACTGCTCTGCCCACAAACAGCTGCGCAGCTCTGAGCAGTGGGAAGAGAGAGATCCATGAGGGAGGGACTCTTGACAGACAAGCAAACACTTGAAAAGCTCAGCTCTAATTTCACTTCCCACTGCGTGACTCACTTGCCATTGGCTATATTGTCCCGAGAGCAGCAGAGCTTTACAGCGAGGACTGGCAATCTGTTAAATAATAAGAGTTTTATGTGATAAATGTTCAGAAGAGAAAGGATAAGTGGGGAGAGAGCAAAGTCCTGTGAGTTTATAGCGCTGATAAAGTTCTAAAGTCTCAACTGTCCTCACAGAGAAATGCTGACAGCAGTGATTGACTTGTTTATGACTAAATGGGCAAATGGGCAGTTTAGTGGGATGATTGTTGGCTAGGATAGCGGGATGTTACACCCTTCTCTAGTGCAACACAGCAGAAGGCCCATATCTCTGCAATTCAGCTCCAATGGGAGCTCACATTTATCCAGTGCCCCTCATGTAGGTTAATAATAATAATCATTGGATTCGATATAGCGCCTTATCACATCGTTGAGCCATCTCAGAATATACTGTAAAGTGAATTGACTATGTTTTTGTGGGCGAAAGTTAAGTTACTGAGCCAGACGGGACCACAGTATTTCAAGGCATTGCTGGTGACAGCACAGCCTGGCTCATCGGCAGGACTCGGAGGGACAGACCAGTCATTCAGCAAACCTGGGCAAGCAACGGGAAGCTTAGAAGACAGTGCTGTCTCTCAATGGCAAGCTGTGTAGTTTTAGCTGATTAAACTCCATGGTGCAAAACCATGTGGTCTTGTAGGTGGCATCATTTCAATACTGAGTCCATGTCACATCCCATTGGAAATAAATCGACACAGCAAGCAGAACTTAGATCACTGAAGGAATTCAACAAAAGTTACTTCTTTATTGCTTTTGGTGAACGATAAATGTAAAAGCCATATTACTCCTTAACAAAGAATGCGACACACCTGAGCTTCCGATGTTGGCTTGCAAGGCAGAAATTCCGGTTTGCCTTCGGTTGAAGATACAATCGTTGAGGATTGTGAGGACAGAGAAACCAGATCCCAGGAACGACTGAGAGACTGCTGGCTCCTCCTGACCTTCATCCCTCCCATCACAGGCTGGTGAAGATCACAGAGAGAGGACCTTGCCAGCAGAGAGTAGATTTAAAAAGTGGGAGGAAGAGTGTTGAGAAGGGGTAGGATTGCTTCTTCCATAGAGCGAGGAGGAAGAGAAGCCCAGGGAACCAGAGAGGAGGAAATGGTTGACAGGATTAAAGTTAGTCCTAACCCCAATCCCTAGATCTTTATTAATGTTCCTCTAAAGGTCCAATTCCCCATTCAATCCGAAGTGCTTTGAAATTGTTAATTGTATTAGTAATAATAATGCTTGCATTTGATACAGCACCTTTCATCATGTGGAGACATTCGGAGGACTTCCCAGTGATTGTGTGAGAGGGGGCAGATCAGTGGCACCCTGCCCATAGAACCACTTCATTCAAACATGATCTCCTGATGACAAGGTGGCTCTACCTCACTGAACTATTTGGTTTGCAAATAACAAGGAAAATCTTGCAGCTATAACAAGCTGTTCACACAATTGGAAACTACAATCGTTAGAACGAGAAGGAACTTGACAGTATTCTTAACAATTGAAACAGCTCATCCACATGTGATTATTGCCAGCCCAGCACAGCACAGGAACAATATATACACAGGCCCTGACAAGCTACAGGTAAAGTATTCACAGACAAAGTGTCACCACAGACAGTCAACAAGACTTTGATTGGTTCACAGAAAGAAAAGTCAACACATTTTGCCAAGTGCCTTGGGTTTGTGTTTCTCTCGTTCTCCTCTCGGGCCAATACATCATGTCCTTTATTTCTCATCAATGGTTTTCTTTCCAAAGAGTTTTTTTTTGTCACTGAGTCAGTGAGGAAGCTGTGTGTGCTTGCGTGTGTGTGTATGCATGTGTGTGTGCGTGTGAGGCTAGGGCTGGGACACCAGCTGGTGTGTAGTGGTGCAAAGAGACTGATGAGGTTCTGGTTTATGGCTGACCTGCTGGTTGGCCGCATGGTCATGACTCATGTCCTGAGTTTTCAGCAAAGCCCCGGGGTTGCTGCCTGCATCGTCATGGGAAAGAGATGTTGGAATGAAGCAATAATCACCAACTTGCTTGAGGACAATGGGTTTGGAGCCTTGTTGCAGAAGGACAACTGGGAACTCAGAGGGAGTGTCCTCAACATACAGCGGCTTTTTCACTGGAGGTTCCTCAGGATGAGCTTGAAGCTTGGACGAGGGTTTTAGTTCAGTGACATAATCACTGAGCGCCTGGTGACTTGAGGTCTGGGAGTTCACACTTGGCCGCTGGTTGGCAGATTGTTTGTTTCCGAGTTCCTGGGGAGCAGTGTCTCCCGGTAAAGACAGCACGTAGCCCCTGCTATCGGGTGGGCAGAGTGCAGCGAGGCTTTGTCGCTGGGAGTTGGCAGAACGAGTAGGGAAGGCTTCGGGAACTGATTGGCTTGAAGACGGACAAAAAATATTGGAGTTCATGTTGTGAACATAGCCAGCCATGGTCCCAGGTAAGGGAACTAGGTTTGGCTTTGGGGGGCTTAGAACATAATTGTTCACCACAAAAGGTGGTTCATCCGGAAAGGTTTTTCTGGAACAGGTCCTCTCCGCCTGGACATAAGAACCAGAGGTTTTGGGCACTAGCAGAGGACTGGAGGCCGTCTGTGCGAAGCTCAGGACATAATCGGAGACAGGAGGAGTAGCTTGGTTATTGCCTGATTCGAGCAGAGTCTCAGAGACCTCCTGTGGGATCTTCGTATACCACAGCCTGTCTTGGGCATCCTCAGACTGGCCATCAGCACCTTTGCCAGGCTCGGCCTTGGGTTTGGAGAAGAAATTAGGCAGGGACGAAGCTTGGCCGCTGTACAGATAGGGCCCGTCGTAGTCGGAGCGACAGGGAGGGTCTCTGTACCCAGTTAGCTCTCTCAGGTCAGTGTGGGGCAGCACGAGACTGGGCAAGGCTTCCGCAGGCACTGGCTGGCACCACTGGCTGCCACTGGTCAGCAGCGCAAACTGTTGGTAAGGTTGGTCTTGTCCGATAAGCTGCTCACTCGGCTCGGGAGAGGGTGTGACGTTCATCTGAGTCTCCTCACTGCTGGCCAACTTGTGCTTCTCACTGTTGGGAGAACGAGAACACTTTTGTCACAAAACGGCGCAGCAGAGGCAGGGAGAGAGTGCCGTCAGATAATGTTACCCACTGGCCAAGCTCTCAGCTGGGCATTTAGCACTACACTTTGTGTTCAGCAAGGTGAAGGTTGCCAGCTGAGACTCCCTCTCACTCACACCACAGCACGCGTGTGTGTCTGCGCATGTGTCTGTGTGTGTATCTGTGCTTGTGTGTCCGTGTGTATGTCTGTGTTTGTGTGTGTCTGTGTGTGTGTGTCTGTGTGCGTGTGTGTCGTCTGTGTGTGTGTGCATCGGGGGGATGTGCCAGGCTGGATACGGTAAAATAGCTTACCTAGGGATGATCTCAGGACATGTAACGCAAGACTCGTCCAAGCTCATCTCATCCGTTATAGTGATGAGAGAAGTTGTGGGTCTTAACAGAGCTCCCTATAGAAACACACACACACACACGTCAGCAAGCACTTGGCAAACTGTCTGCCTGTAAACTGCCGTTTGTTGCCAAGTTTATTATACAGAAACCCAGAATGAAATGAAGAATTTCACATTAATCTGCACGTTAAATGGAGTCCTGCAGCTCAGTGCTTAGAGCCCTCGCCTCGCAAGCGAGAGGACCTGGGTTCGATTCCCGGGCAGGGCAAAATATTAGGTAAGTTTCCTTACTCCACACGCCTCTGTTTACCTAGCAGTAAATAGGAAGCCGGTTGCCAGTCGATGGTCGGATCACTTTTCTGGGGGTAATAATCCCTTCAAAAAATATATTAAAAATATTTGGTCACTCAATCCACGACTGTTTGTGGGACGCTGCTATGCTCAATTGGCTTCCGAGTTTCGCCCACAAAATATACAGTCAATTCACTTTACAGTATATTCTGTGAAGTGCTTTGAGACGTCTCGAAGAAGTGATAAGGCGCTATATCAAATGCAAGGATTATTTATTTATTTAAGAGTGAACTGGCGGGTGGAATTTCAGGTCTGTGAACTGTATGCCGTGTTTGTCTATAAATACAGTCTACACTGGACAGCGTTAAAGTGCTTTTGACATTATAGACCAGTGATCAATGAGAGTTTAATAATGTAATATATAAATAGTCAGTCAGCCTCTGGAGAAGAGAGGAGCCATTACCTGGCCTTCGCTCTGGAACAGTTTGCTCTTTCCCGGATTCGGAATACTGTCCAACCAGGAGCGCTTTCTCCTGTGGGATGAAAATCAGAATGCTAGTTGTCATTTTATACAGATAGCAAGTGGGTTTCTGTTTAAATCTAAAGCCAGCACTTCAGACCAGCAACCGCAGGGAAATCCCCGTTTGTTTTGAGTTAGCGAGTCAACTGAAATAAGCTGAGGTTCACAGACTGTACTGACAGGAATCTCTGACACGTGGAAACCTGTCCATCACCTACAGAGTTCTACGTATGTAGCCCCGGAAATCTCTCTCTCTCTCTCTCGCTGGAGGGACCCACTCTGATTACTTAATCCCAGAGAGTATTGGAGAGAGTATTGGAGGCAGCTTGGCAGGAGCCAAGGGGAGCCCAGAGTGTGCATTAGGATAACTGCTGGAGTTTAACCAGCTAAAACCACACGTAGCTTGGCCATTGAGAGCAGTGTCTGACAAGTTATCCAGCTGAGACCATCCTATCCATTCAGGTTGTGGTTTGCAGGGTGGTCAGGAACTGATTGGGAAGAATCCCTGCCCCTGTGTAGGACAACGGACACCCGTGGGTGAGGCCTGCCTTACCTGCATATGAGCCAGCAGATCGGTGGAGTCATTAAGATGGCCAGTGAAATAAGTGTCCCAGTTATTAGAATGGTGATGTACTCCGAGTCTGCCACACAAAACACAGCCATTAAAGAGTTAAAGCTTTTCTCAGAACAAACATTGCCAACGTGAGGAGAGATTGACCCCGGCGCTCGTTTTGATCTCGGAGTCCGCTCCGTTCACGGACAAATCCCTCTCCCTTTCCCGTCTCCACACAATGGCGCTGAGTAAAGCGATGGACAACAACAACTTGGATTTATATAGTGCCCTCCACGCCAGACGGCGTCTCAGAGCACTTTGAACAAGAGGCCTGTGGCCAGGACATCAAGACAGCTCCCCTGAAGCTGGGAGAAAAGTGTCCTTGGGACGTCCTCCCGATGTGAAAGGCGCTCTATAAATGAAATCTTGTTGTTGTTGTTGTATGTAAACGCGTGCGTGTGTGTGAAGCTGATGAGGAATGTGTAAGTCTGTGTGTGTGTGGGTGCGTGTGAAGCTGGTGAGGAATGTGTGTGTGAGAGCACACAGTAATTTCTAGAATAGATCAGTCTCTCTCACTCACCTCCCTTAACGTTCAGGATGATTTCTCTGCTCCATTCGCTCCAGGGTCCATCATAACCGTCCTGCCCGGCCTTGGCCATCTTAGCCCTGACCCTGAAAGAATACCGGCTGCCAAGCTCCAGCGAGCTCTTCGGGAACACGTAGAACCGGCTGCTTTGGGGAATGTCCACCATTTTCGGGTTCTGGCAACAAGGAAAGACAGCGATAGACTTGGATAGGGGCCATGGGAGGCTGGGACACCATTCATACCACGGCCCGCGAGAGAGAGAAAGAGAGAGACACAGCAGAGGGCACAGTCTGGGACACCACATTGGGAATGGGAAACATCCGAGTGCCAGCATTCAGCCTCTAGTCTGGGCTCAGTGAGGGCTACAGCTCATTACCCGCAGGGTAACCAGTGAGTGGGAATGTGGAGTCCTGTAGCTCAGTGGTTAGAGCACTCGCTTTGCAAGCGAGAGACTAGAGTTCAATTCCAGGCAGAGGGCGAAACCTCGGGCAAGTTTCCTTACTCCACACAGAGCCTAATAATAATCCCTCCAAAACCAAAACAATAATAAATTGGTCATTTTCAATCTACGACTGTTTGTGGGACATTGCTGTGCGCAATTGGCTGCCGCGTTCGCCCACAAATATACAGTCAATTCACTTTACCTTTACAGTATATTCTGTGAAGCGCTTTGGGACGTCCTCCCGACGTGAAAAGCGCTATATCAAATGCAAGGATTATTATTATTATTATTATTATTGCTGTGCGCAATTGGCTGCTGCGTTCGCCCACAAATATACAGTCAATTCACTTTACCTTTACAGTGTGTTCTGTGAAGCGCTTTGGGACGTCCTCCCGACGTGAAGAGCGCTATATCAAATGCAAGGATTATTATTATTATTATTATAATAACGTGAGCGGGAGAGGCCTGGCGGAGTGGAGGCTGTGTCGAGAGGCTGTTTTGAGGGGCTGAGAGTGGACAGGCCAAAGGGGCTTTCTCATCTGAACCACACACTCGCTCACTCACCCTCACACACACACTCGCTCACCCACACTCACGCTCAACCTCACAAGCTCACTCACACACGCTCACTCACTCACACACTCACTCACACACTCGCTCACTCACACACTTGCTCATACACACTCGCTTACACACTTGCACATTACTGAAGCACGAAGCTCACAACTGAGCACTTACCAGCCCGGCCTGGTCTGCCTTCTCCTGGCGGATCTGGTACTGCAGTGCCTGTTCCGGTTTCTCTATGGCCTCCCATTTCAGTTTATACCCGTCTGAGCTCGGGGTCACCGTCAGGTTGAAGGGTTCAGCAGCTCTGACTACGAGCAAAAGGTACATCAGAACCACTGTGAAGCCCTCCGCTCTGGCACCGAAGTTTCAGTTTGGTTTGGAGACGCTTAAGCAACGGTGACGGGTTTCCGTGTGTGTCAGACACCCGGATGGTCACGGTGACGGGTTTCCGTGTGTGTCAGACACCCGGATGGTCACAGTGACGGCTTTCCGTGTGTGTCAGACACGTGGCTGGTCACGGTGACGGGTTTCCGTGTGTGTCAGACACGTGGCTGGTCACGGTGACGGGTTTCCGTGTGTGTCAGACACGTGGCTGGTCACGGTGACGGGTTTCCGTGTGTGTCAGACACCCGGATGGTCATGGTGATGGATTTCTGCGTGTGTCAGACACTCGACTGACCAACAAAAATTGAGATGGGAACAAATGAACTCACTGGTTTTACAGAGCCTGATCATGTGTGTTGGCTCCACTGCCTTCAGGACCACTGTGTAGTTGTCCGCAGTCTCCTGACCGTCCACAGGAAACTTACAGCCAAAGCTGGTGGGATGCGAGGTTTGCTGCTGTGTGACAGTAGGTGAGCACTCGCTCAGCCTGGGAAACATTACACAAAACAACATTCCAGTCAACAAAAGCCACCGTCAAACTGGCTTTACTGCATGTTAGCAGCTTCTCCCACCCACTTCTTTGACAAATGCACTTATATAATAATAATCCTTGCATTTGATACAATGCCTTATCACATTGTGAAAACATCTTAAAACGCTTCACAGGATACACTGTAAATAGAGTGACTATGCATTTGGTGGGCGAAAATACACTTATGCAATCACACGCCCTGCTTTTCCCATTTGTCAGCCTGGCTCAGCCACTCACACCCCGGTCTTGGGGTCAGAGGATGTGTGTTCACGGTCCCACACTGGGAGTCCTGTGGCTCAGTGGTTAGAGCACTCGCTTTGCAAGCGAGAGACCTGAGTTCAATTCCAGGCAGAGGGAAACCTTGGGCAAGTTTCCTTACTCCACACAGAGCCTAATAATAATCCCTCCAAAAACCAAAAACAATAATAAATTGGTCATTTTCAATCTACGACTGTTTGTGGGACATTGCTGTGCGCAATTGGCTGCCGCGTTCGCCCACAAATATACAGTCAATTCACTTTACAGTGTGTTCTGTGAAGCGCTTTGGGACGTCCTCTCCCGACGTGAAAAGCGCTATATCAAATGCAAGGATTATTATTATTATTATTATTATTTGAGCTCACAGTCTAGGCTGACACTAAGGCAGGGCTGGGGGGGGTGGGCTGTCCTTCAGATGAAGAGAGTTTCTCTCTCAAGTCTTAGCTAACAATCCCCCCAGATAACATCATTGTACAAATGCAAGGATTATTATTATTATGACTACTATTATTATTGTGCACAATGGCTGCTGCGTTTTCCCACAACTGCCCAATATAGCGCCCCTCACGCAGGGTAACGCTCTGGGACGCCAGTGCTCAGTGATTTACAGTAAATTTTGTGAAGCGCTTTGCGACGTCCTCCTGAGGTACAAAGCACTGTACCCCACGGAGGGATCTGATGATGTAGTGCCTCGCGGTGCTGTTGCCCTGGACTCACATGTTGTTGGCTTTGGCGTAGTGCAGCTTAAACTCCACCTGGCCAAGTGACTGGCTGGGCACCTCCCAGGTACAACCCATCTCTGCCACTCCATCGTACTCACACTGCAGGTTCTTGGGCAGGACATCAGCAGGTTCTGGTGAGGGAGGCCGCAGGTATTACACAGGGAATAGCATGTAACATGTCCCGACTTCTTTCCAATACGCCTGACCCCATCCCAACATGCCTGACCCCATCCCAACACGCCCCACCACGCCTGTCGTGCTAATTGGTGTGTTACCGGTTTTAGGTCCTGTTGTCTCAGGGGTGACGTTCCATCTGATCTCTGTGCTCCACTGGCTCCAGTACCCTGTGTACTGGCCGCTAGCCTGGGGTCTGGCTCGTACCCGTGCCCGATGCTCTCCCGGCTTTGCCAGCCTCCGGCTGATCACTAAGTGTGTCCTGTTCTCCAGCACCAGCTCACTCACAGCATCCTGCACACACCACGATCACAACAACAATAATAATCCTGGCATTTGACACAGCGCCTTATCACATTGTCGAGGCATCTCAAAGTGCTTCACAGGATATACTGTAATAATAATAATAATAATAATAATAATCCTTGCATTTGATATAGCGCTTTTCACGTCGGGAGGACGTCCCAAAGCGCTTCACAGAACACACTGTAAAGTGAATTGACTGTATATTTGTGGGCGAACGCGGCAGCCAATTGCGCACAGCAATGTCCCACAAACAGTCGTAGATTGAAAATGACCAATTTATTATTGTTTTGGTTTTGGAGGGATTATTATTAGGCTCTGTGTGGAGTAAGGAAACTTGCCCAAGGTTTCGCCCTCTGCCTGGAATTGAACTCAGGTCTCTCGCTTGCAAAGCGAGTGCTCTAACCACTGAGCTACAGGACTCCACTGTAAAATATAGTGACTGTATGTTTTGTGTTGTCAGTGTCAATGTGACACGGTGAGGTTAGTGTTAGTGTGACACAGTGAGGATAGTGACTAATATTGATGTCAGTGTTACACACCTGCCAACACTGCTGGTGGCTGCAGTGATCAACCTGGTATTGGAGGTGGCCATGGAGCCGGCTGCCACTGGCCTCACTGTACACTGTTTGCCAGGTCAGATGGTAGTCACCGGTCATCATGTGGCTGATGCTCAGGTTGGCTGGAGGCCGGGGTCTGACTGAACACAAACAATACGAATAAGTTCCCAACAAATAGCAACAAATCCCAATAAAGTAGTTGCTGCATTTACCTCCACATACACCGTACCCTCTCCAAACACACATACGCACTCACATATACACACACACTCTCACAAACATACACATAAACACACACTCAAACATACACACACACAGACACATACATACACACAAACATACATGCAGATTCACAAACATACACCTCACAAACATACACACAGACATACACAATGCCCTCTCCACACACACACGGACTCTTCCCCCCCCCCACACACACAGGAGCACACTTACTGTTGTCCATCAGGCTGGTGGTTTGTCTGACATTGAGTGGGGTGACTGGTTTGAAGGTGAACTTGTAGACTAAACTGGCATAAAAAGATTTTCTCCAGATTGTGCAGTTCCAGCTGATGAGGGAGTCGGACTGGTTCACCTGCACCGCATCACATTGCTGCTCCGGCTCACTAACGTAATAAATGAAACGTTTTACAAAATAATAATAATTTGGTTTAAGCACTATATAAATGTAATTTTGTTGTTGTGTTGGTCATTCATTCCACGTCTTTGAGACATCTCAAAGCGCTTCATAGAATATACCGTAAAGTAGTAATAATAATAATCCTTGCATTTGATATATTGCTTTTCACGTCTTCTAGACGTCTCAAAGCGCTTCACAGAATAGACTGTAAAGTGAATTGACTGTATATTTGTGGGTGAAATTGTAATGACAGTGTATTTTGTGGGCGAAACGCGGCAGCCAATTGCGCACAGCAGCTTCCCACAAACAGGCATGGATTGAGGGACCAAGTTATTATTTTTTTTAAATGTTATTTTAAAATGCTTTGGGATGTCTGAAGGTGACAAGGTGCTGTAACAATGCTGGTTCTCTCTATTCACCTGCTTAAGCTGTCCACTTTCTGATAGAAGAGCCTCATGGGTATGTGGGGCTTCACTGAGATGTCCTCCGTCCAGTGGCAATCGATCCTGGTGGCGTAGTCATTGTAACACTGCAGCTCGTTCACTGTCAGGAGAGAGAGAGAAAACCAGAGTCCGTCAGGTCAAGTCAGGTCAGTGCAAGACACCCCCACCCCTCACTCACCCACCCCATCCCCACTCAGCCCCCTCAATCCCCCTCTCGCCTCCAATCGCACTCCCCCACCTATTCATGTTACTCTTTTACTGTCCGTCAGTATGTCTCTGTGTCTCACCCTTTCTCTCTCTCTCTCTCTCTCTGTGTCTCTCTCAATCTCTCTCTCTCTCGCTCTGTTTCTCTCCCCCCTCTCTCTCTACCTCTCTCTTTCTCTCTCTCTCTCTCTCTTTCTCTCTCCCCTCTCTGGCTGTGGCCAGGATGACCAGCGGGGACAGGGTTGAGGACGGAGAGAAGGGGCTTTACCTTTAGAAGAGCAGACGGTGACAAGAAGCCAGAGCAGCACCAGACGGAGAAAGCTGGTCCTTCCTGCCGGCAACATGGTGAAATCCCTGCAGATTCTTCGTGGTGAGTTAGTTCAGGAGTGTGTGTGTGTGTATCGGGTTAGGCTCCTGTCACCTCATCACACCTGCCGACAAAAGATGAGAATGAGCGATTCACTTCCCAGCTCCTCATCGATCGCTTCACTTTCGCCCGGCAAAACCCCAGGCAAGTTTCCTTACTCCACACACACGCCTTTGTTTACCAGCAGTGAGTAGGAACCCGCGTGTTAGTAGATTGGTGGCTCAAATTTACGGGAATAATATAATCCCTTCAAAAAATAAATAATAATTTGGTCACTCAACCCATGACTGTTTGTGAGACATTGCTGTGCGCAGTTGGCTGCTGCAAATAATAGTCACTCCACTTTACAGTACATAAAAAAACAATAATAAATTGGTCATTTTCAATCTACGACTGTTTGTGGGACATTGCTGTGCGCAATTGGCTGCCGCGTTCGCCCACAAATATACAGTCAATTCACTTTACAGTGTGTTCTGTGAAGCGCTTTGGGACGTCCTCCCGACGTGAAAAGCGCTACATCAAATGCAAGGATTATTATTTTTGTAAGCCCCTACTCCCTGCAAATAACTCGCAAAAGCCCTTCACCTAGTCTCTGTCTCTCTCTCTCTCTCTGTCTGACTCCCAACTTCCTTGTGTTGCTGCTCCTCTTCTCCAGTTTTATCTCTTGTTTGACGTCAATCCTCCCCCATAAATCCCACCCTGAATTCACTGCAAGACAGTCATCTTTCTCTTAAATTCGGAAACTTGGCAAATTGAAGCTTGCAAAACATCGATCAAAACATGTTGCCCCATCGTACCTTCTGTGTAACTAAAGGGAAATGACTGGTGTGTCCTGATCGACAGATACCAGGTTTCTAATCTGGCTCCATCTCTGATTGTGGATGTCCATCTGTTATTTGCTGTCAGAAGATAACAAGACACTTCCCTTACGCTCAACTCTATCTCTTGCTCACTCTCTCGCTCTTGTGGATTATAAGTCTCCTCTGTGAGATTTACAGCATCTCTCACACAGGAAAAACGCTTCAAAGTGCCAGAGAGAATAGAGGGGTGTAAGGGGAAGGCTGGGGAGAGGGGCTTAGGAGGGATGGGGGCCCTCCTAACACAGAGAGTATAGAGTATACTGTAAAGTGAATTGAATGTATATTTTGTGGGTGAAACTCTGCAGCCAAATGTCCCACAAACAGTCGTGGATTGAGTGACCAATTTTTTTTAAGGGATTTTAACCCCTGATAAAGTGATCTGCCAATCGACTAACAACCGGGTTCCTATTTACTGCTGGCAAACAGCGGCATGTGTGTGGAGTAAGGAAACTTGCCTAAGGTTTCTCCCCGCCTGGGAATCGAACCCAGGTCCTCTCGCTTCATAGAATCATAGAATTGTACAGCACAAAAAGAGGCCATTTGGCCCATTGAGTCTGTGCGGCTCTTTGAGAAGAACAATGTAATGTCAATCCCACTCCCCGGCCCTTTCCCCATAACCTGCAAACCCGTCCTCCTCAAATACCCGTCCACCGCGTTTTTAAAAGTAGTTATCGAATTGGGCAATGAGTTCCAGATTCAAACAACTCGCTGCGTGAAAAAATTCTTCTCACCGCCCCTTGGCTTCTTTTAGAGACTATTTTGAATCTGTGACCTCGAGTCACCGACACACCCACCAGTGGAAACAGTTTTTCCCTTTCTAACTTATCGAATCCCCTCATGATTTTGAAGACCTCTATTAGGTCTTGCGAGGTGAGTGCACTAACCCCTACACTACAGGAGTTCAGTGAGTCGCTGTCAGTGACTGAGTCTCTGACTGACTGACTGACTGACTGACACACTAGGGTGTGAGGTTGCAGTCAGTGCAGAGAAGTGAGTTTAAAAATAACAGTAAATGAGTTTAACAATGAGTTTGGTTTCACCTTTTGAATGGGCTTTAAGCATCAGGCTTCAATAGTTATGCAAATGAGGGTTTGTTTGATGCAAAAATTTGTACTTTTATCGTTTCCTCTCTCGGGTCTGGTCAGGATTTGGGTTGGGTAGCGTTGGGATAGGTTTTTGGGCGAGGCTTGCTGGTACCCGGTGCCCTCGAGCAGCCAGTGGTGAGACCTACTCCTCACCCTCAGCATCAGTATCTCACAGAGCAGCAAGACATCACTGCTCTCGAGTAACACCTCACTCAGTTTCACGCTGCTTTGTCGAGATAACAGTATGTCCGGAAACCCAACCTCTCATTACAGGCTCTGTCAACTATTCACAGTGACTGCCCATCCCTAACACATTCACTAACACAGTCACTAATACAGTGTCACTAACACAGTGTCAGTAACTCAGGGCAGATAGAAGGCTTCCCAGGGCTTTCAGAATAAATCCCCTGACAGTGTCTCTCTTCCTGACCATTCTACTCCCCTTCCCGCGCCCCCTCCCTCTCTCACAGTGAATCTGTGAATTCCCCTCACTGCCTTCCTCATTACTGACACGCAGTGACTACGTTGACAAGTGCCAGGATTGTTATATTTGTTGTGCCCTTAGCTTCAGATTGTCTCAAAGTGCTTCACAGTAATTAAAGTCAAGCATAGTGACGGTGACGTTATACTGTCATATTATTTGATACAGCTTCACACATTCACAAACACTTCACAAGATTTACTGTAAAGTGAGTGACTGTGTGCTTTGTAAGTGAGCACAGCAGCCAGTGTGCACAAAGCGGGGTCCCGCATACAGCAGTCAAGTGGATGAGCGATTACTGTATATCTGGGGGATTGTTGGCCATGACACCAAGATGGAGAGAGACTGGGTTTGCCTCCCCCCACATTGGGAGATTTGTAAACAACCCCCCTGACCCTCTGGTGCTTTCCCATGGTTCTTGTTAACTATTCTCCTCCCAACTCCCAGTGACAGGAGTCCAGCCATTGAACTTATTAGTAACTCCTCAACGTCTCAATGTACAATGATTATCAACATCATTGAATAACCCGGCACATCAATTTAATAATAATAATAACAAATCTTCAAGACGTCTCATAACGCTTCACAGATTACACTGCAAAATGTAGTGACTGTATATTTTGTGTGTGAAACGAGGCAAGCGCACTAACCACTAAGCTACAGGACTCCACCATAACTAGCTCAGCCTCTTTATCTTCGCTCACTCTGTGAATGTTCATTCTTTTATACTGAAATAAATCATAATAATAATCCTCCTATTTGACACTGAGCCTTTCTCATCGGGAAGAATTTGTCAAAGCGCTTCATGGGACTTTACTGTAAAGTGACTGAGATAAAAAATACATATTCTTGTAAGCAATTAGACTAGTCTGAGGGTGCGGAGCTGCCAAGCTGAATGCGAGTGTGGAGGGTAGAAAGCTAACTTACCTGGAGAGCAAGTTCATTGGTGTTTCTCTGTCAGTCTCCCTCTTTACCTTGGTGTGTGTCACTTTATCTATGTTAGTATGTGTGTGTGTCTCTCTGTGTCTCTCTAACGCTATCTATGTTTGTCTCTGTCTTTGTGTCTCTATCTATATGTATGTGTGTATGTGTCTCTCTCTCTCTATCTTTGTGTCCCTATCTATATGTATGTGTGTATGTGTCTCTCTCTGAATTTGTGTCTTTATCTCTATCTTTCTATATTTAGTTGTATATCTATCTCTTTGTGTTTCTGTCCGTACATTGCTCTTTCTCTCTCTCTCTATCTACCTGTGTTCCTCTCTCAGTGTTTCTCTCTATCTGAGTTCCTCTCTCACTCTCTCTATCTGTGTGTGCGTTTCTCTGTCTATCTCTCGTCCCTTCACGATCGCTCTGTCTGTCTGATGCCTGTTCCTCTCCCAAGAGCAAACCTTAGCCGCCTCCATAAAGCCCATTGGTCCATAGTTGTGTCTGTGTACGCCCACTGATTAGTCCTCAATCTCAGAGTGTAAAGTACAGGAAAAGTCTAACTAAAGTTTGAGTCAGAGAATCTATAGCTGGTGTCGTTTTTTTTAGTTTGAAAGATATTTTTTAATTAAAATTTCTCAGCAGCTGAGATGCGGGTGAAGGTTCTGGGCTGTTGTGTGTAAGAATGGTTAGTGTGAGGCTGGCTGGCTCTCAGCTGGCCCCAATCCACTATATATCTGGGAATTTCCTAGGAAATGGGTTTGGCTGGATTAGGTTACTGGCTTTGATGAATCATCAGTGAGACGCAAAACCAGGAAAGGCTTGAGAGTGAGAGCCAGGGGTATGACACAGAGAGAGGAGAGAGAGGCAGGGAGTGTGACAGAAAGACGTGACTAAAGGCAGGGAGTGTGACAGAGAGAGAGGGGCCAGTGTGACCGAGAAAGAGAGGAGCCGGCAAGCTTTCCCGATGCTTGTCCAGCTAGGATCCCCCGACTAAAGTTAGGGCTTGGGCTGCAGGGTTAACAGGAGCTGAATGGGATGCCTCCCTGCCCCCAGTGACTAGTCTGTTGTTCCAGGTCCTGCCGATCAGCCGGCCTGCGCTTTACTGTCATTAGCAGTGAGTGCCCTGGAATACAACATTAACTTTGCGTACAGAACTTCACGTTAAGCCCAGGAGTGACCTCTCTTTTTCTCTCTCTCGCTCTCTCTCTCTCTTTCGCTCTCTCTCCACCTTTGGGGCTGAGCCTTCACCATTCCCCATCCTCCCCTCTATAACCCCCTTCTAAAATAGTTTGTGCTTCTCCTCTCTCGCGTCTCCAATCACACCCCACTCAAAAACAAACTTCCTAAAACACAGCAGTTGAGAGTCCTCCGCTCCACCCTCGGCGGCCGTACCTTCAGCCACTATGTCCCGAAGCTCTGGAATTCCCTTCCTCACTCCCTTCGCCTCGCCCCCTCTCTTCCTACTTTCTGGTCCCTTCTGAAGACCTTTCTTTTCGACTGCGCCTTTGGTCACCTTCCCCCCACCCCCTCCCCCGGCTCAGCCCCAGGATTTGTTACTGTGAAGCGCTCTGAGACGCCGTCCGGCGTGGAGGACGCTATATAAATCCAAGTTGTTGTTGTTGTTGAGAGGAGCGACGGAGAATGTGTCAGCAACAACGTTAACATTTAGCAATGCCTGACTTCAGTTTCTGCTGTGTTCTCTCAAGCCTTCGCCGACAGACCCTGCTCACACTCCAGCCTGGGCTCAGACTGTGCCACCAGCATTCTCTGTAGTTACACTAGTGTAAATTTACACAATTCAACACTATCCAGTGGAGTCCGACAGTTCGGTGGTTAGAGCACTTGCCTGGCAAGCAAGAGGACCTGGATTGATTCTCGAAACATTGGCCGTGTTTCCTTACTCCCCACACACACGCCTCTGTTTACCCAGCAGTAAGTAGGAACCTGGCTGTTAGTCGATTGGCAGATCACTTTTCCGGGAGTAATAATCTCATGAGAAACAAATAATAATTTGGTCACTCAACCCATGACTTTGTGGGACACAGATATGTGCGCAATTGGCTGCTGTGTTTAGCCTTCAAAATGTAGTCAATTCATTTGCAGTATATTGTGTGAAGCGCTTTGAGACGTCTCAAAGGCGTGATAAGGCGCTGTATCAAATGCAACGATCATTATTATTGGAATCTTCTTATTGATCTTGAAGATGTGCCACAGTCACGAGGCTTGGCGGAGTGAGGAGGTAAACAGTTAATTCTGAGAAACCTCTGGTTCCTTTTTCTCAAAGCCCAGTCCAGCCCGTCACTGTGCTCTGCTTCCTTCCCCTTTTTATTTCCAGAAAGAAAGTGCATCAACAATTTTTTTAATGTTAAAAAAAATGGATACAGCAGCTGAGGGTGAAAAGTTCTCTGTCCGTCCCCTCCCCTCGCCTCATGTCTCTCTCTCTCTCTCTCTCTCTCTCCCAGTGTCCCTGCCCGACAATCCTCCAGACAGATAAATTCGGATATTTTTTAAAAATGTGGTCCCTCAATCCACGGCTGTTTGTGGGGACGCTGCTGTGCGCAATTGGCTGCTGCGTTTTGCCCACAAAATATACAGTCAATTCCCTTTACAGTATTTCCTGTGAAGCGCTTTGAAACGTCTCGAAGACCTGATAAGGCGCCGTGTCAAATACAAGGATTATTATTATTAATATTCTTCACTGCGTGACTGTTTGTGGACACGTTTGCTGCCGCGTTCGCCAACAAAGTAGACAGCCATTACACTTCACTGCTAACCCTGTGAGGAGCTCTGATATGCTCCTGATAAAGGAGATATGTGTCTAAAAAGCAGCCAAGGCCTCACCAGCAAATAGCACAGGGTCATTCACACTCCCATCCCGTCATAACTTAGGAACAGGAGGAGGCCATTCAGTTCCTCGATCCTGTTCCGCCATTCTACAAGATCATAGCTGATCAACTCCAATTTACCCACCCTTGCCTTGACACCCTGATCTAACAAACATCTTTCCACTTCAGTCTTGAAAAAGTGAATGGATCCAGCCGTAGTCCACAGCCTTTTGGGGGAAGAAGGGAGAGAGAGAGAGTTCCATATTCCCACTAGCCTTTGGGTGTGTGAAAAACTGCCTCCTGATTTCACTGCTAAATGGCCTAGCTCTGATGTTAAGACGATACTCCCTTGTTCTGGATTCCCCCACCCACCAGAGGAAATGGTCGCTGTAGCTACCCTATAAAATCCCTTTATCATTGAAAATAACGTTCACATGTGTCGCTTCCTTCAAGGCCTGTCTCAAGACCCTCGACTTCGACCGCGACTTTGGGCACCCTCCTACCTCTACTCTCCCTGCCCTCCACCTCTCCTGATCCCAACCTACAACTCGGGTCCAAATTCCTGACTGCCCACCGCCTTGGGACATCCTCCTGGTGTAAAAAGCGCCGTGTAAATGTAATGTGTTGTTGTTGGTGGCGCACATGACATGACACACGCTTTAGCAGTTTAACTTCACGCCTTACGATCTCAAGTGGAAAGAATTGCAACACACAAAGTTCTGCCCATAGACTCGGCCGCGGCTGTGAAAGCCTGAGAAACGTTGTCCCATCCCCACGTGACAGGCAGTGACCGGCTGGGCTCTCAGCTATTCTTTAATCTCGCTGTGGTTTCTGAGAAATGGCAAACATTTAACGCTGGGAAACAATTGTCTACAGGAATCATCTTCCCCAAAGCCCCTGGCTTTCACATCACACGCATGGCCTGTTAACATAGTCAGGACGAGCTCATGTGGGACACGAAGCAGCTCAGTTTCTAGGCACAAACCCAGCCTGATCCTGACAGCAAAGTAATTAAACATTCTGCTGAATATCGGGCATGTTTAGACTGGCTTCCTGCTCCATACCAGTCACTCTGCCTCGCTTCCTCCCTTGCCTCCTTCAAAGCACATCTCAAGACCCACCGCTTCGACCAACCCTCCTACCCCCACCCTTCTTGCCCTCCGCCCCTCCTGATCCCAACCCCTAGCTCGGTTCCAATTCCCGAACTGTCCAGCGCCTTGAGACGTCCTCCCGATGGGAAAGGCACCATGTAAATATAATGTGTTGTTGTTGCTTGTTCAACTGGGACTGGCTACCCGCTAGTCATGGCTTCGTCTACAGCAACCACGTGGGAAGGATCCTGGCCTCCCTGTGAGCAAACACAGAAGCCAATCTGTGCTCAGCAGCGTCCCCACTAACGTTTATTGGAGGGGGGAGATTTTTATCTATTTGAATAACACGGTGGGAGAGTTTTATCACTGCCCAGGCAGGAGATGGAGTGGGAGCTCGGTTTAATGTCAGATAGTGTGTTGGAGTCCTGTAGCTCAGTGGTTAGAGCACTCGCCTCACAAGTGAGAGACCTGGGTTCTATTCCCAGCAGGGCGAAATGTTGGACAAATTTCCTTACTCCACACTCCTCTGGTTACCCAGTAGTAAGTAGGAACCCAGTTGAACAACTGCATTTCGGCCACAAATGTACAGTCAATTCATTTTACAACATATTCTGTGAAGCGCTTTGTGACATCTGGAAGACGTGAAAAGTGCTATATCAAATGCCAGGATTATTATTGTTATTATTACCTAGCAGTGAGTAGGAACACGGTTAATATTCAATTGGAGGATCGCTTATCCGGTGGTAATAATTCCTTCAAAAAAAATAATGATAATAATTTGGTCACTCAATCCACTGTTTGTGGGACGCTGCTGTGCGCAATTATTGGCTACTGTGTTTCGGCCACAAGATAAACAGTCAATTCACTCTACAGTATATCTTGTGAAGCGCTTTGAGACTTCTCAAAGATTAGATAAGGCACTGTATCAAATGCCAGGATTATTATAATTATTATTATTATATTGAACCCTCAGCCCTCAGTCCAATATGTAACACATGGTGCCACCCCCCTCGCCCACCGAGAAGCCATTCACAGACAGCAAGGGGTTAAGTGAGTGGGAGGTAGTTACAGGAAGCAGAGGAGGCTGTTACAGTAGATGTAATACTATTTACCATGTTTTCCTCTGCTTTGCATAGAGACTGAGTCATGTTGTGTGTGGGCTGTGTTACGATCACTAACAGTCACTCACACGTGGGGGAGCTGGACAGAGCGCCTTGTTCAAACTTACACGTTTAGCAATCTTTACAAGAGTTATTTATCATAAATATTTATCATATTTATCAGTGATTACTGGCAGGTGATTGAAGGAGCATTTTGACCAAAATACAAGATGTTCATGGCATTACCATTGACTAGGATCCACAGACAGTGAAAATCTGAGTGTGCTTGCCTTGTCTTGTCTGGGTAAAGATTCTCTGGCTTGTGTCAGCAAGTTGCATGGTGCTGAGTGCCCTGTGGGGAACTCGCTGAATGGCATTGCACAATGATTTTCTGACTGTTCATTGCTCCTTGTGGGAGATGGAGCACTCGCCTCACAAGCGAGAGAACCTTTGGTTCAATTCCTGGAGGGGGCAAAGTGTTGGAGTAAGAGGTGTGTAGAGTGAGTTTCCTTACTCCGCACGCCTGTTTACCAAGCAGTAAGTAAGAACCTGGTTGTTAGTCGATTGGCAGATCACTTTTCTGGGGATAAAAATCCCTCAAAAAAACAATAATAATTTGGTCACTCAATCCACGACTGTTTGTGGGACGCTGCTGTGCACAATTGGCTGCTGCGTTTCGCCCACAAATATATAGGCAATTCACTTTATAGTATATCCTGTGATGGTATAGTATATCCTGTCATGGGTTTAGGTTATTAATCCTGTGCCGTCTCTCAGCCCTTCACTGAGATGTCGCCCCTGGAGAGAGCCCCTCGCCTGTCTAATCATTGGTCACAGCCCGTTCCTCTGACCCCGGTCACTCGCCTGTATCCGCGCTGCAGAATTCTCTCCAGTGAAATAGCTAGATTGATGTGAAATCAATGTAGAGTGAAGCCCTGATACCGAGTGAAGACAGTGTGAAGTGCAACTGAGACAGGGTTCTGGGTCTGTGTCCACATCCCCCCTGTGTGTGAGCTGCTCACGGCTCCTCCTGTGTCTCTCCCCGTTTCCGGCTGGTGTCAGGGAACGTTCACTGTGTACCATGGTTGCTCACTGTATGTGCTGATACCATCTGTACCAAACTATCCATCACCGGGGGAAATCAGAGCAACAACCACAAAGAAACAACCACAAAGTAAAGAAACCTGGATAAGAGATAACAATCCCTTCTGCCTCTCTCATACTCAGGACACTGATTGCTCTTCTTCAGCTGGTGAGGAGAGAGAGCAGGGAATGGGATTAGAGTAGAGAACTCCAGTGTGAGGGGGACTGAGCACCAGCACAGACACGAGATTGGAGATTCTGAGTTCCTGTCTGCCTGTTCGGGCGAACATTATATATTGATAATGATGTTTACATGCTTTGTGCATTCAGTGCTGATAGGGGTTGAGTTTTTGTGTATTGCAGGAAGAGGCAGGTGTGTCTTTACCTATCGGTCGCTAACACAATGGATAGGAAGGGCAAAGATAGTGATAGACCTTCAATGAATGAGCTGAGGTAAGTGAGTAAACATACTGAGGAGAGCACGTCAGCACCTGAACAGCTCAGCTCACAGACAGTGGGATGCATGGGGGCTGGTCTGGGCAGGCTTTCCTGAGCTCAGGAATGTCTCTCTTTCTCTCTCACACACGGGGGGAAAGGTGAAAGGCTGTGGCAATCGGTGCTGATACCTGACTCACACCTCTCCCGGCCCCCCCATACCAGTCCTGGGAGCCCTGCTCTCTGTGAGCAGAGACAGAGACACAGAGAAGCAGAGGGCCCGAGGCCACAGCATGAACTGTGAGTGAGCGAATGGCTTATTTTATTTACAATGTTAAAAGTAAAACTCCAGAGATAGTTCCCTGCGTCCGATCACGGCGGGAAGTGGGACACTGAAGTGTAGTCACAGTGCTTAGAGGGAGGTAGAGGTTGTGAGGTGAGGCTTTGTGTCAGGTGAGGAGTGCTGTTTGTTCTCCTCTCCCCACCCACCTCTCTCTCTCTGCGGGACCTTGGGGCTTGTTTGCAGACTAACAGCTCATGTAGACTCGCTCTCACACCAACCCAGAGGTGAGCTGTCTCAGTGTGGGGAGGGGAGTGAGCACATCCATAATAAATAATTTGGTATAGAGCTTTATCGTGTCTTCAAGATGCCTCAAAGAGCTTCACAGAATATACTGTAGAGTGAATTGACTGTATATTGTGGGTGAAACACGGCAGCCAATTGTGCACAGCAGCGTCCCACAAACAGTTATAGATTGAGTGACCATTATGTTTTTAAGGGATTATTATCCCCAGAAAGCGATCTGCCAATTGACTAATGACTGGGTTCCTACTTACTGCTGGGTAAACAGAGGCATGTGTGTGGAGTAAGGAAACTTGCCCGATGTGTTGCTCTGCCAACCCGGGAATCAAACCCAGGTCTCTCGCTTGCGAGGCGAGGGCTCTAACCACTGAGCTACAGGCCTTCACTGTCACTAACTTGGGAATTGCAGACTGTGTTTGAAAAAAATAAGTCAGTGCTAGGATTATTATTATTATTATTATCATTATAGTGCAGAGGGTAGTGAGCACATCTGTAAAGTGCTCGGCTCGAAATCAGATGGTTAAAGGGAGGAGCATAGAAATTATGAGAAGTATTTAGCGAGTAAATACTGGTATGTATCTCAATACAAGCTGGGAAATGGCATCGCAGAGCTCCATATTACCTTCACATTAACAGTGATGGATTTACTGTGAGCTGCTCACAATGCGGGAGCCAATGCTGTGAATCAAATAATAATAATAATAATCTTTGCCTTTGATATAGCACCTTATCACGTCTTTGAGACGTTTCAAAGTGCTGCACAGGATACACTGTAAAGTGAATTGACTGCATATTTGTGGGTGAAATGCAAAAATCAACAACAACAACTTGGATTTTCACAGCGTCCCCACACGCAGGGCAACATCCCAGGGTGCTTGATGGAGCTTGTGGAGCTGGAGAATCCTGGCATTGCACACGAGTGTGCGCGACATCACTGTGTAACAGCGAGTGGTTGTTGTTGTTGTTGTTGACTTGGCATAGATGAAGCGGGGGAGCGTCTGGCTGATGTGGAGTTGGGTGGGTGGGAGAGGGGAAAGTTCCAGAAGGGCTGAGTGTTGATTCGAGCGCTCTGGGATGCTACCCTGTGTGAGCGGAGCTGTATAAGTGCAAGTTGTTGTTGTTAGGCGGACTGTTTGTTACAGGTGCTGGAGAGTGGACGGGAGTCGAGGCTGTACAGGGAACAGGGCTGGAGCTGGAGAGCGAGGCCGAGCGGGGGGAGAGGCTGTGGGACGAGGTGGAGAGTAAGCGCAATGTGCTGACCCGCTCCATCAACCCGGCCAAGCTGACAGCCTACCTCAGGCAGTGCAAGGTCCTGGATGAGGAGGACGAGGATGAGGTGCTCAACTCCCGGCAACTCACCTCCCGCAAGGGCCGTGCAAGTCAGTGCCTCCTTTAGCGTACATTGCTCTGTCCCTCCCTCATCCATCCCTTTTCCTCACTCTCCACCCATCCTCCTGCCTTCCTCCTGTCCGCTGCCTCTTCCCCCATAGCCCCACCCGACCCCCATCTGCCCACCCATCCATCCACCTGCTCTCCTCTACCCCAGTATTTCTCCCGTCCCCTTCTACCTACCTGCCTGCCCTTCCCTCTGCGCCCCCCTCTCTCCAGCATCTCTTCTGCCCACCTGTATACATCTCTGTCTGTCTGACCTCAGTTGCGCCCACCCGCCCGCACTGGGAGCTGGGGCTGTGGTTGGGGTTGATGGGGGCTGTGAGCTGAGAGTTGTGATGTAATGAGTCCTTGCCCCCCAGGTCAGCTGCTGGACATGCTGAGACTTTGGGGGTTAAGGTTAATGTTGGAGTTGGGGTCGGTAGGGCTGGGGTTGAGGCCTGTGAGCTGAGAGTTGGGGTGTAACCAGATGTACCCCACAGGCCGGTTGCTGGACATGCTGAGGTGCCGGGGGAGCCGTGGTTACGAGGCTTTCCTGGAGAGCCTGGAGCTGTATTATGCTGAGCTTTACCGGCTGCTCACCGGGGAGGAGCCCACACGCCGTTGTTCCGTGCTGGTCGGTGAGTCACTGGCACTCGCGGGGTTAACTTCCGTACCGGCACCGTACCAGGGTCACACCAGGAAATGCCAGCTCAGCCAAACACAACCAGCCTCACGTGTGTGTGTGTGTCTGTGTGTGAATGCATGCGTGTGTGACTGAGTGTGTCAATGTGACTGCGTGTGAGTGAGTGCGTGTGTGTGTGTATGAGTCCGTGTGTGAATGTGAGTGCGTCTGTGAGTGTGTGTATCTGAGTGTGTGTGAGTGTGTATGTGTGAGTGAGTATGTGTGGGTGTGAGTAAGTGTGTGTGAGTAAGTGTGTGTGGGTGTGAGTGAGTGAATGAGTGAGTGAATGAGTGAGTGAGTGAGTGAGTGAGGGAGTGAGTGAATGGGTGGGTGGGTGGGTGGGTGTGAGTGTATGAGTGAGCGTGTGTGTGTGAGTGAGTGTGAGTGAGCGTGTGAGTGAGTGAGCGTTTGAGTGTGTACAGGTTACTGTTGTCCCAATGCTAACACTGTGTGAGTATGAGTGAGTGTGTGTGAGTGAGTGTGAGAGTGTGTACATGTTACTGTTTTCCCAATGCTAACATTGTGTGTGAGTGTGAGTGATTGTATGTTTGTGTGAGTGAGTGAGTGTGTGTGTGAGTGTGTACAGTTTACTGTTGTCCAATGCTAACACTGTGTGAGTGTGAGTGAGTGTGTGTGTGTGTGAGAGTATGTACAGGTTACTGTTGACCCAATGCTAATGCTGTGTGAGTGTGAGTGAGTGTGTGTGTGTTTGTGTGAGTGAGTGTGTGAATGTGTACAGGTTACCGTTGGCCCAATGCTAACGCTGTGTGTGAGTGTGAGTGAGTGTGTGTGAGTGAATGTGTGTGTGTGAGTGAGTGTGTGTGAGTGAATGTGTGTGTGTGAGTGAGTGTGTGTGTGTGAGTGTGTACAGGTTACTGTTGTCCAATGCTAACACTGTGTGAGTGAGTGTGTGTGTGAGTGAGTGTGTGTGTGTGAGTGTGTACAGGTTACTGTTGACCCAATGCTAACGCTGTGTGTGTGTGTGTCTACCAGTTGAGGAGGGACCTGAAGGCCTGACCCACTTCCTGATGACCGAGGTGCTGAACCTACAGAAGCAGCTGAAGGAGCGCGAGGCTGAGGTTCACAAACTGAGCACCAGCAGCCAACAGCTCAGCCTCGTGACCCAGGAGCTGGGCAGTGTCCAGCAGCACTTCGCCAGCCTGCGGAAGCAGTGCCAGTCTCACAGCAGCCAACTCAGCCAACTCCGCGACGACAACTACCTGCTCGCCATGCGCTACGCTCAGCTCACACAGGAGAAGAACATCGCTGTGCTGAAGGCTCGGGAGCTGCAGCTCGGGGTGAGAGGCTCAGGCTCTGTCTCTGTGTGTCTGGGTCTGTGTCTCTCACCCTCTGTCTCTGTGTGTCTCTGGGTCCCTGTCTGTCTGTCTGTCTGTCTGTCTGTCTGTCTGTCTGTCTGTCTGTCTGTCTGTCTGTCTGTCTGTCTGTCTGTCTGTCTGTCTGTCTGTCTGTCTGTCTGTCTGTCTGTCTGTCTTTGTCTGTCTGTCTGTCTGTCTGTCTGTCTGTCTGTCTGTCTGTCTGTCTGTCTGTCTGTGCTGTCTCTGGCTCAGTCTCTCTGTGTCTCTGTGTCTGGGCGCTGTAGATGGGGAGGCTGCATTGCCAGCTGACGGGGATGGAGGAGGAGTGCTCACTGGCTCGAAGATGCAGCACGAGGCTGCGCAGGGACATGCAGGACCTGTGCAGTGGGCAGCGGCTCAGTGAGCTCCAGCAGGAGAACAGCCAGCTCAGGGCCAGGATCCAGAAACAGCAGGTCCTCCTGCAGGTACCTCCCCTCCACACAACTACCCACCTCCCTCACACAGGTACCCCCCCATACACAGGTACCCCCCCACACACAGGTACCCCCCCCTCCACACAACTACCAACCTCCCTCACACAGGTACCCCCCCTCCACACAGGTACGCCCCCCATACACAGGTACCCCCCCCCCACACACACACACACAGGTTACCCCCCACCCCACACACAAGTACCCCACCTCCCATCGGGTAGGTCTGGGCAGCGCTAGTTACACACCGACAAACACAGCCTCAAACTCGCTCTCGCCTCAGGTAGCTGGGTTTAGTGCCTCATCTCAAGGACATTACCTGGTGCCAACTCTGCGCTGGGGCATCAGCCTGAATGGTGAGTGTGAAGTGAGTTTGTGTGAGTTTGTGGGTTGGGGAAGAGATGAGCGTGTGAGTGACTGAGCCCCAGTAGGTGTTTGTCCTGATTGCTGTGTGTTGTGTTGTGTGGTGGACAGGCCCCGAGCAGTGAGGCTGTGCTGCTGGACCTGCTGGATCAGGATCGTAGGGAGGCCCTGGAGGACAGACAGGAGCTGGTGCAGAGGAACCTGAGCATCAGTCAATGCCTCCACGAGACTGAGCAACAGCGAGATCAGGTCAGCCCCCCCTCAACCCCTCGCTCACACCCCCACTCAGCCCACCCTCACCCCCCAGCAACACCCACTCTGTTAGTAACCACAATCCTCACATCTCATCCCAATCTCTCACAGCGCTTCATAGGCAGTCACTCTAACGTGTAGTGACTGTGTGTTTTGTAGGCGAACTGAACGCCCCCCAGCCCATTTGATGTGGCAATAAGTGATTGTCGTCCAGGACACCGAGAAGAGAGAGAGAGAAACTCCCTGCTCTTTTCCAACAGCACTGCAGGATCTTTTAACATCTGCCTGAATGTAACTCGGACAGGGAGAGCGACTCTGACAATGCCGCGCTCCTCCAAACCCCCAACACAGTCTGAGACCTGGACAAGTTAGTGACAGATGAGGAGGGTGGTGAGCAGTAGCTGGCTCACTGAGTGAGGGGCTGGAGCTATGGTTACTAGCTGATTACCAGTTGGTTACTGACAACCATCCTGTGTCCCCAGTACCTGAGAGAGAAGCTGGGGTTGGAGCTGAGATGCTCGCAGATGGCGGCTCAATGTGAGCTGAACAAGCGCAGGGTCACCGTCGTCTGTCAGCAGCTGGAGGAGGTGGAGAAGGAGCGCGATCAGGTGAGAGTGAGGCTCTCAGTACAGAACCTTCACACAGACACTCAGTGCACTGTGTCTCTTGTTTGTGTGTGTAACTCTGAAATACCCTTCCTTCCCCCATCTTCAGGTTGCGCCTGAAGACCTTCCTCTTCGTGCTTATGGTCACCTCCCCCGGCTCGGCATCATACTCCGCACTCTGGGACGCTACCTTGCACGAGGGGCGCTGTGTTCTTGTTGTGTAACAGACTGTGTAAATTGCTGTGTCTCCTGTCTGTATGTTTGTAACAGGCGTTTAAAGCTCGGAACGAGGCTCAGGCTTCCTATGTGCAGAGCCTGCTGGCGAGAGACGAGCACTGGCGGCAGAACTGGGCACTGCAGGAGCGGCTGGACAGGCTGGAAACACAGATGACAGACAGGGACGGGAAGAGCAGTGACCGTCAGGGTATCAAATGCTCACTCCCCACCGGACACTCGCTGGACCTGACAGTAAATAATGTCTGCTTCTCCCAATAGGGGCTAGGGTCCTGGAGTCAAGGCATTTGTCTGGGTTTGGAATGGGCTGGTGTTGAGTTGGGCTGGAGTTGAGTTGGGTTGGGCTGGGGTTGAGTTGGCCTGGGGTTGAGTTGAGTTGGGCTGGGGTTGAATTGGGCTGGGGTTGAGTTGGCCTGGAGTTGAGTTGAGTTGGGCTGGGGTTGAGGTGGGCTGGGGTTGAGTTGAGTTGGCCTGGGGTTGAGTTGAGTTGGGCTGGGGTTGAGTTGGCCTGGGGTTGAGTTGAGTTGGGCTGGGGTTGAGTTGGGCTGGGGCGAGTTGAGTTGATTTGGGCTGGGGCTGGAGTTGAGTTGTATCTGCAGGTGACAGGTGCTAATCTCAGCTCAGTTGCTGTTGATTTTTTTCTAATCTCAGGATTTTTTGGACAGCAGTTTAGTTTCCGTTGGTTACAGAGGGGATGGAAACAAGAAAGTCGAAAAAGAGACATCTTTCTCCCCAAACCTCAGGAGAAGAAATTGTGTAAAGGTGTGTGACTGTGGGCCTGACTGCACAATACAATCACTGCACTGACCCTGACAGTAGGACTCCAATGTGCTGATTCCCAACTGAAGATCTACCTCTTCGACCTATGGTCATCTCCACCTCTCCCTCCCATCTTGGCCTCCGACCCCAACACTGTCCGTTCTCTTGAAACCCTGTCCCACGTGAAGGAAGCTGTGTAAACACAAGCTGTTGTCTTGTTAAATATATAATAATAATCCTTTAGCTTCTCGGCCCCCACCGTCTGGAATTCATCCCACAGTCCCTCCGTCAACCCCCTCCCTTGACTCTTTCAAGCCATGTCTTGACCCTCTTCGACTGCGCCTTTGGTCACCCTCTACCCCCACCCTCCCTGCCCTTTACCCCTCCTGATCCCAAACCTCAGCTTGGATCCAAATCCCTCACTGTCCAGCGCCTCAGGCCGTCCTCCTGACGTGGAAGGCGTTGTGTAAATGTCATGTATTGTTTTTCGTAGCTCCTACACCACAGTGACAGGAGGAGAGGGATGTCTGAGAGGAAACAGATATAGATTTATTCTCAGTGTAAAATGATGACGGTTTGTTTTCTAGAGAAGTTCCTCGTCTCCCATCAAGGTCAGCGAGCTCCGAGCGATAGGTGAGTGTCTGTCAGGAGAGAGAGGTGACGTGGCAGCACATTCTGAAAAACAATAAAATTATCAATAATATACACAATACTAACTGCTTCGGGACTCTACCCCACGTGAAGGGTACAAATGCAGGCTGTTGTTTTTGTTGTTAATTATGACAATATTAATAATAACAATAATAATCCTCGCATCTGATACAAAGACGTCAAGACGTCTCAAAGCGCTTCATAGAATATACTGAAGTGTAGTAACTGTATATTTTGGTGGATGTTGGTGAGAAGCACAGCCAATTACACAGCCAATTGCGCACAGCAATGCCCCAGAAATAGCCGTAGATTGAGTGACCATATTATTATTTATTTATTTGCCTGAAAGGGCGGTGGAGGCCGATTCGATAACTACTTTTAAAAACGCAGTGGACGGGTATTTGAGGAGGACGGGTTTGCGGGTTATGGGGAAAGGGCCGGGGAGTGGGATTGACATTACATTGCTCTATTCAAAGAGCCGCCACAGACTCGATGGGCCGAATGGCCTCTTTTTGTGCTGTACGATTCTATGATTCTATGAAGGGATTATTACCCTGGAAAGGGATGTGCCAATCAACTAACAACCGGGTTCCTACTTACTGCTAGGTAAAAGAGGCGTGTGGAGAAAGAAAACTTGCCAGCATTTGGCTCTGCCCGGGAATCGCTTGCGCGCCGGTACTCTAACCACTACGCTACAGGACTCCACATTATCAACAGTAATAGTAATAATAAGCAGTCTGTGGCAGGTCAGAGGTTGCTGTGTGTGGGGCAGTGAGCAGAGGTTGGCAGTACTGGGATGATACGCTGCATGACGGGCTCAGGGTAAATACAAGTTGTTGTTGTGCTGCCAAACTCCCCCACATCATGTCCCATTTTGTTCTACAGGAGATGAGAAATGTACAGAGCTTTGCCGCCCAGCGGTAAGTCTGTGTCTGATCTAAGACTTGATCTTCCAACATGAAAAGCGCTGTATAAATATGCCATTGGTTGTTGTTGACCTCTGCAGTGTGCTGGCCAGAGCTTGTACTGTACCGTCTCCGCCACTGTGACGCGCTGCGTGTGTTACTCCGTGTGAGGCCGTGTGTAAATACAAACTGTTGTTCATCGCCTACGTCTGGCTGTCTGTCTCCTGCTCCTCATGAGCGTGATCTGGTTCTGTCTTTAGATGGTTGCCTCGGTGGACATGGAATCAGAGGGAGACATCAATAGGTTTTCCATCTTGCCATTCCCGCCTTCTCAGGGGTCTTTGATCCTTCGCAACAAGGAAGATGATCCGATTGGGAGGTAATGAGCTGTGTTCTCACCATCTGGAATGCCCGTCTCAAGACCCTACTCTTCCACCACAGCTTCGGTCACTCTCCTACTCCCACCCTCCCTGCCCTCCACCCTTCCTGATCCAAACCCGCAGCTCGGGTCCAAATCCCTGACTATTCTCCCATCACAGTGTCCAGCCTGAATACCCAAAGGAATGCTCCTCCAGCCCTGGCTAGCTTACCCTTCTCTCTCTCTCTCTCTCTCTTTCTCTCTGTCTCCAACTAGCCTCGCAAGCCTCTCGCTAGCCAGCACGATGGACATCCTGGAGCCCAGCACAGGTACGTGCTCCTATTCACTCAATCCCGAGTGTGTCAGGAAAGTCTCAGTATGAGTGCGAGAGTGTGTGAGTGTGTGAGCTTGATGCTGTTATTGGGTTGGCGTGTAGGTGTGCGGGAGCTGGCAGTGAGTCGTGCTGTGTATATCCGGGTCAATGTGAGTGTGCAAGGCCAGCTGGACGGCTGCTCTCTGCAGGTGGAACGTGGGGAGATCCTTCAAGTGCTGGACATAGAGTTGCCCCTGGACAGTGACTGGAGGTGTGCCCGGATCAACCCCCACACGAAAGAGGACCTCCAGCAGGTCACCGTGCCAGGCTACCACAGGTACAGCACAGACGCACACAGCACACACACAGCATAGACATACACATACATACAGCTCATACAGTTCAGAGACGACCTCCAGCAGGTCACCGTGCCAGGCTACCACAGGTACAGCACAGAGACACAGCACAGACACACAAACAGACACAGCAGAGAGACAGAGATACAGGCAGCAGACCACGGGGACATTGTAGGTTCTGTCCTCCAGATAAGTTGATAGTTCATCTCTTACGCGCTTATTAAAACAGTCACTACATTTATCAGCAATTGTAATAGCTCATCACAGTGACCTCAGTCTTTCTCTGGTAACCTCTCTTTCAGAGCGTGCCGCCTCCTACAGGCCAACAGCAGCCCTGCTGTGAGCTGCCAGTGTCCCTGTGAGAGAACCCAGAAACAGGTACGTCCCAGGGTGTGACTGGGGCTCTCAGCCTCTCATTCTCACTGTGTCCTCATCTCACTGTGTCCTCATCTCATTGTGTGTCCTCACAGCTCTGATCTCAGTCTCTTTTCTTCATTCAAGGGTTTAAGGAGTGACGTTGTGATGAAGCCAAGGAGCCTGAACCGTATTAGGAGCGTACAAAGCATCTACCCCCCACCCCAGGATCCAGACACCCCCACCCCACTCTGCACTGACACCCCCAGCAGACCCCGGACTACAGACCCCCTCATCCCAGCCCAGGATACAGCCAGTGCCCATCCCTGGACAACACCTTTTGTTTGTTGTGAAAGTGAGTACGTCCGATGTCAGGGTCTCAGCTCCTTGCGACTGGAGCTCCAGTGTGTCCAGAGGTTAGAGGCTGTGTGAGGGGTTAGAGGGAAGGTGTGTAAGGGGTTAGATGGGGTATACAAGGGGTTAGAGGGGGTATATAAGGGGTTACAGGGGGTATATAAGGGGTTAGAAGGGAGACACTGTGTAAGAGGGTAGATGAGAGATGCTGTGTAAGCGACAGGAGCTGATGAAGTTGTGTGCTTGTTCCCCAGAGAACACTGTGGCTCTGTGTCCGTACACTGTGGTTCAGCCTATTTCTGTTCGGCGCCCCCGCCCTGTGCTCCTGCTGCCCCCCATGTTGGCCGGAGCCCTGACACAGAGGCTGCCATCCCCATTCCATCCTCTCAGCCCAGGTAGGAGGAAATTTCTCCAGTTTGCCCCATATTCCAGCTACCCCCTCTCTGAGCACTCGGAGACACAGCCTCGCGTGAAGGCGCTGTATAAATACTTGTTGTCATTGCAGAAGTTGTCAGCGACGATGAATCAAAGAGGAAAAGCGGATTCTGTTTGCGGAAAATCCCAGGTCAGGACAAGAGTGAATACATCTCATTCAGGGCCATTGAGGAGATGGCTGCCAAGGTATTGTGTATATCAGAGACTGTGTATACCAGACTGAGGGAATGTGTTCATAATAATAATAATTCTTGCATTGGATATAATGTCTTATGTCTACGAGACGTCTCATAGGATACACTGCAAAGTGAATTGAGTGTATTTTGTAGGCGAAACACGGCAGCCAATTGGACTGAGATGTGTGTGTGTGTGTGTGTGTGTGGGATGGGGGTGAGGGAGGAGGTCTCCTTGCCCTGGTCTCCTCACGCATTCCTTCCCTTCACAGAACAAGCACTGCGTGCTGGACATGGAGCTGCTCTCAGCCTCTGCGCTGGTTACTGAGGGCATTTACCCCATCGTTCTCCACATCAAAGTCACCGAGGCAAACATCAGTCAGTGCAGGTAACGGGAGGAGCGATAGCAAGCACAGTTTTTATCCACAGGCCCGCGTGCGCGCGCGCGCGTGTGTGTGTGTGTGTGTGCGCGCTGGCTGTCAGCCTGGCTCAGTCACTCACACTCTCGCCTCTGGGTCAGGGGTAGCGGTTGTCCCGTCCGTTTTGCCCCTTCCTCCCCCATCTTCAGATCGCGCCTGAAGACTTTCCCCTTCAACTGTGCCTACGGTCACCCCTCCTACCTCCCCCCCCCCACCCCCGGCTCGTCGTTGTGGGTCGTGCGCCATCACTGTTAGATGCTCCGGGACGGTGCCCGGTGTGAGGGCAGCTGTGTAAGTGCAAGTTGTTGTTGTCAATGGGTTTCCCAGGTCAGACATGGCTGCAGCGCCCTCAGGTGGAGATGTGTGGCATTGCAGGCCACAAACACTGGGTCACTGGGAGGGAGACGTGTGTGACTTAAGTGGGTTTGTTTGACGTTCTTGCAGGAACCTGGCACCGGTGTGTGAGGCCAGTGACCACGAGTTGTTGCAGTGTGACCGGCGTGTGGAGGAGAGCCTGCGGACGCTGCCCTACGCACACCGCACCGTGGAGCCCGGCACCTGGACGTGCCCCCAGCAGCTGGTGGATGTGGTGACGCACGGCATCTCCCAGGAGCAGAGCAAGATATTGTGGATGGAGCAGAGCTGGGATCAGGGCTTGTTACTGAGCGGACACCAGCACAGAGAGCAGCCTGTGTCACACAGGGCCTGAGCTCCTCTGTTCAGCACAAAGCGGTGACACTGAGGCAGATACTGCAATACAAATACAGGGACGGACTGATACGGGGACGGACTGATACGGGACAGACTGATACGGGACAGACTGATGCGGGACAGACTGATACGGGACGGACTGATACAGGACAGACTGATACAGGACAGACTGATACGGGACAGACTGATACGGGACAGACTGATACGGGGACGGACTGATACGGGACGGACTGATACGGAACAGACTGATGCGGGACAGACTGATACGGGACAGACTGATACGGAACAGACTGATACGGGACAGACTGATACGGGACAGACTGATACGGGACGGACTGATGCGGGACAGACTGATGCGGGACAGACTGATACGGGACAGACTGATACGGGACGGACTGATACGGGACAGACTGATGCGGGACAGACTGATGCGGGACAGACTGATGCGGGACAGACTGATGCGGGACAGACTGATGCGGGACGGACTGATACGGGGACGGACTGATACGGGACGGACTGATACGGGACGGACTGATACGGGACGGACTGATACGGGACGGACTGATACGGGACGGACTGATACGGGACAGACTGATGCGGGTCAGACTGATGCGGGACAGACTGATGCGGGTCAGACTGATGCGGGACAGACTGATGCGGGACGGACTGATACGGGGACGGACTGATACGGGACGGACTGATACGGGACGGACTGATACGGGACGGACTGATACGGGACGGACTGATACGGGACAGACTGATGCGGGTCAGACTGATGCGGGACAGACTGATGCGGGACAGACTGATGCGGGACAGACTGATGCGGGTCAGACTGATGCGGGACAGACTGATGCGGGACAGACTGATGCGGGACAGACTGATGCGGGTCAGACTGATACGGGGACGGACTGATACGGGGATGGGCTGAATCTGCTGTGTTTTGCAATGAATATACAGTCACTACTTCTGACAGCGATGTATCCTCTCCTCGCTGTGCAGTATATGAGTATATGTCAGTATCACTCCCCCCCTCCCCCCCCCCCGCTTTGGGAGGTCAGTTTGGCCTCCAGTATCCCAACATCCTCTGCGCGCGCGCGCGCCCAACCGTCACTTTCCAACTGTCATCCAATCTGTGTCCGTCCCTCACTGTGTCCCTCACTGTCTGTGTCTGTCCCTCACTGTGTCTGTCCCTCACCCTCACTGTGTCACTGTGTCTGTCCCTCACTGTCTGTGTCTGTCCCTCACTGTCTGTCCCTCACTGTCTGTGTCTGTCCCTCACTGTGTCTGTCCCTCACTGTCTGTCCCTCACTGTCTGTGTCTCACTGTCTGTCCCTCACTGTCTGTGTCTGACCCTCACTGTGTCCGTCCCTCACTGTCTGACCCTCGCTGTGTCTGTCCCGCACTGTCTGACCCTCACTGTGTCTGTCCCTCACTGTGTCTGACCCTCACTGTGTCTGACCCTCACTGTGTCTGACCCTCACTGTGTCTGTCCCTCGCTGTGTCTGTCCCTCACTGTGTCTGACCCTCACTGTGTCTGACCCTCACTGTGTCTGACCCTCGCTGTGTCTGTCCCTCGCTGTGTCTGTCCCGCACTGTCTGACCCTCACTGTGTCTGTCCCTCGCTGTGTCTGACCCTCACTGTGTCCCTCGCTGTGTCTGACCCTCACTGTGTCCCTCGCTGTGTCTGACCCTCACTGTGTCTGACCCTCGCTGTGTCTGTCCCTCACTGTGTCTGACCCTCACTGTGTCTGACCCTCACTGTGTCTGACCCTCGCTGTGTCTGTCCCTCGCTGTGTCTGTCCCGCACTGTCTGACCCTCACTGTGTCTGTCCCTCGCTGTGTCCGACCCTCACTGTGTCCCTCGCTGTGTCTGACCCTCACTGTGTCTGTCCCGCACTGTCTGACCCTCACTGTGTCCCTCGCTGTGTCTGACCCTCACTGTGTCTGACCCTCGCTGTGTCTGTCCCTCGCTGTGTCTGTCCCTCACTGTCTGACCCTCACTGTGTCCCTCGCTGTGTCTAACCCTCACTGTATCCCTCGCTGTGTCTGTGTTTATTATATAATTTGTTTAATTCTCACTTGACTATAAAACCTTAGTGATTTTGCGTTATTTCTGGGAAGTAATCATCCCCCTGTTTTCTCTATCTCTTATCTGTCTCTTTCACACTTTTTTTTCTCTTTTTCCCTCACTCACTCACTCACTCACTCACTCTGAGTCTGTTTCTCTCTCTCTTTCACACAATTTTATCGTTCTGTGTCTCTCAGTGCTGGTTTCCCCCTGTGTGTGTGTGTTTGTGTGAGGAGAGTCAGTACACCTCCGCTGACACAGACTGGCTGAGCTGTGTCTACGATCGGGGAATGGACAGTGACTGTTCTCTCAGACAAGGCGAGGCTCAGCCACAGGAGGCTGACAGGACAGCATGTCACGTACAGCCAGTATCGTCTTCGAGTTACGCCAGACACGGTAAAGGTCAGAGTCCTGTAGCTCAGTGGTTAGAGCACTCGCTTTGCAAGTGAGAGACCTGAGTTCAATCCCCGGCAGAGGGCGAAACCTTGGGCAAGTTTCCTTACTCCACACAGAGCCTAATAATAATCCTCCAAAACCAAAAACAATAATAAATTGGTCATTTTCAATCTACGACTGTTTGTGGGACATTGCTGTGCGCAATTGGCTGCCGCGTTCGTCCACAAATATACAGTCAATTCACTTTACAGTGTGTTCTGTGAAGCGCTTTGGGACGTCCTCCCGACGTGAAAAGCGCTATATCAAATGCAAGGATTATTATTATAAGGTCCCCTGAAAGAATGTGTGTTCACATGTGTACACCCACATGTACCCTTGACACACGTACACACCCAGCAGTTGACACGAAAGCACATGGGGCATACTTGTCCAACAGTAACATGGACAAACACCATCCAACCACTCGGAATGTAAAGTGAGGTCTGGTGTTCAGTAAAACAGTGTCTGCGCTTTAATTAGTGTTAAGGTGAACCTTTCCCCAGTTAGAACATAAGCACATAAGAATTTGCTAGACAAAAGAAGACCAAAGTCCATATGGTTGGCCTTCCACCATCCTGGTAGTTGCTTGACATATTGTGTCCCAAACTATATATTGTATCCCCAGATATTGTTTCCTAACAGGAATCTATCTCCTTTGTTCGTGAAAGAATCAACACTTTCTTCTTCCACTGATTGTCTCTATGGGAGCCTATTCCATACATTTACCACTTAATCCCTGAAGTAGTGTTTCCGCTGATCTGTTTTGCCGGTTGCTCAGCGATTGTCCACAGGAAACTTCACAGAATGGCCTTGAAGAGCCCCAACTTCAAACTTAAAAAGTGTTGTTATGGGAAACGTGTGTGTATGGGATTGTTAATTCCAGAGCACAGGAGAGGTTTGAGCGAAGATCTTTTGCCCCATTGATCTTGACTTGGTCATGGCTGATGGTGGAACATTGCTGGGTACGTGGCTGTTTGTAGGATGTTGCTGTTTGCAAATTGACTGCCAGGTTTGCTTACAAAAATACACATTTACTCCACTTTACAATTTATTTTGTGAAGTGCTTTGAGACGTTCTCCTGACATGAAGGCGCAAATGTGGCTTTCCTCTTGGTTTTCAAAGCCTGCCAAAAAACATCTTTGACCGTGCCTACCACCCTCGGTATCCGGCATCATTTTGATGAAGCACTCTGAGACATTACTTTGTGTGATGAATACTATATAAAAGCAAAATGTTATTACTGTTGTTGCTTTGGGTGTTCTATACATGCAGGGTAATGAGGTAAACAGCATCCAAAACACCAGAAAGGTTTGGGATTTAAAGGCTGAGCCCTGTTAAAATCAATTCCCTATTTTGTGGGGGGAAGGCGGGTGGTGAAGCCAAAGTATTTTCCAATAGGCTGACGCACTGCGTATAATGTCTGCTCACGCGATTAGTAACCGGCAGCTGCCACTAACCCGCACTCCACCCCCAGTTTCCTGAGACTGACGTGAGGGAAAGTGCAACTGACTTCGGATGAGTTAAGTCAGGTCGAGGGGAGGAAGCAACAGGTGGCTGTGCATGGGGGGCAAGAAAAACGGAAAAGGCATCATTTTCTTAGTGCTTCAAAACTAGTTCATTTGGCGGCTCTCTTCTATTGGAAGTTAATTTACTTAAAATTGAAATTGAAAATCGAGAGAGAGAAAAAATAGCCTCAGTGCGATTGCTGGAGTAAAGATTGTGTAATTATCGGTGGTTAAAAGTGGTAAAGGTTTCTCGAGTGGTTTGAGTTTACGAAGGTATGGAGGATGGGGTTGGTGGAGCTTCTCTGTATCACAGTGACCGTGTTTCCAGGCACATTGAGAACTCTTTCCTTTGACATGGGATGATTTGGCAAAAGCTTTTTTTATGTAAAAGAAATTATTTCTATTGTTTTAAATATAAAATGCGCTTCTTGTTGAAGAAGGTCTCGCTGACCATTTCTGGGGCTGTGGCCACCTACCTGATAGTCTCCCTGTTGGATCATTACTGGCGAGAGGATCGGAGTGGACATAAGCTGACACCTGACCGATTGTCAGCCTACTCAGACGGGCAGAGTCCCAAGTCAGTGTCACCTGTAGAGGATCATGTTTGGCTGCCAGCGTTGAGGTCCAACGCAGTGAACCCAAACAGTTTGGGGAGTTCACAACTGGCAGCTGGCACTGCTCAGGACGTTACCAAACACCTGCCTCAGAGACCACAATCCGTGCTCAGCACTCTGGAGCTCAGGGATATTTTCATTGCCGTCAAAACCACCCATATGTTCCACAAATCCAGACTGGAGCTACTTCTCCAAACCTGGATCTCAAGAGCCTCCGGGCAGGTAAGTAGCACAGTGAGGAGAGGAGGGGGGTGGGGGCCTGGATTAGAGCTTAGATGCCGTTGAGGTGTCAGTTTGGCTCAGTCTCTGAATTGGATATTCACTGCATAGCTGTTTGCAGGACCTTGTGCGCAAATTGCCCGCTGCGTTTGCCTGCAAATACAGTCACTACGTGTGACAGCAATAACCCCTCATCTTGTGGTCTGTGGATTGCTGCCTTTGTGTATCTCAATCATGTTAAGCACATTACATAAGATCCTCTCTGAGACTTCTCTTTTCAAGGCTGAAGACCTCAGCTTATTATAGTCTGTAGTGTTTGCAGCAAGAGCCTGGGGTAAGACAGCCACATAGCAGGCCGCGGTTCAAAACAGAAGGGAGAATAGAAGCAAGTTACAATGAGAAAATCTATTGGGAGAGGAAATAAGCAAAGAGAGAGAGAGAGACGCCTGAATATTAAACAGTCAAATTGGTGTCTCGGAGGCTGCTCAAAGAGAATTTTCTGCCTCACATCTCGCACTTTCAAGTTGATGCTCACAGCTTGTTAAACTTGCAGAGTGACTAGGCTGCAAGTGACAATGGGGTTCAAAAGATGGGGGAATGGACAACTTTGAAGAGTTGGTGCCGATGAACTAATGCATTGAGACGCAACCCAATGTTAGGCAAGTTCTTATGTGTGATGTCAATTTAAAGAATGTCAGTGGTGTTTGGGGATGTTACCCTGAGCTCTCACAGAGGGCAAGAGTCCAGTTCTTAGCCTGCAGCGGCTGCCCTTGGCAGATGATATTCCCAATGTGTGCTGGGATTGGTTCACAATGCACAGCTCTGCCTAGCTCAGAGACCAGTTTGACCCTGGCTACAAACTCCACATGTCAGTCCTAACTTCCCGCTACAGCAAATAAACCACAAGCTTTGTATCATCAAATGCCACCACTTCCTGATTGTTCTCCTGTTCTCTCCAGCCTTGTGACCATCATTAGCTCTTCACTCAGTTTCTCCCATGTATGTGTTTCTCCAGTATGCTGTGGCTGTCCAGGCTTTTTGTGGTGTATGGGGACATTCCAGGTGTCTGCTTAGACCATTGATAATGCAGCGAATATGCCCCTCTGTGCAGCCTGATGCACAGGCAGTGTGAAACAGGAAGTTCATAAGGCACCTAAAATATCCTGGCTTCCTGTTCACTATTGCCTGTGTGTGTTCAACTGAGCCACTTCTCTCTTTCCAAGTGGCTGTGCAGTCCAGCCACTCCTGCCCGCGCAACCAACAGCTGGATATCAGGGTGGGCTGCTGAGATCCGCACAGACTTTTCATATCATCTTATCTTGAAATGTCTTCCATGCCACAAAGGCAATTCAAGTCAAGTGTAGTTACCGTCTCTCTGTGGACAAATTCAGCAGTTAGTGTCCACACAACAGTGTGTACGATCTTTAATGTCAACCTGAACAGGCACACAGATGGGACCTTGTTTTTAACCTGTCATCCAAAGGACAGCACCTCTGACAACACAGCGCCTTCTGCCTGCACTCCTCCGGAACATTAGCTTGGCTGTGAGCTGTCCAGGCAAGCAACCTGCGTCTGTCAGTCGGCGTTCTCAGCTGACGTTTGTAGGTTCCAACTCCATGTCCGAGTCTAGGCTGACTCCCCAGCTCAGTGCTGGGGGAGCACTTCATTGTGGGTTATGGTGGGAGTTGGAGTATGTGGGGAACGGGGAGGGAGTTTTTGTATTAAATCATTCTGTGCAGCACAAGGCCCAGTTCTTCAAGCTTGAACTCCGTTGCCGTGGAAACGCCAGAGGATTTGAGCATGAAATGATGCAACAATATTCCTGAATTGCCCAGATACTCCTGATTAACATGGAGACAAAGCTTTAGCTGGTTGACATCACCGCACTGTTGCCCCGTGTCCCCAAACCTTTCCGGCTGACTTTGTTGTAACTGAGACATGGCTGTGCTAAGCGCTGATAGGATCATCCCTGGCTCTAAGCCCAAGTAATCATTGGGTTTGCCCGATAGCGAGGTTAGCAACCAGGAGACTGGCAGGCATCTCTGCCTCTCGTTCCTGCCGCCTGCAAACATTGGGGAGAAAGGCCAAGTGTCCCTGTACTTCTCACATACTTTACACATCCTGAATAAGGAATAGCCTAGAACTTCCTTCTCACTCTCTCTTGTCCACTCGCACCTTTGTGCCTGTTACTGTGTGTGAGTTTGTGCCGCGTGTGTGTGTGCGCGTATTATTCTGCATGGGCATTTCTGAGCGGGATTGTCTGGGTGTATGCGCACGAGTCCATCTTTGTGTGTGCCACTGTGTGCCTCTCGTGTGTATGTGCGAGTGTGCGCATGCATGTTTGTGTGCTCGTATGCGTGTTGTTTGTGTGTGTCACTCTAACCGCAGTTCATCCATTTCCTGTGTTTGCAGACGTACATCTTCAGTGATCGTGAGGACAAGGAGCTGAGCATCAGAACAGGTGAGCTCCCAGCAGTGGAAAATAATAACAATAATCTAGCATTAATACCACACCGACAGAATTCCAACCTCTCAAATGCTTCACAGGGATTTCGGGGGAGAAATTGCAGAGGGGTCTACATTTACTGTATTTCTGTAGCATTTTAGAGTGTCCAGAAGTTGGCAATTTTTTAACGTGGCCTTAAGTTTGCTTTATATAGTGTAGTGCCTGTATTTGTAGGCAAATGCAGTGTCCATTTCGCACAACAAGGTCCTACAACAACAACAAATGACACCCGACTTCGGTGACCAAAGGTGCGGTCAAAAGGAGGATCTCGAGACGTGCCTTGAAGCAGGCAAGGGAGGGAGTAAGGCAAAGGGGACTGGGGTGGAGTTCCAAAGGCTGGGAAGCACAAAGAGGAAGGAGTTGCTTGGGGAAAAGGAGCATGAGTGTGGTCAGAGTGTGAATCTGTCCCTCGTTTTTTTGGGTCAGCGTATGATGTCTGATACGTTCCCCTTCACCCACACAGGCCACCACATAATCAACACCAACTGTTCCTCGGCACACAGCCGGCAAGCTCTCTCCTGCAAAATGGCTGTGGAATACGACGTCTTTGTGGATTCAGGGCTAAAGTAAATCTGTGTGGCTGGGGGTGCGGGGGGGGAACTTGCTTTGTGTGTATTAGCTACTGCGTGTGCTGACGCATGCTGTCCCGAGTGCTTATCCGTGTACTGCCCTGTGTGCTGACGCATGTGCTTCTTGTGAGCCTGTGCTTTCGGGCGGGCGAGTTCTGTTTTGTGTGGTGTCATATGAGTTATTGTGTGTCACATGTACTGTCGTGTGTAACAGGCACTGTCGTGTGTACTGCTGTGTTTCGCGTGTACAATCGCATGTGCTGCTGCGTATGCAGTCGGATATGCGGTTGCGTGTGCAGTCGGGTATACTGTTGCTTGTGCAGTCGGGTGTACTGTTGTGTGTGGTTGGGGGTGCTGTTGCGTGTGTTGTCATGGGTAGCGTGCGCTGATTAATGTCATTTGCGCTGTTGTGTGCACATGTGCTGTCGCATGTGCTTGCTGGGGGAGGGCTTCATTGAAGGTTATGGTGGGTATCAGAGTGGGTGGGGGGGAGGTATGGGTTGTGTTAAGTCACATTCTGTCATAAATGTTTGTATGTGTAGTGCCATATGTACTGTGTAATATGCTGATGCTGTCGGGTGTGTTGTCCTGTTCCGCACGGTGATACGTGCGCTGTTGCCGTGTTACATGTGCTCATGCTGTTGAGTGCGTGGTCGCGTGTGCTGCCGTGTGTGCGGTCATATTTGCTGTCGCTTGTACAGTTATGTGCGTGTTTGTGTGTGCTGTCAAATTACATGTGCGGTTGCTTGCGTGTGCGCGTGTGGTTGCGTGTGTTGCCTGTGGGGTTTCAGGTACGTGTGCCGATGCGTGTTCCTACACTGATATTCTGTCTCTAATTGTCACATTCTCTGCTGGCCAATCCTCAGGTGGTTCTGCCACATGGATGATGATAACTATGTGAATGTCCGAGCCCTGGTGAAGCTGCTGTCGCGGTTCCCTCCCGGCCAGGACGTCTATGTGGGGAAGCCCAGTCTGGACCGGCCCATCCAGGCCACAGTCAAGATACCGGACAACCAAACTGTGAGAGAGACATAGAGAGAGAGAGAGACAATCCTGATGTGACACCCCCTGACTGTTTTGTGTGCTGGAGCTGCTATGTGCTGGAGCTGCTCTGTACTGGAGCTGCTTTGTGCTGGAGCTAATCTGTGCTGGAGCTAATCTGTGCTGGAGCTGCTATGTGCTGGAGCTCTCTGGCTGCTCTGTGCTGGAGCTGCTCTCCCTATCACAAGCGTCTTGTCATTACAGTGTCTCTCATTGCTTCTCTCATTGTTGGTTTTATAGAGATCCGTTTTCTTCTGGTTTGCGACTGGTGGAGCCGGGTTCTGCATCAGCCGGGCACTCGCTCTGAAAATGAGACCTTGGGCAAAGTAAGAGACCTCACTGTCTGTCATCGGGTCACTTCGCACCTCATCAGAAAAGTGGGAGATAATAATAATAATAATACTCTGGGATTAACTTCCCAATGCCTCATTGCACCACCCTCCCGACCCCAACCCCCCGACCACAACCCCCCGACCCCAACCCTCCGACCCCAACCCTAATCCCAACCAGGCTCTGGTGAGAGCAGAGAAAATCCAAACTAACCCAGGCCAGATTGAGGGACAGGGAAAATTCTCACTTTGCCTCCTGAATGGGTTTTATTCCCTGCAGTAATCCCTCCTCCCTCTCAGTATCCTGGGAAGCATTGTCGGCCGGTTGATATTGGGATGTGATGTGAACGAGCTTTCCCAGGGGATTGGAGTGGGGTCTCAGTGAGCTCTGCTGTGCCAGACTGGAAATGGGAGAGGCTGGGATCCCCAATGGTTGTGTAATATAGCAGGGCTTGTGTTTGACCTCACTAGGGATGGGCGTTTGGTGAGCACGGCTGAGACAATCCGACTGCCCGATGACTGCACTGTGGGTTATATCATCGAGGTGCTGGTGGGCAGGACCCTGACACAGAGCCCTCTCTTCCACTCTCATCTGGAGACGCTCCAGGTCATACCCACCCGTGAGCTTCACAATCAGGCACGTCACAGTTTAGACATGGGGGGATTGGGGCTGGGGCAGGGGATGGACTGGGGCAGGGACTTGGGGAGGGGAGGGATTGGGGCTGGTTCTTACCCTCTGAGAATACGTCGCAAAGTCTTAAAATTGAAGCTGAAGCATGGCCTTTGCCAGCAGGTGACGCTGAGCTATGGGACGCTTGAGAACAAGAGGAACGTGGTGGTACTGAAGGGAGCGTTCTCAGTCAGCGCGGACCCCTCCAGGTGAGAGACGAGACGCTGCGGAGGATGCAGGGGGGCATTTGCTTACACTACCCCTCGAGAGTGTTAGTAATGCGGAGCCATGATGAGAGAGGAAATGGTTGTCAATGGCTGGGAGGGGCATGTGGTTGGGGGTGTGGGGAAAGGCATGGGGAGGGGAAAGAGGGAAAAAATAAGCCCCCTCCTCTTGCCTCCCCCCCCTCCCCCCACCTCCGTCCCCCAGAATTTTGACTTTCTCCTTTCTTCCCAACAGATTCAAATCCATTCACTGCCTCCTTCACCCTGACACACCCTGGTGCCCCTAGAAGGTATACTTTGACCTCCCGGGCACCCGCACCATCAGCTACACTGCAGAAGGCACTTTACCTTGTCCTTTATGTATGTGTGTGGGGGGTTTGGAGGCTTTCAGTCAAGTGTCACGGTCGGTTGTTAACCAAATGCCACGAAGCACAAATCTCAGGGTGGGAGGAGAATGCACACCAAGTGTCATTCAGCCCATCACGTGTGTTCCACATCGAGAGGGGGAAATCCTGAATGGTCGGTGAGGGGGAGGAAAGGAACGCCAAATGCAAAGCTTCTCTCTCTCTCTTGTACATTTGACATGGTGGCCCCCACTCTGCCTGCATTATCTCAGAGTTGCTGTTAGCTCACAGCCACATCCAACCCGGCCACCAGAGGTCTCCGTTTACTGAGATCTCAGGCTGCGGAGTAAGCGAGCAAAGGCTGACACAGACTGTAAATATCTTCACGCTTACTGGGGAGAAACCACACCTGATGTACAGCACTGGGGGCTTTGCCAGGCCGGTGAGGTTAGGACTGGCTGAGGTTTGGTACATATTTTGGTGTAATACCTGCCAGTTCATGCTCAATAAATAATCACTCTGGCCCATCCACCCAGTCTGGTGTCATCAGAGGTAGAATTGCTCTAATCCCATTGCCTTCTCTTTCCCACATCGTGTCTGTGATGCTGATTGCTCCCCTATTGGAGTTTGCTATTCTAATCTATTCAATCATATCAACCCTCCCTGAGGGAATCTCATCAAATCTGTAAATTTCAGGAGCTTTACACAAACACACACCATACACACACACATCGCACACACGAAGTGGTGAAGAGGCCAAGGATCTGTATTAACTGGGCCCAAACCCTGTGCAGAATTCAGAGAGTCTCTGCGTGTTGCTCTCTCCCCGTGTATGTGTGTGGGGATGAGCATGAGGAATGTATGTGTGGAGGGGTGGGGATATGTGTGTTACTGTGTGTGGGTGTGGGGGGTGAGGATGTGTGCCTCTTCACCCATCTCCCCAGCAGATATCTCTGAGATAATTGCCCCCATTCCAGGGTGTGATAAGTGGGATGTTTTGTAGCTTCCTGTGGTTTACAGCAGAAGGTACTGATGTTTAATATGTGGTGTGTCCGTGTGGAAAGAACAAGGCACTTGCTGTACAGTTGGTATCACATTAGGTATGTCGCTTTGACATGGACAAATGAAGCAATTTTCAGTCTCTGATAGCGAGAGGGTGTCTTGCAGTAAATAAGAATGAGGCCTGGTGCAGAGCAACGAAGGCAAGAGAGGGAGAGACACAGAGCGAGGGAGCAGGCACAGAGGAGATATCCCTGATTAGAGAGCACAGACCTTGTGGGTATGATACCTTAGTCTAAAGCATTGCAAAACTCTAAATGGAGGCTATTTGGTAGAAGTGCTAATTTCAGAGACCCAAAGTCCTGTCCACCCTGACCCTCAGTTAAGAGACAATTCAAAATCTGTCCCTCTTTCAATGTGGCAGTGATTAAGGTCCAATATTTATAATAATAATAATAATAATAATAATAATAATAATCCTTGCATTTGATATAGCGCTTTTCACGTCAGGAGGACGTCCCAAAGCGCTTCACAGAACACACTGTAAAGTGAATTGACTGTATATTTGTGGGCGAACGCGGCAGCCAATTGCGCACAGCAATGTCCCACAAACAGTCGTAGATTGAAAATGACCAATTTAATTATTGTTTTTAGTTTTGGAGGGATTATTATTAGGCTCTGTGTGGAGTAAGGAAACTTGCCCAAGGTTTCGCCCTCTGCCTGGAATTGAACTCAGGTCTCTCGCTTGCAAAGCGAGTGCTCTAACCACTGAGCTACAGGACTCCGATTTAGCCCAAATAGTGCAGGCTACTGGCTGTCGAGTGAGGAGCCACTGCATGACCCACGTTATCACCGAGTGCCTTCCCTACTCTTGCTGGTGCCCTGAGCTAAAGCTTGGCACTTCACTCCAGTTTCTCACTGAGAGGCTGCACTTTACTTCTACTCTTATCAATTGTCCGCCCTGCTCCAACCCCATTTACAGCTGGTGTTTACACAACACCTTCCTCCTAAAGCAAACCTCTTCAAACACTTTACAGAACAGAGATGAGAGTGTCATTTTAGAGACAAATCCCAGCAGCTGGTGTGTGAGAGTGACGTCCCCCACACAGCAATGTGGCAAGCAGCTGATTGACTTGAAATTACGAATGAATTTGGATGATGAAGGGAACAAAGACCAGGATACACCCATAGATACACCCTTCAGCACCTTGGGAGGTCCTCCCGACGTGAAAGGCGCTCTATAAATGGAATCTTGTTGTTGTTGTTGTAGGACGGTTTCCGAAGAGCAGCGAAAGCCAGTAGGTCAAAAGAGAAAGGAAACGCATCCTTGCGTTTTGCCCACAAATAACACAGTAAATTCACTTTACTGTTCTGTGAAGTGCTTTGAGACATCTCGAAGATGTGATAAGGCGCTAAATCAAATGCAAGGATTTATTATTATCAAATGGCGTTCAAGTCTTCAGGGGACCGTCTTCAGCAGGAAAGTCTTCAGCATTCTGAGTCAAATGAACTTGCTGCTTCTGTCCCATCTTTATCTTTCAACAACTTGCAATTACGTAGCTGCGTTTCATGTGAAAGATCAGACTATCCATCGACTTATCAAAATCACAGACTATCCATCGTTTTCAATTCTCCCCACATTACAATTTACTTAGCTATTTCCGCTTGCGTTTATCATGGGCATTAGTTCTGTTCATTGCTGAAACATGATGTATAGGATTATAAAGTTACCCTGGCTTTATTATTAATATAAATTGCAGATGGCATATTGCAGATCTGTGTAAAACCTCCGCTGGTAGCTAGTAATTATAGTAGTAGGCCAGATTTGTTGTCTGCACAATCAATCTCTTAACCTTTCATCTTGTGTTTACTGTGATGGACTCAGTCTGTGCTGCAAGTGACTGAGGAATTAAATTGCTTCATTCATAATGGGAAGATTACATATTTGTAATTTTCAACCTATTATTAAATAAAAGTGTGTGTACCAGATGCCATCGTTTTAACAGATAACTTCCTGGAACATGTGTGCATCATGTCTGTTTGTGCAGTGCTCCCTCCCCCCAGTTCTGTGCTGGTGGTCAGCCTAGACTTTGAGCTCACGTCCTTTAGTGGGAGTTGAACCCGCAACCCTCAGATCCAGAAGCGACAGCGCAAATGGCTGAGCCAGGCTGCCTTAACATCTGCCACTTACAGATGTAATTCTAAATACCATGTGGCTGATGAGGAGAGAGTAATCGTGCAGTGTGGGTTTCTGCAGAATACAGTAAGGAGGAAATTCCTCTCATGGTCTTGGAGAGTGATAAGGACAAGGACAAGGATCCCTCGTGTTTAGAGGTGCAAGAGGGGGAATAGAGAAGTGATACCCCCCTCCTCCCATATCCCCCACCCCAGGCTGTGGATTCATCTCTTTGATGGATTGTTAATGTCTCTGTGAATTACTTCAATTCAGCGGGAAGCTTGCCAAATGGTATTCGGAACTGTAAAAAATATAACGGGTTTTGTATGTGGGAGGGGGACTGAATGGAGAGCTGTATTAGAGAGACTTGCACAGGCAGGATAGTCCTGTGCTATACTGACTGCTCCAGGATTAAGATTGTTCAGCAGGCTGGACATTTGGATGTAGGGATATAAGTTTGGGGAATTTCCATGGTGTTATACAGTCACGTTACTCAATGAACCAAAACGCAATGTTTTTTCTTGTCTGATTGACCAACACGCCTGGAGCCAGCGCTAGCTCTCAGCCCCGAGTCCCACCACTGCCTGTTGCATTTCAATGATCAATGAAATCTGTGTGTGTGTGAAGCTCGATCTTCTCGCACTCTTCCTTCCCTGACAAATGTAGTCAAGTGCCAGGGAGACTTAGATGCCTCTTTGGCAAAGGCAGGCAGCTGGCAGCTCTTTGCTACGACAGCCAAAATGCTCCATTAATTCCATTCATTTCACTGCTAATATGATCCAATCCCTTTTGGTGTGGTTACATAAGCCATCCTTTTTGTCAGCTCGACTGAATTAATTCTCGCAGACCGCAACAGGAAATGTTAAGCTTCTGACAAAGCTCAGATGTAGTTCATTGGGAGTTCGCGGTAAGGCTTCCCTCCCGTCCCCATGGCCTTCCCTCTGTCTTACACATTCACATAGGAAAGGCTCTCGTTCTCAAAGAGGTTTCAGCTCAGTTGACGTGATTCATTTTTTGTAAAACCTATTGCTGTCTGCCTGACGGAGACCTGGGCTCTACTATGCTGCCTTGCTTGGTGAAGCTATTCATTCTGTTCCTGAGCCAGTCAGAGCAGATGGTGTCAGCACTGAGCCATGGCCCTGTTTCATTATGTTGGGGACAACCGGATGGGCAGCGATGGCCATTTCTGGTCCTGTAGGTTCCAGAGTTCGGTTTCCTTCCTACATTATAGGACTAGAGTAGATCAGGGCAAAGGTTTCCTCTCTCTCCCTCCTTCCCATCAACTTTTGGATATCCTCCCTGTACAAGTGTAAGTTGTATTGTCGTTCCACAACGATCAAAAGCTGGTGTTTGTACAGCGCTTCATCATGTCTCAGAACAGAAACTGTTGGAACAAAAACTGGTGTTTCTGCTGAGCTGAACATTTTGCCCACAAAATGCACAATCATTTCACTTTACAATATAGACTGTAAAGCGCTTTGAGACGTCTCTACAACTTGATAAGGCACTGCATCAAATGCAAAGATTATTATTATTACACACAGCTGGATATAGGACATATATTTGGGGGATTGTGGGCGAAGACACAGGAGGAAAACTCCCTGCTCTTTTCCAATAGTGTCACAGGATCTGCCTGAACAGGCTCAGCCTGGGGAGCTCATAACGTCTCATCTCAGGTCTTTTCCAATTCCTCTTCTCATTCCCCTCTCCTGGTTTCCCTCCTCAGAGCCCTATTATCAGTGCTGGGACCCTGTTAATCGATACTTTTTTAATGTATTTGCTGGATACACCAGTCATTTGTTTCACGCTGTTTTAATTTAGACTCATTCACAGAATGAATAATTAAACGTGTTGAGTTGCAATTGCTGGTCAAAGTCCTGCCACATGAGCTCTCTGAAATGCGGAGCTGTATGCAATCTGACAGATCTCATTAAAACCTCTCCCATAACAAAAGCCATTGCTCGGGCTGTAAAAACCCATGGTTTCCTCACAGGCAACTCCTCACGCGGCTAGTCACAGTGATGAATGTGAATGAAATACTCATTGTTTTCGAGTGCGGTCGTGGAGGTAGGAGCCATGTTAGCTTTCAAGAGGGAAGTAGATGGATATCTAAAGAGTTATTTGCAGGGATATCGGGATGGGATAGGCAGATAAATGCGAGTGAATGGATTGCTCTTTCTAAGAGCCAGCACAGACATGATGCACCTCTCTCTTCTCCCCTCTCTCCTCTGCTTCTTTTCTGTCTTTCACACATTTTCCTCTTCCTTTCTTCATTCCTACCATCGTTCTCAACCTAGTGAGCCACTGCATTCTCTGAAACTCTTCCAGCCAGTGTGGCCCTTGAATCTAGCT